CCCTAACCCTAACCCTAACCCTAACCCTAACCCTAACCCTAACCCTAACCCTAACCCTAACCCTAACCCTAACCCTAACCCTAACCCTAACCCTAACCCTAACCCTAACCCTAACCCTATAGTAGAAATCGAGGGTACTAAGTAGTTTAAGATAACTTAGTACTCTTCTAATAAAAATACTTAGTACTCTAAGAGGGTACTAAGTTTACTAGATATAGACCTAAATTATTTGGCGGTAGTTAGTAGCTATATCGAGAAGGTATTCTAGCTTAAGTACCTTTACTTATATATAATAATAGATTAATATAATATCGATTTAATACTAAATAGATATCTATATTAAAAGATAATAAATTTCGATCGATAGAGTTATAAGTTATTATCGAAGGTAATAGTATAGTTTTTATACTATAGTAGTATATAGATTACGTATATAGGCCTAAACTATTTATAAGTAATATTGTAAATATATAATAACTTAATATAAATAAGTTATACGTAACTATAAGTTAGTTTCTAGATAGGTATAGTATATATTTAATATAATACTAAGTTATATCTATTTATTTTTAGTATTAATTAAGACTTTAGTCGATAGAGTTTTAGTAGAGTTATAATGTCGACCTAAAGCCGCCTAGCCGTAAAGCCGCCGCTAAACGTATAGACTAAGTTATATCTATTTATTTTTAGTATTAATTAAGACTTTAGTTAATAGAGTTTTAGTAGAGTTATAATATTAACCCGAAGCTATCTAGCCGTAAAGCTGTCGCTAAACGTATAGACTATTTTCTATTAACTTTATAATATAAAATAAACTAGTATATAATTTAAATTTTATTAAAAAACTTTATAGTTAAATACTATTTTACTAAATAGTAATTATATTATTTTATAATAACTAACTTTATAAATAATTACTAGTTAATAAAATAACTATTTTTAACTAGTTATATAATATATTATAAACTAGTATATAAACTATATATTACTAAAAGACTTTATACTTTAATACTATTTTACTAATAAGTAATTATAATACTTTATATATTAAAGTTAACTAGTTAATAAAATAGCTATTTTCTATTAATTTTAAACTATATACTAAACTAAATTATATTATAAGTTTTTTTAATAAACTCTATATTTAAATACTATTTTACTAAATAATAATATTACTTTATTTTAATTATACTAATTATAATAATAATAGTAATACTAATAGTAATAATAATAGTAATAGTAATTTTTATAGTAATAAAAGTAGTAATAGTAATAGTAATATTAATAGTTATTCTAATAGTAATAGTAATTATAATAGCTATAGTAGTTATAGTAGTAATAGCGACTATAATATCTATAGTAATTTCGGTATAGTAATTCCGGTAGCGATAGACACGTAAATTCCCTCGATGAAATATAAGTTATCTATTCTAACAATTAACTAAACTCCCTCGCGCAATATTTGAAGCCCTCTCTAGCGCTTCAGCAATCCTCTTTCCCCAAACAATTGCTTCGGTAACATCTCCAGCCTCCAGACTCTCCAAGATCCCTGGGAAGACTACGCCATCATATCCCGCCCACAGCCCTGGCGCAAAAATCTACATGTGCGTTAGATCGACTTTCCTTCTTAGTGCGGGATGCCGAAGGGTTCAGAGTACTTGCCAGATGTCTATACCACGGTCGGCCAGGGAGGCCTTGTCCTTTTTCCAGGAGGAATGCTTTTTCAAGTTCACGGTAACGTTTGTTGATTTTTGCGATAGTGCTTGCGCTAGGAGACCGTGAGTTCGCGTGATTTTCGGCGAGAGTGTCAAGACTTTTCGTTGCGGATGAGAAATTAGAGAGTGCGCTTGACAGTCTTGTAGTATTGAAGCCCGGAGTTGAGAGTTTTTGAAGCCCGAGAAGGTGAGATTGGAGGGACAGGGCGTAGGAGTGAGCGCGAAAGTTCAGAAGAGGAATTCCGGCCAATCGCACGGCCATGAGACCCCAGAGGCGGGCTATTGCTAGATGTTTTCTAGTTGAAGATGTTAATTTATCTCGCAGTGTTTGTGCCGCTGTAGTCAAGCGATATATTAAACAAAACTAAAACTCAATACTCACTTGAATCCTGGATCTCCAAACCTCTCAACCCAAAGAAAGCTGTCGTAATTCGAATGATAAGGATAGACTCCACTCCCCTTTCGATTGAACAGTAGATCAATAGATGGAATCCCGAGGTGGTGGAAGAACACAGTGTAATCGCTGCCAGTTCCAATCACCCCAATTGCATCATCTTGCTCGCCATAATCTTTAGTACCATGACTCAGCCAGTCAGAATACACAGTCTTGCCTTCTTCCAAGGGCGATGGAATTTGTTGCATTACTTCTATAAGCGAATGAGCGAGCAATGGGCTTCCAGTTGCTCCGAGGATTGCTCCGCCGTTGGTAGATTCGTCGACGTTAAGATCTGGTTGACTTTCAGTTTGAGAACAAGCGAGATAAAAGATTCCACCATACATGCCACGCAGGTCTTGCTAATCTCCAAAGCATGATCTTCGCCATATTCGGTTGAACCTACAAGTCCATACTCTTCGTTGTCCCAGGATGCGAGAACACTGGACGAGTTAGTTGTCGTGAATCATGATTATCGAGATAGATGTATACATCTTTCGAAATGGTTTCCAACCAGATGCAATAAGTGTTCCAAGACCTCTTACAACTTCATTCATTGCCGCACTACCACTAATTGGATCGATAGCTCCACAACACCTGTTTATGAGTTATTAAGGGCATATCTGATATCGAAGCAGAACTGTTCGAAAGTCCTTTGCTCCTTTGAAAAAATGCAGTGAAATGGTAATACAAGGTAACATACCAAGAGTCGTGGTGATTTCCCAACATCACCATCTCGTCTGTCTCCCCCTCAATTGTCCCAATGACATTGTAAATTGGAGATATACGATAATCCCCTTGGTTGACCAGGCTAACTTTGGCAACAGACGGTCCAGTTCGATATTCAATACCCTCCAGGCAGCCTTTCCATTCTCCATTCTCACCACCAACGTCCTCCGGTAAAAGTCCACATCCATTCAGTGCTTCCAAGAACGGCGTTGCATCAGCATAAGAGATTGGCAAAGAAGGTATCTTTGGAATGGCATGTTCTGGATTTTGGCGCTCTACGTTTTCACCCGGCAAACTCGCATATCCCGGAGTTGTCGGATCCCCAACAGCAACGGAGAAGAAGTCAACACTTCCTCGCTGAATGCTTGTTGGATGTCGAGCTGGTCCATCGGGATAAGGTTTGTAGCCATTTGCAATAGTTATTTCGCCATCCTCCTGGGGATCGTTGTAGATGATTACTCCGATGGCACCAAATTGTTGTGCTGCTCGCACCTTTAGACCGCGGAATACTTTCCCGTATTTACATATCACGATTTTACCTTCTATGTCGACGCCTTTCGAAGCCAGGAGTTGAAAATCGGCAAGAGTGCCGAAATTGGCGAAGATCAAAGAGGCGCAAACATTGCCGTTGGCACTGAAGCCGTGAAATGCTGGGAGCCCGTTGCTCGGGGATGATGTTGGGTCTTCTTCGTGACTGTCTTCTGTCAGACTTGCTTCAAACGCAATATCCCCATTTCCTGAAAGCGTATGCAGCTTCAAAGACGCGTGTATTGGAAAGTTTTGAAGAACATCGTATTGAACGAGTTTTGTGTCAACACCATATGATTGCCACAAATCCCGAATGGTTTCTGCATGAGCCAAATCTCCGGCGAGATGAGGTCGTAAACTGTACTCCTTCGACCAATGTCGTAGATTAGAGACAGTAGGACTACTCAGCATGAGCTGTTCCGCTTCTTCTTGTGTTGCCGCAATCATCATATCAGGTGTCGTAAACTACAAGGTAAAATTACTGTCAGAAAGAAAAATAGCTGGGATTCTTGGTACTTGTATATGTCAAGCACTTCCTGATTCTCCAATTTTCAATTCATTGTAAGCAACTGATAAGACTGACACGGCCATGTTATTAACTCCTACATCGTGGTAAGAACCTCCGTGCGTTGTTCCATTTGTGTGTCCGTTGTTTCGTAACATCAAGGTTTTGACGCGCTGAAGTTGCCCATTTCAATTCGCTCAAACCTTTGGTAAAACAAAGCCCCGGGCGGCATGGTTGGGGAAACTGAAAGAGGGATAGACCTGGTTGCTGTAAATGGACCCTGTAGCAAAATCGGATAATTGCGGCCAGTACACGCCCCCCACTTTCTCACTATCTCTATTTAGTGGAGTCCTTCTTACACAGATTTGACCTAATGGGTCACCCCGCATTTCGTCGAATTACCACTATACGAACATTTGCGCATATACTTTTACACGTTTTACTCGACCGAACAGAGACAGCAAAAGGTAACTATTACTTATTTTAGAAATCTGCCCAACTACTCAACTTCACCATAGCTATGTCAGGTCTTCCAGTAACCTTTTTGTAGGTAGTGTAAGAATCAAGCTTTTCAAAGATACGTACTTGCAAGACTTGACAGAAGGGTATGGGTCATTATACAAAATCATCTTCCTTCTTTTAAGATATTGATTATGATCATATCTTCGTATGGCTTTCCATGATTTCTCAACTCAAATTAACATGAAAACGTCCAAATTACCACAACAACTTGTCTCGGGTCTATCCTACACTTGATATGATTTCAAGCATTTCCATTGCCAATTGCCGGGGAGATTCTTTATCATCCACAAATATCTACAATAACGCGCATAAACATAGCTATACAGTCTAGGTAGTCTAGTATATCTACCTTCTCATCAGGTCGAGTGTTATATTTTCCACCTGGACCACAAACAATACCTTCCATACCGAGACGCTTGTAGAGATGGCCCGCATCCGAACCGTAGAAACAAGTTGGTGCAATAACGCCTGTAGGTTGATCTACTTGCCGGACACTGTGATACGCATGATTCAATGACTTAACAATTCTGGAGTCTGGAGATACCTCGAACGCTGGCATGGTCGGCTCAAATCTTTGTTCAAGCTCATATTTCATGCCCGGAAATCCAACAAGCGTGTTCTTCATCAACGCGCTGATATCTTTCATCACTCCATCCTGAGTCTGACCAGGTGCGTATCTCGCGCTGCCAGAGAGTTTACAGACATCTGCAACTTGAGCTGGACGCCACTCTACAAAATCTTTTCCCAAAGCTCCATGCACAATTCCAACCTGGCAGCGGTTGCATTTGAGATGCTCCGCGCTTCTTGAATCACTAAATACCATGCTGTCGAGTAAAGGAATAAGTTGACATGCAGCCAGAATCGCATCGGTCGCTTCTTCGCGGGCTGACATATGTCTCGTGATACCAATAAGTCGAATCTCGAAGACCAGACACTCTGCATGCATAGTCACAGCCTTAATATCCGATGGCTCACAGTTGATGAAATAATCGGCTTGGATTTTGCCTTGCTCTATCAATGCCATGGTTCCAACACCCCCTTGCAGTTCTCCAACAACGTAGGTGAGAGTGACATCTGCTCTTGGTCGCCAACCACTAGCTTTGAGCGTCTCTACAGCACAATAATAGGCGGCACATCCTGACTTCATGTTGCTTACTCCGATGCCATAAACAAAATCATTGTCGACTTTGCCTTCCCAAGGATCTATCGTCCATCCTTCGCTAACAGGATTGGTGTCCAAGTGGCCATTGAATAGAAGAGACTTTGGTTGTTCTGATTTGTGAAAGTTCTTGACCTGCGATCCTTTCCAGACTCCCACAACATTCTGTCGCTTCCCTTCGTCGAAAGGTATTAACTCGGTTTCTAGGCCAATTTCCTCCATTCGTTCTGCCATAAAGCTGGTCGCCTCGAGCTCCCCATCTGTCTGGGAGTAACTCTTGATTTGAACCAACCTCGAAAGTAAGTCAAGACATCTCTGGCGATTGATTTCTGGAACTTGCATGACGACTGTTTAATAATAAGAATTTTAAGAGAGACAACATCAGACATTGCCTGCTTGACCACCACAGACAGTGCTTTAGGCCATTGACAACTAGCATAAGTGCTCGGCGAAGCGGTTACCTAGTCGCATCCCGATCCACATGTTAAATCGAATAGAACGAATAATCTAAGCGATCCTCGTATGATAGGAACTTATTGTGGAGGTTGGCCGATTTCGCCGACGACTGGGTTTTGTTGTTCATCCTGACCTGAGACCTGAGCACCTCATCAGATTTTCTTAGTCTCCAAACGACTTTTTGATGATTACTGAACATCTATCGGCTCTCATTCCGATAAAGTTCCACTAAAAAAGCTCATCTAAATCTTAATTCGTCTAAGCGTTATCGAAGACGGGACCAAGACGCCGCAACCGAGCTGATCGACATTGTATCAAGTCTCCACTCTTGGCTATATTCATCAACAGTAAGAGTGATCCCACTCTAGCATCCCCGTCGTTACCATATTTTATTGTAAGGAACGTTTGCGTGGGAACACATCCGAAGATAAACGTCAAGATAAGAAACATGGCATTGCGCCGCTGTGGGGATGGAAGTTTAAGCCAAGGTCTTGAGCAATTGAGTAGATCAAAAAGGATTGTTGAAAAGACGTTGAGCTGCTGCCTTATACTTGTTCCTAGACTAAGCCGCAGATATCATCATCGGTCCATCGACTACACTATTGACCATGGCTAGAAACAGTACCGATATTGAGGCTGTGGCCATTCCAAGCCAGGCAATGGTCGACAAAGAGATCGGAATCAAAGGCGAAATTGCTGACGAAGGATATGAACTATTCGAAGATTCAGCACCTACCCCGATCACAGAAGAGCAGTCCGTAGCTGTTCGAAACAAAATCGATCGCCATCTCCTACCTCTCATGTGCGCGCTCTATGGCTTGAACTATGTCGACAAGGTCGCAATGGGATACGCAGTTCTGTTCAACTTCAGGCAGGATCTGGGACTCGTTGGCACCGATTACTCCTGGGCGAGTTCAATGTTCTACTTCGGCTACTTAGCTGCTCAGTATCCCGCCAACTACATTTTGCAAAGATATCAGACTGCAAGAATACTGAGTATCTCTGTGATTACTTGGGGAATCCTCATGCTCGCGTAAGTTTCCCTAGAACATTTTATTGCTTTCTTTGGCTAACTTTGTCAGGCACTTGGGCCTCAGAAACTTTGGTGGGCTCTTAGCTGTTCGCTTCCTGCTCGGCGTTGCAGAGTCGGCGGTAACCCCTGGTTTTGTACTGTATACCTCGATGTGGTACACGAGAAAAGAGCAGGTCATGCGTACCATGCTCTGGGCAGCCATGCAAGGATGTTTCAGCATTGTAACCTCTTTACTGTCTTACGGTTTAGGGCACATCACTAATACAGCGCTCAAACCTTGGATGTATATTTTCCTCGTACTTGGCCTCTTGAGTATAATCGTAGGGGTTTTGTGGCTTTTCACAATGCCACAAACTCCAAACAAAGCCTCCTTTCTCACACCAGAAGAGAGAGTAATTGCCGTCCAGCGTGTTGCTGGAAACATGATGGGTATCAAGGGCTACCAATGGAAAAGCTATCAAATATGGCATAGCATAATCGACCCCAAAACTTGGCTGGTCTTGGCTTTTGTCCTTTTTACTCAGTTGCCAAATGGTGGGCTTAGCAGTTTTGGTTCACTAGTGATCAGTGGACTCGGATTTTCATCCTTTGGAACCTTGCTTATCGGCTTACCTTCAAGTGTGGTAAGCGCTGGAAGCATGATTGTTTGGGGGACTTTTTCGCTCAAATATGGCAATCTGAGAACCTGGGGTATGATTGTCCCTTTGCTGCCAGCCATTGCAGGTATCGCGGCAGTGTATGGTACTATGGACACCGGAGCAAACAAGTACGGACGTGTGGTAGCTTACTGGTTGATCAACTCCTATGCTGTTACTGTGAGTACACCAATCAGAATCGCCGAGTTGAAAAAAAGAAACTAACAGATTCAGTGGCCATTCGTTCTTACTATCGTGGGTCAAAATGTCGCCGGCCATACCAAGCGAGCTTTCACAAACACGATGTTACTCATGATTTTCGCAGCTGGTAACATCGCTGGACCATTTTTGTTTCGCACTCAAGACGCACCAGGATACGTGTTAGCTATTGCGGCCATTTTAGTATGCTTCTGCCTTGCGTTGTTGAGCGCGATCGCGTTGCGCTTCTATATGGTAAGAGAGAATAAGAAGCGGGACCGCGTGTATGGAGCTGTTGATACGAGTGAAGCCATTGTTGATGGAATGAGGACGGGTATGCACGATAAGACCGACCGGGAGAATACGGATTTTAGATATGTTTTGTAGTTTTAAATTAAAATAGCAGATCAATGCAGTCGGTCGTCCATTCTGTAGATCCACAAACGAAAACCCAAAATTACTGTATCTAAATCATACATATACAAGAGAAATAAGAGACCACGTCATATCGATCTAGCTACTTCCTCAATCCTTTTCCCTTCTTAGAGATTTCCCTTTTGCAAATCGAACCGACTTTCTCAGCAGCTTTTTGATACCCTTCTTAGAGGGCGGATTACTTGGCTCGACCACCTCCTCAACCTCTAACTCCTCGATTTCTACCTCCTTGATCGCTTTTTTGCGTGCAGCTAACAGCGCCAGTTGATCTATCATCACCGGATGATCCACAAGGTCTTCAACTCTTAGTTTCAAATCCTGATCTTCCAGCAATGACGAGACTTGTGCAAGTCCGATAATGTCGCCTCCAAGATCGTAAAAGGAGGAATCAAGATCAATTGTTGCAATATCATCATTTTTATCCGACAGAATCTCCCTCCACGCCGCCGTCAGAATATCAGAATATTGTAGTTGCTCGTCTTTGCTGATTGCTTGGAAATCGCGTGATAATTGCAGATCTAAAAGCGTTTCTGCTATGTCGAGGGTCTTTCGTTGAACAAGCGATAGCTGTGTAGGGGATGGAAGGATGGACCTTGGATTGTGCGAGAAATCTATCGCAGTCTCGCATAGAGCTTCAAACATCTCGGAAGCGAAAGATGAGGTGATACCGCTGTTCGAAGTAAATGTCAAGCTGATCTCAATGTGGTCATCTTCCTGAGGGGTTGAGAGGACTGTCAGGTCTGCAAAGTCTTCTTGAGAACCGACAGCCCCAAGAGTGTAATCGTTACGCCCGAGCTGGAACGAGGTTTCTCGCTGAATATTTTGATGTTGGCAAACGGTGGAAAAGTTTGCCCAGTCAGGCCAGTCGGTGCAATGTTTGATGATTTCGCGGAATCCCAACGATTCGTAAGGCATCGCGGCGACTTGTTGAGTCTGAATACTTTTCAGCAAGTCTAAAACTGACCATCTATCCTGAAATTGTATTCGGATTGGAATAAGATTGACGCATGGGCCGATAATATTCTCGACCCCGATGACATCTGCGTTGCGGCCACTGATAACGTTTCCGAAAACAATATCAGTCTGTGCAAACCATTGAGCCAATACCAAGGACCAAGCAGCTTTAATGATGGTAGCCGGTGTGACATTCTCGGATGCGAGAGAATTTATGTGAACAACCCTCTTCAAGGTCGTGGGCGCGTCGATCCCCCTACTATAATTGGGATTGCTTCGACGAACAACCTCTGTCATGGATGAACCTTTCAAAAATTCCTTCCAGTAGACATAATGATGGTCAGCAGTCTCCCGCACAGCATCACGAATATATGTCGAGAATGATGGCGTTGCCGGAATGCTTTGTCCTGCATAACCCTGCTGAAGTGCGGTCAATATTCCAGGAAGACAAACACCGTCGTACTGTGCGTGAGATATGCGCATGATTATGCGATGTAGTCCGCTACTTTTATGCTTGACGACAGTAAAATTCAAGTATGGCTCCCCTGGGCGAGGACCATTCTCTCGATCCCGTTGTTGCAGTTCCAGCGTAAATTGAACCAAATCGTCGGCGTCGTGAACTTCGAAGCCAGGCTCGAGCTTGCGCAGCACCACTTGGAAAAAGCGGTTACCATATGGAACAAACACCGTCCGAAGTATTTCAAAAGCGCTTACGACTTGTGATATAGCACTCTTGAGACGTCGTAAATCCAACAAACCTGTTCCTTCAAGATAAAAGTAGTTCAACATCCATTTGGATTCCATCAGAGTTCCAGTGACGGCCAGTGCTTGAAAATCGGTGACTGGGAAAACATCCGTTATGCCACCTCGGAACGCTCTGACTTTGGAGCAAATGTTTTCTTGTAAGAAAGTATCCACATTTGCCGCCTGGACGAGGGAATAACGTTGGTACAAAGCATTTTGTTTGGCACGGATCCTGGACTCGTGAGCCTCAATCTCCTCTTTTGTGTCGATGTTAGAAATGGGTGCCTCCTCCAGTGACTCGGCGGATCGGATGGCGTGTGCCATATCAGAAAATGTGGGATGTCGAAAGATGTTGGCAACTGTGAGGTCGAGTTCCTCATCTCGAGCCATTCCCACCATTTGCATAGCAATAATAGAGTCACCACCAAGTTGAAAGAAGCTGTCATCTTTTTTAATTGAGTCTTCCGAGATCTGTAAGAGTCGACTCCATACAGAAAGCAACTTTTGTTCTATGCGACGCAGTTGACTTCTGGCTTGCGATGCGACTGATGCGGCCACTGAGGCGAGCGTACTTACTGATGTCGTCCTGAAGGCTTTAGGTCTAGATGGTCTTTGAGGTGACATCTGTGAGTAATCCATCATGGGTTGTGCGATTTCCTGGCCGTTGAGACCGGTGAGTTGGTGCAGCTGATGCGGGTCTCTGGTAGTAATGGCACCGGATTTGAGCAGTTGCTCAATAGTTTCTCGAACGCATGCTCCAATGATGTCTCGAAGCTGACTATCAGACGCTACGAGCTGTGGTTGAGGTATCATAGTGTCGGTCACCTTTTCATCACCGGCAGCGGGTTGCTCAGGCAGTTCCGCATCTCGAGTTGCTTCGTTCGAGTTTTTCAAGTCTACTTCATCTCCAAGTTGATGTGGGTTATTGACGAAGCTTGTCATGGTCTGAGCGAGTACTTCTGACAACTTTTGAGCTTCTGCTTCGGACAAAACGTCAGTCCAGAAGCGGATGACTGCTCCCTCATCTCCTTTAACGGTTCTGATGTTCAAAGTTGCAACATACTGTAAACAAAAAGGTCAGTACATTTCGTTGTTAAAATTGACAATGCCACTTACTTCACTGGGATCGTGGGCGGCAACAGGTTCAAACGATATCATCTCTTTCTCTTTTCCATCTGACGGTCCGTCGCCTTGTATCGAAACTGCGGTATTGAAAAGTGGCCCACCACCGCCAAGTTCATGTTGAACCTGAGCAAGTGAACAATATTGATATTCCAAACTTTGAAGATAATCTGTTTGGACTTTTTGGAATATTTCTTTGATTGTGGAGTCCTTGGTGAAGACGATCCTGCAAATGAGCATATTGATGAAAGCTCCAATTGTACTCTGAACACCGCTGACGGGCACATCTCGTCCAGATGTCAAATATCCAAAGCAAACGTCCCTTGATCTGGTATATCGGCGAAGACAGAAAGCCCATGCCGTTTGCATAACGTTTGCCAAGGTTACTTTCATTTCTTTGCATAGGGCTTGCAATGCTGCGTACTGGTCGAACTTTATAGTGACGGTGGCAAGCTTTCTGGTCGTTGGTGCGTCGCTAATAAGCTTTGGCATGTGACAAGGATTTGCACCTCCAAGATAGCCTTTCCAGAAACTCATACCAGCATTGACTGGTTGGGTTTTGATGTATGCGACATAATCGCTGTACAGTGGCCCGGACCCGGTAGGTAGACTGTTGTTGTAGGCCGCCGCAAGATCCTTCAGCATAATATTTGCCGAAGAACCATCAATCACGGCGTGGTTCACTTCGACCTTGATATACACTTTGCCGCCCGAAGTCCTACAAATAGTGGCTTGGTGTGGTAGTCTGGGTTGTTTGGTGTAGTTGGCGTCCAGGATTGACATTTTGCCCAATTCTTCCAGAGCGACTTCTTCTTCACAATCCAGAGACAATATTCCACTGTCTACCTTCTTAACAACTATCTGGTTAAATATGTCTCCCTTGTAAACACTATCGGCAAAAACAGTACGAAGAGCGGGATGTCTGTCCACTACCTGCTGCCAGGATTGCGCTAATCTTAATGCATCGATTGATTCACCCATACTGGTCGGATGGACCTCGAACACAGCGTGAAAGTGATACAAGCTTGGGTTCTTGATTTGACTGATCAATAGACCTTCTTGCAATGGTGCACAAGGATAAATATCCTCAACGTCATTTGGAGTTATGCCAACTTGGGGCAAGGATTTCGTGACTATCTTATGCAGTCCTTCATACGAAAGAGGAAGCAACGGGAAAGTGCTTAACGTGAACGAAGTTTCATCCTTTCGACTTGCAAGCTTCTGGACGATTTCTTCAAAAGTCTCCTTACATTCCATAATCCATCGTCTGATCTCTTGCTGGCGGTGCATGTGACGATTGAAGAGGAAAGAGAACTGAATCTTGTCGTCAACAACCACGGCTGATATTTCAAACAAGGCAAGTCTGGTGGTTTTAGAACCAACGTCAGCTATGGATTTTGATGTTTCCTCATCGTCTGGATAACTCCATGGGCGTAAAAGTGAGTCATCGTGCTCCAACTGTTGCATTCTTCCTAGGTAATTGAAAATTATCTCCATCGATCGTAATGGATTTTGTTTGCGCGAGTTTTGCGCTTTGGACAGCATCTGGTGTGCGAAATATGGACGTCCATTGTCTGGAATACTGCGGCAGATATCTTTCATTCGACGTACAGTTTCAACTGGGTCGTCTTCTTCCATGTCCACATCAACATAGACAGGGGTAACTGTAGTGAACCATCCTACCGTCCTCGAGACGTCGATCCGCGCATCCCAGGGTTCTCGGCCATGGCCTTCGTTGCAAATAATTGGTGCTGAGCGGTCGTAGAACACTCTACTGAAAGAATGAGAGATAGCGGATAAGAAAAGTTCAATAGGTTGTGTCTGAAATAACTTGTTACTCTGATCTAGGGCCAACTTCGAAATCGCCTCGTTTGTGGTAAAAGTCTCAGATATAACGTCGCCGTAATAATTGGTGGCATGGTCCACACCCCAATAGCTGCAGTCAATGACCGGAAGTTTGAAATCTAGTGCGTATCCTTTTCCTTGAGATGCGGCAGGAGGGTTTGCGTTTTCGATTTGCATCTTGTTCCATGCTTGGAAGGAAATTGCCTTGTCGGATAGATTTGCTTCTTGGTTCAGCAGGTCTTCCACATCCTTGAGAATGATGCGCCAGGAAACCATATCAATGACGAGATGATGAGCCGCGAGAAAGATCATTTGCTTCCCGTCACCGAGGTTGAAGAGATCAACAGCGAACAATGGACCCTTTCGTATGTCCATGCAAGATTGTGTTTCAGCTACCATGACTGGAATTTGGCTCAAACTTGTAGATTCGTGTACGTGGTAGCGATACGAGTATGTAACATCTTCAGATATTTGCTGCTTCCATTGTTTAGAAACATCTTGACTAAATCGAGCCCTTAGCATAGAATGCTTGCCAACAATTTGTTGAATGGCTGACTGAACCTCAGCTGGTGCTACGGGACGGGTAATCTCTAGAGAAAAGCTCTGATTAAATCTCCCGTCGTTCTCAAACACACCGTGATCTTGAGATTGGAAGTAGAGTTTTTGAATCGGCGATAGGTCGAAGAGAGTGTTGTAGGTTTCGTCTGGATACTGAAACTCGCCTTCGAACCGGACAGTGGAGGCTAGCTGATGTATGGATTTTGATCGCAACACTTCAGATAATGTGAAGCTCATTTTCTCCTTCCGACACATGGCCATGACTTGCATAGCTGTGATCGAGTCTCCACCCAAGCTCAAGAAGGACTTGTTGTTTTTGACTCTCTTCAATGGAAGATTTAGAACCTTTGAGAATATAGCCTGAAGGATCTTGCATGTTTCCGTGGTTGGCAGTGACTCATTTTCTTCGTCGTCTCCTTCCATCATTCGCTCATACGTTTCGGTGTCGATTTCAGTGAGCCAACGATCAACGCTTCGTCTGTTCAGTTTTCCAGATGGAAGTAGCGGAATTGACTTGACGACTGGCCAGAACGTAGGTACCATGTAGGCTGGCAGAATATCTGATAAGCGATTTCTCACGGATTGGATTATTTTACGAGCCTCTTTCGCTCCTTGTCCATCTTCAACTAGTTCGCATGAGCCTTGTGAAATTGCCGATGATGCGAGCTCCGTGAGAGATACGACTGCGACCAGGCGTTTCCTGAAATGGCCAGTCTTAGGTAAGGCGACGAGTGCGTGTTGAATTTGAGAATCTTTGTCCAAAGCATGCTCGATCTCCCCAAGCTCAATTCTCTGACCGTGGAGTTTAACTTGGTCATCTTTTCTTCCTATGAATATCAACGAGCCGTCTTGTGCATATCGAACCAGATCGCCTGTTCTGTACATTCGGCCGGGTTCAGATCTGTGCTGGTGGATTGCTGCTCCCTGCCGTGTCTGGTCGAAATATCTGGCCCACGATGGCCGAGAGATGAAGGCTTCGTCCGTTTTTTCTTTGTTGTTTATGTAACATTTCGCAAGTAGAGGGCCATCCAGAAGTAGCTCACCAACACAGCCAACAGGAGTAAGCTGGTTCGAGTCATGGGGATCAGCAATCCAAGCATGCCCGCTAGAAAGTGCGTATCCGATGTTGGAAGGATCCTTCTGGTGGCTCACAGTTGAGTTTGCAATTGCGATTACTGAAGCTTCGGTTGGGCCATAGCCGTTGACGAGAGTGACTCTGCTGGCCCATTTTTGAATATTTTCAATTGACATTGGCTCACCGCCACACACAAGGACCTCTAGAGATGGGACTGTTGCGGGGTCTACTAAGTTTGCTACTGACGGTGTAAGAAACGCCCACGTAGCCTTTAGAGTATTGATTGCTTCACCAACGTTTCTGGTTCGCATGTCCTCCGAAGGAACACATATGCAGCCTCCACATACCAGTGTGGTTAAGGTTTCCAAGACACTGACATCAAAGGTGAATGATGCAAATTGCAACACTCGTGCATCTTCTTTCATGAGTAGAGCTTTCTGCATCGCTAACGAACTGCTTGAAATAGCGCGATGCTCAACAAGAGTCCCTTTTGGACGACCTGTACTGCCAGAAGTGAAGATCACATAAGCAGCGTCCATAGGTGTCGCTTTTGATGGGGCCTCGGAGGAACGATCTGAGCTAGGCAAGTTCTCAACCACAGTCTCGTCCAGTGGAATGACGACTTCAACCATCGCTTCAAATCGACTACTGTACACCGGAGTACATATTACAATCCTTGCATTCACGTCTTTAATCATCTCTTGATGTCGAGCAGATGGTGATGAAGGATCCAATGGGACAAAGGCACCTCCCGCCATCATGACTCCCAACATTGCAATAATCACATTCAATGATTTGTCCATGCAGATTGCCACAAAACTCCGCCGATCAACCCCACGGCTTGCTAGATATCCGGCCATCAAAGACGCACGATGCCGAAGTTCTTCGTAGGTACACTCGCCGTCCCACGCACATACAGCTGGTGCTGTTGGTTGAGCTTTGACCTTCTTTAAGAAGGTGTCGTGGATGCAGTCGTCGACTGTCTGAGCGGGTACAGAGTTCCATTTCTTCACTGCTTCTTTGTCCTCCGAAGAGAAGACTTCCACGGCATTCAACTTTGCATCCAATCCAAGTCGAGGGAGGTCACTGAGTTGCCCGAGAACCGCGTCCATCTGAAACAATATTTGCTGTACCTGCCAAGCTGAAAGGCAGTTCTGGTCATAATGAGCTGTGATTTCAACAGAGTCCGAATTTCCACCACACTCAAGGACAAGTGGATATGTGAAAAAGTTAGATGCCACTCCACTGCCTTGAAGATCCCACAAACTGCTCTCAATTGCTTCTTCGGCGGTCTGTACCACAAGAAGATTCTGAAAGTCACATGCAACTTCAGTGTCCGGATCAAGGCGTTTGATGCGCTGCAAACCTGCGTGTTGGAATGGGATGACATCGGTGGCATTCTTTTGGATACTATTTAGAAAGTTGTTGACGGAAACACCACGATCAACTTGAATTCGTGTGGGGACAGTTGTAAACGTCGGGCCGATGATTTCGGTGATGTTTTGAACCGGAATGTCCCTACCAGCCAGTGTTTCTCCAAAAACAACATCATTTGAACCAGAATAAGCAGCAACGATCATGGACCAGGCCGCTCGAATTATAGTAGGCACGGTAATACCCATGCTTGTGGTATTTCTTGATATGGGCGCTTTGTGCGTAAGTGTTTCGTGGCCCAGTTTACTGTCGATGGTAGTTCGCTGTGGTTGGGGAAATTGAAGTGGGGCAGCGTTCAATAATCTCTCTCGCCAGAAGTCATCAGATATTTTCTCATCAACACTCGACGTGTACTGGATGAAGCTCGCATATGAGCTTTTACTAAATGAGGCTGTATTATCCGTGTATGTCGCTTCTACCCTTTTCAGCACCATGGGCAGACTCCATCCGTCGTAGAGGGCGTGGTGTATCTCCCAAACGAAGAATCGATCGGCCGATGTCTTCGAGGAAACGATTGTATATCTCGTCAAAGAGCCTCCGTTATACTCGGGTAGTTTTGGCCGGGTAGTGTCAAGGGTTTCCAAGGCCAATGCGGAAAGCCACTCAATAGGTCTTTCCTGCAGAACTACCTGAAGGAAATCCGTTGACTCCATGTGGACTATTCGAGTTCTCAAGATGTCAATATCTTGAACTGCTAGCTGCCAGGCCTTCTTGAATTGCTTTAAATTCAGGTGCTCAGGGAGTTTGAAGACATTTTTCATGACATACGCGCCAGGTTGCTTCAGAGAGAGTGTGATGAGTCCCTCTTGCAAAAGACTGCAGGGGTATGCATCTGATATGGTTTCTGGTCTAACACGACATTGCTCAGACAGTTCACTTATGACGTGTTCAACGGACTGTTCGTCTTTCAATAGACTGAACGGAACCAGTATTGAAGATGTTTCTTCTTTCAATTTGCCACAAATGGTTGCCATATCACATAATCGTGGATTGCGGAAAATGTCGATAACTGCTATGGCAATGCCTTCGCAGCGTGCCGCTTCAACCAGTCGCATTGCTGTAATGGAATCGCCTCCGAGTCGAAAAAAGTTATCTTCGATTCCAACCGAGGTTGGGGTTCCAGTGTTGAGTACCGCCGCCCACAGTGATTGCAAATTCATCTCCATTGGCGTTCTGGGGGAAGATACCGCATTGTTCTCGCTTTCTTGGAGTCGATACGGGCCTGTGGCTTCCCTGGGCATGTTTTGGACAATATTACGCAACTTTGCCCGATCCATCTTCCCAGAACTCATCCATGGCATTTTTGATACCGGAATGTAAAAAGATGGAATCATGTAGGTTGGCAACACCCTTCCCAGTGATCTGTCCAGACCTTTCGCCACACCCATCAGAGATTTTGACATCTTTAGGAGAATCTCATCTACTCCCGATATTCGACTGTCCTCGTGGATATTGTTATGGTTGCGGTCTGGGAGGTAGAAGAAAACCGCGAGAGCCTTCGTGGCTGTACGGCTCATCGGAGCGACCAATTCAACCACGGATTGGCACTCCTCTGGGAGAAGATTCTTGACGTGATGTTCAATCTCGCCCAACTCAATGCGCTGACCATTCAGCTTGATTTGTGTGTCTTTTCGCGAGACGAAGGATAAACTTCCATCAGGGTTGTATCGAACAAGATCTCCAGTCCGGTAAACTCTCTCCCGAGGAAACAATCCGGTCAACCAGGGCGGATTAAAAATGAAACTCTCTGAGGTTTTCTTTTCATTGTTCAGGTAGCCACGAGCAACAATGCGTCCTTCAATAGCGAGCTCCCCGATACTACCTGGTGGCATCAGGTTTTGGTAGTTCCGAGGATCGACAATCCACGCTCGGCCACCAACAGCTCGTCCAATATTAGAAGGGTCGGAGTTTATCTCTTTGCCAGACTCATCAACTTTCGTACTCGTACTTCCTATGACAGAAGTCTCACTGGGGCCATAAGCATTGATCAAGCAACATCTGCCCTTCCACTTTGCAATGTGCCCAGATGACATAGCTTCACCTCCAGTCACTAAGACTTTTAAGCTCGGTACGCTTTTTGGCGACAGAGTGCTTGCTACCGAGGGAGTCAGAAGAGTCCATGTTACGCCCATTTTTCGGATGGCGCCGGGGATGTCATTCATGCGGTCTTCTTCGCTAGGTATACAAACGCATCCACCAACAACGAGGGTAGTCAAAATTTCCATGACACTTGCGTCGAAAGTATGACTGGCAAATTGAAACACCCTGGAGTTTGAGCGCATACACATTGCCTTGCTATGTTCGATTGCGCTTGTGGTAAATGCTGCATGCTCGATGATGGTGGCTTTGGGTCTTCCGGTTGTTCCAGATGTGAATATGATATATGCGGCATTATCGGGAGAAACTTGGGGCATTATCGCCGATTCCGTTTTGGCAGCCAATTTATTGACAGACGAAGCATCAATAACGAGAACGGTCTTTGCGATGTTGGCGACTTTGTCTAATTGAAGTGCAGAACAAAGCACAACCTCAGCGCTAACATCATCAATGAATTGTTGTAATCTGCCTGGTGGGTGAGAATGATCAAGCGGCACAAACGCTCCTCCAGCCTTTAGCACGGCAAGCATCGAAACGATGTTCCATGCAGACTTCTCGAAGCATAGTGCCACATAGATCTCTGGACCGACTCCTAGCTCTACTAGACGCAGTGAGAGTCGCTCTGAGAGTATATCCAGTTCTTTGTAGGTGAAATTTGCATCCCAGGCACAAATGGCCGCTGCGGACCCAAGGTTCGTCGAATGATTGCTAATCATCTGGTGTATACAATTATCCACTGTCTTTGGGAGTGTGCTATTCCAAGCCATGATCTGCTTCTGGCCCCGCGGACTAAGGAAATCGAAGTCTGCAATAGTTTCGCTAAGCTTGGTCCCAGAAACAATTGTACTCAAAACATGCTCGAACGTGTCAGCAACATTCCTGGCCTGGTCAGCAGAAAGGCTAGTAGTCCAGTAGCCAAAATGTATCTCCACTCCAGCTTCCGATGCCTCGACGTTGACTGTGACCTCGTATTCGCTTGGATCGTAGGCCTTTACGACGTCAAAAGAGATAGACTTGTCTGTTGGTGGCACCACACCACCTCGATTCTGGAATGTGAAAGCGGTATTAAAAAGCGCTGAACTTGAAAGCTGCAGTTCATGCTGGATATCGCCGAGAGAGCAGCTCTGGTGGCTCATCCCATTGGCAAAGTCGGTTTGGACCTTTCGAAGGGCATTTTCAAGAGGGATCGAGTTGTCAAGGTTGATTCGGCAAGTCAGCATATTTATAAATGCGCCTACTGCCGAATCCTGTATTCCTTGAATTGGCGCATCTCTACCAGACGTCAGGTAGCCAAAACAAACATCATCAGATCCTGTGTATGCTCGAAGAATCATAGCCCAGGTCAATTGAAGAACATTTGACAGCGTGACACCATTCGTGCTGCAAAATTTTCGGAGCTGGGAAGCTTGCGTAATTTCCAAGACAAGAGACCTAAGCTCTTTCGCTTGTGTTCCTCCGTCTGCGGGGCAGTTGATGTGGCAGGGCTCGACGCCGTCTAGGTAGGCTTTCCAGTAGTTGATATCTTCGTCCATGACTGCAGTCCGGATATGGTGAATATATTCGCTATACAATGGTCCAATACCAGGTGCGTCGAGCTTGACTAATGCCAGTTCATGTTCTAGAGAAACAGCCTTGCTCTTTGAGATACCCAAATCGTATGCTACTGCTAGATCTTTGAGCAAGATCGGTACAGACGTGCCATCACAGATAGCATGACTGATTTCCAGTTTACAGAAAACTTGATTGTGTGCTGTTTTGCATATGGTGAAGCGATGAGGGGGTTGATAGTCCTTGAAGTTAAGAGGTGTCTGCTTCTCTAGGGCGCTCGCATCTTCGCCCTCGATCCATGCAACTCTAGCAATACTGTCTTTGATTACGACTTGGTCATTATGAGATTTCGCGCTGAGTCCGTTGATAAAAATCGTCCTCAGAGTGGAATGTCGCTTGACAACCGCTTGCCAAGCTTCTCCAATATGCCGTGGGCTGACATCTCCCTCTTTCGTGGTAGCCTCAAAAACCATTGAGTAAGCATAAAGACTGGGGTCTTTTAGTTGAGCGAGGAGCATGCCTTGCTGCGTCGGAGAGCACGGATAAACGTCTTCAATGTCTTCAAGGGATTGAAGGCCGAGCTGAGGCAATTTTTCGACTAGTGACTCGATTCCGTTATAAGATAGTTCCAAGAGTGGAAACTCTCGAAGAGTTCGCTCGGTTTTCCGTTGTAGCAACATTCTCGCAGCATCTTCAAGTGCGCGTTTGCATTCGAGAACCCAACGTCGAATCTTGGCTTGGCGACCCATGTTCTTGTTATACGAAAAGGAGAAGTTAACTTTTCCTTGAGTGACAGCAGCGGAAATTTCGAACAGCGCAAACCTGGGAACTGTTGACCCTATATCAAATGAAGCGCTTGAGACATCTTCGTTTGACTGAAATAGAGCGTCTGTCGCGTGTGGTTGATTCAGCTTTCCAAGGTAGTTGAACGTTGCTTCGATCGGCCAGTGTCCACAAAACCGTTCTTGGCCCTCGTCCGTGAGCAGTCTATGGGCAAAATAAGGTCTACCTTTGTCCGGTACACGACTTCTAAGATCTTTGACCCATCTTATTGTGTTGAGCAAGTTGGTTGGGCCATTGTATGAAGAGGGCAAAGCTATCGGAGTGAGTGTTGTAAACCAACCGATTGTCCTTGATAGATCAATGGTCGAATCCCAAGGTTCACGACCGTGGCCTTCGTTGTAGATTGGAAGAGGAGACCTATCCGGGAAGACTTTACAGAACGCTTGCAAAACGGAAGCAAGAAAGATGTCCACCGGTTCAGTTCCCATCGACTCATTGCAAGCACCAAGCAAAAGTAAAGAAGTTTCTGCATCGATAGCAAACCCATTCTCCACCGTGTCGCCATACACGTTCTCCTTGTCTTGCATTGACCAGTAGCTTGAATCCCCGATAGGGACATCTTCTGGGTGGAACGTGTTTTTCGTTAAGGATTGCGCATGACTTCGCTGAAGCCTGGACCAAGTCTGAAATGGGAGAGAGCTTGCTAGCTGGATCTCTGGACGAGTGACAGTGGTTTCGAGATCTTTCAGAATCACTGTCCAGGATACCACGTCGACGATAAGATGATGTGCCACGATTGACAAAAGTTGACGTCCTTCGTCTTCGATCTCAACCAGACTGACAGCAAAAAGTGGGCCGTTACAAATATCTAGACTTTCCTGGCTCTTGCGAATCAAAGCATCCACACTTTCACGGTCAACCGTCTGATGCTGGATATGACACGAACCGGAAATTTCGGGAGATATCCGCTGCTGCCATATTCCAAGATCATTCTTCGCAAACCGTGCTCGTAACATAGAATGAGCTTGAGTAACCTTCTCGATCGCTGAACTCAACATTTCAAATGAGATTTTGCGAGCTAGATTCACTACAACACTCTGGTTGAAGTGAGAATAATTATCGCCAACACATTCGAAAAACAACTTCTGTATAGGTGACAGCTCGAAGAATTCATCGAGTGGCTCTGCTTCGTGGGACACCACCTGCGGTAAAGTGACCCGCGAGCCGAGCTCTGTGATTGACTTACTCTGCAAGATATCTTGCATAGTGACACCCAGGCCTTCTGCCCGACAGCTTGACATGACTTGCATAGCAGAAATAGAGTCGCCGCCCAGTCGAATGAAGGATTGGTTTAGTCCAATCTTAGATGGTGATAAGCTAAGTGCAGTTCCCCAGATGTTGCGCAGTTTCTGCTCGACGACTGTGCTCTCGCCATCGGAGTATTGCCCCTCAGCTTCTGAGATTTGCTCATAGACTTCTGGGGTCAAGTTCTCTAACCAGTTCTCGATTTGTTTTCGATCCAATTTACCGGATGTCATAAGCGGTATATTGCCAATGACAATCCAGTTTGAAGGTATCATGTAATTTGGAAGCAGGCTGCACAAACGATCGCGTATCGCAGACAAGTAAAACGAGCTTGCTTCTGGGACAACGATTTCGATGCCAGTTTTCGATGGGTTTAAAGCTGCCAATTCCTGCAGAGACAAAACGGCAACTAATCTGTTCTTGCAAAAGCCGGATTTCGGAATTATTGCCAGAGCGTGCTGAACTGAAGAGTCCATTTTGAGGTGATGCTCTACTTCATCAAGCTCGAGTCTTTGGCCATGTAGTTTTGCCTGGTTGTCTCTACGACCACAAAAGATAATCGTGCCGTCAGGGGCGTATTTGACAAGATCTCCAGTTCTATACATTCTCCTCGAACTTTTCTGGCTTTTCCATTGGTCAGATGCCCAAGTGGGGTTCTCGATAAAGACTTCAGCAGTCTTCGCGCTATTCTTGAGGTATCCTTGCGCGAGTATTGGCCCTTCGATTGTTAACTCTCCAACAGATCCAACAGGCACTAATCGATTCGGATTGGATGGGTCTGTAAGCCAAGATCGGCCGCCAACAGCACGCCCCATATTGTTAGGATCTGAAGAAATTCCAATGGCGTTGTTGACGGTAGCCACTACAGCACATTCACTAGGCCCATACGCATTGATGAGTTCGAGTTTGTCAGCCCATGTAGTTACATGACCCTGTGACATCGCTTCGCCGCCCAGGACCAACGTGGAGAGTGTGGGGACTGCTGAAGGCTGGAAAAGCTGGACAAATGAGGGTGTCAACAATGTCCAGCTCACTCGCATGTCGTTAATAAATTTGGTGATGTTGTTTAGTCGTATGTCGTCGCTCGGAACGCAAACACAACCGCCCATAATTAATGTAGTAAATATCTCCATCACACTAGCGTCAAAAGTATAGCTTGCGAATTGCAAGACCCTCGACGTCGGTTTCATGTGCATGGCGTGTCCATGGGCAATAGCTCCAGTACAGAAAGCGCTATGCTGGACGATTGTTCCTCTGCAAATCCATTAGGTAAGTTCTACAAGGTTTGAAGGGTCACATACTTTGGTCTCCCAGTCGTGCCGGAAGTAAAGATGACATAGGCAGGAGTGTTACTGTCTGCCTCATTTGTACTTTCTCTTGTTTCCGGTAAAGAGCTGACCATATTCTGGTCTATCGGAATCACCTCAGTTACCAAGCTTGAGCACAACTCTTGGTATCGAGGCGAGCAAAGAATGATTGTAGCATCCAGGTCAGACATAACACTAGTTAACCGAGCAGATGGTGCTAGTGGATCCACAGGTACAAAAGCAGAACCAGATTTGAGAACTGCAAGCATGGCGACAATCATCCAACTCGATTTTTCGAAGCACAGGGGTATGTACTTCCCAGCTACGCCCTTCCTCATAAGATGTTGTGCGAGTGTGGTCGAAACATTGTCCAACTCGGTGTAGGTGAAAGAGGTATCCCAGGACTCAACTGCCATTGTTGCTTGTGGTAAATTCTTCGTTTGTTCCTCAATCATGTGGTGGACGCATCGATCGAGAGTGCTTACTTCTTCATGGTTCCAGCGACCGAGTAGTGCTTCATCCTCTGGATTGAGCATCTTCAGACTACTTAATGTCTCATCCATCTTCTCTGAGGAGCTAAGACATTGGATAAAATGTTCAAATTGAGCAAGAAAACGCTGAACCATCCAGCTAGATATCACTTCATTGTCGAAGTGAGCTTCGATATCTACCTTTCCGTCGCCTAGTTGGCATGAGACAGTGAGAGGGTAGGAGTAAAAATTGGTTCCACTTGTGCCACTACTCCGCAACCTCCAAAACTTGCCCTGTGACTCTGTTTCGTCGTCATGATGGATTGCGAGTAGATTTTGAAATGCACACGCCATCCTGGTATCATCGCTAAGATGTTTAATATGCTGAAGGCCGGCATACTGAAATGGTATAGCTTCGGAAGACTGTGTTTGCACATCGTTCAGAAAATTCATCAGAGTCAAGTGAGAGTTCATTTGAACTCGTGTCGGAACAGTCGCAAGTGTTGGGCCTATCATATCTGTAATCCCGTCTACTGGCGCATCCCTTCCAGTGAGGGTTTCACCGAATACCACATCAGTCGAATTGCCAGAATAGACTGAGACAGTGAGCGCCCATGCGGCTCTGATTGTCGATCCTAAGGTAATATGGCTTCCGGGACGTTTTGAGATTGCTGTTGAACGGACTTCCCTGCTTGTAGCATGAACTTGGTATGCCGGACTCGGTAAAGGTGGAAACGAAGTGGCAGATGTCCCGGATAACTTCGATGTCCAGAATTCGTTCGATTTAGTTGGGTCAATATCAACGAGATATTTGATGAAGTTTGGATAATGAGCTTGACTAGCCGAGCTATTGCTTCGTGCGACCTCGTGATATGCGGCTTCAACTCTATCAAGCAAAATCGGAATACACCAACCATCATAGAGAGCATGATGGGCAGTCCAGACAAAATATGAAGTATCTCCGCCTCGAACCACTGTGTATGTGGAAAGGACGCCACCGTTATGTGATGGAAGATGGCGATTCAGGTTGACGATATTTTCGAGATCATCTTCTTCGTTAAAACTGACAGGTTCATCAACGACAACTTGAAGGAATCCAGAAGATTCTGTGTGAACGATCCTCGTTCGCAATATAACTTCGGATTCGACGATCTCCGTCCATGCCCTTCGTAATCTGTCCAGGTCGATGCCTGCTGGTAACTCATACACGCTTTGCGCAACATAAGCCCCAGGATCTTTGGTGGACAGTGCAATGAGGCCCTCCTGAATTGCCGTGCAGGGATATATATCAGTTACGGAGCTGGTGTCAACTTGACAGTAAGCAGCAACCTCTTTGAGTAGTCCACTTGCATCGACATCAACCGAGATCAGGTCGAATGGGTTTAACGCCTTTGCCGATCGTTGAGCAGCGTCTGTGCCAGAAATGAGACGTGCGTCAATAGCGAGATCTGATAAAGTGGGCTTTTGAAACACATCGGCGACAGTCAATGATATACCCTTCAGTCTCGCGGCGGTAATCAATTTCATGGCACCGATCGAGTCGCCGCCAATTTTGAAAAAGTTGTCATCTGGGCCAACAGTCTTCGATTGAAGTCCGAGAGTTGTTTGCCATAGTTCTGCAAGTATCTTTTCCATTTCTGTCGATGGAGCCCTCCCAGAAGTGTGGGCGAGTCGGTACATGGCAGCTTCTTCTTCGGAAAGTGACTGCCACATAGTTCGAAGTTTGCGGCGATCAAGTTTACCGGAAGAGGTCATTGGCAGTGTGGCCACAGGAACATAGATATTTGGCACCATATATGCTGCCACCTCTTTTGAAAGTGCTGTCTGTACACTCGCTGCTTGTTGCTTGACCGACACTGAGATAGGTGATAGGGAATTTTCTGCAGCGACATTGGACAGAAGTGGATTATCCGGCAAGCAGAAAAATACCGCCAAAGCCTTAGTAGTACCGATTGCCGTTTGAGTGGTAACCATTTCCACGACCGATTGGGCGTCTGGTGGTAGAACAGACTTGACGTGATGCTCAATCTCTCCAAGCTCGATTCTCTGCCCGTTCAATTTGACCTGGGTATCCTTTCGACCAAGGTAAGTGATGGTGCCATCCGAATTATATCTTGCCAAGTCCCCAGTTTTATACATGCGTTGCGTCCCCTTCTTTGCCCAAGCTGGGTTCTCGAAAAATGATTTGCATGTCTTTTCCGGATCATTAAGGTAGCCTCGGGCGAGAATGGGCCCTTCAATAGCCAGTTCGCCCACGCAGCCAAGTGGCATCAGAACATCCTGATTCTCCGGGTTAAGTATCCACGAGTTGCTACCGATGGACTTACCTATGTTAGTAATTTCGCAAGAATTTCCCAAATTTCCGTTCCACGTCGAATTTATCGAGCACTCCGAGGGGCCATAACAACAATGCAGGGACAGCTCCTTGCCCCATACATCGATGTTGTCTTTGGTGAGTGGCTCGCCGCCAAGAGACAGATCTTTGACAGTTGGAATGTCGGAAGGGCGGAGGAAACTGGCGACGGTCGGCGTTATATCTAAAAAGTTAACATTCAAACGGTTTATCACTCCAGCTAAATCATTAAGTCGGTCGTGTTCTGATGGTACACAGACACATCCTCCTCGCATAAGCGTGATGAAAATTTCTGCGAGACTGTTGTCAAACGTGTATGAGGCGAATTGAAGCACTCTCGAACCGGGTCCCCATTTATACACGCTACCAGTGGCTTGCCCGCTCGTGACAATTGCTCGATGTTCCAACACTACACCTTTCGGTACTCCGGTGCTTCCCGAGGTGTAGATGATGAAGCACGGATTCTTTGGCTCTACCGTCGTGTGGCGGACAATATCGTGGCTCGTGATTTCATTCATGAACTTCTCGTTCACGCAAACAATTTCGACACCCATATCTTTGAACAGACCAGCTCGTTCTTCAGAGGTCAACACAACTCGAGCCCCAGTGTCACGGATTCGAAGTTCCAGTGCACTTCTGGGATGCTTAGCATCGAGCGGAACCGCAGCGCCACCAGCTTTAAGAACAGCTAGCATAGCAACAATTGTCCATCCAGATTTATCAAAACAAGTGGGCACGTATGTTTCTGGTCCGACATCCATTCGCATAAGAAGCTGCGCCAACCTGGAGCTAAGTTCGTCGAGTTGGGAATAGGTGAGTTCGGCATCCCATGCGCATACGGCCGGGGCATCTAAGTGCGCAACAACTTGTTTCTCAATAACATTATGGACACATTCATCGATGCTTTTCGGGCAACTGCTGTTCCATTGCGAGAGTTTTTCCCAATGGGATTGGTGCAGGCTGTTAAGGTGCCTAACCTTGCCATTTGAATCGGATATGATATTTTCTAGGGCTTGCAAAAACGTCGCAGCAATGTTAGCAGCCTGTCCTTCGGATATATAATCCGTCCAGTAATCCAAATCAATCGCAGCGTTCTTTTCAGATGCTTCAATGTTGACGGAAACATCATACTCGGTTGGATCATAGGTTGGCAGTCGTTCTTCGAATCTGACTTTTGGGGGTTCGCGACTCGGTTGGATTGGTAGTCGTCGATAAGATAGGGCCGTATTGAAAAGTGGGGTTCCACCAAGGCGCAATGAGTGTTGAACCTCTGCTAATGAAGTCGACTGGTGACATAAACTGTCCAGATAGTCTTGTTGAACCTTATGGAGAATTTCAGCTAACGTACGTGTTGGGTCCATATTGACTCGGCAGACTAATAAGTTGACGAATGGGCCCACAGCGTCCTCGATTCCACGAATTGGCGCGTCCCTTCCAGAAATGAGGTAACCAAAGCAGACATCGGCAGATGCAGTGTAATTACTCAAAGTTGCAGCCCAAGCGGTATGGAATGCATTCGAAAGTGTCACGTTGTTTGCACTGCAGTAGCGTTGCAATTGGCCGAATTGAAAATCGTTGAAATGCAGTCTCAAGGATCGAAGTTCTCTGTCTGCAGGCCGACCATCGTTGAGAATCGGAAAAGTGCACGGCTCGATGTCTGCAAGATATGCTGTCCAGTACTCCACGCTTCTCTGGGTTGACTGATTTTGAAGAAACGATATGTAGTCGCTATAAAGAGGGCCAACTCCACGTAAGTTACCTTCATAGGCAGCGGCAAGATCTCGAATAATAATCGACATCGAGGATCCATCCATGATAGCGTGACTCAATTCCAATTTACAAAACACCTTGCCATCAGATGTTTTGCACGCAGTAAACTGGTGAGGAGGTTGACTTCCGTCTCCATAATTGGCCGCGTTTTTCTTGTCCAAAATTTGAAGTGCGTACTTCTCACTACTGCAATCCATCCGAGTGACATTTGGAACGACTTTCTTAAGCACAACCTGATCGTAGAGACCATCGTCTTGGCTGACACTCTCGATGAAGACCGTCCGAAGGCAAGGATGTCGACCAACGACTTGATTCCAAGCCAACAACAGCTTTTCGGAATCACAGGAAATGCCTTCTCCAGCTACCAGCTCCAAGACCACATGAACAGCGTAGTATGCAGAGCATTTTGCCTGACTAATCAAAAGCCCTTCCTGCATGGACGAGCAGGGATATGCATCTTGGATCTCAGCGGCGTCGTTAATCCCGATTCTTGCAAATCGCTCCTCTACCATAGTCTGAAGAGAGCTGTTTGTGAGAGTGAGAAGAGGAAAGTCGCCCAGGGTAAGACGAGACTCGGTGTAGACAAGCTTCTCTGCGAGTGTTTCTAGAGACGCTTTGCATTTGGATATCCAAGAGCGTAATTTTTCTTGGTGTTCCATGAAACGATTTAAGGTAAACGAGAATCGTAGTTTGCCTTGGACCATCACGGCGGATATCTCTACAAGGCCAAATCGTGGAGTGTCTTTGCCGACGTCACTTGTAGCTTCAGCACCCCGGGTTTCTCCTGCCATAGCATCAACTGGCTTTAGAAGGGCACCTTGCCGCTCAAGTTGTTGGTACTGTCCCAGATAATTGAAGGTAATTTCGAGCGGCCAGTGATGGCCAAAACGCTTTTGGCCTTCTTCTGTCAGCATTCGGCTAGAGAAGTATGGGCGCCCATTATCTGGAATTTTCCGACGAAGGTCCTTGACATGCATGACAGTGTCGATAAGGTCGGAAGAGTCTTCTCGTGAAACATAGACTGGATACATAGTCGTGAACCAGCCCACAGTTCGAGATAGATCTACAGCCGGACACATGCTCGATGACTCGCGTCCGTGTCCTTCGTTGTATATTGCAGGTGATGGACGGTCTTGAAAGATTTGAGTGAAAGAGCTGATTAGGGCAGATATAAGAAGATCGATTGGCTCCGTACGAAGCGCGTCGTGGCAGCCCGTCATAATGGTCGAGCTTACTGTCTCATCGAGCTCAAAGCTCGCAAATTCAGTGTTGCCATATGTATTAGATAACAAGTCCAGTCCCCAGTAGGAGTGATCGGGGACTGGGAAATCATACACGGGTAACACCGTGTCAATTGCACTAGTATGCGAGTCCTCGATCTGCAGCTGACACCACCGCTGAAATGAAAATGGTAAATCAGCAGCGATTGAATCAGGGTTAATCAACAATTCTTCCAGATCCTCCAGAATCACACGCCAGGAAACAAGATCAATCACTAGGTGGTGGCCAACCAAAAAGAGAAGTTGACCTTCACCAGCAACGTCAAAAAGGTCGGCGGCAAACACAGGACCTGTAATCGCGTCTAGAGCGCGTTGACTGTCAGCTATAGCAGGGGACGCCTGTTTTGAATCTTCAATGTTGAATGTTCTGAATCGATAGGAATTGGTGAGATCATTGGTAATGCGTTGTTCCCAGCTGGCCCTATCATCTTTGGCACTGAACCGTGAGCGCAACATTGAGTGTCGTTGGACAATGACCTCAATTGCTTTTCTCAACTCCTTTTTATGAATTGGTCGGCAAACTCGTAAGAAGAAACTTTGATTGAAATGGCCATGGCCTTGGTTTGGAAGTTGGAAATATAACTTTTGAATCGGGGAAAGATTAAAGTTTGTTTCAACTTTCTCCGCATACGCCGTTTGACGAACAAGAGTGGTGGTACATTGTGCCAACTCAACGATTGGCTTGCGAAGTATATCTTGCACAGCAAGGCCAATACCGCTTTTGGCGCACCTGCTCTTGACTAGCATCGCCGAGATGGAGTCTCCTCCCAGACTCAAGAAAGACCTTTCGGAGTCTATCTGGTCCAAATTGAGGTTAAGTACGTGGCTCCAAACTTCTCGCAATTGGTTCTCTGTTTCTGATCGCGGGGTCACATTGTCACCGACATGTGGTTTCTTCGTTGTTGCATCATCTACAATGGTGCGGTATACATCGTCGGAAATGTCCTCAACCCACATCGAAACCTGTTTGCGATCCAATTTTCCCGAAGGTAAAAGAGGAATCTTGCTTACAATAAGGAACATAGTTGGGACCATGTAAGGAGGTAGTCGAGTGGATAGGCGCCCATGCAACTCCTCTCTGACGTGAGATACATCATCCACAAGCTTCATATCGTCCATCGTATCACACTCGGTGAGGTTGAGGTTCAGAGAAAGCACTGAGATAAGTCGATCTCGAAAGGGCCCATGTTTGGGTAGCAACACCAGCCCATGCTCGACCTCAGGATCGGTAGATAGATGATGTTCAATCTCACCAAGTTCCACTCGTTGGCCGTGAACTTTAACTTGAGTATCTTTTCTCCCAACAAACTCGACGCTACCATCTGAACACATGCGAACCAAGTCTCCAGATTTGTAAACTTTCCATTTTGGCGCATTGATCAGGCTGTGAGAAGTCCAGGGAGGCTGTGAAATGAAGGAGGAGGACGTCTTGGCGGAATCTTTGAAGTATGCTCGAGCTAGAGTTGGTCCTTGGATCAACAACTCTCCTACACAACCGACTGGGACCAGCTTTTCGTGGTTTTCGGGGTCAGCCACCCACAAGTGGACGCCAGTTGCTCGTCCGATGTTCGTTGGCGGTGTTTTACGCGTAACCTTCGAATTGACGACCGAAGCTACTGAGCACTCACTCGGCCCATATCCGTTCACCAGCTTCATGTGCGACCATTTGCTAACATGCGTTTTTGACATGGCCTCGCCAGCTAGAACAAGGGTTTCCAATCCTGGCACGTCCTCAGGTTCAATAAAGCCGATGAAAGATGGGGTAAGAACCGCCCAATTCACTCGCATCTGACGAATACACGAAGTGATGTCGTTCAGTCTCTGATATTCTGTAGGAATACAGACAACACCGCCAAGCATGAGAGTCGTGAGTATCTCTACAAGACTCGCATCGAATACATGAGCGGCAAATTGAAGTACACGTGACTGGGCACTCATCAACATCGCTGGGCCATGGGCTTTCGCACCAGAGCAGTACGCGCCATGCTCAATCATCGTCCCTTTAGGTTCACCTGTGGTTCCGGAAGTCCAAATAAGGTAGGCAAGATCCTTGCTGTGTACGGATGGAAGCTCATAACTGGTCGAACTTGGTAGATCATTGAACATTTCTGCGCCAACGGCAACAACCAGGTCAGCTATCTTACCGAGCGTTGTGATATGCTCAGGGCTACAGAGAACCAAGCGGGCATCGACGCGTGAGACGAGGCTGCGTATTCGAGAAACTGGAGCAGCTGGATCCAAGGGGACGAATGCAGCACCAGTTTTCATAACTCCAAGCATAGAAACCACATTCCACAGAGACTTATCAAAGCAAAGCGGTACAAAAACGCCAGACTTAACACCTTGAGATATGAGGTAGGATGCAAGGTAATCCGATGACCGGTTGAGCTCTCTGTACGACATGGTTCTGTCACCACAACAGATGGCCTCTGTATCCGGATATTGCAAGGAGTGTTCGCGAATAATGTCATGTATACACCTCGCATCTTCAACAAGAGCATCGCTATTCCAATCGAGCAACTGCTTAGTGTTGCGCTCGCTGAGGTAATCAATCTCAGCAATCCGAACTTGCGGGTTTCTGATAACTTGCTCGAGCACGGTCTCAAACGTGCTTGCTACATTCGACGCTTGGTCAAATGACATTTGCGGACCCCACCAGTGAAGCGACATTGCAGGCTTCGAGCCTAACATACACGCATCCAGATGAACTGAGAACTGCTTCGCTTGTCAGGATTGCTATGATAGATGGAATATACGTTAGACTGACCTTATCTGGACCAACTTCAGAGTTCCCTGCCATGACGCTCGTACCGGCTTTTCCATCGACATTTTCAGATTTGTTTCTAAGGCTTAGAAGGGTGTTGAATTCTACTTTCGCTGCAGAAGACCGATATTGATGACTGGATCGTATTTCCTCGGTCATGTGAGCAATAGATGTTTCTTTATTTAGGACGATCTTAGTCAATGCCGAAGCGGAGACCAGTTCGAAATTCGTCGTTTCTTGATAGCCAAAGCTAATTTCATCTTGGCCCGTGTAACACCCAAGAACCAGTGCCCAAGCAACTTTCAATGCAATAGGAAAAGCCGTCGGGTCTTTCAATAACAACTTCTCAAGACATGTAGAATTCTTCAAGTCAACGTCAACGGTAGCCGGCTGTTCCTCGTAGCATGCCGTCTTGAATTGGGGAAAGTTGCAAGAAGTGCCCGAAACTGAAAAGTCAGTCTGAGGATTGGTAGTCTTCATGGTGACGTTGGTATTTGTGGTGGGCATTGTGTTTTTGTAATTTGTTTGTTGTAGTAAGTTTGGTGTGCTATTAGATCTGATAGAAGCAAAGAACGATATCTGAACCTTGCTTTCACAGTTCTGAATCGTTACAGTAAACAAGTAAGAGATATTTTGACAGCTTTTTTGCTGTGTGAGAAGTGGTGTGTCTGTTGAACAATACGTATCTGACTTTGGATAGTCTTCAATGATTAGGGGGTAGTATGGTAGCTATTACTAGAAGTACAGCAAGACTTTGGGGAATATTTTTCAAGATATCAGTCTACAAATCAGAGTGTGGCGTCAAGATCAGCTAGAGGAAAACCTTACGAGCTTGTATGGCTCTTTCGACACACTCTTCACCTAGGAATGCCGAAAGTATGCTTCCAGATGGAGCTAACAGACAAGCATCAAGGACATCGAACACTTGTCGATCGTAAACCAGCAGTTTGTTCAACACTCCCAGGCAGACCTTAGCAGGGGCGATAATGCAACGAAACAAGCTCAGGGGAGAATAGCAACTACATCACCTTGGGATACCAAACTTGCCCGACAGCACTCCCGCCATATCTGCGCCTACCTGATACTATTGCCTCCACATGGATCGTGGATCCGAGAATAGGACTGAGCCGAAAGCAGCGAGGCGAGCTTTGCACGCTGTGCTCAAAACGAATAGCTGAGAGTACTCCGGTTTCCATTGACGTCAGAAGTCAGCTCGAGAGCCGCTGCCACTGATGCTACGAGCCGCCACGGGTCGTGAGCCGCCGCCCTGGCGTCCGCATCGAATATTGCCTTTTGGGAAGGGAAGGGGAGATGGTATGGCGCCCAGTTCCAGTCATCTTGGTGGCTGGCGGCTGAATTGGCCTGCGTGCGTGAAGTGGTGGAGAAGGACCGCCAAATTTCAAGTCTGGATGTTGGATGCTCGATGTAGGTTGAGGGGGAGGGGGTGCAGGAGAATTATATTAACGATCGACAAATCAAGTTCTCCGTCAAACGCCTGCATAACCACTGCATAAATGTGCACAGCCAATTGCGGTCGTTGGGATGCACCGCACGCACTAAGCCCAAAGAAGCTTGGCGCAGGTCCTCGTTTGGCTTGCTTCACAACCACGGCCACGACCACCTCAACCACATCACATCAACAGCTCCAACATTGTCGCCTTCTCCCCAGAACACCCCCCGGGGGACGCGTCCAAACTTTGCACATTAGTCTCGGCGGCCCGTTCATCCTCTTTCGTATCCTGATTCAAGGCTGCTGACTGACAATTGAGATGTCGATCCGTCTTCTGAGTCTTCTCGATGGGAAGGCAACATGCAGCTATTTTCTCTTTGCAACAAGTATCCCTCGGGATCCTAGCTCAATGGCAGCTTTGTGGAATGAATTACGAGCTCTAGGTTGAATGACGTGCTATGGTTGAACGTTACTTGACAGATCTCGCTCAGCATCGGCAGTGTTGGCAATAGTTGAAACGGAATGCAACTAACGCTAAGCCCGTTAACGGGCGTCCGTTTTAGTGGCCTACTAATCCCCCCCCCCCCTGAATAGAGGTTATTCAGTGGGATTGTACAGGCGTAGCCATTGACTGGTCAGTTGGCCTCGATATGTGGATTTTAGGACAAATTTTTATCTTTGCCACATAAACCACCCTCGAACCGACAAGTTCTACTCGTCCAAAAAAATCCACATTACCCACCGTATTACCTCTATTCAGGGGGGGGGATAGTAAGTATGGGAGCATCTATCACTGGCGACATGCATGTTCTAGGCTCCTAACTGAGCTTAGGAATTAGGCGAGTGATGCTCTTCTGATGTTGTTTTCTACTGCTAAAAGTCGCTATAGCCAGTATGTCTTGCAAAAATTATAGGCTGCTGAGTTAGTCCACAACCTTATGGCCGGCTTAGGAGACCTTGCAAAACATGGTATTGCCCCTAGGTCCTACAATGTCCCTTTCGTCCCAAGGATTCACTACTTCCCATTTAGTATGAACACGTACTTAGATATCTTTCGAAACCCCCTCGACCTCTAATGTAACTCTATGCATTCTGTCGTCTCAACTGTGGGACTAGTAGTTAGTCCCAACCTGTTATGCATTTTCTGGCTTTTTGGACGCCGATCATAGTTTTGTCACTGCTGATCGACGGATCACTCCCTGTGAAGAGATCTTAGGTGGGTCATGTTGCTTGTAAAAGGCAAATTTTGTTTAGCTAATGGACTTCAGGATCAAAGGAGATAATCGACAGCTCCGATACGTGGCCGTTGCTCCACAGAGGATTGAGTCGATCAAACTTCAAATTCTGTTCATTACAAACACGAGAGCTTGAACCCAGGCACAACTAAAATCTCAATTGCGCTTCAATCCACGTACACTCCAGACTTCTACACATATATTGCTTTACAACAATCACCTCACTGTTGCACTGCTCCTCCCTCCATGAACAGGTCCGCTCTGTCATTCCATTGTGGATAGTTGCAACACACCACCCAAACAGCTCGACAATGGCTTCTTCAACTTCATTATCCTGTTCCCAGGTGGATTCCACATTTGGCCCACATGCTGGTAGATGTAGAGGAGGATTTGACTTTACGTTATTCTTCGAAGAAACGATCCTGGCAATCTTACCGCTTATTGTAATAATGGTTGTCGCGCCATTTCGTCTCTTCTATCTTTTCAAGAAAGATACTAAGGTTGTATGGAGTATCCTGCTGCCTGCAAAGTTGGTTTGTGCTCCTTTTTGTCCCACGAGTATTTCACTCTACTAAAAAATCCGAAGACCCTCTACACCGCCTACGAAATCATGACCCTCTGTCTCGTGGTCAATTGGTCGAACCCTGCGGTCCATAAAACCAGCGCTTCGATTCCTTGCGCCGTAATAACTCTCATCGCATACCTGATAATACCACTGCTATCATATGCCGAACATATAAAAACTATCCGGCCCTCTCTAATCCTCAATGGATATCTATTAATCTCGCTTTTGTGCGATATCACACATTCCAGAACTCTCTGGCTGCGGAGTAAAGACAAAATTGCTAGCAACTTTAGTGCATGTGTGGCCTTGAAATTTGTCATTTTCATCCTGGAAGCGGTAGAAAAGAGGCACATCCTAAAAGCACGATACCAAACCCATTCTCCTGAAGCCACGAGTGGAATTTACAATCGGAGTTTCTTCTGGTGGCTCAATCCACTTTTCCTCAAGGGCACCAAGCATATTTTCTCCTTGGACGACCTCTTCTCGCTCGACAAACATCTCTTATCCGACTACACCCATACGTTGTTAGATACGCCCTGGCTAAAGGCACGCTCTGCATCTGCGGCAGTGGATTCAGAGTCAAGCACACAAGAAGTCTCGCCGCCATTGAAATCCAATAAGCTCTTTTGGACAACACTGGGGGCTACTAAATGGCCACTTTTGTCTGCTATCCTTCCTCGGCTATGCCTCACGGGTTTCAACTTCTGCCAACCGTTTCTGTTAAACCTAACCATCAACTTCTCGCAGGCGCCAATAACTCCCGAATCAACCAACAAGGGTTATGGTCTAATTGGTGCCTACTTTTTAGTTTACACTGGCGTGGCAGTATGTTGATTAGCAACTGGATATCACTTTACCCGCAGTGCTGATTTGTATGCTAGGTAGCCACGGGCCAATTTCAACACCTAACTTACCGCGTCATTACCATCGTTCGCGGTGGTCTCATCTCCATGCTCTATCGTAAGGCTGGGGATCTTGGAATTAATGATGCAGACCCTGCATCTTCAATGATCTTGATGAGTGCGGATATTGAGCGCATTACCCAAGGTATGTTTATGCAAACGGCTACGCTATGATGAGGCTACTGATACAATCAATTGTAGGCTGGCAGACAATACACGATATCTGGGCAAACGTGCTCGAAGTTGCCATTGCGATATACCTTTTGGAGAGACAGATGGGTGCAGCTTGTGCAGTTCCCATCGCTGTTGCAATAGGTATGTTCCGTGCTTTTTGAATGTACCGCCGCTGATCTGGGTTTTGTTCTAGTTTCAATGGCGGGTTCTCTTGCCGCGACTAACCTCGTGATGTCGCGTCAAGCTATGTGGCTTGGTGCTATCGAGAAGCGTATTGCTGCTACGACAACCATGCTCAGCTCGATGAAAGGAGTGAAGATGTGTGGTCTTACCGACACCATGTCAAATAATGTACACAAGCTGCGAATGGAGGAACTCAAAATATCCAGAAAATTCAGGAAGCTCTTAATATGGAACATGGGCTTTAGTGCGTATTAATCCACCCCCACACGAGACGTTACTTACCTTATCTCTTAGCTTATATAACCCCTGTTGCCGCCCCTATCCTTACTTTTGCCGTGTTCTCCGTTATCTCACGCAATAGCGCAAATGGGCAGACCCTCGATACCGCTCGCGTCTTCACCTCACTATCACTATTTTCTTTGCTTTCCGAACCATTGCAGTCGCTCATCATGACAATGGCAACCTTCATGGGCTCCGTCGGATCTTTCCAGCGTATTCAACAATTTCTTATTCTAGATGCCAGGATTGACGCCAGAAGGATTGGTGATGTACAACCGATCTCTCGCCAGCAAACAAATAACCGACCGGCAAGTGACGCTCCAACTGAATGTGCCGAAGATAGTGACAACGAGAAATCTCTTGTCGGTGTATCACAAGACTACCCTCGACTGTTAGACATTCACGCATTTGCCATTTACGATGGCTCCTTCGGATGGGATGCATGTAAAGAACCTCTGCTTTCAGACCTCAACATCCTACTACCTCGAGATAACTTCACAGTTCTCGTAGGCCCAGTTGGATGCGGCAAGTCTACTTTACTGAAGGCTCTTCTGGGTGAAGTTCCTTCCTTGACTGGCCATGTCCAATGTTGTTCTTCCGAGATTGCGTTTTGCGATCAGACACCTTGGCATATGTATGGAACCGTTCAAGAAAGCATTTTAGGAACTTCCAGCCTTGATGAGGCTTGGTACTCGACGGTGATCCAAGCATGTGCACTGGACGAGGATCTTCGACAACTGCCTCGTGGGGATAGGACTTCTATAGGCAGTAAGGGTATATCACTTTCTGGTGGACAGAGTCAACGTATTGTCAGTTTTCTCTCCATTGATCTTCATGCACACAATACTTGAAACTAACAACGCACAGGCGCTTGCGAGGGCCGTGTACGCGCGAAAGGAGATTATAATTCTTGATGATACTTTAAGCGGGCTTGATTCTGATACGGAGAATCGCGTTTTCCACAGTCTCCTTGGCCGTGCAGGCATACTGCGTAAACAGCGAACCACTGTTCTGCTTGCCTCATCCTCCAGTGAGTGTCCCTGTACAATGTTTCCCGTGGTACTTTTATTAAAACCTCTCAGTCAAACGAGTCCCTTACGCGGATTACACTGTTGTTATCAACAATGAAGGCAAAGTATCCGAACAAGGCAGCTTTAAAGATCTCGCAAGAGAAGGCGGCTATATTTCTTCGTTCAATCTTCCGCCACCAGAATGGAGTTACGGAACGCAGCCGCCAAAGATATACGACTCTCCTAAAAAGCCTTTCGGGTCGGTTGATGAAAACTTGGTCAACGCTCCGCTTCCACCACAATCCCTTGAAGGCTCCGAGGATAGGCGTACGGGAGATTTCGCAACTTACGTGTATTACGTCAAAGCTGTTGGGGTTATCCCAACTCTCCTTTTTGTCATCGCGATCTCCGCTTTTGTCTTTTGTCTCTCATTTCCAAGTATGTATTTTAACTCTTCTACCCGCTTCACTATCTGTTCTGACTTCATTAGCTATCTGGGTCAAGTGGTGGGCCGCATCCAATGCCGAGGCACCAAATCAAAGACTTGGATATTATCTTGGTATATATGGCCTTCTTGGTGCTGGGGCGTTGTTTTCGCTTGTCATCAGCTGCTGGTTCGTCTTCCTCGGACGCTCTCTTCTCAGGGCAGGCTAATGTCGCATTACAGGCAATTAATAATTACCATGGTACCACGATCTGGCGAAAGGTTTCACTCAGATTTGTTGCGAACAGTCTTAAGGTTTGTTTCATTCAAGCGCGCTGTTCCAGAATGGCACTCTAACTTTCCGCAGTGCGCCAATGTCGTTCTTCTCATCGACAGATACTGGTGTGACCGTTAACAGATTCAGTCAAGACTTGATGCTAATTGATATGGAACTTCCTATCACCGCACTTAATACTTTTGCTAGTAGGTTTTCCTCTAGTATCTCAAATTTCACCAAGCTGACCTCGTAGCTTTCATTCTTTGTATTGCCCAGATGATTCTTATAGGAGTCGCCTCTGTATATGCGGCCGCTGCATTTCCAGTCGTACTAATATCCCTTTACTTTATTCAAAAGTTCTACCTTCGAACCTCCCGTCAACTTCGCTTGCTAGATCTCGAAGCGAAATCGCCACTATACACTCAGTTCATGGAGAGTCTCAGCGGACTAGCTACGATCCGAGCATTCGGGTGGCGAAATGCTCTGGAAAAGCACAACTCTGAGATGCTCGACCAATCACAGAAGCCTTTCTATCTGCTGTTCGCTGTCCAGCGTTGGTTAACCCTGGTGTTGGATCTCGTGGTAGCAGCTGTAGCAGTCGTACTTATGGTTATGGTCGTAGAGCTTCGGGGAACTATCAGTCCTGGTTTTGTAGGAGTCGCAATGCTCAACGTCATCTTATTTAGCCAGAGTATTAAGATGTTATTGACATTCTGGACGAACCTCGAAACCCATATCGGTTCCATCGCACGAGTCAAGACATTCACAGAAAAAACTATCGCGGAGGACCTCCCCGAAGAGCACAATACGCCGCCACCTCGATGGCCCTCACGGGGTGGAATTGAATTTCACAACATGTCTGCCGAATACAAGTAAGAACGTCCATCCACTCATTGCCTCGATGGGACTTGCTAATCAAAGCACCAACGTAGGCCATCTGAACCCGTACTGCGAGGTATTTCGCTCTCTATCCAGCCAGGTCAAAAGATAGGCGTGTGTGGTCGCACAGGGAGGTTAGTAGTAATATCTGAACGGTAATACGAGTAGCTAATCTGACAATTTTAAAGTGGCAAGTCCTCATTGGTACTCAGTATATTTCGCATGATTGAAATGAGTGCCGGCCGTATCACGATCGACGATATTGACATATCGACCATTCCTCGGCAAGAACTTCGGTCTCGTCTGGTCGGCGTGCCTCAAGATTCTTACCTCCTGTCTGGAAGTGTGCGACTTAATACAGATCCATTGGGGCTTGCGTCGGACACGGAAATTATCAATGCATTGAAGTGTGTCCAAATATGGAATAAGGTCAAAGAAAACGGAGGGCTGGGAGCAGATATTGAATCAATCTTCTTGTCTCACGGCCAGAAGCAGTTGTTCTGCCTTGCGAGAGCAATTATTCGACCAAGCAGAGTTCTCATTCTCGACGAGTCCACCAGCAGGTAAGCCTTCTTTCAGTGCTCGCTACGTCTCAACCATGAAATCTTAACCTAACCTGTATTCTTAGTGTCGATTCCAAAACCGACGAACTTATGCAGCGTATCATTCGAGAGAAATTTGCACAGCACACCATAATTGCTATTGCGCATAAACTTGATACTATCCTCGATTTTGATAGAATTGCCCTCTTAGATGAAGGCCGTTTGGTGGAGTTTGCACCACCGTACGATTTGCTGGACGATCCCAATTCAGCATTCAGCAAGCTATACTCCCATTCGCGCCCTGATAGTGCGGATGACGAGTCAGCTCATACACTATGATCAGAAAACGTTTCAACACATGTTTTGTTTTAGCGATTGTTACTTTGCGTGGTGCAAGACTTCGAACTTCAATTATCTATACATAGATGTTTAAAAGCCACTAGTCATTGCTCTATTTTACGTCGTGTAATTTGATTGTGCTATGCGTTTATTTTCTTTCTTGCTTTACAGTACAAGTCTCCCCGTATAATCTTGTATAGCTTGAGCTCTGTGCTCATCGACTATTTCCTATGCCTTCCGTTATCCGCAAAATTTTGTTTGCACCTTTTCGTCCTCTTCTTTCCCTTTGGCCTTGTCCTCTTTTTTTTTGTCTGTAGATCTTGCGGGGTAGTGGGGTACCCCGGATTTCCCCCCCTTGAATGATGTATGGATGTGGTTGGCTATGAAGGCTAGTCAGGAACATGTCGTGTCAGCCGTTGACAGGCACGTGGGGTAAAAGCGCAGTCATCGGCCAACACTGCTTGAAGCACGCCTTCTCGGGGCACGTCATCCGTTAGCAAGTCCATGTTTGGCACCTATGACAATCGGTAACTACCATGTTGTTTCAACACGGCCTGTTGCCTAGCATTTTCCCTGTTTTGATTTCTTGGGCCGATTTTGTTAGCGTCAAACATTCCAGAGAATTTGCAATTAAGGCGGAATTGCATGCATATGCAGCATGCACGGCGCCACGCTGATCTGAGGCGAGGGTCCGACTTAATTCGCCGATTGCTTGGAACATGTCCAACTGTTGCTCGTAAACTCTTTGGTGGGCCTCCCGCTGTCAAATCCACGTTCTTTTCGGATACCTGGTCTGCAATAGAGAGCTTTTGCAGATTTTGGGATTACCGTTTAACTTCCTATTATGGTTTAGCGCTATAGTTTCATGTAATTCATGCTTTCTCTCTTTCGGAGCTCCGATAGAACTTTATAATCCCAAAATCGCGTTTGGGAATTTGGGATTGAATCTAATCGTCCTAATTAGGAAGTTATTCGGGTCGAAACAGTCTCTTACGCGCTAAATTACGAACCGAGTCCCAAAAGCTGCAAAACCTCTTATTTTGAAAATAATAACAATTATATGACTCGTAATCATGCAATCATAATCCCATAAGTTGCAAAACCTCTCTAATAGAACCATGGAGAAGTGCAAATGATCCTAGTACACTCCAAAGCCGGAACCGCCAGCACTTTTTGAGCCAAATCACCTGCGCTTTCGGAATGAAGTACTTCCGTCTTGTACCAGTTCGCATGATACATGGCTAGGTAATCTGCACCGAACGAATTGGGAATGATACAATCCTTCTGATGATTATCATCTCAACCGGGTTCTACAAGGATCAGCGTACGCCAATTCTGCAGCGCAAATCGTCTGTTTCTATCTGGCAAGCCCATGACATTAGCGCAACGAGGGGCTTTGCATACACGACACAACTCAACACGTGCTTTGCAGAATTTGAGTCGTTCGATAATGCTGAGCATACACGTATTACCTCGTGCACCACATCCAACTGCAGCCCCACAGAACAGCTAGCAACTCCCAGCCGCATGGTTTAGCGGAAGGTTCTACCGAACTATCCGAGCTGCGAGAGGAAGCAACCCTCCGGCAGCCACCACAGCCATTGAGGTCATGAAGCAGATAAATGTCTTCCTTTTCCACCAGATCGCAGTCCTTACTATTGGGATAGCGTCTCTGGAATTGCAACACTATTGAATGACAAGTGTGGGAAAATGCCGTGATCTGCAGCCAACCAATCAGAGAAGTTTTAACTTCCAGTGGTAACAGCTCAGCCCTCTCGGGTCAAGCCATCGATTCACAGATCTTTTCAGACAGATCACAAAAACGCCCTTGAGTAGCAACAGCAAGCAAACTAAGCCGTACACTATGCAACTAATACCACTCCCGTTACCCTTTTCTATGTGATTTGAGTAGGATAGCTTGAAAGCTTCCTTCGATGGAGTTAACTTAAATCTTACATCCGGCGAGTCCCGGTCCTCATCCTGCTCTCCTCGTTCCTACTTGAGCTATTTTCCACCTGCATATGCAACACCAGGTGTTCATCAATGCCTGTTCTATCACGGAAGTACATAATTGGGAAGTTGCCCTAGTGTCTGAAGATCTTCATTGCAGCTACCCAAAACAACTTCTTTTTTATTTTAGGTACATGCTAACTTTTCAGTACAATTATCAAATTTTGTAGCCAGGTGACATACCAATTTCTTCCCTGTTGCTCTAGAGAAGATCTAGATTATCCTGACACCACTACCGGCCCATTGCAGAGTGCAGTGCGTCAGTTTCTTACGAAAGCCAGCCACCATCAAGATCGCACGCACCCAATCCTTCTACTCAGCGACCAAAGTGCTCAGACTTTTCTGCGCTTTCAACACCAGTGGTGTCAATCATGTACTTTTCTGTCACCTCTCATCTCTTCGATGTCGGACGCAATGACGATCGATGAAAAAGTGCAAACGTTGAATCACCGGGGTGGCACATACGAACGCTTCGCATACCAAACACTAACAACGTATTGGACGATATTGATCCCATTCTCACTCAGCTTCACGGAGGAATGGAGGCACATCTGCTAACACCCAATATTACATTAATCCTGCAGCTGAATGGTTTTCAGACGGAGACGTTCCTACTGGGCGGATTACTGGTGCTGTTTTATCCGCCGACCGAGTTGGTGGGGATTTCGAAGTCAATAGAAATGGTAGGAATAAAATACTGAAATAAAATATTCAAATCCAAATCACGAAAATGGAGAAGGGAGTTGAACGTGTCACCTTTGAGCTCCAAATCACACCGGCACATCCCAATTTGTCACTAACTGGCATTCAACCTTCTGACATTCTTGAAGTAGGCGAGAATCCTTCTGCTCAAAACCAACATGCAGCTTCCCAACTGAAAGACTTGTTATGCAGTTTTATACGTCATTGTCGAAGGAATATAAATTGGTCTTTGGGAAATGGTAGATCGTAGATGACAGGAAGAAACGCCTTGAGCGCTCCGACATAGGAGGCTGGAGATGAAGAAGAACGGACTTAATGTAAACACTTGAAGGTAGAATAATCCACGAAGATAGATTTGATCCTGTGCTTTGACTTTTAGAAGCATGTTAAAATTCTTCTCAGCTTCATGTACTTTGCAGTCTCAAAGGACATTTTTTTCCAATCGACTTTCACGAATAGGATCTGGTCATAGACACAGTTGGTCCGTCATGTGATACTCGCTTAACTCATACCCGTGACATCGTTCGGTTGGTACCCCTTAACACGACATCACGACAAACAACGTCACCGGGGTTATCTATTTACGTTTAAAATCGGCTATTATGTTTATCTCCATACTTTGCTTTGGCATTATAAGTGGTGTATTTAATACAGGAATCTGGAAATTAGTCTGTTCATCGCTTGTTCCCGAAAAGACTTTTTGGAGATGTCACTCTCGACTTAATCCGAAGATGGAGAAGAGATGAAGGTATTGACACTAATAATCAGAGACTATTTAACGGAAAGCATGATAAGTCTGGTCGCAAGACTGAAGAGCTTCTTTCATATATTTTCACTAAGTTTGAACTGCTTAATTCAAAGGTTATCTGAAACTTCCTTTTTAGCAGGCCTTTTGACGAATAAAATTAGAGAAATGCTCGATTTCTCTCGCTCAAACATGTGGATCGTCTCAAATATAACTTCCTCACCCTCATGATTCTCTTGATTCACCAGAAGGAGGTATCCCCAGAAATTCGTCTTAGATTCTAAAATGCCCAACTTGATATTTGACAACACCAAAAGTATTTAAGGGATGCTCAGGTATCGAAATTGCGTGCAATTAATTCCTGCAAGGTAGGCTGGGCTTAACAAGTGCCAGCAATGCACAGTATTCTGATTTCTATAAACTGTACCTGAACACCGCATGGTTTACGGCAATTCAAATTTGCAAAACTCCTACGGTATTCATTTAGGTCCTATGGATGACGCTTGTGAATGACATTTCTTTTCTTGCCTTGTTGAGACACAGTAGTTACCAACGCACAAAAGACAATTTCAAAGCGTCAAAGTGGCAAGTTAAGTCCCATGGCTGAGCAAAAACACTCCGGCTTACGAGAATCTTCCAGTACAATTTATCGGCGATTTGTTCGCGCTGATGACGCGGCCTATAGTTGCGAATGCTTATTTACACAACACGTCGTTACTCCCCGACTTGCGGCTCTGTTCTTTGACGTTGAGACATGATTGTGGCTGTCCTGCTTATCATTATCCTAAAGTCAGTCGCGCATAATCTTAGGGGCTCGATCATCGGTCGCACAATATGGGGTGCAGAATCCCAATTACCGTCAACTTGGTGTCTCGGCCCGACGGTAATGTGTGAAGATATTAACTGTAATACAGAATTAGCGGGCAACCATGCTTTTGAGTGGCGTGGTACTTCGCGGCCTGTGAATCATGCAGATATCCCGACAGCTCGTGGTAAGGCTACATGAAGCAGGAACAGACCCACGATCATATGTAGATCAGGGACTTTCGAGTAACTACCAATACCAGAAGATGCACCTCTGGACTTATTAGGTCGACCAGGGGTTGTTGTGTTCCTGATCCGGAGATCCTTTTGGTCAAAAGAGAAAGCTACAGCAAGGTGACACATTACGACAAAAAAAGAAAATAAACTTACATTTGTCGGGATCATGTCGTGACGAGGTGGTCTGTTCAACCGTGAACGTCGATCTTCGCCTGACAAACATTTTTCTATAACACAGATCGCGATCCAATTTGCGGGTAGAATTTGAAACTGTAAATTGTGATGGTCAGCGAGACTTGCAAGCGGAGATTATTACTAACGCTGAAGGGGAATATGCTTAACATCCGATTCTTAGTAGCTCCCAAAATTATTTATACAGAAGCTCTCTTGGATGATTTTCTCAAACCTATGAATAGGTCAGGAAAGGCCATCATAGCCATGTCTCGACATTGATGGGCATTTAAGGGGGCGGCTCGCTTATTAGGTTGCACGAGTTTCCATGCTAAGAACAGTGCATCACGACGGCGTGGACTTTTTAACACTGCTTCAATGTGCAGTCTACTAACAGTCTACTATGCTAGTCGATTGATACTTTTTTCCCTTGGCGGAAGCTTGCAAGTTTTCGGTGACAGCTCAATGTTACTCAGAGTTCAATCTACCTACATTGCCGCTATTTCGCGTTGTCATGAACCTTATCTTCTGATCACTACGAGTATCTCTAGTTTCAAATAATTGCCATTAGACTAACATGTCATAAGATACTTTAAGAGTAAACTGGTCTGACATCAAAGAATCATGACAGGTAAAGGGCTCCTGAAGGTAGAGGATAATTAGGTAATCTCTTTCATCGATGACTTTTGCCAACGAAAAATTTAAGTAATAAGAATAAATTTATTGGCAACTCGCATTTCATGGTATCAAGTAACTCAGCTCACACCTATACTCAGAACGTTGAGATCTGATGGGCTACTTTGCGGGATTCTTTCCCCAAAAGAATAGCTTGATTCAATAAGGTCAACCTATTTTAGGGCCTAACAAATTCTTTTTCATCAGAACGAGAATTACTATATCAATTTAGAACGTCTAAAAAGATAACCGTAAGAATTTAGAAATTTGTACAAGTAGTGGAAAGTAATTCAATGGTGGAATGTAATTCAATTAAATTAATTCGGCAGGCTTTAGTGCACGGGTAACATATCCTACACCAGCCAGTTATCATCTGTTACTACTCAATTAGATAGTATAAGACTACTCTAACTCGTGATTGCACATTGATTACTGACCCTTTAAATCACAGAATCAGTATCATCTTTTGATTCTAACGCGAAAACGACTATTGTTCACAGGTATGCATAACATACCGTAAAAGGCGGTACCTATGACGACTTCCTTGCTGTTGATAATACAGTGACTAAGGATATCTCAAGAAGAAGTAGTATATCTTTGACTAGGGGGCACTTCTTTTTCCGAAGTTGAGCTGACAGGATTAGGTGCGACCACATGTCAACGTAGTCAGCAATTTTGGTTGATGGTCTTTTTGAGTGCAAAAGGTTTCCCACGTAATTGTAAATGTTACACATAATTCCTTGTTGAAAGTGTACTTCGACTTCACGATGTTTCCAGTTGTCAGATGCTGCCTATCTCATCGCAAGTAATAAATCTCATATGTAAAATTAAAGGACCGAACCAAATGTATTTATTTATCATATTTAGTTGACGCCTTTAAGCGCCGGGTATATGCACATAGTATTGACAGAAGTAAAGCGGGTAAAGACAAAGTTTGCAAAAGCAAAGTTGCTTGTCGCCACTGTCTTTGCAGTGAGCGAAACAGCATCAGCAAATTGTTGTCTTGTCTTCCCAGCAACTCTTCCCAAACGACAAAGTTGGTCTTATCAGACCTAACGACGACTCGCCTGTAGCTCAAACAGAGTCGGGACTACGCGGCTTTCTCCACTCAACTGTTGCGGTCCTGGTGGAATTGGCGGCACGATCGGCTGGTGGTATGGCGGGGAATTTGTTTGTAAATATGTTGGAGGAAATGCTAGTCGACTCAGTTGATTCAGTTTCTGAGATTCCTGATAGCTAATTATAGGTAGAGGGCCGGAGATATGTGGCTTTTGCTTGGTCTTTTTTCCAAAGACAAACCATCCAACGCTGAGACCAAAGAGGATGGCAGCCGGTATCCCGATCCCGAGTCCAGCTTTTGTCCCGTTGCTTAACCCTGTAGCAACTAGTGTTGGTGCGGCGGTTGTCGCAGCTGAAGATGTAACTGCAGCTACTGGTGCTGTGGTGCTGGTCGCCAGGGTTGTTGTGCCGGCAATTGAAGGAGGACTTGTGGACGTACCCGTAGTGGTACTGACTGTTGTAGAGCTGGTGTCTGAAGAAGAAATAGCAGCTGCTATTTCTGTGGTACTTGTGGTACTTGTGGTCTTACTGGTGGTGCTGGAGGATGGGTTTGAGCTTTTTGATGCGGTTATTTTGCTACTAGCTATGGTAGAGCTCGTGGTTGAAGATGTACTTGCTGTTTCTGACTTTGTGTCTTCCGGTTTGCGGGTAATGTTGAAGAACTGACTGGCTGAACTGCCAGAAGTTGCTTTGTCTAGATATATGGCGAAAAAGAAAGTGTTTGAAACTGTGAGATCTTTCGTAGTTGTGACGTCCCAAATGAAAGTGGTGACGTTAGAAATTAAATTCTCTATAAAAGATAAGTCAGTCTACCAACTTCCGCAGCACAAAGGTATAAATCTTAAGCATACGTGTGACATATTCAAATGGTTCTAATGCTTTTGTCCCATCGGCAGATTCTTGAAATAGTGTCATAGACGTTGGGAGTCCCTCTGGCCCTGCTGTCCATTGAAGTGTCACTGACGTCCCTTCGACAAAGACAGTATTGAAAACATAATCAGAGAGTTGTCTACCATCGGCAGCAGGAGGATTGATGAATGTGATGACGCAGATACTCGTGTCGATGAGGATTGTGAAAATTGACAAGAGGAGCAAGACTCGCATTGTGGAACAGCTGGAGTCAATGCTTGAAAATCCGCATATACCAACAAAACAAAAGAAAACCAACACGAATTAATGAAAAGAACAAGACAAGAAGGTACAATCCCTCAAAACCCGAAATGTGACAGCAATTCGAGGCAAAAACGAAAAGGCAAAGACAAAGGGAAGGTCACGGATGTACCTCTCACCATGGGGGTCTACCAATTTCAAAACCAACATCTGCGCCAAGATTTTATATTCATCCATTGGATAACAATAAGAAAGCGCCAGCTCAAACATGAAGTTGTATTGAAAAAGGCTAACCCGCGGCCGCGTTCATGGTATCGCCATGGCTCGGTTAAGCCCCCTGAATTTTCAGTATTCCCTATTGGTCACCCTAGCGCCGTTTGCTCAAGATCCATGGATAAATCTACGTGAATCCTTAAGCGAGCACAGATAGAGGGGCCATTTGCTGTGCCGCTGGCCTGTTACGGACGGAGTAAGCTTATTATTAATAAATCCAACTCTACACCGTGTTGGTTTTTCGCATAAGGCTGTCAGAATGTTCGTCGCGTCCTGTTCAATCTTGGGGCTACATCCTTCACATCGCGAAGTATATCTCAGACGATGCCCGACCCCTGACCGCCATTCTTCGTCGTCGAGTCTGGAAAGGTGGTATGAACCATGCTAATCTCGAGCCGACCGCCCAGACTTCTGTTTGCCATCACGTTTATCGCGTTGAGCGTCTTTCTCCTGCTGAACGCTCATATATGGCGCGATAGCAATTGGGTCTTGACGCCTGCCGCAATATTCACTACCCCAGCGACAAATACTTCGATCATCCCAGAGAAAATATGGTACAAGCTCGGGCCAAAAGGGTTGAACAATGAGTCTCATGAGTGGATTGAGGGTTGCCGGCAACAGAATCCTAGCTACCAAGTCGAATTCCTGACGGATGTCTCTGGGGACGTATATGTGCAAGAGCACTTCTCTGAATACCCCGACATTGTTAGCACCTACCTTGCGCTTAGCGTGCCTATACTCAAAGCCGACTTTTTACGCTACCTCATTTTATTCGCGGATGGAGGGATATGGAGCGATCTCGACGTCTCATGCGAAGGAATTCCCATCCGCGAGTGGATACCCGAACAGTACAGAAAAGACGCTAGTATCGTAGTAGGGTGGGAGTTTGACGTCGGGTGGTGGGATAATTTTGAACGACAATTCGCGACTTGGACGATTATGGCAAAACCAGGCTCGCCTCATATGTGGAAGGTTATCCGCGACATTGTGGAGGGACTACATAAAAAGGCAGAGGAAAACATGGTCGCGCTTAAAGGTCTCACCATGGAAATGGCTGGTGAAGTCGTGGATCTTACTGGGCCCAGGAGAATGACACGCAGTGTGTTTAAGAGCTTGAATCTTGATTACAGTAACATCACTGGACTGCAGGGTCCTATGTTGATCAAAGATCTTGTGCTCATGCCTGGCTATTCGTTTGCTAATTCAACAAACACTTATCCGGAGGATCAGATCATAGGTCCATTACTGGTGACGCATCATTACGCTGGGACTTGGAAGAACAAGGACGGTGGAGAGCAGGCCTGATGGGACGCTGATCGAAGCGTTAGAAGCTACCACAGCTGTTGATATCACGACTAAGAAGCATGGCGTTTTTACACTGGTGATGCATTATGATGCCTCCTCATTGGATAAAAACGGCGGCGCTTGAATGTTTAATGTGCAATTTGCTTTTATACCGTGTTCCTTAGTTGTTCGGACTTGACAGAAGACAGATAATTATAATACAGAACCCAACACGCTTTTTGCGTCGCACTTTAAATTGAAACTGTCGAGTCGCCAATATTGTGTAGATTCTTCGACTGAAGTCGCCTCGAGTCTCCATCGCATGTTCATTGCTGAGGAAAGGAAGGTTAAGGGAGTATGAGAGGCGCGGTTGTAAGATTAGTACTAAGGTATTATCGAAGAGTAAAAACCTCTCGCTTGACCTCGGACTTACGTGACTGGTCATTAAAGTCTTTAGAATAAGGTACAGCGATCAATTGAGAACCGCCGTCGCATGGCCTAAGCACAAGAGGTTGTCTGCAGCCGAAAATTGTGCAAAGTTGATCGCCCTCTTTGACCTCGCGCTCTACACGGCCGACATAACCCGTCTCGGTTCCAAACCACCACTTGTCATTACTGACTTGCGTCATCAGCATTAAAGTTTCCCACAGTGCCCTTCTCAGCCTGGGGCTGTCTGGAAGCTCAGGTGTCGGGTAGAGGAAGCCCATCTTTACGATAGTATCAGTATACCACGGGTAAGCCATCCGGACAAAGGCCTCAATGACCCAATACTCATAAGGTCTATCATCGCCATCCACTTGTTCAATCCCGGCGTGGGCACAAACGGCGTCGACAATATTGAAGAGTATGCCACCTCCAAAAACTATCTCCCAGACCTCCCCAGCAGCTAGTCGCTCTTTTGCTGTTTGCACGCCATGCTGACGTTCCCAAATTTTGAACGAAATTGCGCTCTGATAAAGGACCTCCTTTATGAGCTGCGTGACTACCCAGAGATTTCTGGCTTTTACCTCTATCGAAGGGTGAGGTTGGCCATCGCCTACGAACGTGATCTGGCTTTGATCCCAGGCTGAGGGGGGAATGAGCGGCCTTGACATGATGACTTGTCCAAGAACGCCTCCCAACACCTTCAATGTGCCTACAGATATGTTGTGGGAGAGCACGCTCATATAATTTCGAGTTCCCTCACTTTCATCGCATCCGCCCAAATCATAACCTCCGACATTTCCATAAGTGCCCCAGTCCCATAATCGTTTGGAGAAGTCCACGCACCAGGATGGCAATCCAAGTTCCACATCGTCTTTTTCAACAGCATGGAGTAAGAAGGCAAGATTTTTGCTGCTCTGGATGAAGGCAATTGTGGCTTCTTGATAGACTTCGCTGGCCGACCTCGCGTAGTTTGGAGCTGGGAATCGCTCTTTATCCTCTTCGCGCAATAGATCCCTAATGGCGAACACTTGATCACGCTTATCGGTGGCTTGATATCCTCTCGTACGCTCCACTATATCAGCGAGCGTTCTACTCGTTTCGGAAGAGTTATCTTTGTCATTCCATTGCTTCCTGAGAGATACATGCCGTATAATCGCAAATGGATCCGCTACCCACGTCGAAGATGCGTCGTGTATGAAGGTCCCACTTTCATCCATCTTACGACGAGAATAATCTAGCAATGCACTCGAGAGCTGCGTCCATCCGAGCCATGTATGTCCACACCCAACTATCGCATCTGCATTGGCAAGCACATGTTCCTGTATTACCCATATACGATGCCACCACGGCCGCGACAGAATCCTCTGAAGTCCAAGCGCTATATCTTTGGGAAACTGCTCGTATTGTCGACCTTCTAAAGCACCTTCGATCTGGAGGGCCAACATAGTGTTTTCAATCTCAGCATCTGGGGGTCCAAGCCAAATGAGAACGCACGACGCTTGAGAGTAGATTCGGCCCATCTGCCTGACTTGCTCATTACGCTCATTTATATCATTTTGGTTGATGCATATTGCATCTATCCAAAGGGTTCGAGAAGCGTCCGTCTGGCGGATGTACTTCAATGCTGTCCAGAGATTTCGAGTGATTGACGTTAATTTACCGTCAAGTAGTATCTCATTCCGCTCAGCTGCCTCGCCCCAAACGTACGACAGCGCTTCGTACTGAGGCCTGGCAATTTCTGACAATGACAGTGGCGCGAGTGAGCAGGTTATGACAGAGTCATCTTGGGCACTCGGTTCAAGTATTAGCACTCTGATGTACTGAGCTTTCAAAACCGAGTACGCCATTGTTGTGTTCAGTTTCTGAGTATGGTTTCGGCTAGGCAGTCTAGAAAGCCAAAAGATTTAGACCAAGATGAGAGTAAGGAGTAGCGGGCTCTACGGTAACAAAAGAGTGTCCCGAATTTGACACTCGACCCACAAAACCCGAATTTGTATATAATAGCACGCGTACGATGTGGTTGCAGATGTGTGTGTATTGAATTGAAGCTGTGTTGCGAAGGTCGAAGACCTCGCATACTATATACTGCGTGTTATCACATGACACTGTACGTAAAAGCACTCTCTTCCTTATCTACGTTGAGAATCAATTTATTATTGCTTGAACACCTTAAACCCCTAGTCTTCTGTACATATTCTCACAGCTACTAAAAATTCTAAGACCTGTAATAATTAAAGGAGTAATTAGCGTAGTGACGTACAGCCATAATGATGGATACAATATCTACGCTCCTAACAAAATTTTTACTTAGATGTAAAGGATTAAGCACCTGTATTTATAATAATCACTTCGTCAAAATCGGCTGTTTCTTTACTATAAGATATAAGATCTTATTTGACTGATCTAGCAACTAACACATATCTATACCCGAAGACCTTCACAAGCTAGATAAAAAGAGCAAGATCCAATTATTCGATAGGTCTAGGAAGGTGAGCATTTCGAAGAATAATCGGTTACAACATAGCTTGAAGGAAGTTTGGACTTCTAAAATCGTTACGATGACTTGCACAGAGAGTTACACGACGATAAAGCTAGGGGAGGAATGGAAATACTAAGCACATAAATAGATATGGACCGCTGATTCGCAAGGTGATGTCGTTTCTTCAACTACTCTAGGTCACGAAACAATCATCACAGACATCAACCACCAATCTCACATCCCCAACAGTCAAAACCCCATATTTCACCTCACACTCCAACCCACACCACCACCCCAAAGCTCAAGCTCAAGCCACAGTAGCACCATCCACAACACTCCCCTCCAACAACTCAACCAACTCCCCGTACCCCTTCAACACACTCTCCCTCACCTCCCCCGTACTCCACTTCTCCCGACTCTTCTCCCCCACCACGCCATCTTTCCCAGCTGGACCCATCTCAGCCAGTATCTCCGGGAAATCCGCGCCGCCGAAGGCGAGCGCGGGACGGGTTGGGACGACGCGGAGTTTCATGCCTGTAAGGATCTTGAGGTGCGTTAGTATAAGCTGAAATAAAGGGGGAGAGGGGAGAGGGGAGAGGGAAAAGACGGGGATGTACGGTTTTCAAACTCTCACTAGCGTTCAAGCCGCCGAAAAGGCCGTATGTGATGATGAGGACTGGTTTGCCGATCCATTCGTGGTAGAGGTAGTCGATTGCGTTTTTGAGGCCGCCTGGGGGACCGGAGTTGTATTCGGGGGAGAGGAGGATGTATGCGTCGAATGGCCTGAAGAGAACTTATGTTAGCACATGCTATTACTTTTGTTGAGTGAACACGAGATGTAGAGGACTTACTTCACAGCCGCACTCCACTTCTTCGAATGCTCAAACGCGAATTGCTCTTTGGCTGGGACGTTCGCGGGGATAACGATCTCGTCGTAGACTGGGAGTTTGAAGTCTGCGATGTCGAGGACTGTGAGGGTGGGTTTGTTTGGGAGGGTGGAGGATTCGAGGAGGGTTTTGATTATGTTGACGACGTGGGGACCCTTGAGATGTTAGTTGGGAATGGGGTTGGTGGTCTGAGAGGAGAGAGGGGGGTAGAGCTGTGTCCGAGGGTGAAGGAGTAGGAAATTGGAAGAGGGAGAATAGAAGGAGGTACGTACGATGCGAGGAGTACGTGTTGAGCCGGTAATTATAGCCAGTTTTCTTGGGATGAGAGACATCTTGGGTAGAAGTGTTTGGTTGTGGTTTTAAAGAAGTTGTAAATTTACTTCGAAGACTGGAATTGAAAATGTAGATTGCAATTCGAACAAATCAAACACCTTAAAAGATATCCAAAAATCCTCCTTCTCCTCCTCATCCCATCAATATATACCAAAACACCCTCCCCCATCCACCTCATCAACCACTCATACCCCCATCCGCGCTCCCCCTCCTCTCCACCACTCACAGCGCTTTCCGCCCTCGAAACGAGCTCCATTACCAACCCTCCTCGCTTCGACCCCCTTTTTCGTATTTTGTTGTCCTCTGTGATGCATCTAGAGCGGAGTTTTCGTTGACCATGGGTAATCAATATTGTAAATCATGTCGCATCATAGTGATGGGATTGCATCGAGAGATGGGATTGCATCGAGAGAGATGGGAAAGGCGTGTGCAGTTACGTGAAATAAGCGAGGGAAAAGAATGGCCCTAAATTTGCTGGCAAAGGAAGGAAATGAATGAGGGTTAATTAGGGATATAAAAGTCTTAATGAGGGTATTTGCAGATAGTCGTACAGAGAACGAATAATATCCAGCAAGGGATTTGCTTGTACGACGACGGTGACGCATAGGGAGATCGATGTGGTGAGAAACCTCCATGTCAATTTTCTGATTGGGCGTCAAGAAATAAGCAATGGGAATCGCAGACTTCACATAAAGCAGCTGAAAACCGCGAAGACGAAAGTTCTGTATTGTTTCAACACATCTTGGTGTTAATGTTCGAATTATGTTCACATCCAGCCAGTCGTTCCATGCTACATATTTCCAAAAAAGGCAACAACATGCTGCAATGCCATATATACATCTCCCAACGCCAGGTCGATGATTCCCATCTGGTGACCATGCCAAAAGAACACCGTACGCCATGCATGCCCTAGCATTTGTACAATTAAGCGCCACAGAGGTATTTATAAAAAAGAAAAGAAAGAATAAGAAAAGAAAACTACGCAGGTGAGTCCACTAAATCTCCCACGAATCCCATATTATCTCTCCGATCGTCATTTAATCGGCCGTATTCGAGTAGTAATCTCAACACATATATCTGCATATCTTCTCTTCGTAGAACTTTATTCGCCCAGTCTTGCCCGGCAATGGCGATCTTCTCTCCTTCTGCGTCGTGAGCAGGAACTTCCATGGTCTCGCTCTTGTAACCGAGGAAATATTCCATAATACCCCAGAAATCGAGGAATCGGTTATCCATAGGAACGAAATGCAGCCATGGCATGAGTCTCGAATCATGCCATTCACGGAAAATGGTCGCTTTGATCGGTACTGATGTCGACATGAGAAATCCACGGTACCGACCAGAAAAGGAATTACCGTCAATATCTGGAAGATATTTGCGTTGGAACTGCTCAGCCATCTTGATACCGGGCAGAATCTTATAATATGGGTCGGTGTGGTTGCAAAGATGGTTTTCTCCAGGTGGATCACACATAAGGTCCACGAAGCCAGTGTCTGCCCACTCTGCAGTCCAATTCCCTAGCCGATTGTCTTGCTGTGCGGCGAGATTGTATTGAGTGGTTGGCATAGCCCAATTTTCAGGAATTTCCGTCCACGCTTCCGCATTTGAGATCTTGGTTCCATTGGTTTGCGCAACAAAGCGATGTCGTTGAAATCCTCGCCAGTTGTCTTTGTTGTTTTTCCCCCCAGTCGCAACACCACGCCAGATAACCTGCGCTGTCTTATTATTCCAAGGACCACCAGTCGCTCCACCACCTGTAAAACGCTCTTCCTCACTCCAATACATTGGTGCTGGCAATAAGATCTCGTTGTTGGTTGGAAGTTTCGAGCCGCCAAAAAGAGGAGCAAACACTTTGGTCTCAGATACCGAAAGCGGATTGATGAACATGCCATGAAGCGCTTGCAGGTCCGGTTGACCGCAAAAGTCTGTGGAAGCTGTATAGTTGGAAACGTATCCTTTGTAAGTGTGTCCAACCGTGTGCGTGAGAGATAATGGTGGCGCGGTGCCATTGATTGGATGCAACAACATTTGAGCCTTGCGCGCAGGGCTTTCGGGATGACAACCCCGAATAGCAGCTTGCCAATATGGACCTAAACAAGTTAGAGGAATCCCAAACGCTGAAAATCAATACACTTACGGGTGTCGGAGAAGTTCTTGTGTCGCTGCGGAATATCAGTGTCCGGCTCTTTGGGAAGCTTCTGAAAGTCGGAGAATATCTCATTAGGAGGCAGCATTTTTCTCGAGGCCTTTTCAATCTCTACCAGACGATTGACTTCTTCCCACGGAGCAGATATTCTAGGCTCGTCCATGGAATTTAATGGCAGGTCCATATCTGGTAGCATATCTTCGATACTCTGGGTCATGTTCAGCCATATTTCAGTCCAGAACCAATTGCTCGTCGTTTTTGCCTTCTGGTCTCGAATGTGGATTGTCATATCATATGCGTGGCTCTCCTTGCGCAGGACGGCGGGAGGCAAACCCCAGAATGGAGCTAGATCATGGTGAATCTGATCAAAGAAATCTTCCACCATGATGGCATTATTTTGCTTTGCAAAATCGTACCAAACATCGAACCCAGGCGGCGGGTGCCGGCCCCTCCTCTCGCGATATGCGGCAGCGGCGGACTTCAAATCATGGCTCTCTTTCTTCAGCAAGTCCTCTTGTGCCTTGCTCGCTCTTTCCATCAACGTATCGATTGGGTGTGGGCTTTTCAAGGACGTGGAAGCTGGCACAGACGATGCTGCGGCGACCGAAGGAAGAATCGAAGATACCGCAGTCGAAGAGGGCGAAGTTGAAGCTGTAGTGGCGCTTGGGGCCGCAGAAATCTGGGAGACAGAACTTGAAGATATCGCACTGGACGAAGGCGCAACCAAGACTGGCGGTTTGAACTCGTGTGTATTCTTGTGGTCGCTCGTTTCGGTATCGGGGAAGGAACCGGGATCTTGAGCGTGCAATGGTTCGGCTGCTGGCTTCTGCGGTGACATTGTTCCCGAGAGAAGAGAGGTATCAATTGGACTCTGGGTTGAGCCCAGCGTGGCGCTCAATGCGGACAATCGTAGATAGTACAGCAATCCCAGGACGGCGCTGGCAAAGAAAACATACTTCATCATCCCAGCGGGCCCGCGCGGTGGACCGGTAAAAGTCATTTTGAGAGAATCCCGCTGCATAGAAGGCCTGACGATGCCTCTCACCAAACGAGTCGCCTGGTTCTCTGTATTTGATGCAGAAGGGGGGATCGAGGAGAAGTCTTCAACCTTTGTTGTTTTTCCCAGAAAACTTGTTGGCGGGTGGATATTAACGTGGCGTAATGCTATAGTAGGGTATTATCTGGTCGTCGAATCGTCGTAAATTATGGTGGTTGCTGGCTACCAAACCGGACTGGCAGCGGACACTAGAAAAGGAGCGTCGTGGTCAAATGGACCGGGCTAAAAGGAGATAGATGTATATCGGCAGAACCAGACGAGCCGTCGCGCTACCCCACCTCGCACAGGAAAGTTACACAGATGGTATATACATGCGAAAGTCGTGTCGGATCCTATGCGCTGGGCCGTGAAGGACAATGTCAGGATTTGAACGAGAGAAAGCGTTTGTGGTGTTTTGAACTTTTTTCAGGATGTGGCTGTTGAAGAATGAGATGAAATTGGAAACATGGCTTGCGTTGGCTGCAGCGTACTCCGTTTCCGTCCACCCCTGGTCCCTTATCACATGTGGGTGGTGAGGGTGGATCTGGCAATCGCCCCTAAGATTGGGTTGCCGGGGGTCCAACAGATTGAGTTCGACCATTTTGGGATGATTCGAGGCGTCTTCCTAATGATTTCTAGCCTCCTGAAATTCAGTACTTCACCCAATTAAGCCCCAATACCAATTATCTTCATCAACGCAATTTCGTGGTGTCCAGTTCCCTTTCGAATCTTTACTCCCCCTTTTCACAACACCTCGCTTAGAACATATGTGCTGCACGTCATTTAATCATTAACCACCGCATTTGCCAATTTGGGAGAATCATCTAGTGGAAGTAATCGCCCAGTTAAACACTCTTTCGTATCTCTAACATTACCTCTCTACAGAGATCAATACGATAGCTCCTAATCTTTCGCCTCTCGCCTCGTATGGCAAGTTCTATCTTTACCCTTCAAAGATTCTTCAGCCCGTATTCACGTATCTCGGTATTACCAAAGACTAGGTAGCCACCATCGTTGTTCCTCGAGTCCAGTCAGCAAGATACATCTCTCAGGGGCGCTTGTGGTTCTTCGCCAATTACAATAGCCGCCAATGTTGACTAACAGTCAGCGGCTTTGATCAGCTGTCTTGGTGCAGGCTGAAGCATCTCAGCAATCGTATCGAGGCGAGCAAAGCCTTCTCAGCTGTAATCAAGACGGATTACTCATGTAGTGATTAGTAGCTATGTGTACTACACCATCGGTAGGATGAGGATGTACAGGTGCGATGGTACAACTGACGGCGGGTTGCGACATTGGCGTAAGGGGGATGCAACATGGGAAATACATGAGGGTAGGATTTGCCTGACTAAGAGGGCAGACTAAGGTGCAGCTGCAGAAGTTCGATTCATAAATTCAATAGTACGAAAGCGCGAAAGTAAGGAAAGCTACTAGATAGGTGCAGGATGGTAGACTCTGGTGGTTGTCCAGATTGAGATGCACCGGCATCTTTTCTACAACGTCCGAACCATGAGAATTCTGTCGTCTGGTCTTGAGGATGTCAAACACCCCATTGAGAAATACTCGAAGCAAGGAATCCTCATATGTTTCGACATGCATTTTCTCGTCTCTGTTTCGCAAAGATCATCCTCCCCAGATTTGCGGCAAGCACTGAATGCATCCGAGCGAGGATTCCGAAAGTGTCAACTACCAAAACAGGACCATCGCAACCACCAGCCGTCAACATTACTACTTCTGCTCACTCGCATCGTCTCACCACGTCTCTGTCCGACATGTATACAGGTAGCCACAACATGACTATCATCTCCTATTCCATCAGCAACCCGGTACCGGCGGATCGTCCGAAGTTATTGCCAACTCGCCGGATATACTTTGAGTCTTTGACCCGTTTGTAATCTTACCAGAAGTCGGAAATGGTTTATCCAGGTAAGTCAAATATTTACTACCATATTGGAAATGGTTTCGAAACGGGTTTAACAAGGATATGCTATGCACGATGGAAAGAATTGGCCCGAAAGTGCAATCTGGTTTGTTATGGATGTGTGCATGAGTTTGGATGTTTCACGAGTACCACTTTGAGAACGACTGCGTGGGACATCTAGGTATTTACTAGGTCTCTAAAAGCAGTGTATTAAATTAAATACTAAGGGGCCGTTAGAAGTAGAAAATCTTCTAAACGGCGAATAGTGATATTTTTCATCTATAGTGGAAGGTGGAAATGCTTATAAATAATAAAGCTACCTGTACTGATACTCTACTTGGTTGTGCAGATTCCTTAGGTCACCAGCAGCAAGTGCCCAAATAGCAATATGAACATGAGGAATTGTGATTTTGACACGGCATTTTTAAGATATAAATCTGCTGTAGATCCTAGAACAATTCCATTCCATTCGCACAACTAGCATTAACAGTATTAATCCTCATCGCGCTTTCGGACGTCTCAATCAAGTCATGTGTCTTATAGATCCAGCAACCTTCCGAGGTTTGCGACAACTTCTTGACAAAAACCTCCCGTCCCGAACAATTGTTCGTCCTCTACCTCTTACTGGTCATATATCTCCTTGTCTCCTATCGCAACCGGTGATTTACCAGATCCAAGTTAGATCGCACCTCGATTCGTCCTCCATTTATTACTGGCTCATTTATCTCCTTATATCGGTGAATTTCCAAATCCAAGTTGCATCGCACATCAAGACCAAAGCCGATACACTTCACCGCCCACAACCAAACCATCCTCAACACATTCCTCACTCGTCCCCCCTTCAAGAAATCCAAAATCATCACGCGCATCCTCATTAGGAAAGTGTGACACATCCCATCACCATTGGTCGACCTCTTATCGGACCCCCGTGGTGGAGTTCTCGCGAATCCTCCGCACCACGGTTGCTCCTGCACTTAGGGGAAGGGACCACGACGCGAATTCGAGGGCATCGCGTAGATTCAACTTTAAGGGAAGAACAACTTCACCAATTTCTCATTTTTTACCTAACGGACCACTACTTTCCGTCATGGCTCCAGCACCGCGGCGGGACTCGGAGGGAGGAGTCAGATTCCGGCAAGGTGGGAGAGAGGCATAAATACCAACGAGTTTCCCGGTCCGAAGAGCGCATTTTGTGATTCCGCATCGTTTGTTTTCGTCGCTTTCATCGCGGCCGTACCTGAAGCACTCCAGAAATCATACCCCTCGGATCTGTACCCCACCAATTGTTGCCCCACCACCAGCCAGCTCTAGCTCTGAATTCTTTCAAGAAGGAACATTTTCAGCAACGGAACTTACCAGCAGCATACGAGGACACTCCACACACTCCAACATGAAGCTCAACACGTCGTTAATTGAACAAAAGTTCGTCGCGAATGGCGAGCTAGGTGTCGTCGCTGTTGGCTTCTCCGGTGGTCAGGTAAGTTACACTGCTCTCTGTCGCAGACCTCACTGACAGATATTCTTCTAGGGCAAAGCAGGTGTCGATATTGGTCCTGCCGCCATGATCGAGAGCGGACTTCTCACAAAATTAAAAGAGGACCTTGGATACGAAGTCCATCACGATGACACCGTACACTCTTACAAAGAGCTCACTCCCGAATCAGATCCTCCCTTCCGTGGAATGAAGAACCCAAAGACAGTATCTGCAGTCACAAGGAAGATTTCAGAGCAAGTCTACGAGCATGCGAAAGAAGGCAGGACTGTTCTGACATTGGGAGGTGATCACTCTATTGCAATTGGTACCATCTCCGGTACGGCGAAAGCGATTCGAGAAAGACTCAATCGCGAGCTGGCGGTCATCTGGGTAGACGCGCACACCGACATTAACACCCCAGAAGGAAGTGATAGTGGTAATGTCCATGGCATGCCAGTGTCCTTCTTAACAGGTCTGGCCAAGGAGGAGCGAGAGGATGTCTTTGGATGGCTCAAGAGCGAGCATATGCTCAGTCTGAAAAAGCTCGTTTACATTGGTTTGAGAGACGTGGATCGCTTCGAGAAGCAGGTCTTGAGAGATCACAAAGTCAAGGCATTCAGCATGCATGACATTGATAGGTACGAACAATCCGCTGCGTGTACAGTTCATCGCTAACAACCGCAGACATGGCATTGGAAAGGTCATGGAAATGGCACTCGGATACATCGGGACAGACACTCCCATCCATTTGTCTTTCGACGTCGATGCACTCGATCCCATGTGGGCACCAAGCACAGGAACACCGGTTCGAGGTGGACTTACCTTGAGAGAGGGAGATTTCATCGCAGAATGTGTTCACGAATCTGGAAGCATGGTCGCAATGGATCTGGTAGAGGTCAACCCTTGCCTGGATCCAGGTGTTGATAATATCGGGTCGGATGAGACAGTCAGAGCTGGATGCTCTCTTGTAAGATGTGGTCTTGGGGAGTCTTTGCTTTAGATGGAAAATGGTATTGGGACTGGTTCTGGAGCATTTGGTATGGTAAATGGTGGTAAGGGTTTGGGCATAGATAGGATACCAGGCTTTTGGGTAAAATTGGATGGCAATTCCCATGACATAATTGCATCTCGATTAAAAGCGCATTCTTTTAGACATAAGCATTGACATCCGCGCGAAGATCCGAGCCGAGGGGTATTTCTAATTTCGCTTGAAGAAGAAATAGTGGTTGTTGTTCCCCTTCCTGCCTCCTCGATTTACCCCCCAACCTCCCCAAAAAGCCAACTTTTTCGAGTACAGTGCGTCACCCTAAATCAACCCCAGCCCGACAAGCCGGTGATATGCTCCGCGCAAACCGCATCGTCGAACAGCACACCGCAATATCTTCATCTTCGCGTCGACTCGAGTCTCTCTCTCTCTTCTTCAATTCTAAACACTCGTTACATCTATCTACGTCTCTCTATTCCACGATCGTATTACTTGCGCACGAGAAAAGGTACCAAACGGCACTCCGCAGCACAATCGCATTGTCAGGCACCCGACCAATCGACCAATCGGTCCCTCGTCGCAAACCCAACAACGCATTAACGCTCCAATTACCAGTTCGCAGCTGCATTCGAGCCCAGCGACGAGCGCAGAACGTGGATGCTTTGAGGTCCAGACTACTGCGCGAGGCGAACTGGAATTGATTTCTTGACGTAAGATTTCCGGGCAAGAAAATCCTCTTCGCGGTTGTGAGGGTGGTATAGAAGGGATACTCGAGATTATTTCTAGGAAGTCGCACAGGACATCAGACGAGAAGCATACCGTACGACGTTCGCCTTGGAATTGGCCATACAGCTCGCAGCGACAGCCTCATCTACGAAACTGAAGAGTCGCAGATACATATACCCAAACCATAGCATACTCGCGGCATGGCATCGACATCCTCAACCATGACGGAAGTAGTAGTTCAACGCGTGAAAACGAAGTACCACTGGCCGCCCGTGCAGCTCAATTTCTGGATCTTGATCATGCTGGTCGGCGCCTCGACGATACTGGGCGTGTTTAGCAGTTTTATCACGGTGCAGCAGCAGCTTATGGTGGGGATACCATGGTACGTCCTCCCCTCCCTCACCCTCTACTCAATTCCCAAATCCAAAACTGACTCTTTTTCCAGGTACTTCGCCTACGAAATCACCGTCTCGGCCCTCGCCGTCTTCTTCATTATCGTGATGCTCTGGCTGATCTCGCAGCGCCAACTCCTGCCGGGCATCGTGATCATCGGCTCCTTCATCCTCTTCGTGCTGTGGCTCGTCGGCTTGATCGTGATTAGCATACAGCTGTGGGGACCGAGCGGGAGCGTGAATAGTAATTGCCAGATGTATGTGTCGGGGCAGGGAGTGCGGGGCGCGAATACAGCGACGTTGGCGTGGTTGGAGCAGAACAGTATTTGTAAGTTGATTTCTGGCATAGTGGAATGAATTGGGACTAATGAAACCAGGCCAGAGTTGGACAGCAGCGTGGGCGTTTAACCTCGTGGGCGTAGTGTTTTTGCTGTGGATGATTATCATGGCGTATCAAGTCTACCGAGACGATATGTGAATAAGCGCGACGAGATTATATTGTGTGGAGAAGCGGATTTATGAAGGATGAAACACATAGGGAATGTACAAGTTGCATGGGAGATACCAAAGACTACGTGGGAGAGTACATATTTTGGGCGGAAACAGGCATTTTCTTGGAGTTTTTGGGAGGTGATCTGCTACTACTACTAGTGGAATTATGCTAGGGAAGTAAATGTATTAGGTTGGGTGGTGGGATTTGGTTTGAGGGGGGAAAGCATAAATGACATGGTGGGGCGTGTTGGGAGTGGACGGGTGAATGGCATTGGTAGATATAGTGGATAGGGGTTAAATAATTATATTTACTCATTTTTGTGGTTACTCGGGGGGGGTGTGAGGCGTTGATGTTGGTAACGTTGTAAGTGTTTATGTCTTGGTTGTTTTGAGCGCTTCCGAACTTCATATTGTGTAAACCATACATGTATTACGGTTCTTGCGCTCAGAAATCTGGTATTCCTTCGCTTGATGTGGGAATATTAGTATCTGCCATCTACGGCGTAAACCCTTGCATACAACCTCTCCTTCAAACCTCACACTCCCCGCCTTCACCTCACCTCACCTCACCTCATCCCATTCAATCAACTCCCCTAATCTAATCAAACACCACCACCGTCAAATTCAGAAGCCACATACCCAGCGATTTAGCAGTAGAGAATCCTAGCAAACATCTGATTTTAATCGTAAACCCCGACAGGTGATGACATATATCCTTCTCGCTGGTGTGGCTATCTACTGGTGTAAATGTGTAGTGTAAATGTGTAGTATAAGGAAGAGCGTGATACTTGGGTTTTGCTGTATGAAAAAAGGGGTTGGGAATTAAAATACAGGTATACTTGTTTTTTCAGAAATATCTATAATAATACGTGGTATGCAGTCTTCATTGAAGAGGTTGGGAGTGTGTAGCACTTCTTTTGATTGGTATTTCAAGTTAAAAGTTTGTAGGGACTCGGGTGTTTGGGTGGTGGATTATTAGGGTTTTGGTTTGTGTGGTTGGTAAATGTTCGCTAGAGTTTGAGTTTATTGTGGTGGAGATAATGGCTCGGGCTTATCGTTAGTTCATTGTTTCTTGAGGTCTGTTGTAGTGAGTTTTGTGCTGAAGTTTTGGTGTTGGTTGTGGAATATATATTACTGTTGTGTGTATTGAAGGTGTAGGAAGATATAACATCTTGCTACTATAACCTACTCAAATATAGCATATTATACACATACTCTCCAAGAAACTCATATCAAATTAATAACAAATCTCCTCCTGTTCCCATTTTTCACCTCTTCTTTCCCCCCCTTCTCCTCCTCTTCTTTCCCCTCCCCACTCTCCTCCGCACACTCACACACATCCTCTCCCCCCTCACCTTCCCCCCCCCTCGCCTCTCTGAACGCCTCAAACTCATCAACGCCCGTCAAGTACCTTCCGATACGCTTGAACCAGCCTTTGCGGCCCCTCAAATTCTCGAGAATCAAACCAGTACCTGCGTTTTCACCTCGCTGCACTACATCCATGAGGTAGAATGTCTCTGGGACGATGGGTATGCTGTCTTCGTCGTGGTTGTCGAACGAACAGCGCATCTCCCACGCATCGCGCTGAGGGATTGACGGAATGACGAGGCCGTAGTATTCAAAGAATGAGTCGCACTCGCGGTCGGAGATGTAGAGCTCTGCTACCGGTAGAAGTCTTTCGCAGGATAGTTTGATGGTACCCTCTGGCTCATGACCATAGTGGTCGGCGGGTGCGGTGATTTCGAGGATTTTGACTGATGTTGTTCTGAGATCACTGTAACTCATATGGATAATTCCGTTTACACTGGCCCACGACCAAGTGGGCGCTCTTAAGGGCAGCGGCCTTGTGCTTTTCGTTGTTTCAACAGACCAAAGAAGATCTTGGCTCAGGTTATCCTCCCAAAGGCCAAACAGATATCTACCACGGGGGTAAGTCTCCGCAAAGACTCGAGCCACACCACTGATGGCGACTAATTTATCGCTTCCCTTCGTGAGTTGGCCTTTTGTATATGATTTGACGATGTCTGACCATTTTTTCTCTGGATCATATCTCTGTATTGATTCGCGTGATTCGCCTTCGATGAGGAAATCAAAAGGAAGCCCGAGGGGAAGAGTCTCAAAACAAGTGTTAGTTTTGCATTCGTAAAACAATTGGAAATTGCCGAAGTGGAGGGTTCGAGTTGCCAAGTAGCGTTCTTGAAATACCCAGGCGCGGTTGAATATTGGGAGTTGATGGAATGCGCGATTGTAGAGTCTACCGTCGATACAGTAGTATAATCTCCTTCGATGGACGGCATCTTTGGAGTCTGAAGTCCGAATGCCGCCGGGCTCTTCCTCATGATTTTCGCGTTTCTTCTCGTCGTCTTTCTCGGTCTGAATCTCGATATCGTCAAGACATCTTCCATCAGCTAACACCACACAGAACCTGACAAGGTTGACATCTCGATCAAAGAATAGACCGTCGCCGCCATGATCCGCTCCCGAAGCAGCGATGTTCAAACCCCCACCACCGTAGACACCTCCCATCCTTCCACTCTCACTACACCAATCATCGTGATCGGGTCCTTGGACAATACATAGTGAGTCTATCCAGATGTACTTAAACCCATATTGTCTTGCTACTACCACAGCATCTTGAAAAGTTTTTGGTAGTGATAAGAACGGGATGTTCTCTTTGAAGTCATCCAAATTCGACCGAGTGAGAGAAATAAAGTGCCGTGCACCCCAAATATGCGATAGTGTCGCATAAGGTGTACCCTTGGCAACATCTTCACTAAGATGGATTGGGGATGTAGAAGTGTTGCCTATTGACAGAAGACGTGAGGGGTAGGCGTCCAGCACGTGTGGCCCAGCACATTCTGTGTGGTTTTTAACACAGTGTTGAATCCACATCTCGGCGAGCTCGATGTTTATGGGTGACCATGTATTAGTACTAAATTCCCAATGGTGTAGAGGATTTTGGTCTCGCCATATTGTTAGCACCAGCTTGAGTATGCAAACGCTCAACGCGAGGCAACATACCAGGAATGTAAATCAAACTCAAAAAAGCGATACCAGTCTTGCCATCTGCCAGGCAAAGAATGATTTCCCAGAAATGAAAGAAAGTTGAAGATTGAAAACATTGTATTGGCTTGTTGTGGAACTTCTCGTCATCCCGTTCCAGCGCGATGTGTTCTGGGGAGATTTGAGCATTGACTAGGGCGCATACTTCACAGTCTTGAGCTGAGACTATGAGCGCGGCCAATGTATGAAAGTCATAAATGGATTCCCATGAAATGAGCTTGTACCTTCGTGGGATAGAGAAGAGACCATCGCATGTTGAGCAGATTTTGGAAAGTGGGACAGGAACCGCTTCGTCCTTTTCGTCGGGAAGGAGGTTTGGGTCGGCAGTGACAATTGGCGAAGAGCTGGGAAGCTGCGACATGACATTGTTAAGCCGCTACTTGTCTTGCCATTGCTGGACCCAACTCCACGGTCGTGATGACTGTTGAAAGTTGTGGATCTTTATTCCAACAATCGCGCGTCACGATTTGCTGGAATCTATTTATAGCACACTGCATATGGTAATCACGCTCTCCCTCTCGACATATTTGTAGGGTGTTCAGGGGGAAATCCGCGGTGGCAACTGATAAGAGCGTATTCAGAGCAATATTAATATTCCATCACGATAAACGAAGCGTAGCTTCCAGAGAATGATACTGATAAAGGCAAAATCTCTATGGCTATGATTCCAGTCCAGCCCAAAGGCTGCACCTCGCCTGGCTCGCAACCAAAACCCCACGGCTGCTGGGTATCATCCAACAATAAAATTATAACGCCTTAGCAACGACGCAATGCCGTTGGAGATCATATATCTAGTTGGAGAACTTTGGATTGACCTTCTTTCTATGTTGTGATACCGTGTCAGCATGCGAAAAAAATCAACGGTATAAGCATTGGATGCATGCATGTAGTATGACATACCCAGTGAACTTTTCGTAAAGACCTCGAGCAGTATCGCCAATCTTCTCGTTCTGCTCTCCGGTGGTGTTGTATCCCGCTTTCTTTGTGCCGGCGGCGATAACTATAGAATGCGGTCAGCAAGAGAATCTTAATGGAGTGCTGCTGGACGATAAGATGCTCCCTTCGTCATATTTGAATGTCGCGCAACCATAGACAACTTGGAGTACGTACTCTTGTCACCATAATCTTGTTTCTGTCCAGCCGGCTGTTGTTGGCTGGAGCTACTGCTACCACCTGCGGCGGCTTTCGCTTTCTTGAATAAATCCATATTGCTTGTAGTTGTCGACGGCAAAATTTTCGTAGAAGAGAAACCGATGACAGATCTGCAACCCCAGGCGGGGCATCAAGCTATATACCACCTCACGGAAGGATCCTCCCCATCACGACTCAGCTACCCTAGAAGCTAAGCACAGCTACCGTACGTCTCGGGCTCCATATTTAGAGCTCCAACCACTGGTGGACTGAAAGAGTAATCTGGCAGTGCAAGCCTTCAACACGCAATGGACCGTGGCTGGCCCAGCTGAAAAGCAAGCTTGGTAAGGGTGCAGGGTGGGGTGGGGTTTGGTGGACGCCATATGTTATTGGAGGGGTTTGGAGGGGTAAGACATTGAACTCAGACGCAATAATATGAACGATATATTTCCTTCTTTGGGGAGAAGGGGAGTGTAATTGTTCGGGGTGCTGCGCTTGTCGTGTGTGAGTCCGAGATGTGAGGATGAATTGTTCTAATTCCCTGAAGACGGGATGTGTTGAGCTGATTACCAACGGCAGTAATCCTCGTGAAGAGGAATAATGCAATGGGGAGGAGGGCGTGCATTGCCATGCAGCTTGCGTGACCTGGAGGATGTGGAGTTTATGTCGTGTGGAGGGGCTGTGTATATTCTGATCCCGCAGAGTTCGATTTGAGGGATAGAAAAAGCGAGGAGATGAATGGTGTTGGGTGAAAGATAGAATGAAGTGAAATGATATATTGTGCAGATGACAATGAATATATGAAATTGAAGTTGAAATCATGAAGGTCCTTCGTGACAGGAATCTAGGAGAAAACATTTGCTCCTCCTCTCGTTCTCTCATGTTGTTGTACACACTCCTCGATAAACATCAACATTAAGTCAGCATAACACTTGTTATCTCGTGACACATTTTTACCTCGTGACACTCTTCCTCTTTCTGCCTTCACATTGAGAAAACAATAGTCAAGTGTTCCAGGCGTCGAGGGCAAACAGCACATAAAGTTGCAGCGTCGCCGAGGGACACAGGAAAGCTTGGCGGGTACTCCCCATCGCGAGATCACGACTTTGATAAGCGAATGCGATTTTTAGCCTCCTCCACAGCCAATCAAGAGATTGATGTGAAGACCCGCCCAGCCTGTTCTCTGCTTTGCAACAACACAGGGATATATGAATCTCGAGTTCCTCATCGGCAGATGATGGTATGTTGGGGATCGTAATAGGAACTCGATGCGATTGTTGCGATCTTGATGTTGCAGTTAAGCGAGTGCGAAGAAAATGGTGGTATGTTCAAAATCAGAAATGTATATATCATGATGAATCTGCTGGCTGAACATAATTTGCTACCCAATATCGTCGGATACTTCAGAATCTTACAACAGCAGTTTCTCTTACACCAGTTGCTCAAGCAAGTCCAGTGGTATCCGTGAAGATGTCCACCGTACCCCAGAATGACAGCCAGAAGGCTCCGAAGTCATCAAAGTTCGTTGTTGTTATGCGCAAAATATACAGGCCATTAGGCTTTCAAAAGGGTTACAACTTCCCTTTATGTAAGTATATGATCCTTTCATATCAGTTCTTTGCTGATGTCTTCTAGTCGTCATCTTTGCTGGAGCCATGATGGGATTTACCCTAGCACGTTTATCATATCTCAACGTCGGCGGTAGTGCACCTTCAAGCTACCGCAACAGTACAGTTCCTAAAGAATGGCACAACTTCAAAGATGGATACCGTCGGATAGGACTTACCTTACATCTTGCCACCTGTTTACCTCTAGGCTTCCTCATGGTATGGCAATTCATACCAGTGATCCGACACAAGTTCCTCACTTTCCACCGAATCAACGGATATGTCATTCTGCTGCTCATTGTTCTGTCCAATGTGGGCGCTCTGATGATTGCTCGTGTCGCGTTTGGAGGAACACTCGATATCCAGAGCGCTGTTGGTGTGTTGGCTATCCTGACTTCAGTCTCCGCATGGATGGCATATTATAATGTGAAGCGACTCCAGATGGATCAGCATAGGGCTTGGATGCTGCGATGCATGTTTTATCTCGGTACTATCATCACTGCCCGTATCATCATGATCATCGCGGCTTTGATAATTAGCAGTACCAAGAAATACTACGGACTCCAGTCTTGCGATCAGATTGCAGCAGCATACGATGCAGTCCAGGAGGCTCTAGAAAATTATCCAGCTTGCGCCAATGTATCTGGAGATACACTCGTTATTGTGCAAGCTAGCTTTGATTCAGCAGTGACTGTAGGCACAGCGCTGTCGCTGCCATTTGGAATGGGCGTTTGGCTTGCCACTTTCATCCATCTGGTTGGTGTCGAAATATATTTAGGCCTCACACCGGCCGAGGGAGAGAGACTGAGAAATGTCAGTTACCAGAGACAGTTGGAGGCAGGTTTCGCGCATCCAGGAAGTGCTGGTCTGACAAGTGATCGGTGGGGAGACGCTCCAGAATGGAAACCAGAAGCCGCAAGAGAGTCAGCAAATAACAAGCAGCTCTCACAAGAGGGAAGAAAGTGAGCAACGCTCGCTATGAGTGTTTGCGATTGAGATTGTGTTGCAAGTATGCATTGGTTCGTAATAGTATGGTGTATATAATATTCTAGCTCTTCAAAATGTGGATATATCCTATGTCGGTGGCGTTGAGGTCAATTGAGCTACGATTGCAGACTGAGGAGGAGATGGAAATACACAAACCATTGAGCTACAAACTTACTATTATTGTTGACCAATTACTTTCATACTTCGAAGTAAGTTCCTTGTTTATAAGTCAACCTTAGCTCGATGCGACATCCACCAGTTGAAGGCAAGAAGTACGCGGAAAAGATTTAGTCGTAAAAGGTTCAAAGCTTAAAAGACCGCGACGGTCGAATCGCAAGACAGTTTTAACATTGATGCCTTGAATACTAGGCAAAAGTCTTCCGTGTTGCTCTTGGCGGGAGAAGTGCACCGCAACTGCCCGCGAACCGAGCAACCACGCGAAAAAGGAGGGAACTTCCTAAAGTCAACACCACAATGGCCCCCTGCGGGTGAAGCACCTCCCATGTTCCAGAGCGCCTCTTAATACCTCTGATAAGATTCACAAACGACGCCGGGATTTTCTGCAGCACCGTTGTAACCAGGTTGACAACAAATGCCAGCTGTCTCTGACGAACTTGAAGCTATTCCCACCGCATCGCTGCTGTGTTTACTCAACCTAGTCCCCTGTCACCAAAGGCCGAGCGCGATTTTATCTCAGCCATCGCCAGTGCGACGACTCCATGTATAGAGCTCTTCGCCCTCTTCAGAAGTACACGAATGCGACGCGTTGAAAATTGTTCTCGTCATGGCCGAGGAAGATGAAGGTCATTCAACAATGTCCATGGTAGAGCCAGGTGAGCGGCCACAGACCGCACGGAAGGACTCGCGCAAGGTACCCGGCGGATTTGGCATCGACGACGTGGACGATCTCTCCCCTACGAAGCAAACCTTTGACGAATCGGGTGTCGAAAACACCAGCTTCAGCGCACAAGATGAGGGTCACCGCAAGCCTTCCCTCGATCCAGCGTCGCTGCCATCACTCCCCGCGCCGACTGATAGCAGTCTCTACTATAACCAAAGCGAGGATGGAGACAAGTTTGAGGAATCTCTAGACGAGACAGCTATGGAACGGCACTTGAACGATGTGGAATCCAGTTTTATGCCAGTACATTCGCCCATCAGCGTGGTGGAACACAAAGGTGCAGACGATACATTTCTGTTCGATGGAGCGCAAGAGAGTCGACCAGTCAGCGAACTACCCGTTGCAAAAACACGAACTTCCGAAGACTTGAGAGAAACTCCTCCTGGCTCACCTCCTTCCTCTCCGAGCAACTATAAAACACCTTTTGCGGGCGATAGCACTTCTTCTGCGAACGAGGAGTCGAGCAATACTACATCTGCCATGGAATCAATGTCGTCTTCGCCCACCGCAGCAGCGGCAGCCAGGACGGTGTCGCGTGCTCTATCCACAGGAAGCGTAGGAACAGCAACGGATGGCCATCCAAAGTCCGCTGAGGAGGCGCATTCAGACTATGAAGAGGACTTTTACCCTACACCAAGAAAGCCCAGCAACAACTCTCTGTTAGGCACTGCAGATATCCCTCTTCGGCATCGTCTTTCGAATGGCAGTATGAACTTAGATGCTGGCAGTACGCCTGGGGGTGCATTACTCAACCGAAAACAATCCTCCAGTAGACCAAAATTCCTTCGAAGTCGACATGCTAGTCAGCACTCCTCGGTCTCGTCTTTCATCACAAATCCAGATTCTCAAGATGGAAGTGAGATAACACTGGGGGCGGATTATGCGCTACAGTCTGGTGGAGCTGTACCTACATCCGGGTTTTCAAGGACCAACAGCATGGGGTTATCAAGAACGATCAGTCTAGGTAGTATTGCATCTGGGATCGAGGATACCTCTGGTAGTATTGAATCGATAAGCCGCGGTGTCGATGGGACTCTGGCGGTTCTTACAGAAGAAGAACAAAATCGAGAACGCAGAACAGTTGAAGATATTTCGCCCCCAGAGACACCCAGAGCCGCGATCAGATCTATTGCTGCACCCACAGACACCATCATCGCTCGACACGTACGCAATGTGCAGGTACCAGAGTCATTGGCCAAAGAATATCGCAACAAGAGCGGTGTACCATCACCAAATAAGCGATCTGGTTTTACGAGTTCTTCGCTTGGCCGTACAGGGAAGAATCTGACGCTCAAAGAACAAAGTAGTACGATTGAGAGATTGTCGAAGGAGAATTTTGATCTCAAGCTGAAGGTTATGTTTCTGAGTGACCGACTGGACAAACTATCAGAAGAAGGTGTTCGTGAGATGATCTCTGAGAATGTAGAATTAAAGACAGGACTTGCTGTGATGCAGCGTGACAACAAAGCTCTGAAACGCAAAGTAAAGGAGTTGGAGAAGCGATTGCAGGACGATGAGGAAAGGCCCAGCACAGCTCGATCAGGAACGTCAACAGGTGACCCAAGTCCAAAATGGTTTGACCAGGAAGGGGCTCAAGAGCGAGAGGAAGAACTCTTGTACCTCCGCGAAAGGGTTGAGGAGTATGTGACTGAAATTGAGAAACTCCGAAATGATAGCATCTCGCGTGAAAACGAGAAACGTCATTTGGCCGAAGTCGTACGATCGATGGGCGAGCGACGGGGGCAAAATATGGACGCCCGAGAGGAAATGGATGTATGGAAAGACATGCTAGAGCAAGAAATGGTACACCGTGAGCAGGCTGATGAAGAAAACAAGACGCTGCGAGAAGAGATATTCAGGCTTAAAACGGAGACCATACCTGCACCTGGCCTAGCTGGGCTTAACCACACGACCAACATCTACAACATCACCAAGAAAAGACAGATTTCGCCCTCACGGCCAAGATCAGTACTTTCTGAAGAACGAGCCGACGACAGGACTGGTGCTTTCAGTGCAGCTAGTACCGTGGTAGAAGATCTTAGACAAAATTGTGAGCAACTGAGGCACGAGAATGCCGAACTTCGGCGGGAAGTTGGAGCACAGACTGCTATGCTTACATCTCGCAATCGCGAAAAAGAGAGGCTTCATCAAGAAATTGAAGACCTAAAAATGCTTCGAAGAGGCGGTGCAGGCTCCGTTGCTGGAGACAGCATCCTTGATCGATCGGCGTCGCGGGCACACGTACGCTCAGCATCTCGATCAAGCGCTGTGACCAGAGTAACGACCATGACAGACGCAGAACGAGAAGACTACGAAAACAAGACCGCAGAGCTTCGGGACCGTATCAATAGTCTTAAAATTCACAACCAAGATCTGCAGCGCGAGCTGGAATCATGTATGGAGGATTTTGAGACCGCTGTGGAGCAGAAAAAGCAGGCTGAAGCCCTCGCCAGTGAAATGCAAGAAGCGTTAGAAACTGCCGAAGCAGACTTGTTAACCATGCAAACTGACAGAGACGAAGCGCTTCAAGGACAGGAAGAGGCCGAAATCATGTTTGAATCGCTCAGGAAAGAAGCCCAAGAAGAGCTCGATGGGTTTGCTGCAGAGGCTGAGGAAGCCCAGACTGAGATCGAGCGACTGCAAGCCGAGTTAGCAGATACAACGGAGAACTTCAATTCTTTGCAGAACGAGATGCGCGAAATGAGTGAAGGCGTTGTCAGACTGGAAGATGAGCATGAGAACCAAACCCGAAGAATCCAGGATCTCGAACACGACCTGGAAGAGGCTAACAGAGAGCTTGAGCAGATGGAAAAGAACCTCGTTGATGTCAATGGCAAGAACCATCGTCTGACAGTCCAGCAAGAGTCGAGTCAGGGTGAGATTGCCTTCCTTCGCGAGGAACAAGATGGCGATAAAATTAAAATTGGTCATCTCGAAGCCGCGAATAGGGCATTTGACCAAGGCCTGCGTGAGGAGCGTGAGCGCGTTCGGGAATTAGAGGAGCGTTTGGCGGCTGAGCGGCATCAAAGAGAGGTCGTTGCAGGCAAGGAGAAACAAGAGGTTCAGCAGTATATCAACGAATTGAACCGAGAAACATCGACTGCGAAAGACGAAATTCGCCGTCTGAAGAAGACTTTGAATTCCAGAGAAGTAGAGGCTGCGGAGTGGAAACTCCGGCTGCAGGAGCTCGAAAACAATTTGAGGGAAGCTTTGGGCGACCTTAATGGTACTAGATCGAGTCTACTGACCGTAAGTTTTCAAACTCTCCTTCGTGGGATTATACTAATATTTTGACAGGGCATCTCCAAACTTCAGAGAGACCTAGAGAAGAATATGCAGGACCTTGATAGGACGAAAGCTTCTCTTAGCGAAAAGGAGCGCCAGATACGGCGGAGTCAAGATCTTCTCGAGACTGCTGCGCTCGAGTCTCGCAAACTTGCTGATATGAATGATAAAGAGAAAGCAGCCCATCGTAACACGATGCACCAGTTTGAAACTTACCAAAAGACCACTCAACACACAAGTCGAACTCTCTCCCAGCAAGAATCCCGTATTCTTGAACTCGAGACTTCACGACAAGCTGATAAAAGGAAAATCTCTACTCTTGAGAACAACTTCAAGGATCAAATGAATGAACGCAACAAGCTCCTTCTAGCGATATGGAATCGTTTAAGTGCGCTTTGCGGATCAGACTGGAGTCACAATAATAGTCTTATTAATGGACGTGCCTTACCATCTCTTGAGGCAGTGTCCACCATGCTTCCTGGGTTCGCGAAAAACCTACTAAGCGCTGTCAAAACTATTGAAGGTCTTATTGGCGATTTCAAGACACGTATCCGCAACATCGAAAAGGATCTTTGGAAAGAATACCAGAGCCTGGAATCCAATCTTGACGTTCGTACAAAGCGTCTCGATCGTTTGGAGACTCTCTCTAGGAGCGCTGTCCCTGGAACCCATAATGATGGCAGAGCGGAACTTACTAAGTTAAGAGATGTCAACAAGACTCTGAAAGCCGAGTTAGCAAGCCTGAGAGCCGCCTATGAAGTCCGCTCGACAGCCTTTGATAACCAAAGTCCTAGTCCATCTGTGCCCACAGGTCCACGAGCTAAAATCAGTGACAGAAGTAGGACTTCTACGCTGACACGTGCTCAATCAGCGTCAGTAACCGAGACGCTCAACCACCACAAATCTAGAAGCGAAAGCACAAGTCTGAGTGTCACGCCGAGCAAAAGCTCAAGTGGAAGCGGCGCCAACGACGATACCTACACCCCTGATCTCCGCTGGCAGATCCGCTTGCAAGAGCTCGAATACAAGCTCAAAGCCGAGCGCGAAGCACGAAAAACCGATCGTTCGAGCGCTAGACAGAGGTTACAAGAGGCGAGTCGCGAGAATGCGGAGTTGGTGGCGGAGGTGGAGCGGAATAAGGTGCGGGCGCAAATGGGACGGTGAGCTTGGAATATGCTTGGTGTTGGGATAGGTGTATGAGTACGTTGTTCGTGCATAGGGATCTTTTTTGGGAAGGGGAGGCGTTTGTATATTGGTGGTTAAGGCATGGTAGGATGGCGTTGAGGGGGGATATGATTTGATGAGTGGGGATTAAAGCATCTTCTTTTTTGGTGGGTGGGATGGGGGTTTGTGTATAGTTTGTTTTTTGGTGGGGGGTTGGGGAATTTGATATATTTCCAGGATTTTATTGTTTGAGATGGACGTGGTGACATGTGCTGCGGCGTCCCAAAGAACTTTTCTCATGAGATATCAGACTTCGTTATTGGACTCGAATCATAGAAATACTACGCCCACGGAATCACTTCCTGATCCGCCGCAATTCAGCATCCAAGCCCTACACCTCTACATATCTCTACCTCAAAAATAAAGTTATATCTAACCATGAAGCTTTCGTACGTTCTAGAGTAAATTACCTGTTTTACCCGGCGAAACCTCACGGTGGAAGAAACAGTGACGAAGTCTCGTGCGTTTAGGGGTTGATCTTGTAACTTATTTACATAGTAGAAGAATTAGTCTTGGGCTAGAATATGGAAATAAAGAAGTGCTCTAAACAAACATGTTCAAGTCAAGTAGATAGGTGGAAGATGGAAACTCGAAGGATATCTCAAATAACGAGCCTAACTTCGTGTCGACACTCGCGTTACTAAACGTACAATTTGGCTTTCTTGGATCTTGACTTCTAGAAAGTATATCGTCTCGAAAACTTTTAAAAAATTTGTAACTTTTTTTCCTTATACCTACGCGTTTATTATAGAAAATTATATCTCCGTTATTAGTTACATTTCTAAGTAATTACAAGGTTACAGCTTTGACGGCCTAAAGTGTATATGTTACTAAAGGTGGGATGGTAAACTAAAGCAGTATATACTAAACCTCATTAACTATTCAGATATTCTGCAGAAAAATGTCAAATCGCGTCAATAGAAAGTGTACGAATCCAAATACTTATTTGGGCGTTAATCTAGCGTAGGTAGTAAGAGGTTTATATATTTAATTATATTTTTTAATATATCTAGATCGTCACATAACAAGCCTACTCTACGAACATAAAGCCTTCGAATTATCAATATAGAGTTAAGTTTACGAAGATATATAAATCTTACTTTATCTAAGACTAGGTTTAAGCCGTAGATAGAGCTTTCTACTACGGGAATTACGACTTTCTAGGGAAAGCTCGACTAAAGTAACCTTTATTTAAGATTTTTATTTTATTTTATAGAAATCTAAGCTACCTACGAGCCTATGCTTATATTATATATAGTTATTTTCTATTTAAATTTACATAGGAGTAATAAAGGGTGCAGCTTTGCTGAATATTAGGTGACGATCTAGATATATTAAAAATCCGATCTAGATTTAGTAAAACCCACATTCAATATCCAGCTATCGTACATGCAACGATCTATAAATCCAAATATTAAAGCCAATTCAAGCTAAACAACCCCCAAAAACAGATATAACGACAAAATATCGTAGCCTCCACGCTGGTAATACATGGTATTCACAAACGCCACTCGTTAAACAATTATACAACATATATATTTCATTTCGTACACGAGCTTAATCGTCATCCACTTTATCTAATACGGAATTGTTGTTTCGAGCGCGAATCTGCTCCAGAGTAGGTCTATAAGGCCATCTCATCCACGCTTCAACAATATCCGCAACATGCTCATGAGTTAAACACCTCGTCCTCATCAATTCTAAATCCGTGTCACCGCCCTTGGTCGGGTCCGAAAGGGAGGGAACCTCTTCGAGCAGGTATTCGTATGCGCCTGGCCAGAGCCTTTCCAGCTCGACTTTGACGGAACTAATCGTGTTTCTAGTTACGTGTGCCATGATATAGTCCACGTACAGGTAGTTCTCGGGATTCTCTTTCAATGCTGGCAAGACCGTCTGAGGTTCGAAATCGAGCAATGCCAAGGGGCGTTGCGGGCAAAATTCTTCTGGTCGTGCTTTCAACGGCTCATACTCCCTTCGGTCATATATGATTCCAGAGGGTTCTATCGTCGAAACTCGGTCAGTGTCAAGCAATCCTGTAGCCATCGAGAGCACTTGACGGTCCGGCACACTTTCGAGATCTTTAATGAATTCCCGCCGGCTGGCTGCTACACGCTCTTTCTTTTTGGTCGCACGTATCCCCTTCGAATGGTGAAGCTCTTTTATCTTAGTGAAGATCTCTCGTTGCCGAGAACGGAGGGTTTCTAGCACCTTGGCTCGTCTTTCGAATGTGTTTCGATGTGTTCGCAGCATGGCTAGCCGTTTGTATTCAGGCGTAAGAGCGCCCTGTATTTTAGGTTTTGATCCGGCCATTTTCGTTTTGGCGACAATCATTTTTGAATGTAGTTTTTCACGTTCCTTTTCAGGCATGGGATATCTTTTGGGGAACTTGCCGGCAGCAAAGCGGGCTTCTAAGTCTGGCAACTCCTTCACGAACCGTTCTGTGTCTTGTTGCCCCTTTTTCATCCGATGATCAGCACCGTGCAAGCCTAATGCATGTCCTAGGAAAAGACTTTCTCGACCAGGCGGTGTCTTCGTTCCGTTGGCTTCCATTCTAAGTATAACCTTCCGAACGCTTTCAAGCTCAAGCCCAAGGTCTCGAGATAGATAAGTAGACGGTACCGTAGAAGATGCCACTTCGGTTATGCGCGAGCAAGCGACAGCCATTGCTAATGAACCTTTTTTCCTACTGTGTACATGCCTCGGCAGGGCGAGAAACCTGTCCTGATCATCTACCCAAGCCAAGATGCGGACTAAGCCGTACTTTTGAAAATAGCTGTGAGTGATAATTGCAGCCATCATCTGATTGATGAACAGATGCGCAATCGACTGGAAGCCCATGAAGGCCCATTTGGGGAAAAATGCGATGTTCATTACCACCAGCATCGTCGGGTTTGGCTCGGAGATGCGTGGATCGTCCTTGTCCAGAACCTTCTGATGCGGGAAGTTCTGTTCATTCAGCACCTTCTCGAGGGATTTGAATAACAGCCCTGATTTCTTCACCCAGACATATTTCGAGTCGGGAGCGTCGAGCAGCGGCTGCAGAAACGGGGTGTAGGCCACCCTCTCCTGCTCCATCAATATATGCTTCCGAGGCTTGAGCAGATCGTGCAGTTTGGACGAGAAGATGGCAGGCCCGGGGTTGATGTCAAGGATGTCGCAGCCCTCATGCTTCAGCAGAGACGGTTTCAGACGTTCGAGGACATCATCTACATCGATTAGTCGAGTCAACAGCAAGAGAAGGGTCACCAACCGCACAGCTCCTTACTGACCACGCTCACTCGCCTGCTCGATCCAATTGCATTCCCGCGTTTGGACAACTTATAGTGGCGTTGTAATGTTTGTAGGACGAGTTCTGTGGGAGCACCAGGGGGAACTCGAGGGGTGACGGCATCCACTGCCAGCTGAGATGCCCTTTGAGCAGCCGTTTTCATCGAGGAGGATCAACGAGTGTGGGTGGAGGCGTAGAGTACAGAATGATCGCAACGTTGACATGGAGAATGGGGAACTAGAGCAAACAGGGACAGCTGGGAGAATTGTTGCAGAGCAATGGGCTCACCGCCCTCAGACCGTTTCCTGGGTCATAGCCCCGATGAGTCGGCGAGGTCCAGGCCAGCGTTAGGAGCTATCGGACCGCAACCCTCCGGTTCCATCAAGGTGTACTTCCACCCCTCAGTGGGGACGCGCAACGGAACTGACATTCACAACACTCCAGGGCTCCCTCCCATCAAGGCAACAGAATAATCTACAACACCAACACGTCGCCACCCCCGATGTGAACCAAACTCTCCCTCTGACGACTCAACATCGTGTGCGAATGGTGTCAATTCCATGACGAGCCGCTCTTGTTGTCCTGAAAGCTCCATCAACCGTTCTCTCCGTCCCTCTTCTCTTGCCGATTACACACGTTCGTCACCTCACCGGCGCAACCATGGCGGCGTCTCCTTTACAGGCGTCTCATCCGATGAGCGCCAAAGAGATCTCGCTCAAGGCTGCCGACTTCCAATTCAACCCCTTCATTGCCTTGAGATATTGGCTGCGAACGGCCGACACGCTGCTCCGCGAGGTATTTCCCTGATGTCTGATCCTGTTCATCGCGCTGCGAGTACTGACTCTGGGACAGGCCCATATCTACGAACGAGAACACAATGACCCCCAAGCATATCTGCTGCTGATGCGCTATGCGAACCTCGTCGCGGAGAAGTTCCCAGAGCACCCCGCCGCTCGTCTGCCGGAAAACCGCCAGGCGATGAAAGCAGCTCAGAGGACCCTGCTAGAGGTTCTAGACCGACTAGAAGTGCTGAAGCCTCGCATCGATATGCGCTATCGTTCGTGGCAGAAGACGCTGGAAAGGAGGAAAGAGGCTGCTGCTGCGTTGGAAGGTGAACGGCCGCCGTCTCGGTCTCGATTGGAGTACGCTGCGTCGGACCCTGCAGTCGCTGGCAACAGCATGACTCTGGCTGCAGCAGAGAATAGCGAGCTGGCAGTGAAGATGGCACATATGGAAATTAGAAGGCGCGATGCTGCACGTCGAGCTTCGCGACACACGGGCGTTTCTGAGGAGGACGAGCAGGAGAGGCGAACGGCCGGTTTATGGGATGACTGGGAAGCGGCACTATCCCAAGATGGCCAGCGCTCTTTGCGCCGTGATGATCAGATGCAATTGAATATGGAAGCGTCTCGGAGGAGGCTCGATGGCTCTCATGACATTCTACCTGAGGGACTCAACACACGACCATCCAAAGCGCCCCCTCGCACTGCCAGGCCAGATCAGAGATCCGTTGATAGGAATGATCGGCAAAGAAATGGTCATAGCGAGTATCGTTATCCCTCTATTGCAAAGTCGCAACCATTTACATATGATGAGGATTCTTACAACACCAGAGCTCGTTCCAATTCTCCAAGACGGGTCCTTTTACCCCCTAAGCCACCAAAAGAAAAGCTGGAAAGTTCAGGTTCCTCAATTCAACCACCTCGAAAACCAAACAAATCGCTAGCTGAATCTGTGGATTCGCCAGGGGTATCAGCCTCTACCGATCCTTCCTCGTTCACATTTAGACCATCCGCGTACCTGGAGAACGGCAATCCCCTTCGAACGGTTTTTCTACCGCCAACTCTTCGTAGTGAGTTCCTTGCTCATGCCGCGCCAAACACACGAAGAAACTTGGAGACCTGTGGTATGTTGTGCGGGACTTTGATCTCTAATGCACTTTTCATATCAAAGGTTGTGATTCCAGAGCAAGAAAGTACCAGTGACACCTGCGACACCATCAACGAGAGTGCCTTTTTTGATTACTGTGCCGCTGAAGATCTCATGGTGTTGGGCTGGATTCATACTCATCCTACGCAGACCTGCTTCTTGAGTAGTCGAGATCTGCATACGCATAGTGGATATCAGATTATGATGCCAGAAAGTATTGCGATCGTGTGCGCTCCAAGTAAAAATCCATCGTAAGTCCTCATAGTCCGAACTTATACCTTCAAGAATACTAACATCGACGTAGATGGGGTGTTTTCCGTCTGACTGACCCACCTGGCATGCAATCCGTTTTAAACTGTCGTAAAACAGGCCTCTTTCATCCTCACGATGAAGCCAATGTTTACACGGATGCTCTCCGACCTGGACACGTCTGTGAAGCCGAGGGCATGGAGTTTAGTGTAGTTGACTTGAGACCTTGAGGCTGAGGTCGAATCTGTTATTTTAAAATCAAGATATCATAAATTGCTTTGCTTTCTAGCGTTGGCGTTGGACTGGTTTAGAAGGTGCATATGAGCGTTGCATTTAGAATTCATTATATTATTGGCTGAGAATCTGCGGTTTAAGGGGTATGTGTTGAGATTTAGAATGTGAAATACGATGATACGAATGTCTAATGTCCGAGTTTAGTTCATCATGATTCGTGTTGAAAGGTCCAGTCCAAGTGACTACTGTGCTATTCAACTCTGTCTTCGCGAATTTCAGTGATGGAATATCACATAATCGTTTTCGACTCGAAAGTTTTCGGACTTTCTTCAACTACGATTTCGTAAAGACGTGATGTAGACTTAGGCCTCTAGAATTGTGATTCAGAATCCGGTGCCTTGGGTTGGCAGTGCTGACGTCGCTAGCACCTGTTGTAGAGTAAGAAGATGAAATTAGACCTACTTAGGCAGAAGTTGTGTGTTCAGTCGCGTTCAAACCGCACTTCGAAGGCTTACAGGCAACAGGCTGCGAGATCTCGTCATTAAAGCCATTTAGTTTTCTTCTTTCGTTCCAGTGTTTATGAATCAAAGTATACATGATTTACTCTCACGTTTTCCCGTCCTCACAAGCATGAAGTTATACAGTTTTGTATTACAGCTTACATACAAACCCCTATAAACACACATCTTCTTCGCACATGATCGCAACACACAGCTTAACTCAGGTAATCCTTAATCTCACTCTGCAGCTGCAAGAATGTTTCTTTGTCGTGGCCTGGGATGACGCGGCCTTTGGTTGTGGATTCTAGTCTTTTGAGGCGTTGAGTGGATTGAAACTATTTTGAGTTAGTAAATGCGTAGTTTTACTTTTGCTCTGGGGGGTTTAGGTTGTGATGTAGGAAGATTTGTTCAGATTTAATGGGATAATTGTGGTTGAAGGATATTGAGACTTACCCAGGCAGGATGATCACGAGCGAGCCAGCCTTGAGGGATACCGTCTCTCCACTGTTTTGTGTCAGCTTGAATCTCGAAGCAGGTGGGGAGAGAGATGCTTACGTTCTCGATAACGTGACAGTGATCACTGATGAAGAAGAATGTTCCGCTGTTCGGGAGATTAAGTTGCATGCCCACAAGTCCATCTGTATGACCTGGGAGATGATGCAGTGTCTAAATCTAATCAGTCTACTGCTATTGAAAGCGTATAAGTTGGAATGATACTCACAATACCCTGACAAAAGTCCACAGTCCGATCATCAAATGTTTTCCAATTCAAACTCAACTATCCAAAACATTAGCAAAAATCTCCAGGTCATCATTGAGGAGAACCTTACATCCATATAATGTTTCAAATAAACACCCTCATCCGCCCCCGTAGCCACAGACCAAAACGCCGATCTCAACTCCTTATCATGCACCCAGATCTCGACATCCTTACGGTCCATGAATTGATCAAGACCGCCTGCGTGATCAAGATGCATGTGTCCCAAGATACTATTTCCAATTAAGCATCCCAAAATATGAGAAGAGGAGGGGAGTGCTTACATCTTCTTAATATCCTCAAGTTTATGACCCGTAGCCTCGATTGCAGCTTTGAGTTCATGTTGCGGCTCATACCTTATCCTCGAAAATACGTCCGCGACTTGAGGGCCCCAGACTTCGGGGTAGTCTTTGCCACTTCACATCATCAAATTAGCAATCCTCATCTCTCATCTCTGTCATAGTGCGAACATACCATCCCGTCTCCCAAAGAATACAACCCTCATGGGGATGATCAATCAACACACAATAAATCGGCAACTCCCTCCTCTTATTCACAAACTTCTCGCCAGCTGTACTCATCAACGAAGTATTTCCCCCGCGCACCACGAAACCCTCGTCACATTCGAGCCAGCCGCACTCGAGGAGGTACGCTTTAGTGCCTTCGGGACAGACGTTTGCTACGTGTGATGCTATGGCGCCTGCGGCGATTTGATTTTGCATTGCTGACATGATCGCTTACTCTGATTCTAGAGAGCCAATTCAATATTGTGAGATTTTTGATAAGAGAGGTTGTGATATTGTGAAAGTACGTCAAGATGCTGGACACCCCGCACCAGAGTCGTAGTACGGCTTTCACTCGGTATGTGAGCTAAGTGGCATATGTGCTATGCATTGAATGGACGTACGGAGCTGCGGGTTAACCATATTTGATTAGTTTGTGTTGGGGTGATTTCTAATCCTAATTTGGTGGCATGCTACAAGTCTATGTAGCGTACTGTAGCGTTACCACTTCAACCGCGTTCTTGGGATTTCCCCGTTACGGTCGTTACGAGAGTTGGCCGACGATGGACCTGAAAGCATATTGATATTCGGGTTTTATGATGTAGAATCGAGTTCTACGAATCTATAGAAAATATCCCACACGTAATATCCCTGCAGAAACATGACGTTATTAACAATCTTTGACTTGTTCGGACTGCACTTACTTGTGGATATGCTTTCGAGTGGAAGTACACATGCGGGGAAAACGAAGCGAAAAGCGGTCCGCTTCCACATAACTACCCCGCATCACCCGGCTTCAACTTGATTTGAACAACAAGCCATTGATATACCTTCATAGACACCTCGGTCTTGTCTTGTAATAAAATCATTGATTCTCTTTGAAAATATTCTTTGAACCGTTTGCAGGGAAAACATATCTGAACCAGTATTTTCATTTCAACTAAATTCTTGTCATCATGTCAAAATCCACCATGAAAGCAGTTGTATTCAAGGGGAAGCTGAATGTAAGAATCGAAGACCGGCCGATACCCAAGATAATCGACGATACCGATATCATCGTCAAAGTACGATACTCAGCATTATGCGGAAGGTGAGACAATAAAGGAAGTGCTTTGCGAGGTTTTCGCTAAACCAAGATATCAGCGAACTACATGTCTTCCGAGGTCACCAACCAAGTAAAACAGACTTCATTATGGTCATTCAGCCATCTTTCCGTTACTCACTGGACATTACTAACACAACACAGGGCCACGAGACAACAGGAGAGGTGGTCGAACTTGGATCCTCTGTAAAAAACCACAAAAAGGGTGACGTAGTGGTAATGCCTTTCACGGTGTCATGTGGCGAATGTTTCTACTGTCAACGCGGATTCTCCTCTCGTTGCGAAAAAAGTCTGCTTTTCGGTTGCCCGCTTTTGGATGGTGGTCAGGCCGAATTCATGAGAGTTCCTCTGGCGGACGCCACGGCTGTGAAGGCGCCTGAGGGAATTGAAGAGAAGAAGTTGGTGCTAATGGCTGATATTTTTCCTACCGGATATTTTGCAGCGGCGAACGCGTTTAGGGAGTTTGATGAGGACACAATCAAACAGAGCGTGGTTGTACTTATTGGATGTGGACCGGTTGGGTTGTGTGCCTTGATCAATGCTTTGGAGTATGGGCCCAAGGCCGTAATCGCTGTTGACCGTGTAGATAGTCGATTGGAGTTGGCGAAAAAGTTAGGAGCCGAACCATTCAATGACCAAACGAACAAAGAAGGTAAGGAGCAAGTTTGTCGATGAGAAAGTCATGATCTGACTTGAAATAGGCCTCGAGGCGAGAGTGAAGGAACTTACCGATGGGAGAGGCGCCGATACCATTATTGAAGGTGTTGGTCATGCGGATGCTTTGAAGACTGGCTTTGATCTCCTCAGGCCATGGGGTAATATCTCAAGTTTCGGTGTCCATAATGAGGCTATCCCTTGGTCGGGAAATCAAGCATACGGCAAGAATCTAAGAATCCAAATGGGCCGATGTCCTGTTCGAAGTACACATCTGTGCGATTGCATTAAGGCTTTGCTAACCAAAGCAGGTATTTTCCCCGAAGCGTTGGAAATGCTAAAGAAGAAGCAGCATCTGCTAGAGTAAGTTCACCTCCCACTGTTGGTCAAGGCGATCTACTTACTGATTCCCTCTTTAGTTTCATGACGGAGAAAATCATGCCAATGAGCCAAGCTGTTGAGGGATATGAAATATTCAATAGCATGAAGGTGCAAAAGGTTATCTTTGAAGCAGAGCATAATTGAGCGGGTTTATGTACCGTAGTCGTGTAGCTTTGTAGCATAGTAGGAGAATTCGATAGTGCAATGGAGGCTCTTTTCTAGGCAAATGCGACTCATTGGCTCAACTTCTGTCAAACACTGAATTGGTAGACGCCGACGACTCGGAAAGATATCGTCGTGACTATAGTGTGCTTAGAAGTATCGCCACGCGAAGGAAGCAACTGAGATGGCGAAGGACGTTGGGTACGGGAAGTTTCTCATGGCAGGAGAACATTCCAAGGTCGTGGAGGATAACGGAAGCCCTGCTGGTCGTATGCCGTCGGTCCAAGTCTAGGAAGTTGGAGTGCCTGCGAGAGTGCGATAGAGAGAGGAGAGAGGAGAGCCGACAGAGTCCATACGTGTGGAAGGAAGAAGACGACGAATTCAATTACCGGACGACAAAGGCTACGGCTGGTCGATGCTATAGATTGTTCGACAAGCAAGATTTGATAGTGCAGACGAGACCGTAAAATGCTTGGGTAAAAGCTCCCGTAAAAGATTGTAGCCTGTTTGCGTCAAGTCAACGAATGTGTTTGTGAGTTAGTAAGGAGTGATGGGCTGCGAACGGCGATGGCTTATTTGACGCGTCCAAGAAAACTGCAACGGGTGAAGTAGCGTGACCACGTGACTCTATTGGCCTCCTGTTTGTTGTGGTTGCTCGTTCTTAGGGCCTATTCGTTCTATTCCTCCACATCTCAAACGCAGAAACACCTTGAACGATGTCATCCTCTTGGTTCTCAAAACAGCACGGGAACTTTACATGCATTGCTTCTCCCGACCATCAAATTGGCTTCCTTGAAGGCTTCCCGGCTACCGGTAACTTGATTGATTCCACCTCCTGCAAGTGCAGGTATACCCACGTGTATTAAAGTGATCTCTACTCGGCTGAGAGGACGGAATCCTTCGCGACGAAATGCGCACTTCTTGTCTGTACCAGGTGAGTTGAACTCGACATCAAAAACCATCTGAGGTAACCCGAGTTGATAATTGCAAGCCCTTTTCTTTTATTCTTTTTCTCTATATGCTGATCAGTCAAACAGACTCGATTGATACATTATATCCGGCGAGGATACTCTAGAACAACGACCCCACAGTCTCCAAGGAAAATCTCGATGAAGCTTTTTGGCGCTGCACTCTGCAAGCCTCAATTGAAGACAATCGCGCAACTGTCTTGGCAATAGCTGTCACAGCGAATCATCGCAACCGCTTTTTGCACGCCCTCTCCCGCATTTATCTCGATAAGAGATCGATTCCGAAGCCAAGTCGTCATATCTCACATGCGGGTCGATTGAGGATATTGGGATACTTTGAATATCAATTCACAACGATGCGATCATGATGAGTCTGATCCATTTGGTTTCCATGTTCCAAAGCGACGCTTCTGCCAAGAACCATCTATAGTCGTTACCCACGTCCATTCACACACGTCTAAAGGGACGAGGTTGGTAGCACTCTATTAGGCAGCTCCGTACCGATTTTAGCTGCAGGCCAAGCTGCCGTACATCAGTGTCAATCAACACGTGGGTTTGTACAGACTTCTGATTCCTCTGTGCCTTTGCGCGGTCACTCCGTGCATGTTCCCCGCTCATTGGTATTCCCAGATCCGATAATGGAATGCCAAAATGACGGGTCCGTAAGCTTTCTGTACCTGCCGATCATGCAGGAGCTTATAAAAGCTAGGTACCTTGATGTCTACTTTGTGCATTCGAGCAACCATTTTTCTTTGCCAATTGCCCATCATGGTTGCCTTTTCCTCGCTCGTTCTCACGACAGCGTCTTTATTGACTCTGACAACTGCACAAACATTTCAACGGTTGGGAGCTTGTCCAAGTGAGTTCCAAAGGTCTGCTGTAGCTACCCCTCCAAGCTAACCAGCTATAGCTCTTGGCTGTGTTCTTCCTCCGGACCAAGCCGACTTTCTTGCCGGACAATATTTTGACATTCGACTTGAGGTGTGCTATTCTCCGAGCGAATATCAGCTTATGGATGGCTTTTACTGACGTTGTCAGGTCCATGCTCCAGTCAATGGCTCAGAGGCAAATGGCGGGGTACCAGATCCAAACTTTACATTTTCAATTGCAAAGGCAGGAGGGTCCCCACAACCAGCTGCGTCTTTCTTCAAGATAGCCGAGCCAGCTTTGGAAAGATGGAACTTCACTTGGGTGAGCAGAACCGTTGACCGGGTGGGGATCAAGCTGACCATTATCAGTATGAGGACTTGTTCGCCGTCGAAGCAAAGACGCCGTCTGTCGTCCGAGTAACCAGTAAGGCATACCGCCGCGTTGCCTTGTACGAGCCCGGAGAGTATGTTGCGACGTTGAGTTACTACAATGGAACCAAAACGGTGGCCAATTGGTTAGTTCGACCTTTACAGCAACAGAAGAAGGCAAAGAATGTTATTTTGTTCATTGGTGACGGCATGACCACCAACATGATCACAGCAGCCCGTAAGATAATGCTCTATTCATTATGAGTCAAGTACTTACTTTTCTCAGGCTTGATCGGACACAAGAGCATTAACGGCAAATACCAAACAAAGATGCAGATGGACAAATTCCCAGTGCTGGGTCACCAAATGGTAACGGTTGATCCACTGAAGATCTGTAACTCCGCTAATTGCGCCTAGACACACTCACTTGATAGTTACATTACCGATTCTGCCAATTCAGCTTCCGCTTTGTATTCTGGACACAAAAGTACTGTCAATGCCATGGGTGTCTACGCGGATTCAAGTCCTAATGTAAGCTGCTCTGCAAGGCTTGGTATTGAGCAGTCACACTAACTCGGTGCTTTTCTTAGCCCCTGGATGATCCTAAAGTAGAAACGATTGTTGAGCTCTTGACACGCATTTGGGGCTCCGCCATAGGTGTTGTTAGTACTGCCTTTATCGCAGACGCCACTCCAATCGCCTTGACCGGACATACCAGACTTCGAAGTCAATACGGTGTCCTCATCGAGCAGTCCCTTCGTGGTGTACAGAACTACACTTGGACAAAGTACACAGGTGCCGACGTGTTTTTCGGAGCTGGAGCCGAGCAGTTCATTGTAAGTGCATACAACTTGGCAGATCTCCTGCATAATCTTCTGATACTAACTTCCCATAGCCTGGTTCAGGTTCTTTCCAGGGCAAGGACTACTACAAGGAATTTGCCAACGCAGGGTATTCCGTGTCCATGAACAAAACCAGCATGCTCACAGCACCTACCAATCAGAAGGCTCTCGGTATTTTCTGCACCTCTAACCTCCCCGTGTGGTTGGACCGAAATGTCTACAAGAACAACCTCAACCTCACAAACGATCCTTCTGGTAATAAGAAGGCTGCATTGGACTTACCTGGTCTGAAGGAGATGACGTTGAAGGCAGTTGACATTTTGCATGAGAGAGGTGGAGACAAGGGCTTCTTCCTAATGTCCGAAGCTGCTTCAGTAAGCATTTTACCATGCCCTATTTTGTCGTCAAACGCTAACCACTTGTTAGGTCGACAAGCAAATGCACGTCCTAGACTACGACAGAGCCTTAGGTGATCTTCTCGAACTAGACGACACAGTGAACGCAACCATTGCCAAGCTCAAGCAAATGGGCGAGCTCGAGAACACCCTCATCATCGTCACTGCCGATCACGGTCATGGATTTGATGTCTACGGGTCCGCAGATACCAAATACCTCAGCAGCAAGGCCGACGATCGTGAGAAGCGCAATGCTATTGGCGTTTACCGAGAGTCCGGTCTGAGCCAATACACCGTATCCAATGCCAGTGTCTCTTACAACACTGGTGTAAACTTCCCCGTGAACTGGGATCCAAGATACACACTCGCACAAGGAACTGGTGCATTCCCGGATAAACGTGAAAATTATCGTGTCCACAAGAGTGGTTCGCGCGTACCAGCAGTCAACATTACCGGCAAAGCAAATGATGATTACTATGTCAATGCTAAGGACAACACCGATGGTTACATCGTAAACGGCACGCTTCCCACCAACGAGGCTCAAGGTGTACACTCCTTGACTGATGTCCCTGTCTTCGCTATGGGTCCTTGCCAGGAATTGTTCGGTGGTGTGTACAGCAACATCGATATCTTTTTCAACATGGCCAATTGTCTTGGATTGGGAAGATCGAGCAATGCTACCGGTGGTAACAATTACACCGTACCTACGCCTACTGTCTCCTCGCTCCCAGCTACTGGTGCAGCTGCTGATCCGGCGACGAGGGCGCAGAGAGGGTTGTGGTTTGGCATGATTGTCTTCATGGCTTCCATTGGGTGGTTTGCTATTAACCTGTAAACTGGGATTTGAAATATACTGCTTAGATGTCGAAGTAAATATAATGACGAAGACATAAATATAAATACTAGTTTATTTTATTTCAAAGATATTTAATATTCAATACCTTAGTAGTAACGTATAACTATTAAAGTTATTATTTAACGAGTGTAATTTAATTAAGTATTTTATAGATCCCTTACTTTAGTAAATTTAATATCTATTTTTAGATAAAATAAGAGATTTCTAAGCTAAATAGTAATAGTACTAGTCTATTATTATTTGAGAGTAAAAGTCTCTCAGTATCGAGTCCTCTTGAGCAACGAAATCAACAGTCTCTTACGAGAAAACTCGTCGGAAACCCGAAGTTCAGCAAACAAGCCTGATAATGACGTTTGCACAGTTCGTACTTATACTCTGTTACCTGCATAAGCAGCACATTCAAGTTTAAATAGAGATACTTCTCTATTAATAGTTGTTTTATTACAACCGTTTTGCACTTTTAAACAATGAGTTATGCACATCATTATATGTTGTTTGGTATTTTGCGGGATGAATTGTTGAAGACTAATAGACTGTTGGCAAGCTGCTGAGTGTCGCTCGGTTATTACCATGGTTTCTCTGTGCCTTTTATCGCGTCCATGAACTTCCCAGAATAGGTGTCCCGCGTGGCTTTCTCAATCTGTAACTGTGGTCAGAAATCTAAGGCAATTTGCAGGACCTCCGAACTTACCAGGCCCATAATCTTCTCTGCGCTTTCTTCGGCAGTCCAAGGAGCCCTTTCCAATCCTAGATACTGGGCTGTCTTGTTTCCCATGTCCGTAGCCACCAGACTGTATTTTCAGACCGAAGTTAGCTTCCGGTCTGACGGAGTTTGTTGTACTTACCCAGGGCTGATGGCAACAGCTACAAGCCATTTGCTGCTGCAATGCGCGGCCCTAGACACAATAGATCAGACTTGTTCTCTATCTTTTTAATTCAGGGAGTAACAGTACAACGTAATCCAATTCAACGCAGCCTTTGATACACAATACGCCGGTGCAACAAAAGTGCCACCGCGCTCCATACCACCAATACTACCAGCCGCGCTCGTAATCGGCACGAACTTTGGGTTCTTGGAATTCTGGAGCATGGAGTGGCACACTTGATACAGCGCCAACGGACCGAGGGTGTTGACGTTAAACGTGCTGGCCATGTCGTCAAGCGAGACGGTTTCGATGGGCTGCAATGGTGGACTAACGCCCGCATTCGCAATCAGGATGTCAATGTGGTTGATACCTGCTGCCTCTATCTTTCTGACTGCGCTACTGGCGTCTGTCGGACTTGAACTTTCGATTTTGACGAGAAGAAGCCGTGAGCCGTCGCCTTTGGGAATGGCGAGCAACTTCGCTGCTTCGGGCGTCGTGTCGTCGCGAATACTTCCTATTACTGTGCAGTTTGGTTGCAACAAATAGGCTGTTGCTAATGCATGGCCGATACCTGAGAAGTGACTTAGTTCGGATGGAATTGTATCTGAGAAGAGGTCGTACCTCTGTTGATACCCGTGATCATTACAACGAGGTTATTTGACATCGTGTTTCGTTGAGGGGGACTCCTTGGGTGCGTAACATCTACCGTTTATGCTATAACTGAAGTTCACACGAACTTGTCAAAATTGAACTTGCTCTGCTTTGCTTTTGAAGCTGGAATGATAGCACAAGTTTCAAGTACAAACTAACATAAGGAGTAGGCAGGAATGAAACCACACTTTTCTGGTTGGTAATATGCATCTATTTACAAGCATATGTTTGGAGCTTGTTGCTCGAAGCTAGGTGGGTTGGTTCTTACGGATAAATAATCCTTGATACTGCAGGTTGACGGGTTGGGTCACTCACGTTGTCAGCACCAATGTTTTGGTCATATGATCGCCGGTTCGCTCAAATTTCATCCTTTGAAGATCTAATCTTCATCATTCTAGCATCTGCAAATCACTTGTATCATGCTTAAAGATCTTATGCGCACTTTTTATGCTTAATCTACCAGCGCTAGGATATGATATCGCGATGAGTTTCCAGCCCATCACTCTGGCGGAGAATTGTAAGGAGGCGTAACCCTCATTAGGCAGACGAGGTTGAACATTCAGATCACTACAATCACCTGAGTTTCTCCATTACTCTTCACAACATTCACGACATGTTCTTCGCAGTTCTTGTGTGCTTATGCATAGGCTTGCAAGTGTCAGCACATGTATCCTCAAGAGGGGATTGGGAATCACAGCTACAGTCTGTTGCAGCCAAAATACCTAAATACGTCCATGTTGACTACAATATGGGTATTACAGAATGGCTGGCTATCGGAGACTCTTTCTCAGCCGGAATATCCGCAGATGGTCCATCGGACGAGCTGAACTGGCGTTGCAGCCGGTTCAAAATGTCATATCCATATCAAATGCAAAACAGCAACAGGATGCCGGGAAACAAAACATCGCGAAAGCTTACGTTTGGCTCGTGTACTGGAGAGAGTATGAGTGATGTTGTCAATAATCAAATTGCACTTGGTGAGCCTGTAAGTGGTGCAACTTATCCAAAGATTGGGAATCCGCAAGTTGTTAGTCTGAGTGTGTCGGGGAATGATGTTGGGTTTGGTGATGTGGTTAATAATTGTTTGTATCACTGGTTTGGATATCATGTAAGTTGGTTCTTGAATTGGCCGTGATTTCGATTGTTTTACTCAAGCTACCTTGGTAGGAATGTGATAAATATCTGAATAAGTCTACGGAAATAATTCGAAACGAGACGAATCTAGTGGGTATGAAGCTCATTGTGACTCTCACTCAGATCTTGAGCAATCTTCGTCAGACGAAACATGGAAAACATGTTCAGCTGTATGTTAACGACTTTGGTCACTTCTGATCATCAACCCATACGCTGACTTCGAATTAGCTATGTCACTGCATATCCCCGATTTTGGAATGACGAAAATCCACAATGCGACAACGTTACATGGTCATCGTCCTACCCCGACGACGGTATATTAACCCGATCAATGCGAAAACACATGAACAACCTAATCGACGAGTGAGCCTTCTCTTATCCCTCATCTGACTCACGTTAAAATCATTAGACTTAACCAAATAATTCAAGACGTAATAGAAGGACTCTCAACCATCCTAGGAGGAGGCATTTACTTTGTCGATTCCTTCCAGTCCGCCTTTAACGGCCATCGCTTCTGCGAAGTTGAGACAGATCCAGAGTATCACAACGGTCCAATCGATGACAAAACATGGTTCATCCATTTTAAAAGCCCTTATCGAGATTCCCCATCCTTGGATAATAATCCGTCTTCTGGCAATATGTTTGATAGAATTGATGCCCTACTTATCCCGCCCAAGGACGGTCTCTCAACTAGGCAACGAATCGAAGCGGTCGGTGGCGACCGAACAAGGTGTAATGAAGTGTATGCGAATCATGATGATATGACCGCGGCGCTGAAGAGATTAGCTGAGGACGATCCGTTGGAAAATAGTTATTTACCGGTTTCTTGGATGAGGATCATGCATCCGAAGGGGAGTGGGTATAAGGTTATGGCTGATGCGGTTATTGACAAGATTTTGGAGGTTAACAGAATGGAGAGTCAGTCTTCGCTTGAGGTACAGAGAGTAGTCTGGATGTGGGGTTGGTATAAGTGGTTGCAAAGAGTATTTTGAGCTTCTTAGCCGGCATTTCTTATTTCGTAAAATGGAGAATGGCTCGTTAATAGTATTATTATACGAGTGGGAAAATACGTGAATCACATGATAGTACAGTACTGCGGTTGATGGAGAGCGCATATTGAACACAGGTCGGAAAATTATTTAATTGTCACCTATCAGACCCTAACAAATGTAGGGCTGAATAAGCGGCGTATTCATCCCGAGCTTAACAGCGTTTATATTTTGGGCTCATTTACATTTCTTTGCTTCATATTCTTATCGAATTCGAGGTGTACGACACCCATTTCAGGCGTTTACCATCACTTTGCATCTTCGCGAGGTCCTGTCTCGTGCAGCTGCTGTCAGCACGATCACCAGCCAGCCACTCCGAGACAGGTTCTCAGCTGATGGACAGCCACTACCCAAAGTACCTTCGCTGAGATCCTGGGATACTCATAATCGCATCTTTCGAGTCCGTCGTGGTGTTGCTGTTGTCCGCTTTCATTTTCTTGGCGCTGCGATTGAATCGCTGTCTCTTTGTCAGTCGCACACATTATTCATCTCAGTTGAAGTAGAGTCATATATGTTTCTTCCAGCGTCCGTTTTCGTTTCGTAAACTCTCCAACAGATGAGATTCATCTTTGTACCTGCGCCGTCCCCGCAGGGCTGCAGGGTTCTCATGACCACTCGTCATATGCCCAGTGGCTGCGCTTGGCTACCTGAGACATCTACATTTCAACAACCAACATGCATTCAGTCGCTGAGGGCTGAATGGTATTTCGTGCGACGTGAAGACGATTCTCTTTGTCAGGCGGCCTTATTTCATTCGCGTGAATCATTTCTCATTTGACCCATTTTCTTTTCATTATATTCTCCTGCTTCATCTTCTACGATTCGTCCTCAAACCGCCAGCATCATGACGGGCATCAAGTTCTACGGCTCCCAAGTCGGTTCGAAAATCAAACTAACTCATCAGACCTCAAACGAGCCGATCAGCCTTCTCTATCATGACATCCTCACCGCGCTCAAATCCGCACCAGAAATCATCTACATTTTCTGGCCCATATGGCCCGCCCTCTCTGGCGACTTTTGCGAATTAGCGCCCACACGCGCGAATTTCTGGGCGATTTTTCTGCATGTCGTGTTGTTTGTGATGCAGGTTCCGTTTGTACTAAGCGTACCGTTATGGATTTTGTTACCGGGCTGGACTGTGATTATCGGGGTGGCTGTGTTTATGGTGTTGAATAATTTGGTGGCGTATCTGTTGAATGGACCGAAGAAGGAATTTCGTAGTGGGGAGAAGTTTGCGAAGAAGAGGTCGGAGCATGAGGGTGAGGAGTGGGTGTTTATGAATGGTGTTGCTGCTGGGTATGTTTTGGTCGTGGATTGAGGGTGCTAGCTAACTGGGTGGAGGGAACATTGGCTTCAACGCAATATTGATCGGATTGCCTTGACTTTTGGACGGCCAGTTACGGGTCTTCATAATAAGACGTAAGTTCTCAAAGCTTATATAATGTAGAGTGATCAATATTAACATTTCAAACAGGAACGGAATAGTCTTTGACGTTCTACAAGTCCTCTGGCAACGGAATTTCCGCTACGCAACAACTGATGTCCGGAAACACTTTACAATTCTGAAAGCACTTCTATTTGACCCTGATACCAAGAAGCTGGTATTCATGATGCACTCTCAAGGTGCCATTGAAGGCGGCATGATCATTGATCTCCTACTTCAAGAGATCCCACAAGATCTCCTCGCAAAACTTGAAGTCTACACCTTTGGATGTGCAGCCAACCACTTTAACAATCCACGTCGACATGTCAGAGGTAGTGAAGCTGAGCACTCTCATAGTCAGAAATGTCTCGATAAAGACCGAGATCCAGGGAAAGCTATTCACCATATCGAGCATTACTGCCATACCAAGGATTTCGTTGCGAGATGGGGAATCTTGCATTACATCAACCCAGGAATTACCGAACCTGATTTCCCACGCTTCATGGGCAGAGTATTTCAACGCGAAGGCAGCGGCCATATGTTCGGCCAACATTATTTCGACAACATGTTCCCCTTGGAGCCAGCTCCCACGAAAGATGGCGGGATCGGCCAAAGCGGTTTCCTAGGCGCCGACGAGAAGAAGAACGCATTCATGAACGAGGACGTCGAATGGGTAGGCAAAACGCGTGTGGGCCGTCAAGAAAACCTCGAAACTTCAGCTACCACTACAGATGGCACGACACCGGAGTTTTACGACGAAGAGAGTAGTGATGATGAGGGGAAAGTTGGGATTTTTGATGAGAGTCCGATTAATTCGAGACAGAGCACATTTAATAGTGGGTTTGTGAATGGAGAGGGGAGGAGGGCGTATAAGGTGAGGAATTTAAGTCGCTTGTGGCAGTATAGGAATGGGAAGTGTCCGAGGGTTGATCGGGTTGATGTTAAGGTGCAGAGGATGAGGACTGCGTGAGTGGTTTGGATGGTCGGTGTATAGGTTTATGGTGTGATATTATTATTTGGATATCAAACAGTAAATTCTAGGGCTTATTATTTACAATTATAACCACGGTTGAAAAGTGCGTTGAGTACCTGGGTACACAAGCCTGATAATTCATCTCGAGCTCAATCAAAAATGGCGTGGATTGTGCAGACTGCACAGAAGAGCTAAGCGAGTACGCCATATTCATGTCGTGGATCCCCAGATTGAAGCCTAGCTAGAGATTCATCAACAACCCACCTGCATTCGTGCACATTATGTGTATTCATATCAATCGATTCACCCGCCATTGCGTGAACTGAACTCTCGTGGTATAGCATTCACTCTTTTCGACGATATGTGTTCTTTACTCCCCGTGATTGCGTCGTCATCAGCAGGCAACAAACAAAAAGCCACGATGGGCCGGAACCAGCGCCCACGAGACAGCGATTCCGACCTCCAACAACTCCGAACTTCGCGGATATTTGAACACACCTTAGTGATTGTACCCCCGAACGCTCTCTACTCTTGCACGACGGTGTGATCATTGAATCACGATCTCACAAGTGGCTGCGCAGACGACCTTTAGTTTATGCTGTCAGCCGGGACGTTAGCAGCACCACCACCATGAAGGCTCCCAACCCAGATTTGGTAGACCATCTGCCGAGTGCTTACAGGAATGGCGTGTATAGAGAAGAGTCTGCTGAAGCTTCATCATCCTCTGACCAGCCTGGACCATCGCGGTATCGCGACGAGGAATTGCCAGCTTATGAAGAGACCCCGCTGCTTGCAGACAGTCCAGACAAGTCAAAGCCAAAACCACAACCAGAGGTTCGCAGGAGATGGTATCAGTAAGTATCACTACTCGCTCCAAAGAATCGCTTCTGATCATATAACCGCAGGCCACCTCCCGACTTGCCATTCTCCAGACACGATCATAACCCACGAAATGTCGATACATACTTTCCCGATTATTCGACGGACGCTGAAACGCTCCGGCAGATGATCTATGAGCAAGCCTCATATCCTCCTACATACTATATTGAAATCGGAGGCACCCACACCGAAACGACTTATCGTAATAGTGGTAATCGCAACAGTCGGGAACAGCGGGAAAGCGACACCACCACAAGCACAATTACAGACTTCTTGATTCGGATCAACATAACCCATCTTCTTAGCTCGGGACCAGATGTTGGCGGGGAACTACATCTTCTCGAGGACGGCAAAAAAGGCTATCGTGGTGGCATCATAAAGCGGAAGACTCCTACTGTTGGATCGCCTGAAATCGAGACACAACATGAAGAATTGAAAGCTTGGTGTGATAAATTCATTGCCGATCCTTCAATGCTGAAGTCATTTACTTTACAACGGAAAGTCATCAACCACGATACCACCAAGCTAGCTACTTTGATCCGCTCCGTGATCGCCTCAACAAACTATCGCGGGCTGGTTTCGGTATCCTTTCCAGTAACACACCAGCGCGTCACTGTGTACAGTCCGAGCAGAATCAACCAATGGCGCATGACGACCTGGATCCGTTGGATTTTCTATCTCACATTTCTCTGGATTTTCAGTTGGCTATTCCTCTTCCTAGCAACCGCCCGATATGAAGTCGTCAAAGTGGTATTTCCATACGCCGATGTTCTCGACGGCGAAGCACGAACACCTACGGTGATGAGCGAGACAGCCTGGTTCAATCTCTGGGAACGAGCTATCCGACGAAGTGTATTAGGACGGATGAATTGTGGAAAGGGGGAGATAGACGATGAGTATCGTCTTACGACTGATAATATAGCTACGAGAGATGATCTGGCGTTTGATAGTTATCGCTCTGGGAATTCGTATCCTGGGGGTGTGGTAGGCCTGTTTGGGACTGGTGGACAATTCCGTGGACAGTGGCAGGAGAGGGAGAGTTGGGGGTGTGATGAGATTTTATGAATTAGGATTTATGGGCACTGTGAATAGCAGATTAATGAATATTATGACTTCAGACAATCATCGGACATAAACGAACGATTTTGATACGAGGTTATTTTTCATCCCTTTCTTCCGACCAACTCCTGCCCTACTCTTCGAATACCAAAGCCCTGAAATCTTCACGCTCTCACAACAAAACCAAAAAATATCATTAGTCGGTGTGACAGTGGGTCGTTCCTATAAATTCCAACATTAGCTACCGATCTCGCTGCGCCACGCCACCATGACCGAAATGCTCGTCTCTGCCACAATCATCAATATCCTTAACCTTCCGATGGGCTTTTTCTCTATGGTCACGAGTTCTATGGCACTACTTTGGTTACCAGAGATAGGCTTTTCTTTCTAAGAGATTGAAAGTAACTTGCTCATGTTCTTAATAGGTTGGTCGAGATACCGCGGCCGATATACAACAGCGATGAAATCATTCGGGTCGACTTCCAAGGGCCAGATTACCAAATGCCACATGGGTGTGATCTTCAGCGTTGAATTCGGTCTTGGTGTGTCGAAGAATTACTATGGGTATATCACCAACGCACAGCCGAAACAACATCTTTAATTCGGACAGCGCTTGTGACCAACTACAGCGTGTGGGGGGCGTTGCTCGGACTCTCTGTTATTTGGGGTAAGTATCGAACTCTATCTCTACGAAGGGTTGATCTCGATTGTCAGCCTAGAGAGCCTGTTTGAGAACATCTAATTAATGAGAGATAAGAAGATAAAGTAGAATTGGGCGCTTCCTAGGGACTGAGTCTTAGTATAATGGCTTGCTTTGGTTGTGGCGTTGGGAAAGGTAGTGGGCATAATCAAAGTCCGTCGTTGCTTCGCTGGATTATCACGGATGCAAATGGGGAAGTTATTGCTGACGAGAACACTGTCTTGATGGGCGAAGAAAAAAATCACGGGCGTAACAACAACAACAACAGAAGAACGAGCGATCGTGTACTTGTAAGCTTGTATGCCGGGAAGAGTTGTCCGGCAGTATGTCAGGTGAAATTTACAGTCCGTCCTGGAAGCGTGTGTTGGCGAAGCAGATAGGTGTTAGCATTAGTGTGTAGGGCACACGTAAGTATTCGGCTTCGCTTTCTCATTCCTAGTGCTTGCTCGGTAAGAGTTCACGTCTTTGAGTTCGCATCTTTCAACGAGATACAGATCATGTTTCCCAGACCTTCGTATAAGCTGCTCGGTGTTGTACGTACTCTGGTGGAGGCGCGGATCTCAAAAGCATTCCATTCGAGAAGAGGGCAATATTATCGCGGAAGCCGCGCTTGACTTCGCGTCTGATTCTGCTATCAGCAAGCTTGTGCGAGTCTCTTTATGGCGGATAGAGATAAGCTTTCAAAGTTGTGGTTGCAAGTTGGTTGAAAATAGCTGGCTGACGCCTACCAACACCAGTCGATCGGTCGCACAGCCCTCAAATGACTGTCACATTGGCAACAAAAATATTAGAACCATCACGACCAACATAACAAGTCGCAAATATTTCAATATTGTAACCGTGCAGGATGAGTGTTGGCAGTTCGGTATCCAAACGGCTTTCGCTTATCTTCGCATCGATCATCGGCTCTCGACTTGATACCATTTTTGTAATAGAGTTGTTGGGCATTCTACAACTTCCATTGGCCCCTCGAAGTTGGTAAAAGCATTGATTCGGCTTTTGGCTGTCACGGCGATGAAAGTGGCCATTCGCAAGTGATCAACCAACACATCTGGCGGCAATGTTGTGGTAACAAATCAATCTCCTCATAGCGTATATGCGTACGAACGCGTTAAGAGGTCCTTGGCTACAATATTGGGGAATTCGAGAAACCTCACGAATAGCCAGCTCGCGATCATTGGCTTTGCCGCGCTCTCTTCTCGGCTATGTCGCTTGCGATGCGTTGTTCTGGAAGAGTACCACCAGGTCGGTACACTCCACGTGTTATTCTTGTACCTCAATACCAAGCCACGATCAGACGAGGGAGGAGGTGACAATGGATGAACTCGTTCTGCCTCGTTTCTATTACTTTTGTTTCCGTGCGATCTTTTAGTGCTCACTGTTTCCTCGGTCATGCAGTTGAAACTACTCCCCCATATGTTTGCTGTTTCTTGTTTCTCCCCACGATGTTTAATGTTTCTTCCTCTTGCGTTTCACGCGGGGTAGAAACATGCTTTGTGAGAGAACAAATTCTGAGGGAGATGTGACTTTCCCGATTGGGCTGCGAAACCTCGTGTGAAGTCCTCCTTGGGTGGCTGTTTTGATCCTCATGCGGCGTGGACCAACTTTGTTTCGGAGATCACCCATATGCCGAGATTCGAGAAACATCATTATGTTGAAGACGATTCAATTATTCTTTTGTTTACCGAATTAAGTTTCGTGTCATTCTATTAATTCTCTTCTTTTCACAATGTCAGCGGGCTCAATGGCTCAAATATTGGTCGAGATGCGGCCTTCCTGCAGCCATAGGCTCTGGGGTGGGCTTTTGGGATCACCATAAGCCCAACTCGACATGCATCCTCACAAGCCATAGTGGGCGTTTTGTGTTTACCATTGCCGCATGCATGCATACACCTCCGTGAGGAGGTGATAAGATTCATCCATGTTGTGTCACTATTAGATTTGTTGCATCCTCCACCAAACATGTTTCTATTCATTAAACACCCATTCCGTCCAGTCTGATCTTTAATTTTTCATCATTCAACAATACTCCTCTCAACATGCCTACTACCACTAATGTAAGTTTCGACTGTGTATGATCTGAGGAAACAATGCTGACTGTGGTATCAAGTCACCGGCTACTGCGACAGCACCTGCTGCAAGTGCTTTGACTCTATCAATTGCACCTTCAGCAACTCCTAGCAGTGCTTCAGCACCAGCGAACCCAGCGGGTTCTCAAAACCTCATTCTCACAGTTGCGGCTATTCTAAGCGCACTATTACTGATCGCATTACTCTTGTTACTATTCGTCTTCATCAACCGACGGAAAAGGAAGCGCATGGCAAAGGACAAAGCGACCTTGGCCAAAGATTTAGAGAACTTCCCAAAACCAGCAACACCATACGAGAGAACATATGTTCCATATGTCGTCGAGTTACCTAAACCACCAAAGAGCTATGAGCAGAAGTTTAAAGCAGCTGCGGCACCTGAGGAGAGGGCAAATCGTTACTTTGCACCAAGTACCAAGCCTGCGGAGATGCACATGGCTCCAAACTCGCAGCCAATGGACATTTATAAACCACAACCAGTACCTCAATCTTCGGCACCCTCAACATATCCAACTCGTGGAAAAGAACTACCTTCGCCTTTAACACCCGAGTCGCTACCCATGTCGCCAGATTCGATGCCTATGTCACCAGAAGGGTCAGAGAGAGGCTTACTATCTAAAGTCATTTCATCACCTCCACGCGCATTATCTTTCCTACCTTCATCTACCGAGCGCTATGGAGGCTCATTATTCTCGAACCGATTTTCGAGATCCAAAGCTCCAAAAATGGTTCCTGTTGCGCCACAACCTACTCCTCCGGCAGCTCCAAAATTACCTACATATGTTCCACAAAATAGACGAGCAACATCACCACCAAGAGCACCAACTCCTCATGTACAAGCATCGATACCGCCACCAGCTCCTTTTAATGAGATCGTGCCGGTGAAAAATCAGCTGTCAAATGCGCAGCTTCTGATTAAAGCGAACTTTGAGAGAGCGAAGGAGGGCAAGAAGTTTGAGGATCAGAGTCGTGGTCCTGTTTATGCGATGCCTGATCAGAGAGAGCGAAGTCCTGCATCACGCAGTGTAACAACTCAGAGGGAACAGAGTCCTGCTTCTCGTAGTATATTGAACCAGAGAGAGCAGAGTCCGCAACCACGGAGTGTACCGATGCAGAGAGAGCAGAGTCCACAGGCTCGAAGTACATCAAAGCAGAGAGAGCAAAGTCCTGCGCCTCTTGTAATTCCCAGCCAGAGAGAAAGAAGTCCACATCAAAACACCGGACTTGCACCCAGAGATTGGGAACCACAACCTCCTTCGATGCCTACTCAGAGGGAAAGAAGTCCACACCATAATATGATACCCCAGCAAAGAGAAGAAAGTCCAAGACCACAAACAGCTCATGGACACCGAGAAAGAACACCACAAACTCAGATGCCTGAACCAAGAGATTGGGAACCACAAGCACGCTCCGCATCTAGACAACGAGAGCGCAGTCCAGAATCACAAATGATACCCATCCACCGCGACTGGGAGCCCCAACCACCCGTCCTACCTACACAACGAGAACGAAGTCCACAATCTCATTCATCACCTCATCAACAACAACCCGCAATAACCAACCAACGCGGTTGCTCTCCCCATCACCACCAACGAAACATGAGTAGTCGCAGCGGTCCAATCACCACTGAACTTCCATCTTCAAACGCTCCTTGGATGTAATTCCACACTATTGTTGTGGGTAATCACAAACCTTCGTTTTTTGTATATATTTACATTCTTTATTCTTAAGTCGTGCCATGCACTTGGTGTAGAGGGGATTAGAAAAGGTCTCTAGATGAGATAAGATAGCTTATGCATATTCTCGGACTAGATCCGATCGAATCTTAAAAATAAATTTTATTACAATCATAAACATGTTCGGTTCTTACCTTTGCAATGTGAAGATGAAGAATTTCAAGACGGACAACGGAATCGTGATTGCGTACCAGACATCTCGCTTATTTCGGTCGTGGGGGCCATCAGCCGCAACCTCGATGGAGGATGCGATTTATATTCCTGGCTTTCACAGCTCCAGTTTTCACGTATGAGGTCCTTCATTTAATCCCTCCAATCGCCCCTCTCCCCCGTTCCATCGCACCCATACTTCCCATCCCTAATCTTCCCCGTCCCATCACTCCCTCCCCTATTTTTACCCTCAACCATCTCCTCACGTGCGCAATGCGACTCCTCCACACGACCAACTACACGCTCCACGAGTTCTACGGGGAAGACATCCCTTTCTACGCGATACTGAGTCATCGGTGGGAGAAAGAAGAGGTTACGATTGAGGATCTGAAGCATGGCATTCCGAAGCTGTTGTTGGGGTATGGGAAGATTATGGGGTGTTGCCGGAGGGCGAGAGCGGATGGGTGGATGTGGGTTGTGAGTAATTTACTTTTCTTTTTCCTGGTGCTTGTATGTATGGAGAATCGGGGCAGACGAAGCTTGAGAGAGAAGTGGGTGATGAAGGGGTGACTGTTGTGCTTAGTGTTGAAACAGGGAGGATGTTGGCTTTCAGTATATTGGTAAGGTCACGTGATTCGCCTCCTTAAGCTCCAGCTGAACGAACACTTCTCGGTTGCTGTTGGAAGCTTGAGTTATCATTTCAAAATTTGTTAAAATCAATTCCAACGACTAACTTAAACAGTGGATAGACTCCTGTTGTATTGACAAATCCAGCAGCGCCGAACTCTCAGAAGCCATAAACTCCATGTTCGACTGGTACCGCAACGCCCAAGTATGCTACGCCTACCTCTCTGATGTCTCCTCAGCCTCATCCTCCCACCACGACCTGAACTCCTCATTCCGCAACTCCAAGTGGTTCACTCGAGGCTGGACGCTGCAAGAACTACTAGCCCCGCATTGGATACAATTCTTCGACGAGGAGTGGTCGGAGATTGGCACGAAAAGCTCATTACGCGAATTAATCACTAGTATCACTGGTATTGAACATTTGTTTAATTTTAATGACGCGAGCGTGGCGCAGAAAATGTGTTGGGCGAGTAATAGGGAGACGACGAGGTTAGAGGATCAAGCGTATTGCCTCATGGGTCTTTTTGGAGTCAAAATGCCGCCATTGTACGGAGAAGGTCGACACGCATTCATGAGGTTACAAAGTGAGATCATCCATAAAACGGATGACGAGACGATATTTGCGTGGATGCGACCAGAGGGCTTTCGATCGACTGGGTTGATTGACGAAACGGGGATGCTAGCGCCGTCACCTGCGTATTTCGAGAGATCGGGGAGAGTGAGGACGTATACTTTTGATTATGATAGACCGCCGCATACGATGACAAATAAGGGATTGAGGCTTGAGTTACTGACATTCGAAGCGTCGCAGGGTGTTGAGGTCGTTGCACCGCTGAATGCGGTTGATGGGGATGAGGATAACGTGTTGGCTTTGCGGTTATGGAAGAGTCATACGAGTTACTCGCGGAGCGCCGAGTTATATCACATTGAGAAGATACAGTTGAATGGTGTTATGTTCAAGGGAAGAGGCGTTTTCTTCGTAGGACAGTCAGATGATAATCCGCCACCTCCATTTCCCCAGAAAGTCGTGTTCAACACCCAAAGTTTGAAAGCGAGAGGTTTTGAGATTGCGGAACGACAAGTGTATCCGATAATTGGGTGTGCGTATTGGCAATTCGAACATGGCGATCGAAGGGGTCCGACGCTCCACCGCTTCAAGCCGTATTGGCAACGCGCTGCTATCGTGCTAGAGAAGAATAATTCGACAAGATTAATTATCATCCTCGGGATTTCAAGGGAAAATCATCTTTGGGTAGACATAATCGCCCAAGACATCAGCACCGAAAAATACATCCCTACCACATTCCCCGAAGACGGGAATACCGATCGGATCTCCCGTCCAGTAGCAGACGGCTATTCCGTCACCGCGGTGTTAAAGAAAGACCATGGTCTAGGTCTCGAGGGGTATGTTCTTGATATCACACTTGATCCCAAGGGCGCATTACCGTGGCCACCGACGCAGATTTGGAGGAATGGGAGTGACATGTCGATGCCGGTCGTGGGACTGGAGAGTAAGCGGTTTAATCCGGGTCAGGCTTATACTGCGGAGAAGAGTCCGCCCACGCCGGTTTCGAGGGTGTTTAGTGCGATGTCGCTGGGGAGTTCGAAGGGGAAGATGGATCGGAAGAGTAGTTGGGGCTTCCCGAAGAAATGAAAGCTCGAGACTTATGTTTTGAGAGAATAGTTGCGGTGAAGCTTCGACACATAGGATATTAATCTGGAAGTGTGCACTTTTTCAATGCTTCTCTGGCTTTCAGGAAGCGCGAAACTACATTGCGCTAGGAGCGGTACAACTACTTCTTCATGCAATCGCCCATCTCATAGTTAGATGAACAAACCAGGGCTTAAGTCCAGCGTCAAGACTTTAAGGTCTTGGAGATAGTGTGACTAGCGGCGAAGAGCTAAGCGAGCAAAAGGGGGGCCCAGCCCAGACACGAAACGTCACCCCACGTTGTTGTAAGAACACCAATACTGCTTGTATGCCAAATATGTCATCGACAGCTCGCTTACCGTCACACATCGCGCATGAACGAGACAGACCAGAGAAGTTGACGTAGGAGGACTAATGCAGGATATACATGGTTGAAAACTTTAATTGTCTATGAAGAGATGTAGTGTTATAGTGGGCATCATTAAAATTTATCGCTGCTAGAACTTCAAGAATAAACTGTCGCAGAATCGTAGACTGCTATATTTCTCAAATGATGAATCGCGTTTTGCTCGCGCAAAGTCCGCCAGATAACAGTTAACCTCATCATTACCATCTGCCTGATCGTCCTCACGCTTGTCTCGCCCGTCTTTTTTTCCCCAGTATACTCTCCGGTAAAGGGCCTGTCATTCCCGTACTTGCCGTCCAAATCTTCGCTTCCTCCGAATCCATACTCGCAAAGGCTTCGTTCTTACTCCCCTGTGCAGCTTTCCTAATCTCATCCATTCCTCTTCCTCCGCTCATTCTCTCCGCATAAAAGCTGTCAACAAGTTGTTCCAATCTCACCCAGGTCCACCCCTTATACCCCTCGACATAACTCCGTCCCTGTTCCGGAAAACCAGCCTCGAATGCAAGGAATCTCATGTCATCCACGCGACGCGAGTCGCTGAGCACGGAATCTATGCAGATTTTATTTATGACGATGAAAGTGTTGGTCAGATAACCATTGTGAAGTGACAATCTTTCCGCGGGCGAACGGTCGTCAATACCCAGGGGTGCGTTGTATTCTTCTGGTTTGGTGATCAAAGTATGGAATGCCTCTCTCAGGGCTGAGTTGTCAGTTTCTGAGGGGTACACACCTTCTGGGATATTGAAATTCAGGAATTTCCATTTTTTATTCAGCAGATTCCTGTAGATGCCGTTGTGGCGCATGGTTTCTGAAAAAAGGCCTTGTATTGTGCGGTTGAACCGGTCAAGAGTTTCTGCGTCGACTTTTTGCGCCCCGGCGTCGAAAAGGGCGATATATCCCCAGCATGTCAATGAAGGATTGTGGTGGAATTTTTGAGTTAGAGATAACATCCAGGCAGGTTCCGTAGACGGATTATGCCCACCCCACTTCCGCTGTTCGTCATCGCGGTTTTTTTTATTTCGACGGATCAACTCAATACATGCAGTAGACATACATTTCAATTCATTAGGTAGATAGAGAGACTCGCGTGCTTTGTGTATCCTCGCTACAGACTCAGGACTTCCAGTTGTTTGTCCGCGAACATGTTTGAAAAGCTCCTCGTCTGTTTGTATAGACCAAAAGTTGCGCTCAACGAGTCCAAGTTCATCATCCGAAAGCGATTGGATATCCGTAAGTACAAGATTGAAAAGTTCATCTCGAGATTTAGACGTTGTTTTCGCAGTGTTCTCAATTTCTATCTTAATCGTTGGGAAGTCAAGAAGTTGACGGCGTTCATACTCGGTCAGTTCGCTTGGTGAACGAAGGGCCTTCTCTTCTAGGGTGGGAAAGTTAGCAGCGACTTGTGGAAGACTGTCTATTCCTCGCATGACGCGTAAAGTTGAAGGTAGAAATGTGTCATCCTGGGGTAGAGCTTCTAACGACATTTAGATACGTCATGTGGAAGTTGTCCTCCTCCAAAGAATGCAGACTGTTGCGGAATAGAAGCGTTTGTGAAGTGGGATGATTTTTCTTTCTTCATTGCAAGGTTTTCGCTGGTAATGGGACGAGTTTGAGTTTTATTTTGGTGTCTAAATTCAAGTTTTCGGGTGCAATTATGTTGTTGGTGGTTGTTAGATGTTGGTTGGGATGTTTCAAAGTTATGGTTTGGTTTGAATGTTGGTTTCTTAGCCGCAAGAATAGATCTTTGTTGTGTTTTGTTTTGATGATCCTGAAATCCCCCAGCTTCCGAAACCCATTACCGATTATTGGCTATTGACAATAGAAAGCGACTTGGATTAATCTATGAACATGATTGGCTGTCATGTTCCGGCTCAAGGTTGCATACAGAAACATAAACAACAGTGGGGTCATAAACCTCACTTCATTTTATCGTGCGCCCTTTTTGATCTCCTTGTGACATCCAGAGTTTATTCTAGGAAATTTCAAATCTACAGATCAGAATTATAGAATGAACATTCAGTTTTCATTTACCTGTTATTAGCAAGATACAACTCAAATGAAATGTCTGTCGTTCCAGAAAACGTACGTCATACAACAAAGACAACTTTCAGCAAACTTAATTAACTTGACACAATGCACAGAAACCAGAAGCTATCGATGGCCATCAGGTCAAAGAAACCGAAGTCGTCCCTCATGTCGTGGAAGTCTATTCCGTTTTCTCATCTGGCATGCGTCTCTACTTAACGTATCTCCTCGGCATCGTCCTCCTCATCTCGACACTAACGTCAACAATATACGCTCCGCTATTATCTCTGCTCAGCACACACTTCTCCGTGTCTATTCAATCCATCAACCTAACAGTCACCGTTTATGCCATATTTCAAGCTCTCTCGCCTGCCTTCTTTGCCTCGTTGGCCGACGCATTTGGAAGGCGACCTGTGCTCCTCGGCGTGCTAGCCATCTACGCTTGTGCGAGCCTGGGTCTGACTCTCAATAAGAGTAGTTATGGTGTTCTGCTAGCTTTGCGGGCTTTGCAAAGTATTGGAGGCTCCGCTACGGTTCCAATTGCCTATGGCATCGTTGCAGATGTCGCGGTACCATCCCAGCGTGGGAAGATGCTAGGGCCGATACAGTCCACGTGCAATGCGATTTGTGCAGTTAGTCCTGTAATTGGTGGCGCAATCGCATTGGGCTCAGGAGGTGTGGTCTGGGTGTTTCTTTCACTGCTCATTATCGCTGTCTTGTTACTCGTGTTGGTTGCCTTCACGTTGCCTGAAACGGCTCGTAATGTGGTCGGCAATGGTTCACTGCCAGTGAGCGGAATCTGGAGAACATGGATGTCATTTATATCCCACACCAAGCGCTATGAACCCAGCAGAAAGACATGTCTTTCTGAACCAGCAAAGCAAAGGGTCAGGTGGCGTCCGATCCAGGTTTTCACCTCCTTCCGCATCATCTTGTATCCAGATGCTGCGTCGATCCTCTTGATGATAGCTCCATCTTACGCGGTCTACTATACATTCCAAGCTGCTGTTCCTGTGATCTTCTCTGAAGTCTACCAGTACAATACCCTAGAAATTGGACTTGCTTTGATGCCAGTGCTTGCGGGATTGACAGGTGGTGGGATCCTCGCGGGTAAGCTTTTGGATATGAACTACGCAAAGTTCGCACGCAAGTGCAATATTGATACCACTGCTTTGGATAAAAACAATCTACGGGATTTTCACATAGAGGCTGCGAGGTACCGGCATTGCTTGCCCTTCATTCTATCGGAGACGGCGTTGATCATCGCTTATGGTTGGGTGGTACAGCTGCACGTTCACCCAGCACTTCCTATGATCCTGCAGTTCTTCATTTGCGCTACATCTACGGTGATGACTTATACAGCCGCCGCTCTTCTTGTCGACGTCTTTCCAGAGAGTCCGAGTACGGCGTTTGCATCTGCTCAGATTGCGAGATGTGGCGTAAGTGCTGCATCTGTGGCCATTTTGCAACCTTTAATTGACGCTGTCGGAAGAGGATGGTACTTTACCATCTTCGGATCTTTTGTTGGACTTTTAAGTCTTGTATCACTTGCTGTAACTCGAACCAAAGGGATGAAATGGAGACAGAGTAGACAGCAACTCATGACACCGAATGCTGCCACGCAGGATGTCAGGAAGACGGAAGACCAAGAGCCCCAAAAGGCGACCACAAAATAGAAATCTATCCACATGCTAATTTTTGACTCTTCATCGCGTGCTCAATACCTTTCGCGTATCATTATAAGGGGTGGTCTATTTTCTTTTTCTCCCTGAAGCCACCGAATTTTTCGGAAGATCTTTGGCTACATCACGTAGCAAGATTATCAGCAGTATCTGCAATCGCTCGATAATGAATACATGTTGTAATTATAATAACTCATTATTAAGCTGAGTTGGTTAAAAGTTTGAAGTTAATGATTTGATCACATTCACCATGCAATCCCTTTCTCCTCCAGAAAATTTGCTTATCCTTCCTCAGTAACCTCTATCAGCTAATTTATCCTATGAAAAAGAACATCGCGCGTTAATCCCTCTTGGTGAAATCGGGGGTTAACTGAGCGCCTGTAACCGAGGGGTCTTTCTGAGCATCATATTTATCAATACCATCGATTGGAGCATATTTTTCACATAAATAGCACATGTTGTTGTAGACTCTGTAGAGGAGATGTCATTAGAAGCTGTTTCGTAGTTTCTTACATTTATAAAACTGGAAACTTACGTCTGTCTGACGATACTGCCCGGATGACCAGCGGAGTAGTTCATGGTGCCCTTCATGCTATACAGTCTGTTGCGATCATCAAATTGCTCCACCGGGTCCGCGGCTGGATAGTTCTTTAGGTAGTGACGTGTGTATATGTTCGATCTAAGATGCGTGCAGAAGTCGGCCCTCCATTGGCCGAGATCCATCTCATTGTGGCCATAATAGGAGCCGACGTCGTACATAACAACCTCACCAGTCGCCATATTGGTGCCAAGATTCGAGTCCCAAAGATCACCATGAAGTATGCATGGCTCGATGGGCTCCCCTTCGTGCTTGAGATTCCCAAGCAAAATAGGGATGACTTTCGTAATGACCTGTTTGGTCGCCCTCTCCAGCTCGGGCCAGGAGCCGTTTGTCTCCAAGTCGACGTTGCATATACCTTGGAGCAAGTTCCCGTAGAAGGTCGCCCAAGTGTCCTGCCAGGCAATGGTATTTGGCATTTTACCATCGCATGTAGTGACATGAAAGCCATACTTACCACCGGGTTTCCGGCCCTTCTTGTGTAGCTGAGCTAATTTTGTTGCGAGTTCCATTGGGTCGGGAGCTGTTGTGACATCCATGTCAATAAAATCCGTCAGAAAGAAGTATGTGATAGGATTCGTCGTCTTGTATTTGCCATACGCGTACGGCCTAGGAATAAAGTCTGGCATCAAACCGTATATGATATCAGCCGATTCGGACTCGCCCTTGAGAATAACACCGCCATGTTCGCCGAATGCAGCCTGCCACAAGTTTCCTCAGCATTCACTTCAGGATGGGGGAGTAAGATTGAAACTATGTACCTTCAGGAAAAACAACTTCTCAGACCCATCAGGCCTCTGGGTTGTGATCTTTCCTGTTAGCGTCCAAGCACTGTTGCCGTAGGCTTCGACGGACACAAAAGATAGACCTGGTGGCAATGCTGGAACACAGTCAGAATGGTAGAAACTATGTTCGCTTTCGGACCAGACTTACCCTCGATCACAGCGTCATCTATGGGAAATTTGCCATTCAGTCCCGCGAGGATGGCCGTGGTAGAAACTGCAGTCGAGTCTTCGTCGGTTATGGCCATGTTCACAGAGTAGCCGAATCAGAAAAGGGGATTCGAAAATATGATGTATTTTTCTCTCGGATGGGAGAACAAATGTGTACAGACAGCCTCCTCCCGTGTGAGGTTCCAGTTCATGTTATCCATTTCCACCAGTTCGATAGGACCAATCCAGAAGTAAAGCATACCAACAAGTACGGACTAGCCAAGGCATTGTATGGTTCCAGTTCTGCATGTGCATTTGGCAGCCTCACGCCTCATCCATGGACCACTAGGTAGATTCGATAGCGACATGGTAGTCGGTATGCTTTCAATTTTGCCATGACCACCATGGTCATGACACCCAACAAGTCCCTCAGCGCTACCATATGGCGTCTCACTGGTGTTTCTTGCCATCGAATGACTGAGGCAAGGCAGAATCAGAAATAATCTGCAGCACTGCAGCCGCTTTCCTTTGTTTGTGCTTCTGGTCACGTCTCGTGCATTATAACGGCAAAACAAACGCTGATGCAAAGGCCGCGGCTGGTTGGTGGTGGTGCACCTGTGCCTCGCTTCCGCAGGCGCTAACCTTTAAGGGCCTTCTCCTCCGGATCACGTGGTTGGCTTCTAAACTCCCACTTCCACTCTGCCGGTTAAGATTCGACATAGTTCCCCCAAGAACAGGCGCACAAATCGACGGTATTCTAACTGATACCATGCAAAAAAGGAATGTATACTCTGCACGATCAAGCACGATCAACGTAGCTCAGACTTCTCTGTGCAGGATCCTCAGTCGACCCTCCAGCGAAATGTGAGCTGCATATCTGTACATGATGTCCAACAAGCGGAAATCAATACTTCGAGTATGCAGGTAGGGAAGGGATCATGAACTTACTTATAGAGACACCCCCTCTTTTTCGGCAGTACCGCACTCCTAATGATCATCCGGCCATACAGTAGAGGCATGTCCACCTTGGGCGAGAAAAGAAGCGGCTGTGATCGTTATCTGACACCACACAGGACAGGATAGAGATCATCTTTTGAAGTTCACTACGGCTACCCTCCTGGACGCGGCACGAAGGCAGCCTCATTGTTGTCCAAGGCCTGATGTCGACCCATTAATCAGTGGTTATGCAATCGTCGCCTAGAATGAGGCTGGAGTCTTTCGAGTCTTGGTCTTCACAAAAGATTACACAGCACGCTCTGTTGGAACCCCCGCATTTGACGCTACTGTATCAAGGTCGATTATCCGCCATGGTTGCGTCGCCCAAACAGTAAAGACATAATACCCTCCACCCACGTAAGGCCGTGTTCCGCGACAACACTTCGTCACTCTCATGGTCAGTCCTGTGGTTTCTTCTCGTGGCTACGAAGGCTTTTCTGGTTAATCGGTATTGGGAGCTGACTTTCTGGGACGTTGGTTAGTTTAAGAAAAGTTTTACTTTCCGCAAAAGATCTGTTGGCGACCCAGGTAGCGGACAAGCGGGCGGGCCCGATGCCTTGGACACTGCAGTTGACCAGGACAATGTTGCAACCAACTCCAGCTCAGTTCGGCCATCGTTACGGTCGTACTCAAACGCTGAGCCAGTCCGCTCTAGCACGTTAGGTTCGTTTGATGCTCAGCTTACGGGTGTTCCCCGTAAATTTTCATCAGATACACAAGTCACCCAGCTTGAAAAGACCGCACAAACCTCTGGGGATCCGCTGGGTCTGAAGGTTCTTCACAATCCACAAGGAGAGCGGAGGGTTGATATTGTGTTTGTTCATGGTCTTGGAGGTAGCAGCCGAATGTCATGGTCAAAAAATCACAATCCTGATCTTTTCTGGCCGCTGAAATTTCTCCCATTTGAGCCAGACATCAACGAAGCACGGCTATTGACGTTTGGATATAATGCGAATTTCGGCCCTAAAAGCCGAAAAAACAAAATGTCAGTCCTTGACTTTGCGAAAGATCTGCTTTATGATCTAAAGTATGCTAAAGATGAGTCTGCACCGGAGCTAGAAGAACTTAGAATGGGAGAGGTTAGTGCAAACTCATGAACTTATGTGGCATCATTAAGACAGCTAAAATATGTTCAGCGGCCCATAATATTCATGGTTCATTCCATGGGCGGACTTATCGTGAAAGAAGCATATATGCAGGGCCAGAACGATCCCACCTACGCCTCTATTGTCAAGGCAGTATCTTCAATCATCTTTCTGTCTACTCCTCATAGAGGAACAAATTTGGCAGAAACTCTCAATCGCATTCTTCAAGTGTCCTTCATTAACAGTCCGATGCAGTTCATAGCCGAGCTTTCTAACGGGTCCCAATCACTACAAAAGCTCAACGAGCAATTCAGGCACATAGCACCGAAATTGCAAATTGTCTCCTTCTATGAGACGCGGCCCACCAAAATTCTTAAGAAGACTCAAATTGTAAGTCAAATGTATCATTGAGCGCAAACTAGGTCTTTAACCGCATGTTCAGATGGTTTTGGAAAAAGATTCATCTGTTCTGGGTTACCCAGGAGAGATATCGAGACCTCTTGATGCGGATCATCATGGAATTTGCAAATATGAAAGTCCAGATGATCCTCGATACATTATAGTGAGAAACGTTCTCAAGACATTTGTGGGAAAGGCCAAGCCAATAAGTGAGAGCCCCATTATCTACGTCGTGTTTCTTTCATGGTTGGCTAACCATAGACGTACTGTATAAGTTGAGTCCGTAGGTGTGCAAAAAAGTGGAAGCTCCATGAGTTTTGAGGAATATCTATCAGCAACCGAGTCGCCCGAAAGAGACTATAATTTCTACCGAGATCAGTGGGTTCCTGGGACTTGTAGCTGGATACTAGATCAACAAAATTTCAAAAGCTGGCTGGAAGACGAACGCTATTCTCCCAGACTTTTGTGGGTCCATGGTAACGCCGCAAGTGGGAAGTCAATTCTTTCTGCTTTCGTGATTGACCATCTCGTTCAGCTTGGTTTGCCTTGCCACTACTTCTTCATTCGTTTCGAGCACAAGAAAAAACAAATGCTGGCCCACATACTACGTTCCATGGCTTGCCAACTGGCCAACTCAATACCGTCATATGCCGAAAAGCTCCGGCAACTCGAGACTGCTGCCACTGACCTCAAAACAGCGGATTATCGGAACATTTGGCAGTGGCTATATAAGCAAAGTCTATTCCCGCTGGCCATCAATTATCCCCTTTATTGGGTTATTGATGGCGTTGATGAAGCCGAGAGTCCAGAATCTATTATCAAGGTTTTGTCAGATCTACATATGACCGCCATTCCGATACGTGTTTTGCTAGTAAGCCGACAAACCCATGAATTAAACTCAGCATTCCAGAAATTGGCAAAGCACGTCCACTTGGGGACTATTCGGACAGAGGGCAGTCAGGACGACTTTCTCCGCTATATTCATCAAGAATTAGATGTTGCTGGTGATGACCTTTTCAAGGAGCAAATAGTTTCGAAAATTCTTGAGCGAGCACGAGGCAACTTTCTTTGGGTTCATCTTGCCGTTAGAAGAATCAATAAGTGTCACACGAAGATCGACGTGGACAACGCTCTGAACGACCTTCCAGCTGGCATGGAAGCTCTATACGATCGAATGGCTTATTTCATACAGACACAGCCTAATGTTAACGATCAGATACTTGCTGAAAATATTCTCGGCTGGGCTACATGTACCCAGCGACCCCTCAGCGTGGAAGAGCTCTCGGACGCACTCGGTAATGAGGGTTTGCTCGAGCTTCATAGAACGATTGGCGATTTGTGTGGCGGCTTTGTAGTTATTGACAAAGAGGGTAAGGTTGCCATGGTCCACGCAACGGCCAGAGAGTATTTACTACATGGAGACAATGAAGATCAGCGCATTACAATCGACAAGAGGTCTACGAACAATGAGCTCTTCAAGCGATGTATCGGACGTCTGATGGATCCGGTAGTTCGAAACCAGATAATGAGAAATCTTGCGCCTGCGCTGCTCGAATATGCGACTACTTCATGGTTCATTCATCTCTCCAACGGATCGGCAACTCGTCCTGATATCCTAGAGATATTAGTGAAGTTTCTGCGGGGACAACATATTCTTTTGTGGATTAATGTTGCCGCTAGAATGAAACAACTCAAAACGCTGGTTGTTGCTTCTCGACACTTGGCTGATGTCGCACTACGACTCCAAAAACTTGGTGAAACCGAGTTCCTTGTGCAGCACCAAGCTGTTGGCATCATTGCCCGCTGGGCCACGGATCTCGTCAAAATTGTTGGAAAGTTTGGAAACAATTTAAGTCTGAATCCAGAGTCAATCTATAAATTGATCCCCCCTTTCTGTCCGGAGGATTCAGCAATTTATCAACAATTTGGCAGCAAGGAGAGTAAAATCCTCCGTATCTCTGGTTCAGCGAACAATAACTGGGATGACTGTTTGACTCGATTTTTACTAGAGCAGAAAGTTCAAACGTCAGCGATTCATGCTGCTGGAAGCCAGATAGTTATTCTAGCGAATAAGCAAACCACAGGTTTTATTTTCATCTATAATTCTGTTACCTTTGAAGAGGTGCGTCGAATCACGCATCCTGAGCGAGTTTTCAAAATCCAATTAGACAACATGGGGGATGTCCTTGTCAGCTACGGTTATACTACAACTAGGGTGTGGAAGACCACAACTGGCGAATGTGTCAAGATTGTCAATAATCCAATCAAGCGGCCGAGGCCCCAAAGTCTACATTTTTTACAGGGGGGGAAACTTCTTCTCGCTGCGTTCGAAGATCGCGTTATTCGAACTCTGAGTCTTGTCGATGACAAATCTGTGGAGTGGGAAGCGAGATCACACCTCGACGAGAAGAGCGAGGACGATACTATAATAAGTGCGCCAACATGCTCTGCCATCAGTCCTGGCGGTGACATGATTGCATTTGGTTATCGTGCACATCCCGTCTCGGTTTGGGAGCTGAACCCGCCAATGCACGTTGCAAAATTCAACATGGCGTCTCATGAAACGGACAAGACTATTCAAGAGTATATTGTGGGCGAGGTCATTCAAATCGCATGGCACCCGTTCAGTGGAGAAATACTTGGTCTGCATCGTGAGGGACGCCTATTTAGATGGAATCCGTATGATGACGATGATAGTATTAACGTGAACAGTGGGGCTTACCACTTGTCCCTGAGCAGGGACGGTTCCCTGGTTGCCACTGGCGATACTGTCGGCGCTCTCAAAGTTTACGCAACAGCAGATTTATCTTTGTTGTATCAGCTTTCATCACAAGATCCTATTCTACATCTATGTTTCAGTACGGACTCTAGGAGGCTCTACGATGTTCGAGGAACCTATGGTAACGTGTGGGAGCCGGGCACTCTGGTCCGTCTTGCAGATAGCTCTGAGTATCCTGATCACAATAGCGATGCGTGGAGCGAGAGCGAAAGTCTCGCGAAACTTTCTCTTCACACACAGCAATACTTTCCTAGAACCGACAATCTAACAACGCTAGCCGGACAATCAATTAGACCTTTGTATTGCTACGGAACTGATGATGGCATCGCTTTCTTGTGTGAAGTTGGTCGCGGAAAGGTGTGCGAGTTAGAGCGATTGACAAGCTACATGCCGATCGAGCAGATCGTATGGAGTGAGGATGGAGAAGTCGTCGCGGTTGCAGATCTGAGCGGAAGGTTGGCTATCAAAATGATTGAGAAAGCTGGAGATGACCTCGAAACGTGGCACGTCAAGCACGGCTCTCACTTCATGGTCCCTTCTCAAAACGGCCATATCAGACAGCTTTTGTTTCACACAACAAGTCGTAGAGTGTTTGTCTATACCGAGAATATTTTATACGCTATTGATATTGACAGTGGTGTTATGATCGAGTCAGTACTGCCGTCGAACATGCCAGAAGTCAAGTGGATCTGCCATCCAACACTACCCAACTATCTTCTCGGATTCGGAAGCGTGGGGATTTATGTCTATGCTTGGGATAAGCTGGAACAAACGGCAGCAAATACTTATGTTACTAGCAGCTCCGATCAAACTGAGCTCGGGTATAGCACTGAACCGGCAGTAGCAGGATCTCTGCGGAGGCTGATCTCGCATGTAGACTCCCCTGATATTCTCCTACAGATTGGTAACGAAGCTTCATCTGGCGAAATGAAAAACCAATACCTGATTTTCAAAGTCGCCGAAATACGAGTTAGCAGTCCAGGTGTTACCGATGACGCCTCGGCTGCACCCGAAAAGCTATCATATACGCTACTACCAGACGATATTGCAGCGAGGATATGGGAGCCTCTAGCATTCTTTTCCCGCGGGAGACTCGTATTTCTCGACGTCGATCGCTGGGTATGTACGTGGCGAATGCCTTCAGCAGCCAAACGACCGAGTGCTTGGGGCTCTGAGGCTGGAGCCACTGGTGTTGAGCGGTACTATTTTCTGCCTCGGGACTGGATTACTTCCAGTGAAGCTCAGCTATGCTCGATAACGCCGGATGGGACACTGCTTTGTCCCAAGAATGGGGATGTGATGACGGTGCAGTACTCTAAGCTCCGCAAATAAAGGTTCTGTTGGTCTCGGGCACTATTGGTGGGCACTCTTAGTGAGATCTCCTTTTGGTGATCTGCAGGTAGAACCCGGCTGATAAGACGCTCATGAGAATTGCTTATGATCGTATCGGTAACTACAAAAAGCTAGCATTTGAGAAAACATTAGACAACAATATGTTGAGGAATACCCAGCTTGCCATTTTTATTCCTAGATTATTCGCTTAGACAACAGAACGGATCCCCTACAAATACAACCTCAAGCCTATCTTCAAAGGGGAGAATTCCTGATCCTCATTCCCAATCCTTTGATATGAAACAGATACACATCCTTTTTCCTACCACCGATTTATGTACCATCCCCCTATATATTACACTTCTAGCCTCAAATCTCGAAACAATACTCCCTTCACTCGCCAAACCACTAACTTCTTGTCGATCTACAACATTCTCGCACATAGTCTCTCCCAACTCTCAATTACAACTACCAAGACCTCTCTGTAGTTCATTATTTAAGCATCGATCTCAAAGTCGGTTTCTCTATCGTACCCATAATCATACATGATCATCATCATAATATCATTCTCGTCAACGAGATCTTGCGCTCGAAATATCTTATTTATTAGTAGCTAAATACCCTCAGTACGCATGACTGCTTAGTGCTCGCTAGAAGCGTTAAGCAATTCTATGTTTCATCAAGGCATACAGCAAAATACACTGTTGACGAGAAAACGCACGACGACTGTTGAGAAATCAGTCAGCATTTAATGACCACTAGTCATACTGGGAGTTTGATTTTATAACATACCCGACAAAGAAGACCGTTGCGGCTCTAAAGAATCCCTTGACGAAGAGTCAGTTTCAAAACTTCAATATACGGTAGTAACGGTGAAGTTAAAGAATCTAGCTTACTCAAATCTCAACCTCTCCTCGCGAAAATTCGAGAGCCGTAAAGACTCATCATGGTTGAAGCGAGCTTCCAGAAGTCCTACCTGGCCAGTTTCGAGGAGGATACCATGTGTCATCTCATCATCTTCGAGCCGTTTGGGATCCCCATCAAAGATGTTTCTTGTCCTTCCTCTTATGACGGGTATATAGTGGTTGGGCACACCTTCGCACATACGAAGAGTGTCCGGCGTGATCACAAATACCTCTCCCGCCGAGAGGGTCACGCATAAGAGAGGAAGAGTCATAATTGAGCCACCAACTGAGCCTGCCCCAAATTTGATACGGGGACCATCTTGTAGATAGGTAGCCAGGAATAAGCCGAACGCGATCGACCACAGTACGAAAACGAGACCGCAAACCGCAATAGTGGCGAGGCATTTACGACGGTAAAATCCACAGAATGTTTTCCGCTCTCTCAGAAGTCGCCATCCGATTAGGCTCAAAAACCATGCCAAGCCTGTCGCAGCAAATCCTACATCGCGCTTCCAGTCCTGGGTCATGTCGTAGAGGCACAATATCCAGACGAAAGCGAGGAAAAAGCGAATGAATTTGTAGCTATAAAGCGCGCATTTGACAAGGGGCAAGGCCATGTTGAATAGAATAGGGCGCGCGATGTACCCAGAATATAGTCGACGAGGGAGGCTCAAATAGGAGGTGGAATGTAAAGGCTAGGTCATGTGACATAAGCCATACAGCCATGTTGCTATCTCGGGAAATTGCCTAATTTCAGCTGCTCTCATCCTCCCAAAGTTTTTGAATTGGAGAAAACTAAACGCCATGACATCTGCTATTCAGGCAGGTTATCTTTGTAGGCGATGCAACGATTTCGATATTCAGGCGTTCTCAAGACCCGGCTTTCCCTATCGAGGATTCCCGTGTAGAGAGATCGAATTGTCTGCTCTACAAGGCTGTTCTTTTTGCAGCCTGCTGTGGGATCAGATTGAAAATGAGTCCCTGGTGTGGAGAGATCCTGAGGTGAATAGTTTACTCCTGCTCTTAAGCAATAGGCGAAAATGACCAAAGCTAAAACCATGGGGAAGACTGGAAACGTGACGAAGGGGAAACCCTATGGCGATTGGATTCATCTGTCTACGGAAAGCGTTAGAACAAAAAATGCTGAGGAAGGCATGGGAATCACCAAGATTAAAGCTCATCGTTCTGACGATATACCCCCACGACGATCTTGGGAAGGTTATCTCGAGCTTAATGTTGCGGCTGACCAAGGCAAGCTTGAAACTTATTTCTAGCATTATCCGTCTGTCTTTCTTGAACTTAATTGACGTTGAGTAAGTGAAGGTACACCAGCATGGATTTCAGGAGATGTTCGGGGTGTTATAAGCACATCGACGACAACAGACATGCAAGACTCAAGTGCTTCGTGGCTAACCATCGTCAAAGAAGACGTCAGGACTATCAGTTTGTGGCAGGAAGAATGTACCAGGAATCATCCAAGCTGTGGTATGGGTCTATCTCAGAACCCCCTGGAAACCGGAAAGTCGCTTCCAACAAGATGCCTGGAGCTCACAGGTTCAAGCGATGGATCTTGTCGATTCCAGCTTCGTGAAACAAAGGGACGGACTGGAGACTACCTCATCTTAAGTCATAGGTGGATGCAGGAGACGCCGAAATGCAACACGAACGAAGTAAACTACTTTACCAGACTCCATTCGGGCCCTCTTGAACCCGAATATCTTACGCCCTTATTCCAAGAAGCTGGTGAGATGGCTCTGCGCCTCGGAATCCGATATATCTGGATCGACTCTCTTTGCATCATCCAAGACAGCGCCGAAGACTGGAAGGCGGAAGCCATGATGATGGGCAGCTACTACCAGAATGCGTGGGCAACTATCGCTGCGACAATGACTAATCAGAAGCCCCTAGATGTTTCCAGGTCTCCCAGTGCGAATAAAGCTTCTAGGATCACACGCTTGCCTTACAGAGATAAGAGTGGAAAGCAACAAGGCTACTTTTACATCCAGAGCCTGCAAAATGCTACTATCAGCCAAACATTCGAAAAAAGCGTAGCTGAGAGCGAACTTTTAACTCGAGGCTGGGTGTTTCAAGAATGGATTCTTAGTCCGCGCTTGTTAACATCTACAAACGCTGGAATCATGTTAGTTTGTCGCAGCGGGCTGCCACAAAGTCTGGCAGGCGCTCATGCTCTAAGCGTGTCTAATTCCAAGCAAGGGTTTGCTTTGAAAACCTCGTTGAATCTAAATATGGACTCGCGCCAGCTTCTCTTCAAAAGCTGGCGGATGGTCGTTGAGAAATTCTCAGGTTTGAGCCTAACATCACCCGACTTGGATCGATTGGTTTCACTGTCTGGAATTGCTATAGAGTTTGGACAAGCCCTTCAAAAACTCGGAGGACATGATATAGGGCTGCACCAATATATCTCTGGTCTTTGGATTGATGACATTCTTCTAGGTCTGCTTTGGGAGCAAGGGTCTTCGGGTCCACGCCGCCGCCTGAAAGGAATTCCGACTTGGTCATGGGCGTCAATGATGGAAACAGCAGTTTTAGGAATGCGAGTATGTTGGAGATTGGGTTCGTATTGGAAAGATGGGTGGGAGGTACCTGCAAGTGGTTATTACCGTTCAAGATTCTCGTACCACTCGACGAGTGGGGACTCCGCTATGCGCGATACGGTTCACCTACCTCCTTATGCACCACCAGAGCCCGTCTGCAAGCTTGAAAATGTTTGCACGATTGAGTTGAAATTTGACAAGATTGCGAAGGTTTGGAACGAGCACCTTGACCAACAATTCTTCTCAGCAGCTTCTTACGACTTAAGTATGTACAGTAACGAAAAGAGGTTTGTTGCGCTTGAACTGCTCGGGAAACTTTTACCTGTTTCCATCCATGGAATCATCAGTACGACGGATATCGATGACTTTAAGCTGCTGGATAGAACGGGTGCTAGAAGAGGCCCCAAGGTAAGTCAAGACATCTTCGGACCAGATCCAGATGTCGAAAGGGGTCCCGGATCCGATACCGACGATCAAATCTGGAGTATCCGACGCGAGGTCTCTTCGGAAAGAGATACACTCCTTAGAGGCTGGGCATCTTTGGAACACGAAAAATATCAAAGTAATGACACTGTTCGCGGAGGAGTTTATGCTTTGCCTATATACCGATTGTTAAGGACTCAAGAGTCTAATGATAGGCTTACGACCGGACCTATGGGGATGAAAGTTGAGAGTGTTCTTAAGCACTCTTTGAACACGGCTTTTGTCGTGCTTTTCCTCAGAAGACGACAAGATAGTGAACCGAGCAGCCGGAGCCAGTATTTCGAGCGAATAGGAATCGGTAGGCTTTTTGGGCAAGATTTCGAGGAAGAATTTGTCTCCAATAACGAAACAAAGATCTGGTTAGTATGAACGATATTAGCTAGACCTAATCACAGGATTAGCCGAAACATGATCGAGGTTGTATCTGCTCAAGTCGTCCATTTTCCTCTTCACAAATGCAGCGATTTCAGTTTCGTTTAGGTCTTCCACAGCTGTAAGCTTTCTCTGCTTTAAGGTCATCTCGATGTTAGGCCATAGTACTTCTTCATCAAAATTGAAAGATTCGCGAATCAGCTCATTGAACCAAAATTGCCCGTCTTGCATAGATTGTCGCATCAAAACCGACAGTCTCTGATCCGGCGGGACTTCTTCGCCCTTTACTTTTGCCCTTTGAGCTTCTTCACCTTCCAAGGACTTGAGAAATATCAAGAACTTGGCCTTGTAGCGAGCCTCACCAGAACTTGTCTAGGAAGTTGGGTTCTCTAAAATAAGCCAGGACGGCGGAGAATAGAGAAACTGATATGGCCCTGCATAAGCCCATTCCCAGTCAATCACAGAAACGATTTCTAGGGTCTCCTCGTTAACAAGTATGTTTCCGGGACGGAAGTCATCACAAATCAATTTGAAGGGACCAGAGTCATATTTCTCTGCCACGAAGTGAGGCGCCAGACTTTTGACTCGGTTGCGTAGTAAGTATTTACGACGCGCATCGTCCGCATCATCTATTGAATTTCTTTGTTCGCGTAGATGAGTGATATTCTGCTGGACAAGACTACCCGCATATTTCGTAACCGATTGAAAAGGTTTCGACAAATGATCTGCATAGATAATCAGTAAGAGTACGCCCATGTCATGATCCATGAGCCTATACCGTCTACTTGCACATATCCGCTTCTCTGGATCTCATTCATCTTTTGAGTCATGGGTGCGGCTGTGACTTGCCAGAAATTTGAACCATCCTCATTCTCGACCAACGATGGAGCGCCTATTTTGTCAAAGTTGTGCATGGATAATTCTAAGAGAATTTTTGCTATCTGGCGATAAATTTTATAGAGCGTATCGTCGCTGATATCCTTACGTAGAATAGGACCCCACGAAGGACGAGGGTGCTCTTCCATGAGAGTGCTGAGTGGTACCCCATCAATCCATTCTTCGATAATGAAAAGGCCCATTCCGGGATCGTGATTATCAGCAGCCATACCATAAGCTATGACTCCTGGGACTGGAACAAAAGTATTCTGTTTCAAGAACTTCATCACTGCAACTTCGCGCTGAACCTTTTCCTCTGGGAACATAACGTTGCCAGCAACGGGAAACCGTACCGCCCATTTTGTGCCGTCGTCGAATTCCACCTTGAAGCACCAGTTGAAGGATCCGTTGTTCATCTTGACACAGGTGCATTTATCGCCATTGCGATACTTGGAAGCCAGCTTCTCAATGCCCCACGTGTTATACTTGCCTAATTGATGGAGCCAGTCATCGACCATATGCTCGTGGCTTTGATTGACCTCGTCGGAATCCATAATTAAAATCACGTCCTAAGAACTAAAGACAGTGTACGTTTTGCTATCATGAACATATCGATTTCTAGAACATGGGCTGTCGTTGGAAAGAGATGATTATGGGTTGCCTTTGTTTGGTGAGCGCGAAGGATACTCCTACAGTGGCACGTGCACAAAAGGCTCACTCGAATGCGAGGGCATCACGTGATTAATTTGCTATTTCTGGTTCTTCGATTCAAAAGTTCCTGGTCGAGGGCAGACGAACATACAATCAAACTAAAACTCACTTATTGAGTATCTAATAAGTGTGAGAGAGCCTACCTAAGCATTATCATATATATTTTGTCCTTATTTAGACTTTTCTAACTATACCTAGGTCTAACCGAGATTTAACAAGAATACTACCTCTTATACAACTTCTGCAAACTAACAAGACATGGAGAAATCGTTTACAGAATACTGTATCCTGACCCTCTTTCTAACAAAATAAAATAAAAATCCCATCTTATTTACTCCGCGGATATAGGGGATATTTAATAAGAAGAAAGGCCGATTGTTATAATTAGAAGAGAGACGATTTGGAAGACAGAATTAGTTTCGGTAGTAAGGTAGAAATCGGCGACAAAGCCCTCTCTCAAACACGAATTTAAATCTATATATTTATAGGTCTCTCCGTCACCTCTCAGTAAAATTAAACCTATAGAGAAATCTCTTGTAAACAATTAAAATCTTAAACTAAGATACGGGTCTTAGGGGTAGTCTGTAGTTTTCGGACATATTAAAGTAGCAGCTACTTTAGGAAAAGCTTCTCTCGTAATTTATCGTATAGATTTTATACGAGACTTTCGAGGGAGAACCTAGGATTTTATACGAGAATTGGGAGATGAGCCTTTTTTTAGAAAGGGGAAATGATAGCTCAGGGGACTGGCTTTTCTCTTTTATTTCAGACATAGATGTAGATATTGCAATAGTGTACTAGATCTATATAATGGGAAGATGCTAGATATCTATACCCTAAGAGTTTCATCTACCGTTCAGTTTGCTTACCTCCAATTGACGAAGGCTTTCTTTACGGGGACCTTCCTGGGTTGTAAATGTAAAGATCATTTGACGCCTAAAGTAGATGTTTTACAAAGATATTTCTAAGAATGAAATGGAACTCTGAGAGTAGGAGTACGAAGTGGGAAATGGGAAAGAGTTCTTATTTCGGTAGCGAAATAGACATCGGTAACAACTCATCCCTAGGATATAAATTAAGTAAACAATACTCGACGCGACAAAGTTCTTGACATTACTCGAAACCGGCTCAAAATTACTTTTTTATAATTAAAGAGACAGTCTTTTGTCACGCTATCTAGAGATTAACACAAAACGTTCTCCCAAAGCCCAACTCGAGATACTACGGTATAAAAGCTTCTACGAGAGATATTTACGTACAACTTTCGACATATCTAAACTTTGCGCGTAAGAATCTTAGTCTAACCACCAATTTTTTGGGTACTAAGTAAACCCTTCAAAGACCTTGCGAAGGTAATAACCTGATCTCATAACATATTAAAGCATAACTATCCCAATCAAAAAATCATTCATATTCCCCTCTTCCTACAGCAACTTCAATCCCTTCACCCCTCCAAACTCTTTCCCCTCATCAAACCATCACATAAAAAAACAACCCTCCCCATGAAACCTAATCTGAACAGACTTAAAAAAACATACAGCGCATTCCGACTGAGACCGTTGGGCGTCGAAGGTAATAACTAACTAAATGAATATCTCGCTTCAAGACGAAATATAAGGTTTGAATCTTACGATATCGAAAGTAGCAAGCTTGCTGTCTATAGATTGCAGAAGTTCAAAATCGAGTTCCGGAAATCGGTAGTGCCATGCCATTCGGCAACAACAACCCCCTCTCCATTACCAATATTCCAAACCCTCCCCCTCCCACCTAGAACATTCAAACACCACCACACCTTCCCTCTTGTTACCCACCACAATCATTACAACAAACCCTCTCTCAAACCCAAAACACCACCCAAAACTATCCGTCCACACATAATTCTTTTTTTGGGACGATTACTTCGGAGTTCATTCTCAGCCTTATAAGATGTACATTTAAAGACTCATTTCCAAGAGTTTCTGGCACAATTTTAGTGATGGTGATTTTGAACTCAACTTTTGTGGTGTGGTTATTGATATATCACTCCACACCTTCTCGTAGCCTGTTTGTGAGATACAGGGGTGGAAATTCATTGCCATCATACGAATAATTGTATTTCAGGAATGTATACATCTGTCACGAACAAGATGTGTGTATCAGGCTGTAAGACCCTACTCGAAGCGCGACTTGGGAACGAAACAATATGTAACCACGTAAGTGTATTGATTGTATAAACTTGATCACAAACTAGATAGCTAAGATCATCGTTGGAGCTAGCCAAGAAAGCTTTAGTCTGATAAATCATCCCTAAACACCTAAAAAGAGGGTATCCCAGTTCCCACTCTATCCAAACTCCCAAACTCCCAAGATCCTAATACACATTTTCCCTTGCAACAGAGCACCCAACAATCAAGCAGGCATGATACCCGCCACAACAATCATCACACCCCCATAGATGCCCGCACACATTAAGCCCTCACTTCTAAGCAACATCCCTTGATCCAAACAACCTCCTTGCATCAACGCAAAAAGTACACCACCCACAACCAGAGCAGTCGCCGTGATACGACCGATGAAACCAGGTATAACAAAAAAGGTGAGTATTGGTACAAGTACAGATACAGCTAATGAGGCGGCGAGTGCTTTGATGACGGTTGCGGAATGTGGTGGTGCTGTTTTGGTGGTAGAAGGAGTGACGCTAATTTTTGATTCGACGGCGGATGCTGGAATGGAACATGAGGAAGATGATGATGGATTAGATGATTGATATGAGGTGGTGGTTGATGGAACATGGTCGGAATAAATAGAGACTAGGTCATCCTCTGGATCTAGAAAGTGGGTTTCGGCCTCGATGATGGGATTTGCAGTCTGGAGATAAGATCGGTAGGCATCTACATCTTCAGGATGAGGAGCAGTCAATGATCTCGTTGAATTGAACGATGAAAGCGCTTGATCTGGAGGCTGATTAGTTGATGTTGGATCGGGAAAGTTGGGTGAAGACTTACTATACTGAGCTAACTTGAAACCAATTTTGCCGAGAACATCTGTTTTATGCCATTGAAGATCCCCTCCGGCGGCAGCAGAAGCTCTTCTAGAAGCAGGTATGATATCCTGCGGTGTCCTTCGTGATTGGGTATCGGAGAGGTCAAGTCGGTGAAGTTGTTCTTCAAGCTCGCTTAACTCGTCCTGCAAGTGTAAGAGAACACGATGATTAAGTGCCTCGAATTTCCTATAAATAGGCTTGATACGCTCTCCGTACTCGGGATCAGAAGCAACTGGGCGGGAAGACAACTGCGATGCAAGAAGTTCATAACCAGAAACAGGTAGCTTCTCTGCTCTTGGGAGTGCATGCTTTTTGACGTGCTGTGAATGACGGGGACTTAAAGCCGTGGACGGGGAATGCGGAATGTTCGCCGAAATCCTTTGCATCGTCGGAGTACCGAACTGGTGCATATGACCATGAATATTTTGTCTGTGTTGAGCCGCGGCCATCTGCGATGCAATCTTGGCAGAAGTATCATCATTTGACGCTTGCACCTCTGGATCGGATTCGGACTCTTCCTCTTGTTGCTGTGTCTCTTCATGATCGCCAATACTCCCTTCAGGAGTAGTCCGGTCTGTGTCAACATCATGGTGTGTTTCCGACAGATTATCATCCCCGTGATGACTACTCGAAGCCGATGACGAGCTACTAGCATGGTCCCGTAGCATATGAGGTGGTAATGCAGATTCAACAGGCAGCTTCTGTAAATGACCCGACATCCAGCTTGGAGTTTGGGCATAATCCTGTCCCTCATGTTCTATTTCCCCATCGATTACTGGCTCAGCGGTATCCAAGTACGCGAAGACATTTGGCGCATCGGGTACCGCAGGGGACATTGGAACTTCAGGAAGATCTGCTTTCTTCGTCAAGGTTGTTCTTTTTGTGACGGAAGCTTGTGTGACGGTGGAATTGCTTCCGCTGGAGCTACTTGACTTGTTGGTCGAGCTGGTCAGTGAGGTAAGGTTTGATATCGTTGATGGAGAGGTTAAACGTGATCGTGGAGAGGCAAGAATCACTCTGTGTGTAGGTTGATCTGTCTCTGATTCCGAGGAAGAAGAAGACGAGCTGCTTTCTTGGCTCTGGTTCGAATAGGAGCGTCTATGCTTGGATCGTCCTTCATATCCAGCATCCCTCTCCCTGGAGCTATCGACGCTTGCTCTCTTCGCCGTGGTGTTTTTGGGTTTTGGTTTTGATGCATGTCTACTGCCTCCGGTGCCAGTAGCCGTGGTCTTGTGATATTTCCTCGACCGTTCCCGTTCCTTCTCCTTACCCGCAGTTGCTTTGGTGTGCGGCATCGCTATCTCTTGCGACGTCCTAGGTTGACGACGGATTCTTTCGTTTGCTGAATTCCCACGCGGTGACTTCAACTCTCCTCGTTCATCTTCTGACAATTCTTGAATAACGGAAACTGTTGGGGCTGTATAGCTCGTAGTCATTTCGGATATTTACTTCAGCTCTGGAATGCCGTCAGCTCAGCTCTCGGAATCCGCAAGAAGCAAAAGCTCTGGATTGCGGCAATGATAAGAACGAACTAGGAACTGATTGTATTCCGTACCTGAGAGACTTGGGCTTGGTACTATGGCGGTGAGTCGGTATTGCTGTACTGATCGAAGCTAATGCGCAGTGTCCATGGTTTGTACATGAAAGTTGGAGAGAGATGCGAACTGGAGAAAAGGTCGACGGCGAGCATGATCTTGATGGACGAGGGGCACGGTTAAGTCAATTGGTTTCGAATATGTGGTCTGATATAGGGCTGAGACAGGATTTGGCGTGGAAGGGATGGGGAAAGGAAGAAGGAAGGAGGTGGTGATGGCCAGAGATTCGTTGCAACCCCTGGAAATGGATTGGATGGGGCGTTCCAAGTGCTGTTTCGTGTATTTCGGGGGGGACTAGCGGGGTGTTTGGCAGGCTTTGGTGGGCTGTAGCGTAAGCGGGGCGATAGAGGCACCAGAGGGAGATTGGCGGGGGACTTTTGCCGGGAATTCTGACGACTTTGGGCGTCGATTGAGTCAATAAAGCCTGATAATGTGCCACTAAGAGCGCTGCGACTGGCTAAAGGATGGTGATCGTAGGAGCTGCGGACCAGTGAGACGGCGCTGTGGTAGAGGTGGGATAATCGGTGGAGATGAGATGTGCTCGAGGCCTGGCTTGGGACGCCGGTCACAGAAGTGCGGACCCGATTGATGGGCGGGCCGGGGCGAGACCGCTATTGTGGAGCTTCGGGGGCCGGAGCTAGACTCGGAGGCCTAGTCGGATTCGATGGAAGCTCCCGAGGTCTGGAGTGCTGTCGAGGTCGATTTTGTCCAAGTCAACAACACGCACACGACGTGGACGTGTATCTGCGCTGTATCGCCAGCACAACACCAATCTTTGGCCACCCGATTTGTCGTTGCAGTGGAGGTTGTCCGTCAGGAAGAAGAGAGAGGAAAACAGGCCTGGAAAATAAAAGAAGAAGAAAGCTTCGGGCAAGACGCGACAAGAATCACCTCGACACAACCCGGGCGACTGCAACCTCACAAACTCGCACTTGCTCCCTCCTCTACTCAGCATCGCCTTCTCGCCCAAACCGGGTGACGTGCTTCTTTTCTACTCGGTCGATCACTCCCAAGTCGCCTCACTTCTCCTGCTGCATGACCAATGCCAGCGCAACACATACCACCTCTTAATTTGCAATTACATGCCTATACCACCCTCGCCCGAACCACAATCACGACGACCATCCTAATCCGCTTCCATAGAGTAGCACAGATCGTACCAGAAGCCGGTTTCTGCAAGACCAAACACCCCACGTTCTGCAGTCTGCCTCGAGCGCTGCCCGTCATACGGTGAACACCCGTGATATTGGGTAGGACAACCACCGCGTTACGCACTTCTTTCTCTCCGGCCGTTCTTCTGTCATCAGAATAGCCTCTTCCGTCTTGATACCGTGTTGATACCGTCTCTCTTTTACGCTCGGGTTGGCGCCCGATTATTGAGCCGCTGCCGAAGTATTGCTGCCCAACGAGGCTCAATTCATACCAATGACGCGAGTAGCCGCACACGTTCTACGGAGGTACCTGTTAAGAGGTCAATTGCCTACAGGCGGCTGTTTGAAGCGATGGAGAGATTGTCAACACACATCTGCCATTCCATTGTCCACAAAGAGATTTCACGGAACACAAGCATCGCAAGAAACAACAATCAGCGAGCCTCCAAGTACACCACCTACGATCCCATTTCGTAAGCAATTGAAAGATGCTGCCAAGATACGGAAAGCCGAGGGCACGAAGAAGGTTGCAAAGGCGGAAAATCAGAGCTTGAAAGATTGGGAGTTGACAGTCGGAATAGAAATACATGCGCAATTGAATACCAAGCGAAAGCTCTTTTCGCGCGCCGTTTCTACCATCAATGATGCTCCAAATACTCGCGTTGCCTTGTTTGATGTTGCAATGCCTGGTTCAATGCCCATATTTCAGAAAGCCACCTTGATACCCGCTATTCGAGCAGCGTTAGCACTAAACTGTGAGATTCAAAAGAAGAGTAAATTCGATCGAAAGCACTATTTTCATTGGGACCAACCGTCGGGGTATCAGATCACCCAATATTACGAGCCGTTTGCTAAGGATGGGTATATCACATTGTATGCGCATGATGGGATTGCAAAGGAGGATGGAGAAGAGATAAAGATAGGCATCAAACAGATCCAGATGGAACAAGATACTGCCAAGACCATATCGGAACCAGGTGGTATACACCTGCTGGACTTCAACAGAGTAGGCCTACCTTTGATTGAAATTATAACTCTGCCACAGATCCATCATCCCAGCACTGCTGCTGCATTGGTCCGCAAGGTACAGCAGATCCTCGATGCTGTGGATGCTTGTGTGCTTGGTATGGAATCTGGTGGATTGCGTGCAGATGTGAATGTTTCTGTCAAAAGACGAGATGTGGAAGACGGAGGACACGAATATTCAGGCGTCAAGAATCTGGGTCAACGAACGGAAATTAAGAATCTGAGCAGTTTCAAGTCTGTCGAAGATGCGATCATTGCAGAGCGTGATCGACAAATCGAGCTCCTCGAATCTGGAGGTGTTGTTGAGGGAGAAACTCGAGGTTGGACAATCAATGCTACTGAAACAAAAAGACTTCGAGGTAAGGAAGGAGAAGTTGATTACAGATACATGCCAGATCCAGATATCGCACCGGTATACATTGAACAGGATCTCATCGACCATCTACAACAAACTCTCGGAGCTCTACCTGATGAAGAGATCAAACTCCTCTCAACCGACTTCGGCCTAACAGTCAAAGACGCCATGTCACTGATCTCCCTTAACAACGGCGGCCGCTACGAATACTTCCGCAACGTAGTCGACGAACTTCTTCCTCTAAGCAATCAAGACCTCCCCACCACTGGCCGTCTCGTCGGAAACTGGGTCCTCCACGAAATGGGCGGCCTCACTCACGTCCTCGCCGACGAAGAAAACCCTCTCCGCATGACCAGCGATGGAGACTGTATCATCAAACACCAAGACCTCGCGTCCCTCATCCATTTATATACCACCGACAAAATCACAGGTAAATCCGCCAAACGCGTTCTCCAGCTTCTGTTCGTGAATGCGCTTGAAGGGAAAGAGAAGAGCACCCACGAGGTGATCGAGGAACAAGGACTGTGGTTTATGCCGTTGAGTGAGGAGGAGTATGAGGAGTTGGCGCGGAGCGTGCTGGATATGGAGGTTGTGAAGCAGATTTTGGCGGGGAAGGAGGGGAAGGTTAAGTTTTTGCTGGGGCAGATGATGAGGAGTGATAGAGACGGGAGGGTGGATCCGAGGAGGGCGGAGGGGGTGTTGAGGGGGGTTATTGAGGGGCTTAGGGAGTAGGTTGTGGTTGCTGTGTGGATGGTGTATAATGGTGTATTATCTTACTGATAGGAATTGAGATTTGGCTCCCGGTTTCGTGCAGCCGTTGAGGAACGTGTTGAATGCATGATAGCATAATAGCCTAAACATAAATATCACAAATCAGAACTCAAAGCCATAACCACTCATCCTAGCAGAGAGAAATTAGGAAATCAGTGTTTAAATTGAACTATTGACGAGATCAAGAAAAGCACACGACAGTTTCCTGTGGGAGGAAAGCGAGTGGGGTTGGAGGTTGTGGAGGTTTTGTTGGCGGTGGGGTTAAGGGGATGCTTGGGTATAAGATAACATTATTCCCATTCGATCACTTACACCTATCAGCAACCACCAAAATTCGACCAGTCCGATCAAATTGTTAAACCCCCGCCCCCATTTCCCTATATATATCAGCATCTTCCACACCCACCATCCTTCAGAATCAAACACCTCCAGAGCTCGAACCACATACCCAGACCCCATTCACAATCCTTGGTGGTGAGGAGGGAGGAATTTCGTGGTTAGAGTTGTTTGAGGGTCAGGTTGGGGGTGGGGTGGTGGGATTTGAGAGGTTATTGTTGTTGATTTCGATTTTGTCATTGTATTCGCAACTTAGCACTTTTACACGATTTGTCCGTCAAACGTCACATTCCATGCCGCGTTCAACGGCGTTTCTTCCTCATCACAGCCCGAGCACCCACGCGTCTTCCAGCCTTGTATCTATTAATGAGTTGAAACCCGCCGGTATTTGGAATCCGTTGGTAACGATTAGGTGGTTATCGTTAGATGTGGGGATGGGGGAGGATTTTATGTGGGGGTTGCTAAAGATGAAGGTGAGAGTTCAAAGGGGTGGGTTGGAGGGTGGGTGGTTTGGGGATTGATTGTGTTTGGTATTTTAGTACGTGTTTTGCTTGCTACTGCGAGAAATTCTGACACATCCACCTCTCAGCACCTCTATTTAAACTGTTCTTCCTAGGAATCTTTCTCCAAAACCCCATGTTTTCCCTTGAAACAGCCCTATAAAATCCATACCCGAATGGCTGAATCAAGTTTCTTTTTGTATAACAAGAATCACATATCGCCATGGCGTCGATATCTGCTAGATAGCGTACTACTGGGAAATTCTTTCGAGGTCTTTGGTAAAGTTTTGTTGATGTGCATTAGAACCATAAATAGCGTGCTAGTGTAAGGATATCTTTAGTCCTGTGTTTCGAGAAAGAGGGAGTTTGTTATCGATTTCTATCTCACTACCGAAATATCATTTATCCTATCTTACAACTCTTCTTAACGTCACAAATGGCTAAGTGCCCCGCAAGTCAGAAAAACAAGCATCTTCCATCCGCTCGATAGGTTTTTGTCTACTTTCTATTTAAAGAACTAGCCTTCCAAAGAACGTAGATACGCTTTATCAAAGGGTTACAAAGAATATTAATGCAATTGCGTTTAAGCTTAACAAATATTAGACTTTCTTGAATTTTCGGTATGTCGACTCTGAGAATTAAGATGATTTCTATAGTCCTAAACTAAAACGGCTATTTTAAAAGAAGTTTGTAGAATTGGGAATACGGTTAAATCCTTAATTAGCTTAAGGTCAATTACATAGAAGTCCTGGTCGATTATTTTTCATTACTAAGATTTAACACAACTATCTTTACACAGTAAACCTACAAACATCAACACCCACCAACCCTAAAACCCCTACTATAAAACCTACAACCTTTAACGTCAAATAACTCTTTCTCTTATACTTTTAATAACAACTTGTTCAACAAGTACATTGTCCATTCCTTCGACTAAAGTTGCATCTATTTCTCTTTATGCTAGAATATTCCTTGGAGAGTAAGTTCGCTGAAGTTTGAAGAAACTTTCTCTCAACCCACTAGCTCTTTTCTCACATGGCAGCAAAACAGCCTTAGATGCTGTCACCGAAACTAGTATCACCACCGAAACTTCACACTACTCTTTCTATCTATATTACAAATTCCAAAGCATAATAATTAACAACCGTTATTGGCAAATCCACACACCTTTGCGCATGTCGGAAATTGTGTGAGAGATGGTGACACTAACGTGAGTAGCCCAGGTTGCCACAAGTGTATCGTGCGGAGCCGAAAGTACAGGTTGATTTGTAGAAGAACCGCAGAGCTCGTATTTACGCGATTCTGTCCTGGGTTAGGAGATTTAATCCAATCTAAAGTTGGAACTTTTAACTACAGACAGAGAGTGCGGTGTTTGTAAGTCTTATAACCGTGGTAGGAGAGGGGTTTGTTTTCGCGTTCCGGTGTAAATAAACCATTCTCGCTTTTCCCAAATTCTTCCGACAAACCGCTCTCACCAGATTGTCTAATCTCTCATGAGACGCTCGTTTGCCTGGAAGAACTTATCATATCTGAACTGTACAATCAGAAATCGAACACGGGAAGTATGACTACAGCGAGATGATCGAAGGTTTCTTTAATCGGTGCGACGAAGTTATATTCGCCGCTAATACGAAGTAGATGGTTCGATTCTCTTGCTGGAGGGTGGAGTTCGATGTGAAGTTGCTGTGGTGAGGTGTTTAGGAGAGAGTATTATCTATCGCTAATTAGACGGAGTTCTCTTGGGATTTTTGACGCACGATCTTGACAATATTACTGCTCTACTGTTGATTGAAGACGAAACTTTGTTAGATTCTTAAGAAAAGAGATGCGACTATGGATTACAAGAATTCGTGAGATACTTAGAGGTGTATATGTGTAGGTAGATTGTTCATATGGCCTTAAAGCATACTAAAATGTGCTTTTGCTGACTATGTATACAGATATGTTATATCTAAATTGGGTTTTACCTGTAATGACAAATCTTGTGAGTCTTACTATCGGGACCTTCTTCGTATGAGCATAGTCAGTAGCAGTCCGGTGCGGTCGATTCATTTTGCGTTTCGCGGCCTCTTGCACTCTTGAGTGAGCTTTGGAGCACCGGTGTATTGAAAATTATTGGAATTCGCGCTCGAGCCTTTCAACCACCATCACCAAACCCATTCCTCCTTCCCCGCAGCTCTCTCGTACCCTCATGCCTCAGCTGCCTCCCAACCTCCCCATCCTCAGCCTCACTATCTCCATCATCACCTTGATACCTTTGCCTCTCCCCCATCCCCTCCCCTTCCTCCTCATCAATCAACATATCCAACTCATCGCCCATCCCCTCACCCTCCGTACCACCCCCCCTTTCCCCATCTTTATGTCTATCCAACAACGCCTGAAAACTCTCCTCTTGTTGATAACTATTCTCATGATGATGATACGTCCCTAAATCATGTCTCACATCGTCCATTAGCTGCGGATCCATCATCTGCGGATCAATCGGCATATAGGCATCACGGCTCATTTTCGCAATCGGGGCCTGAGTCTGATGGGGTTCATGATAAGTTCTTCGTTGAGATGGCGGCAGGGCGCGATTGAGGACTTGCGGGGAGACGGAGCCCTGACCTGCTTTGAAGGTAGGACTAGGAACGGGGTCAGGAACAGGAGGAGGAGGACGATTCACGAGAGGTTCAGCTGGGCGAACGGGCGGGGTCTTGCCCAACTCTTTACATTTAGTACAATTGCGGATGACCAGACTAACAGTCTCCTTGATCCTGACCCAATGATATTTCTCCGCGATGGTCGCCGTCGTCTTGTTGATGCCCCCGTGCTGCAACACGTGTACGTTGCGCGCGATCTCGTACTGGCGTTGGGGGTCCGAGATGACTTCTTTGTCTTTCAGCATCAGCTTGTCGGATTCGGGAATCAGCTTATAGTGCGTCGCTGCGCTTCGGAGCCTGCTTTTTTCTGCCCGATCAGCACCTGCAGGATATTTGCCGTATTTGAGGTAGAATTTAATCTTGTCGAAGCGCTCTTCACTCACAAAGTCCTCGCCCTCGGGGCCTAGATCGCGACCATATATGATGGCGTCTACAAGTTGTCCTGGGTAACTTTTCAGATTTCCAGCTCCCTTGACTCGTCCGATGCGTTTAAATCCGAGAGCGTCCCAGATTCGACATGATGCTACGTTGGTCTCGTAGACGAGGTTGAATACGCTGTAGACGTAGCCGAGTTTTGGTGCCCATTCAATGTATTGTTCCCCCAGTAGGCGGCCGACTCCTTTGTTTCGTGCGGCTTCTGTGACGAGGAATCCAGCATTACAAACATGAGATGAACGTCCTGGGTAGTTGGGTTTGATGTAGAAACTTCCAAGACATTGTGTGGCCCAGTCCTGGTCAGCGGATATCTCATCTGCACTCTCGATGTTTCCAAGGATCATCACTGCTCCGAAGTTTTGGAACCAGTAAGATGCAAATTTATCATCAGGAAGACCATTCATCATTGGGTAGGTATCACCAAGCTCGATTTCCTTCTTGAATTGGTCACTGAGGTATAGCAAAAGTGATGATGGGACTTGATGCCGGGAAGAGAAAGGCACTATGGTTGCAATAGTAACTCGATCTCGGAGTGTGACTTGTCTGGGCACGATATCAAATGGAAGACTGGGATGGTCTTCCTGGGGATCTGGAAATGGCGATGCTCCAGACACACGGTAAATAGGGGGAGCCGTTGGGTCATCTAGCATGGCTGGCATTTTGATCGCTTAAATAGGGGTAACTATGTTTGTCAGATGAATTTGCATTACGATTATGAGGTTGCAGTTGTGTTACCCCGCACCAAATATTTTGCTCTTTGTGATTACAACACTGATATATTCAGGCTCGCTTGATTGATAACAAATATTTGTTGCAAGCCCTAATCGATGCAACGTGAGGTGTATCTTCGTACCAGATGCAGAAGTGTAGAATGGGTTGAGATGAGATGTTCTGAGGTTGTGCTCAGAACTTCAATCGAACATCGTGGAATTCTAATTAAGCGAAGATGAACTCACGTGATTTAAGCATAAACTCTTGGAAACTGTTATCTTTCTGGCTAAAATTTTTGTATCGTTTATGATTCTGATCATCAAAACATCTGGTATTTTCTAAATGATTACCTGAGAGTCATAAAAGTTGACCTCACGTGCATCAACAATAACCTAACAACTCCCTTCCAGGATGTCAACAACAACCCCCATCTCACCCCCAGGATGTCATCCAAAAAGCACACCCTCATCTATATAACTCTTCTTTCCCTCCCATCCTTCTTCTTTCCTCTCCAGCTCTTCTTTGCCATCAGGCTGAGATCATGTGTAGTATCTGTTCTTACCACTTTGATCGGTGGTGCAGGTGGTTACGGCCATCCTCCCGATTACAATTTTTGTACCAAGGTGGTTGAAGCTCAGGTTTTCCCTGGGTTTCATCTTCCTACTGTGTTCTCAGACTTACACTACCTCTGAGTAACGCGAATTTTTGTTTGTGGCTTTTCGTTGCGGTTCCTGCTGGTGTAGGGCTGTGAGGAAGAGTTGGGTGAGATATATGGAGGAGTTTGGGCTGCGATGTTCGAATTATATGTCTTTTATTAGTACAAAGAAACTGTTTTGGTTATGAATTGCCTAGCACATATCATTAGCTGTAACAATTAGTATCGTAACCTCCAACCTGATTGGAGCGCAAAGCACTATCTTCAGCCTTACGTAGCCTTGCCCCGCCAACCGGGTTAAATAGTGACGATACTGACTCTGTTCACCCCACATCCCACTTCAGCCTGTTTATTATCTTCCCCTCTAATTCTTTCTTTTGTGACGACATTCTACGTATCAAATCTTCTTCAATTCGTATACAAAAGAAAGCAGCAGATATTCGAATTGAGAAGCCAGACGGACAAAGCAGAAGATACTCACAATGTCAACACCAGCGCCCTTTCAATTTCTCCCACTAGGAGCCATCATTCAAGCTTTCATAGTCGGAAAAACGAACATTGTACAAAGCTTCCCTAAGCAAGCAGATTACGTCGCCCACAACGGACCTTTCTTTGGCGAGACGATTGGACGTGTAGCGAATCGAGTCAAGAATGCGAAAATCGATTCCCTGAATAACAAATCCTACACCTTAGCTGCGAATAACGGGGTCAATCATTTACACGGTGGTGTGAAAGGATGGGGAAAGAGAATCTGGGATGGACCAAAGCCTGTTGGAGTAAAGAGCATTGAAGGATTGAGCGGAGAGCTTGAGGGTGGCGAGAGCGTGGAGTTTACACTTAAGAGTGAAGATGGAGATGAAGGATACCCGGGAACTGTTGAAGCTAGTGTTGTATACACTGCTGGAACGCAAAAGACGGAATCTGGAAAGACTGTCAATGTGCTAGGAATTGAGTATGTGGTTGAGTTAGTTGGTGAGGCTGAGGAGACGGCTGTTAATGTGACAAACCACTCGTAGGTCTTGCACGCACATTGCTGGGCGATGTTTGCTAACCCAGCGCAGATACTTTAACCTTTCAGGACAACCTACCATTGAGGGCACCGTGGTAACTCTCTGCTCAAATCAATATTTGCCAGTTGATGATGGTGGAATCCCAACTGGTGACCCAACCGCTTACAAAGGCGTGGAATCCAAGAAGGAATTCACATTAGGACCTGAGGAGCCGGATATTGATGACTGCTTCGTTGTTGATCCATCAACCGCTTCGAAGATTCCACTAGATACCCGCAAATCGCCATTGACGAAACTCGTCACTGCATACCACCCAGAGACCAAGATCCATCTCGAAGTGCTCAGCACCGAACCGGCATTCCAGTTCTACACTGGCAAGTACATCGATGTTGTGGAAGTCGAGGGACAGGCAGCGAGAGGGAAGCGATCGGGTTTCTGCGTTGAGCCTAGTCGATACGTGAACGCTGTCAACGAAGATAAATGGAGGGCACAGGTGTTGTTGAAAAAGGGCCAGACATATGCGAGTCGCGTCGTGTACCGTGGATGGAGCGATGAGTAGATAATCCTTGGCAGTCGGAAGCAAGATTTCGCATCTGAAATACATCTGCAAATGAATTGTCTTGCTCCAACAATGGTGGGTTCTTGTTATGCCGGTTGAGAGCTCATGCTTCCAAGTCTTGGAAGAATCTCATGTCGAAGTTCGCGAGTTGCAACAATGTAACTTACATCACATGACTTCCAAAGAGCCAAGCCGGACTAAGCTCGGGTGAACTTTGCTCACTCGTGTTCTCTAAACAGCCTCGGCATCTCCTGCATCGCATTCGGTGGTGACCCGAAACTCAAAGTCAGCGCGTCATTTCTCAGTGAGCATTTCACATGCAAATGTTCTTCATGCACTGCCATCTCAGCCAATGACTCTTCTTGCAATCGTAAAATACATCGGCACATGACAGACTGTGGAGATCCAGACTACGCTCCTGACAACAGCTGATTCAAACAAAATCCGGGGTTTGAGGGTTGATTTGGCGGGGCTGATGCGAGGAATGAGAGAGGTTTGCGAGCGGACGAGTGCATGTGAAAGCGTATGCGACCGAGCTACGAAGGTACATGTAACAAACAAGACAAGTCAGATTCATCTACCGAGCACGAACAAAACTACCTCGACCCCTTTGACCTTCTCAATCCAAGACTTGACCATTACATATTTCTTTGTTTTGTTTTCTAGACTGTGGCATAGATTGCGAGAGCTAAAACACAACCAACATGTCTAAATCATTTTCAGCAGCCGACGTTGCGTCGCATAACAAGCCAGATAATCTTTACATCATCGTAGATGAGGATGTTTACGATCTGACTACCTTTCAGGATGAGCATCCAGGTAAGCCTCTGAACATTCACGCTTCGAATGCCAATCGTGCTGACAATTCCAGGTGGAAAGAAGATCCTCACTCGGGTCGCCGGAAAGGACGCCAGCAAGCAATTCTGGAAATACCACAACGACGGCATCCTCAAGAAATACAAGGCGAAGCTCCAAGTTGGATCGCTGGACACAAAGAAATCTGCAGCACCACCAACGCCACCTGCGACTCCTCCACCAGCAGAGAAGAAAGAGGCTGTAAAGCCACAGGCGGAGAGTGGTACCGTTGTGCCAATGCCTTCGAAATCAGCAAAGGAGGTGGTTGATCACACACAGGAGGAGGCTCTAGATCCATACGGAGATTTGATTCCATTCGCGGATCCAAGTTGGTATCAAGGTGTATGTTACTTTCCACGCAATTGGATTGTTCTGGTGACTGACTGACAATTGTTTAGTTTCACTCACCATACTTCAACGAAAGCCATGCCGCCCTCCGAGAAGAAGTTCGCGATTGGGTATCAGAGAAGATCGAACCTTTCGTAGGCGAATGGGAAGAAGCACGAAAAGTCCCAGACGAAATCTACAAGGAAATGGGCACACGCGGATACCTCGCTGGATTAATGGGCATGCACTACCCAACCGAATATACAGACAACAGAATCAAGAGCGTGGCACCAGAGAAATGGGATCTATTCCACGAAATGCTGGTTACCGATGAATTATCTCGTGCTGGAAGTGGTGGGTTCGTATGGAACGTCATTGGAGGGTTCGGTATCGGATGTCCTCCACTGGTCAAGTTCGGAAAGAAGGAAGTCGTCAAGAGAGTTCTACCAGAGATCTTGAATGGTGATAAACGAATTTGTCTAGCAATCACCGAACCAGATGCTGGTTCCGATGTTGCAAACTTATCCTGCGAGGCCAAATTGACTCCAGATGGAAAACACTACATCGTCAACGGTGAGAAGAAATGGATCACAAACGGTGTCTGGTGCGACTACTTCTCTACCGCCGTCCGAACCGGAACTCCAGAAAGCGGTGCAGCAGGTGTAAGTATGCTCCTGATCGAACGCAGCATGGGCGGTGTTTCCACCCGCAAAATGGACTGTCAAGGTGTCTGGTCAAGTGGAACAACCTACATCACATTCGAAGACGTAAAAGTGCCGGTCGAAAACTTGATCGGGAAAGAGAACCAAGGATTCAAAGGTACATCCCCCCTCCCTTTCCCATCCAAACTCTACTAATAGTGTTTTCAGTCATCATGACAAACTTCAACCACGAACGCATCGGCATCATCATCCAATGCCTCCGCTTCTCCCGCGTCTGCTACGAAGAATCCATCAAATACGCGCACAAACGCCGCACCTTCGGCAAGAAACTCATCGAACACCCCGTCATCCGCCTCAAACTCGCACACATGGCGCGTCAAATCGAAGCCTCATACGCGTGGCTCGAGTCCCTCATCCACCAGATCTCCCACATGCCGGAGCAGCTCGCGATGTTGCGACTCGGTGGCCCGATCGCCGGTCTCAAGGCGCAGGCCACCGTGACGTTTGAGTTTTGCGCGAGGGAGGCGAGTCAGATTTTTGGGGGACTGAGTTATTCGAGGGGTGGACAGGGGGGGAAGGTTGAGCGCTTGTATAGGGATGTTAGGGCTTATGCTATTCCCGGGGGGAGCGAGGAGATTATGTTGGATTTGAGTATAAGGCAGAGTTTGAGGGTGGGGAAGGTTATGGGTATGAAGTTGTAGATGCATGGAGATGGTTAGAGGGGCGGGGGATTGTATATTATTGGAAAGAAAGATGAACTTCTGCGAGCGAGTCGGTTGCGGGTAATTGGGTATAAAGATAACGAGTAAAATAAACTCATCATACTCTTTAATTTTGAAATTTGCGATTTGATTTATACTATAAAAACGCACGTCTCTTCCCTTAACCACCATAAACCCTGTTCCTTCTCCAATCATCCCCTTCCGTTGCTACCATGTCCTCCACGGAAAGAATCAAGTACGCCACTTTAAAAATCCAACTTGACATTTCATTTCTGAGACTCGAACTGTAAAATTTCGGTAGTTACACCACTAATCTTCTGGGGCCTGAGCTCCTTGTACGTCAAAATCATTTTCCGTTTCCAATTCATCTAACAACATATCGATCTCGCGTCCTTTATTATAGCCATCCCTCCGACAAAGCTGGCGACACTAAGCTGTCAAGCGAATATAGTTTTAACTACATGAAGTTTTTTTCTAAAAACATATCTGTAACGAGATTCATTTTCTTGTTACTTACTCTGATTCTGGTACGGTGTGTTGTGGTGTTGGGGCGTTGACGTTTGAGCGCCGTGGCTGTGTGGAAAGGGGAGGGGAATTGGATGTAGGGAAGGGGAATCGGTGGTGAGGTTCGTTTCGGTGATAATACTCGACATTAATCTGCCTAGATTAAAATTGGACTAAGAGAGAAGGATGGGCTCGTGAGAGTTTTAGATGTTCTGACTAGACCGATAAACACCCGTTGCTAAGTACTCCATTTAACACAGGGCGCGCGGTCGAATTTGCTTCTACGGTGTCAAGTGATGATGGCTTTGTATTCTACATTTGGATAATGGTATTAGAAGAACGAGATCCATGGGTTGTTTGCTATGATAGGTTCGGAAGCTGGGGTGTGTTATGAGAGGTTGAGGGTGTGATGGAGGGAGAGGTGTGGTGAGGACTTATCCCGGAGAAGTAAGTCAACACCCCTTTAAATGCATACCTTTTAAATTCATTTTCAGCTACGGGTAGAGAAGCGGAGTATATTCAGGTCCTTGGAAGTCGTCTCGTGGGTCTTCTGCCGGAGGATTTCTAAGCTTATAGATTGTGAATCTCTGATTGGGAGGTTCCGAGTAAGAGAATTAGGTACCTGCTGGGTTTTAGAAGGTGGTTTGTATTTATGAGGAAGGGTGAGGGGGATTCGGTGGTAAGTGGGGTTTCGGTGACAACATCCTATCCCGACTTACAAGTTGAGCGAGGATGGAAACATAGGAAGTTTAAAGAGAATTGTCCAATTCTCCTTACAATAATTTAGTTACACATTAACATCAATCTTCCAGTCGACGCAGTACATAAGCACATGTCTCCCCATATTCTTCAATTACACTCTAGTTTAAGGAAGATATCTGGGTGAAGTGATTAGGAATTTTATATTGGGTTTAGAACGTTACAAGTATCGTATATAATAAGTACTCTAATTTCTTACGTTTAAAATCATAGAATCTCTATTTGAAAAACCCCTTTCAAATTATCTATCTAGTATAGAAATAACTTAATTATACATTCTATCTAGAATAGGAAGTTATTGTAAAGGGCGTACTAGAGAATAAATATTTCTATGCGTTATTTGACAGTACGAGCGTTCTATTAATATTAAATGCACTGCTGAGTTTTTGGAAGGTGGTTTGATGTTACAGTAAGTAGTAAGGGGTAATTCGGCGGTGTGTTTACTTTCGGTAGTAGGTTCTTTTCTTTTCGTGAGACCGCCTTTCGGGGAGGTGAGAGGTATGTTGTTAATTAGTAATGTAAGGTTTAAATTGATAAGATTATTTATAGTTAACTTTAATTTAAGGTATAAACAGACAACTCCCGGCGAAATACATTCTGCAGAATATTTCTCCTACTAACTACTAAAAGAATTCTAGTTAAAGGCTATTGAGTTTTTACGTCGACCTTAGGTACTTTGGGATAACTCTGGCAGGAAATTATCGAGGAATTTGGATTTTTTGTATTAGCGGGGTATAGTATAAGAGAATGCCGGGTCTTCGAATATAACATTTTTTTCTACTCCGTTATATAACTCTACTATAACTATAACTTATATACTCTTTTAAAAAATGCGAACATTATCTTCTCTACCTATTCTCTAAATTCTGTTCTCTCTAAACACCCTTCTACCTCCCTAAAACTAAGTAATTATTACGTTAAATTGTTTTGTTACGCTCCCTAGTATAGACCATTAAGCGTCACAGTAAGATGTTAGAGTTTAAGGGATAGCATCTTACAATTTATTTAAATTGTTAGGTATTTTGAAACTAGACTTAGCTTTGCAGTTTTTTCTTATTAGGGTTCTATATTTAGAAAGAAGCTGATGTGACTCTTTCTGTACGTTTAGGGAGGAGGGTTTCGGCAGTAATTTTGATTTCGGTAACAATATCGTATTATACCGCGAAAAATTGGCGACGAATTTAACGTCTACATAGCGACTACCGAAAGTTTTACTTTGCTTAATACATTTAATGGTTTACAGAGTAGCGATGCCGTTGGTCTTGTATTCTACGAAGCTCGGAGGCCTATCATCCTGTCTAGGACTTACATGTAGGTTAATCAGCGTCGGATGTTCAATTCCATCTGGGTTGACCAAGATGTAAACTTGATCGAACATAAACGTCCCTGGGGTGCTATCAGTCGTAAAAAAGCACTCGCTCAGAGTTGCATTAGTCAAATCTTAGGAAGACTACCTATTACGAAACGCCTTTCTCCTGCTAGTAGCGTCCGAGTAGTTCAAGATATGAGATTTAGGTTTATACAAGCTGATTAGAATGGGTTGACTGGAAAAGCTGGATGGTCGACGCACCTAACAAAGATATGTTTTCAATATCTCTACACACACGGCTGGAACTCTTATCTTGGGGATAAGGACTGTTGGTAAGATGTCAAACTGGCGGGACGGAATGAGGAATGTTAACCCGAAAGACTATATTGCCACACCATCCATGCTTGAGCGTGCTGAAAGGGAACGTTGTGTGAGGGTTTTGAGGTTTGTTTAGATTGTTAAGAAGAACGGGAAGAAGGGGGGCAAGGAGAATAGGTAGGTGGCAAATTAAATAGAATGCGACGTATATATCGATATACTATTAGCTAAGCAAATAGTAACTAAAAACCCATCTAATTAAATAATAGTACCTTTCTACTTTGTCGTTTTATTCGTATACTATAATATTCCGTTATCTAGAAATATTAAAATAGTACTTACAAGAAGCACTACTTTATATTAAACGGATTAGAGAACATAAAACCTTTGTCGGAGAAAATTAAAAAACGTTTTAAGGAGAGCCGAATTAGTTTATTGGAAATCAGTAAATCTAACTTATAATAATAGTAATCTAATTCCTTTCCGGATGTAAGAAGATGTTATAAAAAAAGCAATTAATCTTACATTCTTATAAGAGAAAGCTAGAATATAAGGTTATATACTATAAAGTCAAGTCATCCTCCTCTATATCTACTTCCATAAACTCTCTCACTTTCTCACTTTCCCAAAACCTAGTAAAAGCTCAATTAAATCCCCTCTTTAACCTAAATAGCCGTTCCCCAGACACCGCAGAGTACATAAATTAAATGTATCTTAAAATACAATTTACAGCGGATAGGTCGGGCATCTTCTCGTGGTGGAAAGTGTTACAAACCTGCTACGAGCTTAATAATATTATCTGCGAGGGATGCAAACAAGAACATAAGGTGACAACTAGCTAGTCGAGATATACTTATTATTCTATTGCGTACCATTTACAGACAAATAAGGCTAGATTTTAAGTTTATATAAGAAGTAGGAATAAAATCGGGGTTGAATTTATTTTCGGCAATAACACTTCTTAATCCTCAACTTTACAGAATTTCAAATCTTGGGAAGATAGAAGAATTCGAAACTGTTTTAAATTGTGTTTAAAGTTTATTATAAACATAAATTTAGTTATCTAATCGAGAAGTCTTTTAGGACAGGACTATGGGTTTGGATGTCGGAATTTATTTGATAAGTTCTATTCGTTCTAATTTTAGATGTTGTAATTTAACAAGTAGTGTTAGAGAGCAAGGAGAGTATAGATGGCATTTAATAGGTTTAATCGAGGTGTGAGATTAATATAGCATGATAGAAAGAGGGTTCGGATGCAGACTTGCGGAAAAGGAGGTCAAGCTACCTTTTTGAAGTTATGCGTAAATAGGATTTTAGCATTTCAATAGTGCGATGTTAGGTTTAAGCCTGATGCAATGAAGCGCCATCGTATGGAACGTGTGTTCTAGAGATGAAAGATGACTGGTAAGAGAAGCTACTTGAAAAGACAAATATCAAAGTAAGGTTCCAGCTAACCCCTTTTCCCCCTGTTCAAAGAGAACATACAGCCCTCGACAAGACACTCAAAACAAAAAGAAACGATTGTTTAGAATGCGACGTACGGTATAGTCCAACAGATTATACTATTCTGGTCATCCGACGATAGGTAACAACACGAATGTGTTTTATTTTTGAATTGTCTTAAGACTTACGTATTTGTACACAAAAAAGTCTTGAAATAGACATGCCAGCACTAGCGATAGATTGCTTCTCTTGATGGAAAATAAAACCGACTGGTATACAGGTAGCAGTTTTTAATTAGCGAAACTTGGTAGAAATGATCCTACAGAAGAAAAAGACGAAGATGTCATAAAATTCTGGCCATTTGTCCTCCCAGAATCATTCCAATATATTAGACTGCGCACAAGGATTGATGATGATTTCCTTTACCTGGAAACCCTTTGGAATCGGTTCGGCGTTATTACCTGTCTCGGGAGGTCGAAAAGGTAGTTGAGTGTTATGCTGGCATTCGGTGACAAAGTCGCTTTCGGCAGCGAGTTGTGGCGAGTTTTAGACTCCGCAAATACCATACGCTTTTTTGAGCGGATGAACACATTCAATTGAGCAGATTCAACGTGTGAGATTTTCAGTGTTCCCGCAGTCATGAGTTATGACAGCTGAGCGACTAGTTCACGACTGCGTCTCGTGAATGGAATATGTGGCTTATGAAAGTTCTATACCTCCTTGAATGATATAATGTGTTCGAAGAGATTCTTGACTTGTAGGTCTTGGCTTATTTGGCGGGGTGCTGTTATTGTATAGCGTCCCTTTGTTGAACGACTTCTTCTGGTTTCTATAAGCATGTGTAAAATGAGAGTGGATTGTCAGAATGTAGGAAAGTAACAATTTCAAAAACCGAAGCAGCGACAATGTAAGTGGACTTTGATTTGTTAATTAATCTAAAGTGCATGGCCTTTCTGGGGGGAATTCTAGACTGATGGGCCATTTTGAACAGTTTCACATTAAATTTCTTCGATCCTCTGTTGAAGCAAAGTAGCTGTTGTGCAAAAAGTTTAGAATTTCGACGAAAGGTAGGCGCACATATAAATCTACAGCTTTTACATGAAGCTCTTATATCCCGAACCCTTTCTATATCATCCGGATAGGCGACTACACTTCAAAGGCGAGTAAAACTCATCTCCTCCTGATAGCAGCACTTACCTAAAAAAAAAACAAGTTTCTTTACTCCCTAGTATTTAAAAACCACTAAAGTATACTTTACATTATAACTACAAGAAGTCACACGCGCTGTATCATTCTTTCTGGTCTTCTTAGAAAATGTTCACAAAGCTACCGTACAGATAGATACATTCATCTCACCAGATCACAGTGTCAAAGACGCAATTAATTATCGCCAATTAAGCTCAAGCTTTCATATTGAGAAGTTTAAGCGAAATGAGCAGAATCGGTGACAGTTGAGAAACCGGCAGCAAAGTTACTCACCACACGATATCAAGAATCTCACGACTTTGTCATTCTCGCAGCAACGAGAAAGACCTTGTATACTCCTCGGATTTTGACTTTACCTCCCCAAATAAGCTTGAAGTACTAGCTAGTCAATTCCACAAAGCAGTGGGACTCATGGCTTACCAGGAGTAGGTTGAGATTCAGGTCACGTTTCCGAGCCAGTATTTAAGAAATAGTGTACTAGAAAAGAGGGGTTACCTCAAATGCTAAATTTGAGAGGGATATCAGGATTTGTTGTTTGTTGGAGCAGATCCATTCCTGAATCACTAGCTACTTGATCATTTTATATATTTTTGGTATCAATTTCTAACTAATATAGTTAAGTCCCCATTACGAAAGTACACAAGATTGATTACATCCCTAGTCAAAAGATCAATTTTGATACTTAATCAAAGCTAGAAAATCCTCTAATTGCTTGTTCTACTTGCTTCTCCAAACAGAGGCGGTTTATAATTCGAGGACCACTCAGTAGCTGAATGTCATTTGTCACAATTCAGCTCTTCCAAGAAATACTTCCTGATGGTTGTACTCTTCCAAAAATCTATCGTCTTCAAAATTCTCAGTGTTGAACACAGTCTTTTCTAATTACGAAGTAGTTCATGTCACACAGTAGTCGTGAGAATAGCCTAACCAGATAAATTTCCTCTGACTACTACTACCTTGGCAAACTTTGTCACAATCATCCGACATAAGCCCAACACAAGCCGGAGATATGCAATTTAAGGAAACCACTAGTAAACTGTAGTTGAACTAGTAGTCGAATAGATCATCAAGTTGCAAGGAATTGGGAACCAATCAATATCCTCCACACAGAAGACATTCTATAACTAACGGCAGCTATCCCAAACCAAATCAAAAATTTACCATAATCAACCAATACAACAATCGAACACCACATAAAACCTCGACAATTGTCCAGCCAATCTTCAATAGTGACCAACCAAGAATTGTTCGAAGATCTAATCATTCAGACGGAGAACCTAGCTCAACACATGCTTGTCCACGACATGGTTTTGACATTTTCATTTCACAACAAAGGTTAAAGAACCTGTATTCATAGCGTAGGCATAGCACGAGAGAAGATTAGCAATGCTTTCAGTCTTAGGTAATGCGATAAAAAAGCGAAACTCGGTGACAATTATAATTCCGGCAGCAAACTTGAGTTCAAACTCAAGAATTCCCGTTTCGGGGAAGATTTGTGGTCGGACAATGGCGTTTTATGTACCTGAGATTCTAGCAGTTCATACGTCAGGCATGGAAAAAGCATCGTTCCTCGAGGCAGAACCCATCAGCTTTTTGGCGAAAAAGTAGACACAATGATCATCATCTTGACCTCCGCGGTTGAGATATAATATAGCACCCATCACCCAGTTAAGTGGGGAGTCTGCTGTGAACACTTACAGTGGGTGGACATAAGTCTACGCACCCCTATATAACTTACACTAAAACACGTACACTTTACCCTTAAATCGTTATATATATAACCTTTTACGTTTTGCCTAAGACTTAGGCGTATGGTTATTTATTACTTAAACATTAATTCTATCTCTTTAGAATTATAAAATTCGTACTCCTTTTACTAGTAAAATCTCTTCGAAAAGTAGGTACGTAGAAACATCGATTTTACTATAGCGAAATAAGCGAAATATCGGGGGTCGACCTATATCTTTATATATCGGCGGATATAGTAGGTAAAAAAGGCTCAAATTTAAAAATATATAAGTTTAAGTAGTTGTTATTCTAGTTATCTAAGGAATAGTAATTTAGCCTATTGTGGTCGTTGTAATAGTTATCTCAAAAGGGGGTCTTTTGGGTTATTTGGTGGGGTTTGAGGGGTGTGCGTAGACTTGTGTCCACGCATTGTAGGTAATTCCTGCCAGATGAGTAGACGTCTTTGGCATACAACTCCCAAATTTCGAAAAATTGCCAAGAACAAATTGAGTTTACACAACTTCAAAATCATTGCCATCAGGGCAAGCTAAATTCGCGAACACTGGAATATGACTTGGTATCTATCTTCATCTCATGTATAATATCATACATACCACACAATGCGCTTGCTTTTGGCTGTACCTCTACACGAAAAGATTATCTACCATTCGCCGTCGATAAAATGCTTTTTCTTCATCACTCATTACATCTTTCACCTTCTTGGCATGCCCCTTCCTCTGCCCCTCAACGCCCTCTGTGCTGCTCCCGGAGGTAGACCCCGCTGTGGAGCTTGAGGCTGGGCACTCTCTTCATTTCGAATTGTCTCGTCAACGCTGAGGATCAGACAGCTTGCCTCTGTGGCTGCTTGAATAGCGTTGACCTTGACCAAAGCTGGTTCCCAAACAAATGCCTCGAAATTATCACGAACGCCCTCGTTCACGAAATCAACACCAGCCCAGACATTGCCCTTTCGGTGCTCAACACGAAGCTTGTTGAGGATATCAGTTGCATCAAAACCGGCGTTGTCGCAAAGTTGGCGAGGAATAATCTCTAAAGCTTTGGCGAACGATTTGATGATGGCTTGCTGTTTATGTGGGACATTCTTGTCGGCGTAACGGTGGAGATATGCTGAGACTTCCATCTCACAGGCACCACCACCTGCAACAACGGTGTTGTTCTTGATTGAGCGCTTGACAATCATGATAGCATCGTGTAGGGAGCGCTCAACTTCAGCAATAAATTGCTCGGCACCACCACGAAGGACAAGAGTACATGTCTTGGCTTCTGGGCAATCCTCGAAGAAATTGAAACGCTCGCCTCCAATCTGTCGCTCCTCAAATAGACCACAGGTTCCGAGATGCTCTGGGTGAATGTCGGAACATGTAGACTGGATGGAACCCCCGGTAGCTTGGATGACTCTTTCGAGGTCATCAGACGAGACACGGCCAGCGCAGAAAATATCGCGGTCGGCGAAATATTGAGTAGCCAAATCTCCAATTGGTAGTTTCGACAGAACCACCTTGGCACCAGTCTTGTAAAGAGCCTCCATCTTGTTGTATATAATTTGCCATTCCGCATCGACGATCGCCTGGTATTCAGACACCTGCTCAACACGGACTTCTGCATTATCCTTTTCTGACTTAAGCTCGAGCTCAACATTTAGACAGACGATCTTGGGGTTCTTGAAGGTTTTAGGCTGTTGCTCGAACCCGGCGTATGAGAAGGTCTTCTTGAAGGCGACACCATTTACGAATAGAGAGTCGGTAAGAGAGCCTCCAGGAATCTTCTTGATGCCGATCAGGTTCGCATTGAGGTCGTCTTGGTCGAGGGAAAGAACAGCATCCACAACCACTAGCAAATGTTAGCATGCGTGATGCACTGAAAGTTGTAAAACTCACTCTTCGTAAAGAAAGCTGTATTTCTCTTGATCAATTTGCTGCTCATTGCAGTACCAGCCAGTTTGCTCAACGTCTCCCTCTTGTTACCCTCACTTGTGTTGACAGCAATTTCCTTAATCTTGTTCACTGCCATGGTTGAAGCTCTCCGTAACCCTTTAATAATAGTCTGCGAGCTAACACCCTGCTCAACATGTTCTTTGATCTCCTTCAGAATTTCACCAGCAAGTACAACCACCGATGTCGTACCGTCTCCAACTTCTGCGTCTTGCGATCGTGCGATGTCTGTGAGAATTCGAGCGGCAGGGTGCACAATATCGAGTAGCTAAAATGATCAGCTCAGATCTTACTCCGTCCTCCATAAGCTTTCTCACCTTCATGACAGTCGCACCATCGTTGGTTATTGTCTGCCGGCCATTTTCATCTACAAGTAATAAATCTCCACCATAAGGTCCTAATGTGCTTCGTATCGTGTCTTGGACAGCTAAACAGGCGTTGATATTTGAAACTATTTGACCTTTGCCCTGTGAAGAATCGGTCCCTAGACGTATACATTGTTAGTGTTGTGCTATTTATTTTTGGAGCTATGGACTTTCATACCTTCCTTCAACACAATAATAGTCGGGGTCTGGCCACCGAAAGACATTTTGCAGTGGTGCTGGCGTTGATGCGATGATTCAAGATTCTTCGCAGCTGTCTTGACTTTAAGTTCTACGTCTAGAAACGGAGTGTGAGATAATATCGGTCGTGGGGGAGCTTGATACCGTAAGGCTGCTGCCGAGCAAGAAACTTTGAAAGATTTCGCGTCGCGAACTGCTCAAGTGGTCGAGTGGATGCCCGTACAGCCGTGCACGTGCCGTTCCTCGAATGCCTTTGCCTTCCACATTGTCAACTCTCATCCCAACACAATAGCAATAAAATCAAACAAGCCCTCACCGGCCTCCAAGCAGGACCAGCCTGCGGTATATTAGGTGGCAAAGTGGCGGAGTATAACGTTCATCACTCCTTATTCCTACCAGAAGATGATTCATGTCTTCAACTCCCTTTCAACTCCATTGCTTACCAGATCATAGAGACAGAGACAAAGTGAAGCCAGACAGCTAGGAAGCCAGCGAAAGATATTGAGTTAGCCATTATTGGCAGCAAACCGAGACAATGAGCAATGTCTCTGGAAGTATCCGCTGGGATATTTGGCTTCATTCATCTCAGGATCGACCGTATGGTTTGAGCAAGACCGAATGAACGCTGCTGTTGCGCATTGTTAACTTCCACAACCTTGGGATAGCAGAGTTCGGCTATCCAAATGGCTATCCAGATGAGTCCAAACGCTCTAAGAGCGAGAAGTTAGAAGTCTCGCAGAAGATGTCGATGAACACATCGCTGGAGCCCCAATCAGCCTCATTTGCCTGTGCCCTCTGGTCTGCTGTATCCCATTGCAATCAGTCACGAAACCTTGGTCATGCTGGATTAGGAAATCTTGCTTGGCCAAGAACCTGATTGAGGTTTGATAAATTACGGCTATTTGGACATTTACACCAGCCTTCTGTCATGCAGTCTTTTGCGGAATGTCTATCAGTCTCTGATTTTACCAAGCACGTGGGCAGACTTTTCATATGCGCTACCAAGAGATCAAAATGTTGTACAACCGACTTTCTCTCTTCTCATCCTATTGTAAAGATTCAAAAATAGAATGTGATCTTCCAATCACATAGAAGTGGCGAATGAGAACTCCTTATCAATTCCAGTGCCGACCACTACCTTTAATATTCTCTGGCCAATACGAGAGACTGCCAACAGGTGGTGATCAATTAAAGATTTATCATATCAGAAAACCCAAGGTTACATGACTATTCGGCAGTTGGATAATTGGACATCATTTTATCTCGCTAATTCATCCACGTTTTGTGGGGTAATCTGGCTAAGAAAACATGCCTTGTGTATTAGAGACATTCGGCGGCATGGCATGTATGGATAAACAGAGGTTAAACATTACAGCAATGGCTATCCTAGACGGCGGTAGTTACTGCAAGGTAAGCGGGTCATTGGTATGGGGTAATTTTGATATTAATACTCGAGGGCAGACGCTGTAAATGTGTTCTGAATATCTTCATCTTCACTTGAACCGAATTACATCATCAACCGTACACCATGAAGTGGTACTCTGCTCTTGCGATCGCTGGGACAACCCAAGCCGCTCTTCGATTTGGATGCTCGACTGTATCAATTCAACGCCTTGATCCTTTGGTCGAACCTGGACAAGTTCCATCAGCTCACGTTCATCAAATCGTCGGTGGAAATGCATTCAAGCCAAACATGACAGGAGATATTGGGGAGCAAGGCACCTGTACGACATGTACATTTACAGAGTATGTCGACGTCCTTACTCCGACATTGCTCCATACGCTCCTTGAAACTAATACTGCAACAGGGACTTTTCAAATTATTGGACCGCAGCCATGTACTTCAAGCATTCCAATGGCACATATAAGAAGGTGCCTATCATGCAAAACGCTGCACTTCCCAACGGAATCAACGGTGGGATGACCGTGTATTACACCCAACAGGATTTCAACTCCAATGGAAACCAGAAGATCACATCTTTCAAGCCTGTCAGTGAGGACCTTAAAAGTTGAACAGTTTGTGTTCTTACTAATTCCTACTAGGGCTTCCGTATGACTGTTGGAAACCCAACAATAGACAACTCCAACGCAGCGAAAGGACGTGCAGGTCTTCGCTTCGTCTGCCTCACGGACAAGAATACCAGATTCCCAGAGCTTCCTGATTTCCCCACGAAGCCCTGCAAAGGTGGAATCATGACTGTCCATCACTTTCCTGCGTTAGTCAACTTCCTTCCTACTTACATGGATAAACACTAACATATTTCAGATGCTGGGATGGCAAGAACCTCGACAGCCCCAACCATCAAGATCACATGTATTCAACCACCAAAGATGCTTTCTCACCCGCCGGACCATGTCCTGCTTCTCACCCAGTCCGCATGCCTCAACTCGCATACGAGACTCTTTGGGACACAGCAAAGTTCGCCAACATGTGGCCAACAGACGGCTCGAACCCATTCGTTCTCAGCTATGGTGACAAGCAGGGTTATGGCACCCACGCCGATTACGTTTTCGGCTGGAAGGGTGATTCTCTACAAAGAGCTATGGATAGCTCTTGCATGTTCCAAGCTTGTGAGAATGGAAAGCCACTTAAGTCCCAGAACGTGGCTGCGATGAACAAGTGCACTGTCAAGTCGTTTGTCAACGAGGATATTGATTCTTGTAAGTTAAATTCCTCTCATATATCGCTGAGAGTCTGAAGCTAATCGTCTCTTCTCAGGGCTTCCAAGACTCCCTGGTCAAGCTATGTAATTGACCAAGCCGCCGAGCTGGAGTATGTCTGTTATGTTGCGAAGGATGTAAACTAGATATGAGTAAGGGTGGTTTGATTTTCTGAGTGAGCACTCGAGATACCGACAGTGATACTTCAATTTGTTACTCTACCAATATATCCTGTCAAAGACTCTCGACGAACATTTACAATGCAGCTGGCATCTTTGTGCCTTGACTTGCTCCAGATACTTAGTTCTTGAACCTGCCAGACATACTGCTATTCAACCTCGATCAATGATGTCAATCTATATTGATCTCTAAGCTTCATTTCAACCGACAACCGGACCTGACATGAATAATAGTCTCACAATAACCATGAACACAACATAGCACTTTCAACAAACGCATGCTCAATTTATTTGGTTTGATTTGAATTGTCACTTTCACTATCAAGACATCTTCTCCTCGCAATTTTTGTTATCTTTTCGCACCCCTTCGTCGTTTGAAGGTTGGTTCAAAGATACGAAGCTTCCACCAAGAATCCAACTGTGAACTTGAGATACAGTCAGCGCAATCCTCTCAGCCCAAATAAAGGTAGACTTACTTTTGAATGTCGAAGTACAGCAGTGAAATCAATCGTCGACAAAGCCTACCCCCATCAGCATTTCCCTGTCTACGGCGTGAAATGAACTTACATCCTGCGGACTATGAATATACGGACTCGACGTCTTAATAACCTCATCACAGACATAACTCGCCGCTATCACCCACATCATTAGCAAACATCCTCGCACCAAGAACAAAAGCATAAACTCACGAAACCCATTAGAAAAAGCACTAGCATGATCACTACACCCATACCCACACTTATCCGTCGTATAGGCTCCCCCCGCATACCCCACCACCACCTTCCGCACAAACCCCGTCAACCCGGCATCCGCATAATCCGTATACACGCTCACCTTGCCGCTCGGACTATACCCCGTCATATCCTGGGCCACCATGGCGAGCACATTCTTCCCAGCGGAGGCATAGTTAGCGAAGACGGCGGCGGAACCGAGGAGGCCGCCTTCTTCGCCGGCGTAGAAGTGGAATTCGAGCGTGTTTTTGGGGGCGAAGCGGGAGAGTGAGAGGATTCGAAGGGCTTCGAGGAGCGTGCAGGTGCCGGAGGCGTTGTCGTCGGCGCCGGGGCCGCGGGCGGTGGAGGAGCCGCCGGTGGAGTCGTAGTGGGCGCCTACTATTACTGTTGTATTTTGTTAGTTTGGGGTGTATTGGGTGTATTGGGTGTATTGGGTTTGGGTGATGGAAATAAAAAGGAGGGGGAGGGGGTGTAGTTTACCGAGATTTGGACTCGTGCCAGGGATTTTCACAATGATAGAAGGTTGGTTGAAGGAGTGCGTGAAGGTTGACACGACGATCGCGGGGTTGGAAGCTGTAAGGTTCTTAGCTAGGGCGAGGAGGTAGGTTCCTGCTTGGGTGCCAGTTGTAGAGCGATAATAGCGGTTGTAGAAACTGTAGTTGTCAGAATACAATTCAGGGTAACAAAGAGGATGAGGGGATGTACGTTGTTAAAGCTGTCATCCAGGTTTTCGGGCCAGTGGTAGTGAGTTGGGCGATTAAAGGATTTGCCTGGGTTTGGTGCGAAATAGCTGATGGGTAAGTTATTGCGCGAGATTCGAGGGTTGAGACTTCTTGGGGGGTGGAGAGGCGTGCGAGGGTTGTTTCGTTCTGACGGAGGTTAGTTGATGAACACTTTCAATCTGTGATAGGAAACTTACTTTGATATCCGTGATATCAATGAAATGTATATCCTTAGCCACGTAATCCGTGATTTTCTGCTCTTCCGTCACCCAGGTCCCGGGATCCAACTCTGAAGTTTTGATGAGTCTCAGCTCATCATTCGCTCCTTGGCCGAAATAAGGACGGACTTGAGGTGGCACTGCAGCTACGAGCGATGCAGACGCAAGGAAAAGCGGTAACACGAATGTAGAAAGCATGACGGAAAAGATAGATCCTTTCTTGCAACGACCAACTCAATTCATGCTAAATCGAAGGAGGAATAGAAACCCTATATATCCCACACACAAGCCGCTGGACCTTCCATATCAACCCAATAATCTACATCATCGACTTCCTCAGCCCAATACCTTCTACATTGGGAAAGACCTGAAAGTCAATACCGAGGCAGGTCTATGTCGTGCATGACAGGTTCAAGAAAAGAAAGAAGCTTCTCTTGCGTCCTGCCTATTACCGATGCGGCGAACCAATTAAATGGGTTTGATGAAGGACTGCCGAAAACGCCAAGGGGAACGGTACTTGGCGGGTACGTCGATTGGTGGTGCGTGGAGAATACCCAGGAGGAGCTGCGATAAGCTAGAGGTGGTGGCGAGCGAAGGATGGGGTGAAATGGGGTCGCCGGGTTTTTGCCACGATCTAATCCTTAGGGTTTGTAGGTCAAATTATTAATAGGAGGCTTCGGCTTACGGCTTAGTTAAGAGTTGGGCATAATTGGCGTCTTTTACGATTATGAGCTTGAAGGAATACACTTAAACGTTTCAATTCTATTGTAAGATACATTCTACACTAAACCCCTAGCGAGTCCTTAGAGAGAAAGCTATTTTAAAAACAAGAGCTAGCAAATTCCTGAGCTATACAACGCAACAGCAATATCATGTGTCCACGAAAAAAACTAATACCCCCCTCAAATCCTGTCAATTCAATACCAAATACCCATAATCCTACAATAAACACCTCCATTCCATGACGACAAGAGATCTCCCCGATTCTGTGGTGACCAAACACCCATCCACAAGATCTACGAACCCTCTTCGCTCCCCGCTGTCCCTGTCCCCTCTTCACTTCCCGGAGTTCCAATCTTCACAGCCGACGCATAATCCGTGATATCTGGCGTTTCACGACCGCGCATATGAGGAGATGTCGGTTTGTCCAAAATCAAGACGAGCGCCTTCTTCTTTCCCGACTCTGTAAGAGTTTTTTCGATCTTGCTTTGGCTGTTCTCGTGCTTCTTCTTGATTGGCGTGGCGGGACTATCCTTCTTGGCAACCTCTTTACCTTTTCCTTTTTGTTCTTGTATTTCATCTTCGCAATCTTCCCAATCACTCTCGTGTGACATTTCACTACCTGAATTTTGTACAAATTTGAGCCCTTTGGCCTCCTTCTTATATCCTTGAGCTTTGCCGTTCGACTCTGCCTTGCCGTTCGACTCTGGCTGAAGAGCTGAGGTTTGCTGCGTGGTTGCTGAATTCTTTTCAAGCTGGCTTGGACCACCATTTGTTGTACTCGAACTACCATTGCTCGTGCTCAGCTTGTTCACAGGTTTGCGTCTGATCGGTGTTGATGCGTTTTGGTTTGATCTTTTACTCTGTTTCGTGGGTGTTGTAACCTCGCCAGAGGTGTTAAGTTTAGGGACGCCTTGCATATTGGCCAATTGTGAGCTTTCAACACCCAAGGCAACATCCTTTGTCGTTGCTGTCAATCCTGCCTGCGCAGTGGCTGGATGAGTTCCAGTTTTGGGTTTTGGTGAGCTCTGTGTCTCCAAAGTGTCTTGTGTCTGTTTGTCAAGCGGGGGCGTGCCCGTACTAGCTTCCGCTGGCAAAGGCCATTCATCTGGCTCAATATTCTCTTTCACATTTACTACCTTCAATTTTGCGGCATACAAATCCTCAAGCCCTCTCATGTGTGGCAAAATCGGTCGATTTAACTCCATCATCGGCTTTGGCTGGACCAATTCCTCTACCTTCTTCGACCCCTCGACATTCTTTGACTGACCGATAGTGTTTTGCTCTTCGGCTGTACTTCCAAGACTTTGATCACTCGCAGGCTTGGGAACACTGTAATACTGACAAATGGCTTTTTTGCACTTGTGGCATAAAATTGTACCGCACATGGGACATTTGAGAGGAGCTTTCCAGGGAATGCTGCTGTGGCCAGGTGCGAAATCCAGGGTTCCCTCACAAGTTCCGCCACCCTCAACTCTCTCCCAGTGGCATTGATGACGGCATGTCATTTGATTGAATTTGAATCCATCCTTCTTACAATCGGGGAGGGATGGAGCGGTGAGACCCCGTCTGGAGGAAGTTTGCTGCAAATTTTCCAGCTGGACAGGAACGATATCTTGCGGCGGTACGTGCTTGCCGGAACTGATCTCGGGAGCTTTAGTCCTGGGTACCGCGGTTGATTGTTCGATCACTGGTTCGGCAGTTTCTGGCGGAGGAGCACTAAAAAGCGCATTCTTGTATGAGGTTTGGATTTTGGTGAAGTCTGTTGGCGGTTCAGCCCTCTTTGGGAAAACAGGTGCGGGTGCGTTTGGCTTCACAACAGGTTTTCTCTCTGCTGGTGGGATTTCTACCCACGGCTCTTGGGTTTGAGGCCATGTGACCGGAGGTAGGGTTGGAAAGTCTTCTTTCTTAAAGATAGCAGGAGGAGCAGTGTTCTCAGTCGTGGAAGCTTTATGAGTTGGAGTGCCGGGCTTTTTTCCAACAGATGAATTCGCTTTGGAGGTATCAGGAGTAGCGATCTCAGTCGTGGAAGCTTTGTGAGTTGGAGTGCCGGGTTCTACTCCAACAGGTGTATTCGCTGTGGATATAGTAGGAGTTGCGACCTTAGTCTTGGCAGCTCGGTGGCTTGGAGTGCTGGACCCTTGTTCAAAAGGGGTATTTGCTTTTGAGGTCGTAGGAGAAGCAGTGCTCTTAGCCTCGGCAGCTCGGTTTGGTGGAGTACCGCACTGTTTTCCATGAGATGAATCCACTTTAAGGGTAGTGGGAGGGGCAATGATCTCAGTGGTGGAAGCTGGGTGGGATCGAGTAGCCGACTCTTTCCCAGGAGCTGAGTCCGCCTTTAAGATAGTAGCAGAGGCAGTGCCATCGAAATCGATAGCGGGAGCTAGTTGAGGTGGAGTAACACGCTCTTTCTCGTGAGGTGAGCACGCTTTGATGGTAGCAGGAGAGGCAGTGTCATCGGTAGCGGCAGCTGGCTGGGTCGTATCACTGCACTTCTTTCCGTGAGGTGAATCCGCTCTATGTTCGAGATTTGTAGAAACAGCTGAAGACGCCGGTTGGGAATCCTCCTTTTGCTTTGTACTTGTAGAACCACCCAACGACATGCGCTGAGGAGAATCAGCCTTAAGTCCTTGACTTGGAGCCGAAGAGCTGTGCTGAAGAGAACCCGTTTTGCATTCCAAACTTGTAGGAACAGCTGGAGTCGGATGTTGAGTTGATTCCTCTCGATGTTCCAGCTTTGTAAAAACAGCTGAAGACACGTGTTGAAGATCCTCTGCTTTATGTTCTCCATCTGTAGAAACAGCTGAAGAAGCGTGCTGAGAACGATCCACCGTCTGTTCCAGAATTTTAGAAACAGCCGACGACGTGAGCAAAGGAGAACCAGACGTGAGACGCAACTTTCGGCTGGGAGTCTTTACTTCGTGGTCGGGGTTGCTGGCGACATCTGAATGAACTACTGACACGACTTCGATCATGTCATCTTTGATCTCCAAACGTAGATCGATAGCTAGCAATGTTCTGTTTCCATTCTCCTGAGTCGGTCTTACTTCTGCGGTCTCTCTTTCGGCTTCATCCTCTGCTTCTTCTTCGTCGGTTTCCTGTTGAAACGAGTCACTCATCTCCTCTGTATTTTGTTCCTCTGCAGCCTGCTTGCCCAATTCTCGCCTGTTCCTCTCACCATCAGCTTCCTCAAAACTCCGTGCAACAGCACGCTCCCGCTCCGCCAACCTAGCACTCAACTCTTTCTTCTCCCCTTCAAGCTTCTCCTCAAACACCCTATCCCTCTCAACCTTCCCGCAATGAAAAGCATACATCTTATCAAACGCATCTTTATACTCAACATCATCACCCAACTGATTATCCTCCAACGTCTTCTTCAAAAACCTCAACATCTCACAACTCTCATGATGTTCAACACGTAGATCGTCCATCTCCTTCGCGCGTTTGACCAGCTGCTCCGTGCGCGCGTCAAGTTGAACCTGAAGCTGCTTCATGCCGGAAAAGAGCGTGGCGTCGAGTTTGCGGCGTCGCTCGATCTCGAGGTTGCGTTTGTTGACGAGCGCGATCTCTGCGCGGAGGGCTTCGTCTTCTGCTTTCTTTTTCGCGGCGTTCAGACGCGCTTTGATGGCGGCGATTTCTTCGTCGAAGGAAATCATGGCGGGAAGTGATGGGATTGGGATGGAGTCGAAATAGGCGTCGATTTGCGATCGATCTACGTCCATACTTGACGAGTGTATTCAGAAACTTTGAGGAATCGATCTTGTAGATTTTTTGAAAACGATGATGTAAACGTGGATTATTTTGGAAAATTGGGAAGGAGCGTCCTAGATGTACCTACCGCGTTACTATTGTCTTCGTTATCGTACGAGATTTTCGCGAAGATCGACCTCGAGCCAGGACTTCACCTTCAGTTTTCCCTATTGTTCCCGACTTTCAGATTGAACACATTCAACTGATCCCGGTATCCGAGAGATGCTCAATAGCTCGCAAATTTTACAATAGAAAGAAACCCTGTTCGACACGCAGACTTTCAAAGTCCCAAGTCATGACACGCCCGCGCTGTGATGGAGTATCAACTCATGGCTGACAATCTCAAATCGCAAAAGAGATAATAGACGAGGGGACTTTTTATGCATAAGATATTGATGCTGGTACGATTCCCAAGTTTAGAGTTGAAGATATCCTAGCTGATCGATTTGATCAACGGGACGCTTAAACTTCCTCACAGCAGCTGCAAACAAATGTTATAATTCGCAAGACGAGTACAAGAGTCAACCAGGAAGATATAGTTATCTCAAGAGAACCAAAAACAAAGATAATCCTCAACTTGTTACTCCACAAGAAGATACCATTTCATTCATGATCCTGATGGTGTTCGTATTGCATGCCTACCAATCGAGAGAAGTATTTCCCACTCGGGAACCAAGACAATTAGATAGATCTTCATTTTTGTTGTCGAACCTAATGTAATATCAGAGAAAGTCCAATTCCAGGAAAAGATAACGTACCAAGCTCTGCTGAACGCTGAAAATACCAATGGCCTTGTATGAGACCTCCGTCCAACCATTCATTCCCTGATAAGAATCCCCCCTATAGATCTAGATTATGTACAAATAATTAATTCATTACATCACCCTCATCTCTGACCCGGCCACTCCACCCCATCACACCCCTCCTGCCTGCCCATCCAGCTCTCCAACCTCGTCAAACTCCACCCACTCGTCCATTCGCCCCCCTCATCCGGAATCCTCTCCTCCCCAAACCTCACACTCCTCCCCACAAAACACTTCCCTCCATGCCACGAAAACTGAAAACAGTCTTCATCACCCTCACAAGCGCTCTTACACTCCTCGAATGTCGCAGCAACCTTCTTCACGCCCCCAGTCTTGCCAAACTCGCCTTTGTCCGCGGCGAGATTATCCCAGTTCTCGCGCCTCTCAGTCATATCACGCAGCCAAAGCTCCTTCAGCACATCAGCATGTCTCAACGGCATCTTCGTCCTATCCCACCACGCCTCCTCGAAATCTGAAAACCGTTTCATCCCCGCGACCGAAACATGATGAAAAGTCAACGCAGGTTTACACCAATACTCCCCGCTCCCCGGTCCAAACGGCAGACTCTCCGGCCTCTCCCCACTCATCAGGGGCCACACATCCCTCAACCTCGTCCCAAACTCACGCATCATCTCCGCAAGCACGAGATCGCCACAACACCTCTCCTTCGTCCTCCCATCCCACTGCGCGGCGACGCCTTTACGCGTGACGGCAATCTCATACACCAGCGCTTTAGAGAGGATGATGCCCGAACCGCCGTGAGCGAAGGCGATGTCGTTGATGCTGACTTCGGAGCCGAAATACGACTTTCTATTTGGATCGAGGGTAGAGAGCCAATGGATCATGTTCGGCCATACGACATATGTGTCTGCGTCGAGGAACAGGTACCAATCCAGATCTGGTTTCAACGCCCATGTTTTCTCGACGATGTGGATGAATTTGTATTTATCTAGTGTCCAGGCGGCGAGGACGTTGGGGGATTCCGGGTTCTTGGTGCCGCGGAGGGATGTTATGTTTTGGGTTCTTTGCCACAGAGTTTTTTGCTGGCGGTAGAAAGTGAAGTCCTGGTTCTCGTTCAGGAAGGCTTCGGAGATGGTGTCTAGTGCGTCGTAGAGGTGGTGACTATCAATATCTTGTTCGAGATCAGAAAAGAAGAACACATTCTCGAGGCAGCGAAGTCTGGTTTGCATTAACGCTGGGATCTTCTCTGTGGCTTCCGTTGCGCCTGTCTTGATTGCTACCCCGATGTTAGATGTCCCCGGGAAATTCGGACAAGCTGATGAAGTCGTCGGACTTTTCAAAATCAAGTCCCAGTCAGGAGGTCCATTATATGTTGGTGAGGCGCGGGGATGGCGGAAGAAATACCATAACGCTACGAGGACCGTGAAAATGGAGATGCGAAGATATGGCAGAGACGCTCGCGATACGAAGCGCATGCTTGAGTTCGAAGTCCAGCTTATCCCAAACCCATCAGGAGGAGATGTGTACGATTCAGAAGTTCAAACCCTCTAGGCCAGATTACGAACATTCCAGAAATTCACGAGATCTGAGACAATACACGATGTCTTACTTTTGTTGGACAGCCGCTCAGCCCTATTCGCGGGTTGGCGAAAGGTGATGCTATTCCGGGAGGGGTCGAAGTATTGGGTCGGCGCCATGCAGGGGTCGCGGCCAACAACCCGCGACACGATTGGACTGGATGGAGTTGCATTTGTCCTGTCAGAACCCGTGTTTGCTTGTTAAGTTCTGTTGGTGCTAGTTTCACCTTTTGCAGATGAACTCGTCCATATTAGTCAGACTTCGCCATCTTAAGCAATAATTTTGGAAATACAACAATATTCACTCTAAACCCTCCGTAATTGAGAATTCACTATAACAAGTGAATTAAAGCATTACAATATGGTCCCATCTTTCAGATTTTGCGAATAACTTTTGGTTCGACTTCCCTTCCATAAAGGAAGCACATTTTCCGGGAAAGCACGGCATATAAGTGTGAAATAAACCTCAGACCAGGAACAACATCTGTTTGAAAGATGCTCGAGTAATCTCAAAAGGCATTTTGCCAAGGACGTTTTAACAAATGTAGGAGTAGGCCGCACTTCAGGTAGTAAAGGAGAACGGCCAGCAGTAAGACGTAATACAGCCAGCTATGATCAGTGTATCGTCGTGAAAGATACACTTTGCTCGTCTTCTCTTGCGCTTTCTACTTTGGCATTATTTTTTCTATTGTTGCTCTTCATTTCGCATGTCATTTTTTTTAGCTTCTTGTGGAACCGCTCGTTTTTAAAAACCACCAGACGGGGCAGGCGAATCGCTAGATCCCAGCACATTTCCGGTCCACAAAGTAGGAGGCGTTCTCGGGGTGACATGAATGACGGACGCGGATTTTATGGACTTGATCATCATCAGACAGAATGCGCATCTTCCCACGAAGACACAACGCCAAATTCCGGCAATTGCTTTCGTGAACTAAGCGCTGCCTAGCTAACAGCAGTAGAATCGTTGATTCGCCGGTTGTATCGATGGAAGATGATCATTGTTAGGAGAGATGGAGGGTCGAAATTCGACTTGGCTTTCAACAATCAGTTCAACTTCATCCTGTTCAGAGTGAACGACACTTCAACGTTGACAGTTGGATCCTGTTTCAACATATCGACCTCGACGGTCGACCGTTTCTAGAATATAATCTCGGGCCCACCAACAACCTCGTTGGCTTCCTCCGTAACTCGTTCTGGCGATGCTCTGATTCCGGTGACTAGCACTTCAACGCTTCCGAGCCCAACTTCTAGATCGAACAGTGAAGGTCCGACGGCGATACAATCTTCAAAAGCCAGCTCAACTGTAACGATCGAAAACACTCCGCCTGGCGGATCTGCAGCCGGGGTTACGGTCGGAGTAGGAGTTGGCATTGGAGTTGGAGGAGCTGTTATTATTATCGGCATGGCGATTTGGTATCGATTGAATAGAAAATTGAAGGAGAAAAAGTCCCAACACGCAAGGAACGAAGCAGGAAACCCCCCGGAATATAAGGCAACAAATATGTTTCTTCAGCAGTGCGTAGCTGGGCACCCTCTGAATTATCAGGACAGCCAGACAAATCCACGTACGTATTCGAACTGAGCACACCGTCCAGCCGGCTTGATCGTCCGAGCGAACTGCCAACTTAGCAATTGTTTAACGCACACTCATAGCCTTGGCTGTTTCTAGCATATCGATTTGAGGCCAGAGAATTAATATAAAATTCAGTGCTGCATGGCCGCTGAAATGATGATAACATCATATCATGGAACCTAAGTGAAAAGACTGCATATATGAGTCGAACCTCAGTAATTTTGCTGGTTGTAAGACGACGATCAACGGGACTGGAAGACTGCTTACCATCCACTGCGATAGAATCGAGGATTGACCCGAAGTGGTAGAGTAGGGAAAAAAATTATGATGCAGAAAATATTAAATATAGGTTGAGATTTCATATCGCACACTTTTCGCCCCCACATTAAGAACATGTACGGCATGTCAGCCACCGTATATCTGACATGATTGTCCCAGGGTATAAGACGAACGTTAACCGCTCAAACCAACATGCTACTAATATTCATCCGTGTGCGATCGGTCCCTGAAACGGGCTCCGGTTTTAATCGGTGATAGTTGGTGGCCCCAAAAGAGGCGGGTTTCTTTGGCTCATATTCCACGCCACGGGAAGATATGCGGCCGCATGCAGGTATCGTCACTCCTGGCGGCAACGAACACCCCAAAACAACAATATTGGGAGCCACATAATTCTGAAAATTTCTCTCCTCCCTTCTGAATCGGTCCTGCAATCGGCTCTTGGTTGAGCGCTGGAATTGGGTTTTTACTGTCGTGAAAGGCCCCGTACTTGCTGTCATGAATGCCCAGCTCTGAAAGAATGGGTTGTATTCGTCTCCCCAATATGGTACCAGGTCTCTGCCTCTGAATTTCCACACTTTCGTGATGTCGAAATCCGGGTCGATCAAGACGATGAGTAGCTCTAAGCTGGGGAAGAGCTCTCGAATGACTTCAACGCTCATCCCGCCTAAAACATTGCGAAAGCTTTCCACGTTGACCGCGAGTACCCGAATACTGCCAAAGAATAAACGCATTTTGCTCCTCTGACCATGGCGTCCGTTTCTTGAATTCAGAATATCATTGTCGAACCAACGATGGCCGCACCACTGGCCTCCTCGATCCTGCCAGGTGCGGGTCTTCAAATGTAAAATATCGTGGTCGAGCCTAATCCATGCCGGTCCTAGTGGCAGTCCTGCAGACTCATCAAAAAGCCTCGAATCCCTTCTTCCCGCTTTCAGTAGTTCATGTCGCGATTCGGCGCAAGTTGAGAGTAAAGGCGGGAGATTCTTGACTTTGTAATGCCATTGATCTGGGGACCGGTCTGGAGGCTCTTTTCGTCCACCGTCCGCATTTTCATCGACCCAGCTTGGAATCTTCTCCATCTCCACGATGCGAGGAATTGATATTACATGGTGCCATATCCGGACACGCAGCTCTACGGGTAAAGCTGGGAAAAGCGTGAATGAACCAGAACTAGCTGGTTCTGACCGATACGAGGCAGTCGAGACATTTCGAATGAGAGTATCAGTCGAGTGATTGGAGTCGATGGTAGTCGGGCAGTCTTCCTTATGTGATGGATGGTTGAGGAGACTAGAGATGTCCATCGTCACGTCGACCTCCCAACCTAATTGCTACAGCCGGTCAAACCATTTTCCGACGCCGATGTGATACCAAACGCCGTCGATTTGGACAACGACAACGACAAATCCAATTTATATCCTCTCTTCACCTCCGCCCGCCTTGGAGGGCGAGCTACTCCTTTATATAGACAACCCATGACGCCATTCCTTCAATTAAATGAGAAGTATCTTGGTACTCGGTCAATCGAAGGGGAACACGCGAGACATCCCGCCATGGGTCTGCATAGATGTGACGGGCGCTGCCGCTGCAGATGTGCTTACATTGCCTAAAGAAAGAATAGATGATGCTGTGCCGTGGCCATGATGAAGAGACCTACGCGGTGTGACAAGGACTGTAGATGTGAGGTGCGCCATCCTCCGTCACAAACAAGGTAATACGCTCAAATTACCAAGCATGACAAGTCCCAGGTTGGCTGGGAACGCTTTTAGAGTCGTTCGAATCGGATTGCTTCAGCGGAAGTTACACTATCGATCAGAATCCGTGCTTTGCAGAACTATGCGTTGTACTTGGACGTCCCCTCTGTGGCGTCTGCAGCGCTTAAGCATAGTTCAGCTGTGTGGAGATCTCCCGGATAACTACGGTTTACCGACTTTACGAGGAGACATCTCCTTCCTTTCGAGGTTGTGTAAGATCTTACAACATAGAATCCCAGCAGCTTCGTGACCATGTCACCTGTCCCTTCTTGTGTTTTACGGTACGAACACATGACCACATGTCTTCAAAAGCAAACCCCATGTCTCAGGATTTCCGCTAGAAGCTTTTGATATCTGATTTCAAGGTAATTTAATAGCACGGTCGGAGACTTCAGATATCGGGACAAGCTGGTTCATAGCGAGCTTCGTTTTACTGATCCTTGTGAGCCAACAGCTGAACGACCTATTCCTAGACAGATTGTCTATCAAGGGAATCGAAGAGGATTATACATCCGTTTTGGCATCCAGATATCCAATATTGCGAAGCTCGCTTAAATCTCTTCAGTCGCGTTTTGAAAAATTCCCTCAATTCCGGTCATAATTTCTTTTTCGAGCTCTTCAATGACCTGTTGTTAGGAACACGTGCTGGAGACATGGAAAGGGATGAAATAACAAACATTTTCCGGTGCTAGAAAAGGTTTGGATAATCTGCTTTCAACGATTTCCTAAGCGTGGTTGAAGCTTCGTCAACCGCTGTGTTTTGACCTAGCGACGAGGGCTTCATTTTCAATTCATACTGAAAAGTCCAGGTCACGCATCTAAGGACTCGTCGATGAGAGTTTGCCATGGAGCTGCGCTCACGTAAATATGAACACCATACTCTTTGATGGCTTTAATAGATGGTTTTAAAGACGGACAACATCAAATTTATCGTTCAGCCGGATTGTTTGGATATAAATCAAGATCTGATGATGTGTCGCATTCAATTCATTATCTGGATACGCTTTCTGTAAGTCTTCTTCCTGGATGCTACTAGCCTATCTGGTTGCAAGCGACATTTTCTTCACATCAGTTCTGAGTTTGAGATTTTCCTCCGCAGATAAGAAGGGTCCATATACTTGTCTATGTTTCGTTCATGATTTCATGTCGCCGATGTGTTGTTCTTATTCCAAAATTCAAGCACCACTTCGGTAGAATATTTGTCTTAAGAGATGAAGGTTTACGTGACCAGAAAGAGCGAGAAGACAAGTGAATGAATGAATCTAGGAACTTCGCTTAGCTGAAAGCTCTTTTTCTACCTAGGTATGTTGAAGAATTCGAAATCCAATATGACTTTGACACTGCAGCCTATTGACTTTATCAAAAAATACGTGCACCTTGTGACTCTATTCAGCATATCAACCCCTCGTTGCCGAATGTGTTGTTTTCCATGACGTTTACTCAGAGTATTTCAGGCATTGTCAACTCTTGAGCCAGTTGTCGTCTGAACTCACTCGTAAAACATAGTACACGTCATTTAATACGCCGGTTTGCACCTTCCTTGCATTCACCAAATTTACATGTCAAATTTTCATGTCTGTGTTTGTTTATATGCTCAAATTTCTGTTGAGTTTCGATCTACAACTTCGGTTGACTCTCAACTCCAACCAACACACTCCTCCAACTCATCAATCGTCAATCAAGTTTCAATACCAAGAATCTATCTAATCTCTTCACCGAGCTATTAAGATGCCTAGCAGACCAGATGCTCCACGACGCGTCAAGAAAAAGCCTCCACAAAAAACACACCTCAACGCGCCCGCCGACCCCCGAAATGAAGGTAGGGTAAACGACATCCGAGAGTTTCAGTATGATATTCTTGAAGATATCGAAGAAGCAGAAGAGCAACAGGCCAGAGAGAATCGTCTAGCCAAAGGCAAAGAATATAGTGTCAAGGTCGCGAAAACTTGGTCTGGACCGCAAATCTCGATCACCGGCCGTCTTCCGAATCCAAATCGGAAAAGAGAATTAGCTTTGGAACATCTACAAAACTATCGGAATCTATCGAAGAGATCCAAATCTATCCGTCAACAGGAAAAAGACCGCGAAGCCATCCGCAAAAGTGAGGCCGACCGGGCAGAGATTAAGAAGCTTGGTATATATACAATTATCTTAGAGGATACGCAATCTAATCATGTTTAGCTCCAAATCTCAAGGCCTCCAATTCTGTTGCGGAGGTGAAATATGGGGAGTTTCAAGAACCCCCGCAACCTTTCGACAATATTACGATCAAGGACCTGGCAAATATACCATCGATAGAAGCTTCATGGAAGGAACGAGACGTTGCGAAATGGCGCAAGGAAATGGGAATTGCCCACAAAAAGGGTCACATACCAACTGCACCAGTATTCTTCGATGCCGAAAGAGATTCCGTGGCTCGAACCGACGTCGACGTCTACATTCCCACTCAATATTCTCGTATGGTCGACACCATCACCACCGCCGAAAAGCACGAATTATCCAAACCACTAGCCATGGGCCTCTCAATCCGCTATTCATACAACCCAGCCAAAGAAGGAGCGACCCGCCAACCATCCCTCCGTTACCTCCTCCAAAGCCCCGAAAATCAAATTTCCTCACCCACCCAGGGACACTCATCCGACTCCCACCCCAAAGTCCTCCTCCCCATCACCCACAACCCACACGCCGCGCCAAAAGTCGACAGCGACGGCGAACCCTCCGGCTATTCCGCCCATATCAAGGAACCAGACTACTACCTCAGTTCCAAAGGCTGGTGGCACCGCGCGACCGCCTCCGCAGACCCCATCATCACTTTTACACTTACATGGGATTTCTCCCGCAACACAACAGACGTCCCCGCCCTCCTAGGCACCACCTACACGGCCTACGAAGCGCACTACAACAACGCCAACCCCGTCACCTACACAACCACCATCGGCGTCTTCGACCTCCCCCACCTCCTAAACGCCATCCGCTCGGAATTCAACTTAAAGGAAGCGGAGCCCGGCGATTACGCGCTCGAGGTACGGGAGTTCCTGGTTACTTTCCATTATCGGAATGGGTTTGGAGGGGAGAGTGAGATGTTTGTGTGTCAGGAGGGAGATAAAAAGGGGAAGGGGAAGGGGGATAGATGGAGAGAGGTGCGCGCGGCCTTTTGTTTGCCGTTTACGGAGCGGGGCAGTTTTGGGTTTAGGTTTGGGGTTGAGAGGGGGGGACTTGTGGAATCGTAGGCAGTGTGGTGTGGAAGAGGAGGGGGAGGAAGGCGGGTACTTATATTTCGATAATCTGGGTGTTGACATAGTACTTACGACAAGTAAAAACGACGGATTTGCGGATATAGTACTGATTCGGATGGACTTTCATGAGCTTGGAATGGCGTTTCGAAATCGGATGATTCCTGGAAGTGATTGACAAAATATCTATATTTCGTCTATTGCTCTGAGAGATTGTGCGATATTTTGTCTATTAGGCTAAGACATTCAGCGAATTTGATGCCGGTGTGTTAGTTTTGGTTTGCTCAGGGTAATTGAGGAAATAGTGATATTTCGTGGATCTGTTTGGGACATCTTACTGATTTTCTTCCTGTCCTTTTGGGAATCTCTTAGAGTAATTGACGAAATATGGCAATTTCGTGGATCTGTTTGAGACATTTTACGGATTTGTTTCCGGTCGGTTTCAGATTCTCTCAAAGTGATTGACTGAATATGTCTATTTCGTCTATCTATCTGAGGCAATATGTTCTTCTGTCGGTATGATGGGTTGGAAATGCTGTTAAGAAACCCATTATTTTGCGTGGTGATGTGTTTTTCAGTGTTCAGGTGTGGTTTTTTAGTATTGGATGGGAACTAGCGAGGATGGTGTTGTAGATTGATGAGATGTGGTTCTGAGAGGGTGTACTTAGGGATTTGAGGGAGAGGGAATGTGGAATTGGATTATTGAAGGATATGAGTTTCTAAATTGTTTTCTGATTAGAGAGTTGAGATTTCGGGTTTGATGGGGTTCGTTAAATGGTCTTGGAATATGTTTGAGTCGCGAGTTTTCTGTAGAGAGGTTGTGGTAGAGAGCGTTTCTGAAAAGCTTTCACAGCATAGCTGAAATATTCCAGATTAAATGAGAGATGATTATACTTGCTCAAGCCCCAACATCCAAGTCCCTAAACCGCATAAACCCCAACTCCCCACTCCCATCCGCACTCCCCTCCTCCCCAAGCATCTCCACATACCCCAACCCCTCTCCGTCTCCCAAATTCATCCCCAATCCATCTCCATTTCCCTCTCCCTCTCCCACCTCCTCCCTCCCCCCATCAACACCCAAAAGCTCCCTCGCAACCCCAACAACCTCCCCTACACTCCGCCCAGCCATCCCCCACACCCCCCTCAGCCCCCTCAACGCACCCAACCCCAACCTAATCCGTCCCCTTCCCACCTCATACTCCCTCGCCCCAAACACGGCATTACACGCGCTCACCAGCGCCATGACATTCAAACTCAGCGCGCAGCTCACTAACGGACTATGTTTCAACACCTCTGCGGGGAGCGCGAACAGCGCGATGGAAGCGGTGATTGCTTCGAGGGCTTTGGCCGTGTGGAGGGTGCGGATGGCGCGGGACTGGCGGGAGATGCTTGGGGGCGTGCATTTAGAGCGGGTTTCGAGGGGGGAGTAGGGGAGGTGGGAGTGTGGACGGTGGAGGAGGAGTTTTTCTCTACAGCACTTCTCAGTTTCGAATTCGTGATATTGATGAGGAGAGCGAAGAGGAAAGGGGAGGAGCAAAAGGTTGAAGGAGGAAAGGGACATACACATTCAACACCAAACACGCCAAAAACATAACTTCATCCACGCCCTCCCTCGTCACAACCTCACTCTTACAGCGTGGGAGATATGAAATCCAATTCACAAACTTCGCATCCGCAGCCTCGAGCGCTTTCTCACTCGGTCCGTGATCCAGATGCATGAGTGCTTGTTGCGTAGACACGATACGACATGTATCTATGAGATACGTAAAAGACGAGTACACGATCTCCTCGGCGGCGAACTCGCGGTTGTCGTACTCTCGTAACGTACGTGGTGTGGGGATATTCTACTCTTATATTAGATAGATATAAGGAGGTGGGAGGAATGAGCTTACGCCAGAATTATAAGCACAGTCTTCACACGGCAACGAAACAGTCCCAATGTTATTCTCCAGCCGATGAGTCGGGTAATGGCTTATCGCAGCGAACATCGCATCGATACAATACAAACTCCACCACGTCCTCCGCCATGATTCGGCGAGGATGGCGTCGTTCTCAGCGTTTTGCAGCGCGAAGTCCGAGGTGTTGAGGCCGATGGAGAGGGCGATGTCGATGGCTTTGTCGAGGTAGATTTCCGCGGCGGCGTATTCGTCGGAGCAGTGGATTGCGATTGAAAACAGCAGTAGTGCTTGTACTGAAAATCCATTCGAAGGGAGGTCGTGGGATGTGAGCTTTTCGTGGGCGAGTCGACGGAGGGTGTCGGTTTGTGGACCGGGCGTGTAGAGCGCACCGATGTATTTCAGTACCCGGAGGAGATGGTCTAGTGACGATGGATCTGATTGAACTCGTTCGAGGAATTGCCGACGAGGAAGAATAAATGGATGGGCTTTGTGGAAGAATTCGAAATATCGTGACACGAAGTGCCCGCCGTCGTCGATAATCTCGCTTGCGGAAGCGATCGTGCCTTCAGGAGAAGAGCCCTCATATCTCTCTCTCCCTCTCATCAAACCTCCACCCCCAGAATGAACCTGATCTTCACTCACCGATCCCCCAACTTTCCGACCACTCCCTCCCCGTCGACTCTTAGTATACACACACGCCTTTTCTTCGACCTGACATTTCGTACATACAGGCTCTACGCCATCACATTTCGTATGTCTGGACCGACACGCAATACACGCCCTCGAAGCTCTAACTCTAGTCTTCTTCCTCCGTCCCAGGTCTTCCGAGAGGGGAATAGGATATTCCATGTTTAAATCCGAGGGATACTGGAAAGTTGGGGTATCGAGCCAGAACGTCGGGTCGAGAAATAGTTGGGTGGTATCCATTATGAGGGCTGTATGTGGATAGGCTATGAGGGTATGAGGGGTACGATGTTTGAGTTTGTGCGAGATCAAGATCTGAATAAGTACTTTCGGTAGAAGTTTATTTTAGCTATGGAGTCGTTCGATATTCGTACTTCACAGCCCTTATGACGCGGGAAGTGGCAAGCTTATTGCAGTACGAAAACGAAGATCCGTGTATTGCCGTCCGTTCAACACAACTCATACGTTTGAAGTCAGCAGATTCAGGTACAACGGATGCCGTCGAGGTACACGCTTGGCGCTGATTAACCCACATGGCTTAGCCGGTGGTAATTGGATGGATCCAAGGCCATGACACAAGCTTACTGGATGAATACTCAACTTGGCGCATGAAATTGGAACATTTCCGTGGAAGCTCGCACCTACAAAGCCGGCGAGAGGTTCAAAATTAACTTTATAAATGTGAATCTTGACTTCCTAAAACGTTTGAATTGACGTCGTGGCCATGCACGGGTTTACAAGGTATATCTGAATCCTGGCTGTCCTTCAATGATCTTGCCTCCTGCTTCAGCTCTCTTGTTTGCGCGATGAAATTTCAAAGTCAACAGCAATGTAATAACGATAACCAACCCATTCGCAATTAAGCATGTCATGATACCAGGTCCATACTTGGGAGCATCATGTTCGCGGAACACGGTTGAGCCGATGATACCACCAATACCACCAAACCCAACAAGAGTTGCAGAGCAGAGCGCACGTTTCCATTGACCTAGAGCGTGTTGTTAGCAAGGTGATTATATAGGGGAACTAAGCATATTCAAAAGCATGACCGCATAGCAATGACAAGCAAAAATTAAGTTATTCTCGAACTCATCACCGAAGTCAGGACAATCCCGCTTTTGGCTCAAGCGAAACGAAATAGCGAGAAGCGAGAATCTGCACAACATAAATATGGGGTTGCTCTTACCTCTGATGTTATTGGCTTGATATGTAAGGATAGCCGGGATGTTGGCATTTGCACTAATTGTAGCCAGGAAAACTCCAAAGTAACGGACACCGTTGTTTGTAGCATAACCCAACATCGGAAGGCCGATCATTCCTAGGAGGGCCCCGAAGATGACAATTGGGCCACGAACATGGTACTTGTCTCCAACTACAGCCATTCCAAACATGGCAATACCTGCGGCAACGTATGGTGGTGCTACCAAGCACTGTCCAGCGGCCACGGAGAATCCCATTCCTCTGACCAGGATGACAGGCAAGAAATACGCGATAGCATATGAGTTTGTGGTGGTGAGGCCGAACAAGCACGCAAATCCCCAAACTTTGGAATCAAGAGCATTCTTGAGATATTCGGTAATGTTGAACTGGGTCGGAAGTGCATCAGCTCGATCTGCCTGAATCCGGGCTACGACGAAAGCAGTTTCGCGAGGAGTAAGGAATTTCCAGGAAGAGGCCGCCATCTCAGGGAAATCGACAATGAGGAAGTATCCAGCAATACCGAAGACAATGGTGATTAGCCCTTCGATCTACCAAATGGTCAGTGTTTTCGGTTGCGAGAGGGAAGTAAAACAAACAATAAAAATCCATCGCCACCCGGAAAGATTGGCAATTCCGTTCATTTGCATAATGCCATAAGCAAGGATACCAGATATTGCGGATGCCATACTGCCAATAAGGTAGAAAACAGCATTTCTTTTTTGAAGGTCGTATCTTGGATACCAGCATGACAGAAGGTAAGCACAGCCAGGGAAGAAACCGGCCTCAAGGACACCAAGAAGAACACGAAGCCCAACCATCTGGTCCCATTTCTTGACGAATCCAAACCCCTTTTTGTGGTTAGCTGCCATCATTGGTTGACTTCAATATCATACTCACAATCATACAGCCACCCCAGAGAACAACAATAGTTGTCAAAAAGATCCGTGGTCCCATCTTTCGCATCACAACAGTAGCTGGTGGTTGGAATAGAACGTATGGTATGAAGAAAATCAACACAATAATACTGTATCGATTGTCGATAAGCTTGAGGCCCTTGGCCATTCTGATAATAGTTAGAATCCTGCCAGAATTCGAGCTTCAACCATGCTTACCCAGCAATATTAGCCGCTGAAAGATTGGTTCTGTCCATCAAACTACACATGTATAGAACACCAAGGGTTGTAACGAGACGAAGATCGATCCGGCGTATGATCCTCTTTTGCTCCTCAGGGGAGAATTCTGAGATATCGGCATTGTTGATCTCTGTTGTAGTGCGCTCGAGCTCCTGTACGCCAATCTTCTCGCTGTCATAGCTCGCGCCAGAATGATTTGGTGGAGTGATAGTTTCGCCATTATGAGAGTTCATGGTCGATGATACTCGCTTTTCGTCCATGGCGGCTTGCCTTGCTCTTAGGAAATGAGGATATGGCAGCAATCAGGAAACCCTTATAGGAATGGATAACAGATTCGAGATAGTCGCCAGAGACAAATCAAACCTTAACATCTCGGGGACACCTTCTTATACTTTATTCTAGAGATTATGCGGGGTACAAGGGAGGTGAATGCGGGCCAGATGCGACTCCTGGTTGATTTTCGTGTCGCCAAGGGACGATGCACCACGAATGGGAGGCAATCATCACCTTGGCAGCAACTGAGGCCTCAAGTACCTCGTCGATCCACGAAGGAAACCTGGAGATGTGGTGGTCTCCCAAGACGACGGCTCGAACAAGTGACGATTTCAATAAATTTGGCTCGGTCAACAATCTGAATAGAGAATATGGCGTTGGAATACGAAGGACAATTGCCAATGGTTTCGTTGGGACATTTTGAGAAATGACTTACGATATGCTGGGTTCTGGAAGGGCCTTGGGACTTCGGCGGGCAATACAAAACAGGCCTAGTCAAGCGCGGAGTAGTTCAGAGTTGGTGGGCAACTTTTCCCTGGGATTGACCTCGTGGCAAAACAACAGAGATTCTACCGAGGTTGGCGTCAAACTGGTAGAATATTGAACTTCAATCGAACTCAAAACAAGCCAATTGATGTTTGCTCTCTCGAACCGCGGCAAAGACGTCAAAGAAATAGAGGAGAAGATGTGAATATTCTACTTGGAATTCCAGACGCAGTTCCAGAAAAATGACCCTTGCTTCCAGTGTCACGTCGGACTGAGCGAGATCTTGACGAGACGCTGGATGAACAATGAACATCCTCTGATACGCCTGTTCGGGCACAGTCAGGAAGTTTGATGTCGTACGCGGATGTCTACCGAGGTGACAGGCCAATGTGAGGGGAAGGAATTTGCGCTTCCAATCGCGATTGCGCATGAGCTTTGCGTCCGCAGGTTCCGTTGGAGAGGGGAGAGATATGTATCTTGGCAAGCAGGGCATCCTACCGCTTTAAGTGAAAAGAATAATAATGACTCGACTTCGCGCGTTGAAACAAGAAGAATACAAGACTCTAAAGATGGGATGGTCTAGAACTTCGTGAAGCTAAAATGCTAGTTTTGTGTCCGGTTTTGAGCTGGTGCCAGAAGAAACGTCTCGTATTCTTGTCAGCTAAAATCCATTTCCCCAGATTTCGGGGCGAAGTGGCGGATGGAGTTGGTGGGGAAAATCGCGGGGAAAACCCCGAGCCGCTCACTCAGCTTGCCTCCACAGCGGCAGGCCTGAGCGGCAATGTAGGAATAAGTGACGCCGTCCATTTTGGCGGGAATTTGACGGGTCGGTTTAAATCCATCTGAAATAGTATTTGAGCGCAATCATGCGTTGATATGTAGATGTTGGCGACAACATGGGCAGGCTTTGGTAGGCGTCCCAAGATTGGATTGTTCGTGTGATAAACGGCGCAGCCGGTGCTCGTTCAAGAAGGGGTGAGTGGAGCAGATGGCAGCATGATCCTGCCAGTTCACAGCAGCCAGAGTGGTGTTGGTTCATCGGCCGCAAGCAAGTCAGACGCACAGCAACCGTATATCTTACGAGTTGCATGTGCATCATGATGTTTGACTCTCCTTTGCTAAGCTTTCCTGGCTCTCTTTCCAGATGTGTCGAATGCCAAATGCCACCTCGACTGCAATCAAAATGATAATGATCCACTCCAGGTCGATACTGTGTTTTTCACTCAAGGTCTGTCGAAGAATACTCGCAATTTCCTGGGCGTAGTCCATCTTCTCGTTTAGCGTTTTGATACGCACTCCAACATCGAGAGCTTTGCCGACTTGGTCGTAGTAAGCCTCAAGACCTAGCTCGTGCCTACTATCCCAGAAGAGGTCTGGGAGAGAGTCGGTCAACTCAGAGTAGTGATTGAGTTGGGCGCGCAACTCTAATAATTCTCCAGTTTTCTGAAGCATGAACGAACGGTTAAAGGGCAGTTTTGACCCTTTTGACAACAATGTTGGGATTGATCTTGTCGATTCAAAGTACTTTTCAAGCATTGTCTCCAACACCGCAAGTTTAGTCGAGCGAGCTAGACCCGACGAGAAAGCAATCTTTGCAAAAGTTATATCAACTCTGCTGAAGATTAGTTTTCCATTGCTTAGGTCAATCACAGCATCCATCTTACCTTGATGTTTCTCCACTCTGCAAAACGGACTTTGTCCCAAGTGTAATGACATCTCCCTTTATGCTACTATGTTCTTTACTTAGATCTTCCGTGTATTCAAGGCTCTCAGTCTCAATCTGGTCCATATGTGTATTTTTCGCAGCGGGTAGTAATGTTTTGGTGGCCAAATCAGAAACGACGTCTTCCGGCAAACGCCATGCTACCAATGTGCCAGATGGAAACACGAATATGTCGCCATCATTCACTCCTCGTGTATGGATTACCTCTTCTGAATCGAAGCCGGTTCCGTCGGGATCGATAGGAAATCCATGGGACCGCAATATTCGAGCTACCTCGTCCATATCAAATTGATCCGACACTGACATAGCAGTCACACTATTGATTCCATCTGTACTCGCAGCCGACTCCTTCCTCTGCGAAGCTGTTTCTCTCGATCTTTGTGCCTCTGCAGCTACCCTTCTCAAAGATGTTTTACCAGCCGTTGACCGAATGGTCTTTTTCTTCTGTGGTGGCAGAGCATCCTTGATGGCTACACCTTTTCCAGTTGTGATTTCTTGTTGCAATGCAGCGTTTGACGAGAAGAAAGTTCGTTTTCGAGGTAACTGGTATGCGCTCGTAGCATGCAGATTTCGAAATGCTCTTGGTCTTGGGGTGTTTTCTATGAGGCTTCGACGGACACAGGGCGTGCAAACCTGACGAGCGAAACCGTGCATCTTGAGGTGAGAATCGGGCGATCGCACACCTATATATACTTCGAAATGGTTGGCGGAAGAGAAGTGAAAGCCTCCAAGGGGATAAGTAATCGTAGATACGGAAATGCAACGGAGTCGGATTCTATGTTAAATCCATGTGCCTCGGACCAATTGCTTGCATGCTGACGCGACTTTTCGCGGTCGCCAGAAATGACGGAGCTTGAAGCTTCCACCGGCGTCAAAGCTTCAAGCGGGAGTCGACGCTGTTGTACCAAGTGACTTACTAGCCAGCACCCACCACCAAATGTGATTGTCATAAATATGCCCTCATGGCACAACAATCTGCCGAACCAGGCGATCCAGATGTATCGAAAAACGAGGAGTCTAGTCCTGACGAGGAGGAAGCGGTAGAAGATGATGACGATGCCGAGACGGTCGAGGATGAAGACACGGAGGATGATGAAGAGGAGGAGGAGCCCAAGTTGAAATACGCTCGACTGACGAGTTATCTCGCACCGGTGTATCGCAATGGAGACGCTACCAGTATATTCTTGGTTGCAGGCGACAAGATGGTGGGTGTGGATGTGTATTTACATCAGACTTGGCTAATAGAATATAGTTCATTGGAACGCATAATGGCAATATCGTAAGAACTCCTACCTAAGAAATACAAACATATGCTGACTTTTGACAAGCACACTCTATCTTTACCCTCCTTTCGGTCTGTTGGAACCTACCATGCCCACTCCGCGTCCATCACAGGCATATCAATCTCGCCCTTCCCCCCTCCTCTCCCAGTCGCGGTCCCGGAAGGCGTCAGTCGGATTACTTCGAAAGCTCAAGGGCTGAACAGGACCCCATCTATTGCCTCTGAGACATCCAAGGCATCTACATACAGCCCTCGAGGCGCCCAACGAGCACAACCGGTACCCAACATACCTTCAAATGCTATCTACATTGCTACATCCTCAATTGACGGGAAAGTATGTGTTGCATCACTTGTAGATCCAAAAGATGTGCAGCTACGGGATTTCGCACGTCCAGTGCAAGCTGTGGCTCTTTCACCCGATTACAAGAATGATCGTTCGTACATATCTGGGGGAATGGCTGGTAATTTGGTGCTCACAACCGGTGGTCGAGCCGGTACAAGTACTATGTCCACAACCACAGGGACAGCATCAGCTGCTGCGTCTGGGTGGCTTGGCTCAATCGGACTGGGTGCTGGTGCTGGCAAAGACACTATCCTTCACTCAGGCGAGGGGACAATCAGCACCATCAAGTGGTCACTCACTGGGAAATACGTGGTGTGGGTCAACGAGCATGGTGTCAAAATAATGCGATCAAATCTTTACCTAGATAGTGCTGATGCCGAGTTTGCCTGGAAACGCATAGGTCACGTCGATCGACCACAGGACGCTGGATGGGACGAAATGGCCAGTGTGTGGAAAGGAAGGGTTGAGTGGATAGACGAGAAAAGCTTAGAAACAGACGAAGACGACAAAGCGCGTGAAGCTGCAACATCATCTCCTGCTACGGCAAAGTTAAAACAGCAGACTTCGAAGAGCAAAAACAAAATAGAGAAGCTACTCATTGGCTGGGGTGGTACTATTTGGATCATTAATGTTCATCCAGGTGGCCTCGGTATTGGCAAAAATGCTGGGGAACGAACTGTCGGGTACCCTGAAATTATTAAGATGTAAGTGCCTCTACAAATCTTATTTTACATGACTCTAATGGATGAAGTCTACGCATGGACTGCATTATTTCCGGTTTGTCTTTATATACCCCAACATTGCTACTTGTACTTGCATATATCACTCCAGAAGAGGATGACGAGGAGGAGGAAAAAACGACGCCAAAGAAAGGCCACAAGTCAAAAGTCTCAAACACTTCCACTGGGAGTGAACCGCGTGGCGGCATTCGGCATAGACAGAATGCGTTGCAACCAGAACTTCGATTAATCGATCTTGGATCATCACAGGAGGTGGATACAGATACACTTACCGTCAGTCGGTTCGAGAGACTTTCAGCAAGCGACTATCACCTTGGTTTGCTTCCAGCGCCTCGTATTCCAAAAGCAATTCAAACTTCTCGTGGTGCTCTCGAGACCCTAAGCGGCATGGGAAGCGGCATGTGGAATGCTACTGTTAATGCGACATCTCTGATAAGCTCGGCTGCTAGTGTTCGAAGCACTGGTAGTAGTAATTCCGACCTCAAGACATCGAGCATGGGAAGCACGTCTAAGAACAGAACTCCTAACCGAGCAAACATTTCCCATGAGCATATGGAATCACTGGGTATGAAAATTTTCATCCACAGTCCATACGATTGTATTCTAGCCACCAAAAGAAATATAAGTGATCATCTCACTTGGCTGTTAGAGCGAGAAAGAAATCAAGAAGCCTGGGAGCTGATCGATAAACACCCGGAAGCTGTCTCTTCTACTCCTAACAAAGTAGAAGAATCTAGTCCGGTGACTCCTGATCGGCATCAAAGCAGCCAGGACGACTTTTTCGATGATAGCGCGTCAACTGTTGGCTCGTCGAACAAGAATCTCAATTCTGCTGTAGAAAAAGAAAAACGCCGCATTGGTGAGTTATGGATACAGCAGCTTATCAAGGCGGACGACTGGGTAGCTGCTGGAAGAGTATGTGGTAAAGTTCTTGGTACCGCTCAACAGTGGGAAGAATGGGTATATACATTTGTTGGGGCCGACAAATTTGACGAAATCACAAGTTACATTCCGACAACCCAATTAAAACCACCACTTCCGTCTCAAATATACGAGGTTCTTCTCGGACATTATATTGGTTGCAATCGGCCGAAGGTTAAAGAGTTGCTCGAAATCTGGCCACCAGAGCTCTTCGACATTAGTAGCGTCATAACTGTTCTTGAGAATCAGCTCAAATATAGGGACGTTCGTGAAGATAGTGTCGAAGATGGACAAGTGGGAAGAGATTGGAGAATTGTTATGGAAAGTCTTGGCAGGCTTCAGATTGCCAATGGTCGACCACGAGAAGCTCTCAAGTGCTATATTCGTCTTCATGATGCAGACACTTCCATGGGTTTGATCAAGGATCATCATCTGGTAGATGCTGTCACAGATGATATCCCAGGACTGATCTTACTTCGTGTTTCAAAAGAGCAACAGCGGTCGGCACCGTTGTCAGAACTCCGAGATCTTACTGCAGAAGCCATTGACCTGCTCGTTAAAGAAGCTCGTCAAGGAATTGTCCGCCCTGATGTTGTTGTTGATCAACTGCAAGCGAAGAACAAGACTCTTTATATATTTTTCTACATCAGTGCTCTATGGACGGGAGCAGGTATCGAAGAAGAGCAAGGGGAAATTCGAGATAGACTTGTTGCTGACAGTAAAGCGCTTGTGAATGAAATGGCGGATCTTGCTGTTCATCTATTTGCACTTTACGACCGGACCCTTTTGATGGACTTTCTCAAATCTTCAACCCACTACACTTTTGAGAAGGTAACATCTATTCCTACTTGTATACGTTGTTGTCTCACTGTGCTAACTCATGATATAGGCAACTCACGAGTGCGAGGCTGTTGATTATATTCCTGAACTGGTCTACTTATACTCCAAGACCGGCGACGCAAAACGAGCGTTATATTTGATTATCGACCGTCTAAACGACGTCTCTCAAGCCATCTCCTTTGCCAAAGAACAAAACGACAGCGACCTCTGGGAAGACCTCCTAAAATACTCCATGGACAAACCTCAATTCATCCGTGGCCTCCTCGAAGAAGTCGGCACCTCCATCGACCCCGTCACCCTCGTCCGCCGCATCCCCGAAGGTCTCGAAATCGAAGGTCTCCGCGAAGGCCTCAGCCGCATGATCAAAGAACATGAAATCCAATACAGCATCAGTTCCGGCGTTGCTAAAGTTCTGCGTGGCGAGGTAGCCATGGCGCAAAATGCCCTCCGCTCTGGCCAGCGTAAAGGCGTCAAATTCGATGTCGTCCACAAGAAAAATGATCATCTCGACATCGAAACCTCAGACGCCCCACCCCTCCCTGAACCACTCGTCACAACCACAGAAATCTCCACGCCTCGCCATCGACCAAGTCCGCAACCAGGCCACTGCGTCGGCTGCGCCGAGTCCTTCTCCGATCACGAAGTCGAGACGCTGGTAGGCTTTGCGTGCGGCCATGTTTTCCATCTTAGTCACTTACTGAGCTATAATGATGGTGGGGAGGGGATGCGGCCGACGACGCCGCCGGATGTGGAGTTAGATGAGAATGGCGAGTGGGCGGCCATGCATAGTGTTGGGGCGAAGGTGACGCATGCGAGGCTTTTGAGGGATCGGATTAGAGATGGGTGTCCGGTTTGTGTTACTGTTGTTTGGGTGTGAGCGGAGAGGCGAACATGGTGGGGGAGGAAGGGAAGATGAAAATATATATTAGTCTTAGCAAATCAACACCCATATAACCCGTGTTACTACCTCTCCATCTTCCTCTTCTTAAATTCACACCCCTGAAAGCCCTTCAATAACCCAAACCACTTAAGACTCTCACTTGCTAATTCATGCCATATCCCATCTCTACATTCTCTTGTTGTAATCTATTCTTTGATCTCTGATTTCTGATGATCTTGATGACTGTTATTAGGAACAAAGATACGAAAACGTAGATATGATAACATAGTAGTATGACAAACTATACAACCCAACCTAACCCTGACACCGATTGCACAAATCCAACAACTAAAATAATCGCCTTGACTCCCACGAAATCCTAAACACATATTCAATACTCCTACCAATCAGTCCAACATAATCAACTTCCCAAGTACTCGACTTAGTAATCATCCACCATATCCCCCTCTTCATCCCCCTCATCCAAAAAGCCTAGTCCACTGTCATACCGTCTCCTCTTTTTCTTGCCTCCAACTACGCCAGCAGTCCCGGTATTGACCTCAAAATTTCCTTTGCGTACCACAGCTCCCTCCTTTATACCCGCATTTCCAGACACCTCGACATCGGTACCAACAGCAACCTCACCACCACCCAAGAACGCACTACTCATCTCCAAACTCCTGACAAGCTGCTCGTTCATCATCTTCGCAAAGCCCACACCTCGCGCTTTCTCTGCGTCGAGCTTGGAAGTTAATTGCTGGTTCTCGGTGGTGAGAGAGAGGATCGTTGCGTGTGCTGCTTGCAGCGAGTTGTTAATTGCCTCAACCTCCTGTTGAAGGTCAAGAATCCGCGCGTTTCTTGCCGCGACCTGCTTCTCACTCTCACGCGCTTCAGCTTGTGCTTCTTCGATACGCACATCTTTCTCCACATTCGCAGCCGTCATAGAAGCAAGCTGTTCCTGCACCTCCGCCGCCGCCTCCAGCGCAGCAGCAAGTCTCCTCTCCAGCTCCATGATAATCAAATCCTTCCCCTCGTCCATCGTGCGTGTACTATCATGCTTCAACATCTCATCCTGCAGCCGATCATTAACCTCATCAATCTCACTCTGCAGCCTTGAATTCTGGTCTTGGCCATCTCGCTCGACTTGTTCAATTAACTGTGTCAAGTCTGCGACTTCTTTACGGTAGCTTTCCAGCGCGGATTTGAGGCGCTGGTTGGTCGTTTCCTTGTCTTGCATTTCTTCTTGCAGCTCCGTGATAGCGTGATTTGAGTCTGAAAGTTTAGTGGTGAGGTCTTGGTTGATGCTCACGTGGGTGTTGATTTGTTGGCGGAGGAGTAACTCTTGATCGTGGTATTGATCGATACTTTCGTCGCTTCTCTTGACTTTTTCGAATAGCACTTTGATTCTTGAGACTAGCATTTCAAGAACTTTGTCATTTTCAAAGCCTTCGACGACTTCGCCGGGAGTTAGGTACTCGATTTCTAACCTGGCTTGGCGGAATTGCTGGGCGATTGTTTCGAGGACTTTGTCTGGTTCGGAGATGGGGAAGCCGAGATTTTTGATGTCTCCTGTGAGAGCTGTAAATGCATTCTGATGATCGCGAGCTTCTGACTGAGCGAGAGCCAGCCGAGTGAGAACCGTGTCAAGTGCAGCATCAAGCGAGTTCTGATCGTGAGATTCGTCAAGGGGAACGAAACCCTGAAGTTTCTCCTCGAGGCGTGCATGATTGTCTTCCTTAAATGCAATCGTGGAAGTAAGTGTAGCCACATGTGACTGCAAGGATTCTAGTCGTTGTTTGAGTGCAGCTTTTTCAGTGTCGACCGGCGAAGAGGTCTGATCTCGCGCAATTGCGAAGGCAGTTGGGGTATTAGGCAGAGTAGAAGGCGGCGATGGAAAAGATGTATTCAGTCGTGTTGGGGTCGTGTCCATTTCGGTATCGTGAGCAAACTCCATATCGTAATTCGTAATCATGTTGTCATCATCGTCGTTGAAATCATCAAAGGGGTCATGGGCTGCCATGGTCCAATTAGGATCGGTTATCGTAGCATCATCTTCCTTCTGCTCCAGCTCTGCTTTGAGTCTCTGGACCTCTTGCTCAAGCTCATATATCTTTGAGTTGGATGTTGATGTCGCACCCAGTGACATGCCTGACTCCCCTTCTAGCTGACTGGTAATGTCCAACTCGTCTTGCATGCTCATAACTTGAGACCGATGCACTTCCAGTTCTTCTCGCAGTCTTTGAATTTCCAATTTCTGTCGACGGGCCTTATGCTTCTTTTCCCACTCAATCACATTTATCTCCTCACTCAGTCCGTTTCTTTTTAGTCGTCGCTTGACTCGGCCATCCAGAACTTGCCTAAGCGGGGCAAACTGAATCTCCCCAGATATGGGTTCCGCATACTGAGAGCGATTTGATAGTTTGGAAGGTGTCCCAAGTCTGGCAGGCGTAGAATGTCTTCTTCTCTCGCGTGGAATGATAATCGAAAGTCCAGTCTTTCGCATAAAAGGTGTAAGACCAGAAGAATTGGAGTCGGTCGGAGATGGTAATGCTGGTCCTGGGTCGGAAAACCGCACGCGTTTCTTCGCCCTCCTAGGTGTAGTTGGCGGGGTTGATATGCCATGATTGAATTGGGAATCTCTTTTGGAGAAATTGGCTTTTACCGGAGAACTGTAATTCGAAGATGCCGCAACACTGCTACGTCTCTTTCTGCGAAGTGCAATAGGTTGGTCGTCTTCCACCGTGAGATGAGGAAGATGGTCGAGGTCTGCCATTCTGGTTGCTGCTTGTCACTGTGACAGGGGTGGAGGGGTCGAAGTAAACAAAGCCGGTAAATACTACAACTTTGTAGTCGAGGCCGTCCAAAATCGATATTCAGAATGTCAAAAAATCTGAATTAGCAAGTAAACAATTCATGAAAAAGGGGAATGAAAAAGGAAAACGCGACGTCAGTAGAAGTCAAATGTCAAGTCACCAAGGGGTGCAAACAGACTTGGTTTGTTTACATTGCTACGGCGGCCGGGATGGCCGCAGGTTGACCACAGCGCGAAAATTGGTTGGCTCTCGAGACAACAACACCAAAGGATAGACGCGTTGAGTCACGATTGTGGGGATGTCAATTCGCTATGCTGGGTCTGGATGGTCTTTATTTCAGTGAAGTTATACCCAATGCTCCACATTCATGGGGTGAATATTTATGCTTTGTGCTCAATTATGACGTCCGAGACCTCGACTGCAATTGCCCTCGTCGAAGGTCCCTGGTATGCCGGCTTTGGGCTGTTATTTTACTTGTCTTATCTCGGACTGATCTTTGTCTTGTTTATTAGGCTTGTCAGTCAAGCTTTATGCTTGACATAGATTCGTTTGTAGCAATGTTGCATTTCTATATTCTCAACTCCTCGGTGGAAGCTTACACGGCAGTTAGACTTGTCAGGAGTGAAGGGATACATAATTTATAAATGATAAGATGTATAGTAGACTTGACTTACTTGAAGACCTTCGTGCACCAAGCAGTTGGAGCGGAGAAGCAGAGGATGGTGTAGACGTGGCAGTTCTGGCGAGAGTTTAGAACTGCCGCTATTCCTGGCATCGTCATCTTTTATCTATATCAAACTTGAACATAAGCAATGAAACGTGCTGCTTTTCATCAAAATAACCAAACCTTTCTTAACTCCGATGATCAGAATATGGAACGCGAAACGGACACCCAAAACTTTTCGATGTTATCGAAACATTCAACTGAATCCCTCTCGGAACAGATCAGTCTCGAGGACCCAGACAGTCTTGAACGCAACGGATTAGAGTTTCTGCTCTATCACATGGCCGAAGAATCCAACTCTATACGCCAGGGAAGATCAATTTCTTACAAAATCTCCGTCACAACATAGCAGTGTTCCGAATTTGGTAAGGTATACCAAGGTACCTACCTTTTCTTTTGGGTACCTACCTAGGACTAATTTTTTAGGTACAACGTGACTCCAAAAGGTACCTAGAACTCCTCGGCCCGTACTTTTATATGCGGGTAACCTTGGTACCTACCCCAAAAAAAATTGGGTACCTTACCGGAGTAGATCATAAAAGGTAAGGTATCTACCTAGTATAGCTCTAAGTATATACCTTGGTTACCAAATTCGGAGCACTACAACATAGTTTTGGAGACATTATGCGACAATTTTTCTCGATAATTTCTATGTGACGACCATTTCTGAAATATTTCCAGCTGAGCATTACATCGGAACGGTTGCTCAGGGAGTTTCCATATACCTCGCACTTTTTGGGAGTAGTGTAGTCATAGAGCTTGTTGTCTATGAGCTTATGTTTTATTGACGAGAAAGGCCGAAGTTGAAACATATTTGGAGTCAAGCTAAATCACTCCGAACAATCAATACGAACACAGGGAAGATATGGGCAGCTAAATTATCGAGCCGGGAAGAGCTGGCACTTTGGTTTTTGAAGAGGAGGTTCAAGGTTATGGAGGAGACTGGGAAGCAGCAAAAAGTGGAATTTCACATTTGGCTTAAAAAAATTACAAGTGCTTGAGCTGGCAGTAACGGTTGAAGTTTTGAAGGAGAAAAAGAGGAAGAAAGTAAAATTCGCGAGCAGGAAAAAAGAAAAGACACGAGCCGAACTGCGGTTGAGAAACTGAAGGATAGATGATCAATAGCCGTGAGGCTAGAGATGGCCGAATCTAAAGCGGGGATAGAGCGTGTATAGAGGATATAGAGTGCCAGAAAAGCCAAGAATATCGAATCCTACGCGCAGCGGATTTCATGTGATACTAAGAGGAGATAGATGAAGACACTACCCCCACGGGACAAACCTCGGGAAGATACATCCACTGACATTCAGCTTGGAACTGACATCCGGATTGAGAAAACTCTTGGAGGTGCACATATGCAATTGAAGACACACAAGATGTTCGAAAGCCAATTCCACGTCCTCCTCGACCAAGCTTTTACACATCTTCCTCCGAATTACTTCGAACGGTTGGAGCACGAAGATGGTCAAAACATTTAATCATCGAATAAGATGGGCCGAAGTTGAGCTGGGTAGGCATTGCCACAACTGCGAAAATATTCTACACTGAGATTTCAATGTCCATCTCGTATGTTCGAGACGTGCGGTGAATTTCAAGCTGCTCTGCGATCACATGCTTGAGGAAATTCTCTTGATCGGCGAAAACGTCGTCCAGGACGTTTCAGATCTGGATCAGGCTCTTGCTCCAGCTCGCCGTCATCTTCCTACTATTAAGTATGGGTACCGCGGAGTAGATCAATGCATTCTCTCTTTTAAGGTTCAAATTATGCTTACTTATTTCGAACTATAAGCTCTTACGATTCTATGCGATATTGGTATCTGACGAGTTGAAAGTGCCAGAGTTGTCTTTAAACCTCCATACATCTTTTAAATCACGAAGTTCTGTTCCAGTCGATCAACGCCGGAGCAATTTGAGGTACATCAGAGTATATTTTATATTATCCGATATTGTTCCCATCAATCGGCTCGTTTGATTACCTGCTAGCTTTGTTTTCAGTGAGCAAGAAATGAATCTAGGCAAGTTCCGGAGAAAATTCGTGGCTGGAAGGGGTATAGAAAACCCTGTAACTTACACTTGAGAGTGCTCTAGGGGCTACTTCTACGGATTTTGAGTTGCAAGGGATATGTAGTCTAGATAAATTATTCATGTCTTGTCAATGATGGTAGTAGAAGATCGGCCGTGAATTGAAAATAGATATTGAAATTGCAGACATTGTAACTTGATATGTCCAAAAGACTTTGAGAGTAGCGCTATTTGAATAAGCTTCACTCGGCACATCGAAGATGTGGCAGATGATGGATTTTACCTTGAGGTGTTAAAGTGTTCAGTCGGAGACACAAGCGTTCTGGCGATGCAGCGGCGATGTATTGATGTATAAACTAGTGTTTAAGAGATTTGAATCTTGAGCGAATGAGACAATTAAAGATACTAAGTTTCCTTTCAAGATCTAAGCCTTTGGCACGACAACCATAACACTTTCACCAGTCGGAGCGTACGGCTTCTTCTCCAGAATCTTAAAACCCGCAGAATCCAGCAGGGTATCCCATTGCTTATCAGTCCTTTCAATCGACGACAAACTCGACAACATGGTCAAATCGAATTGGGTTGCATGGCCATGAGCTCCCTTATTGGGGATCACCAATTCATCAATAACAAGCACGGAATCTACTGTCATCGCTTCGGCTGTCAATTTTAAGAGCGCAGTGGCCTTGTCATCTGGATAGTCGTGGAGAATCATGCGCATGTAATATGTCTTTGCTCCTGTTTTCCAATTAGCAAGAAGAATATCCCTGGAAGTGGAATTTAACTGACCTTTAATAGGCTGCCCCTGCCACATGTCAATCCCCATATTCTCAACCCCAGCAGTTGGAATCGCCTGAGGAGTCACCATCGGCAAATCCTCAAGAATCACCCTTCCTTTCAACTCCGGCAGCTTCGCTTTAAGCAAAGCGCACTGATGACCAATCCCACCCGCAACATCAACGAAAATCACATCCTCGTCAGTAGATCCCTCACAGTGTTTTGCGAGGTCATATGCATCTAACCAGGTGGTTGGTCGATCTCCATATACCGCAGCCATCCACAAATGAAAGTCTTCCATCATTTTGGGTTGGGAAAGTGCCCAAATGAAGGCTGGGAGGTCGGTTTGGTGACCCAGTTGAAAGGCGCTGTGCATGACGTCTGAGGGGTTGGTGTATTTGGTGTCGGCCAGGAATTGAGGGACTTTGACGAGACATGGGAGGATACTCTCAAAGCTATTTGAGATGAAGAGATGAGTTGGTTAATTCCGGAGATATTTTGGAAGCACTTACTTGTGTCTCATTCCTGCGGCGAATCCTGGTTTACTCAGAGCCTGAGTGACATTGTTTGCTGTGAAAGTATCCTCATCGACTTCTGTGACAAATCTCTGGGATGCGAGAAATCGCAATATTCTTCCTGTATTTTGACTCAGCAGCTTCTTCGTACAGACGCTTGATTCAATCACTTACCCATAAGTACAGGATCGCATTTCTGCGAATCTGCAAGACCAGTGACCGTTAATGGTTTTTCACTTTTTGCGAGAAGCTCAAAGATGTTGAGATTGCTCGCAACAACGCCAAAAGTCAAATTCAACGGCTGAATTCATTTATTAGCGTGTGATATGCTTGCAAACTCACTTTGAGGTGAACTCACAGCATAAGCGACTCGATAAATGGTATCATGAGGATCTTCAATTACGGTTGACAGGTCTTTAATAGCTTCGTATAGCTCCAGACGGGTGGATTTATCTTGGGGTGGGTTGGCAATGAGGCTTTTGATTCCGGCTAGAATCTGCGAGGCGTCTGAAGACGCCATTCTTTTCTTTTCGGTGCTGTTTTGGTACGGATCTATAGGAGAGGAGATCTTTGAGTGTTTAGCTCTGTGTCTTTTAGCAATGATCTACTTATGCTTGAGGTTTCTGACACCACTTGTGTCAGTTGGTTGTTGGTAGGGTTACTTTAGGTATGCTGATCAATTAGATCCTCTTTAGGAAGAATATTCCTATTCGTTGAAGTAAATGCTAGAACAGGGTTGGTGTCTTCTCCCATATCAGATAAGTACCAGATTTTAGGTTACCTTAATAGTTTGCTGCAGAAGATTGTTCAGTACACAAAGTCTAGTTAAGTCTTCAAATTCTGAACCTTTTCACAAACTCTCAATGTACACAGATTCGGCGGCGCTTTCGGGGCTATTCGGTTGGCTTTGCGGCACTGTAATTGAGATATGACAAATTCCGACCTTTCTATGTCACGACTGTCATTTATTGTTCCGTCTGTCTTCAAGGGCTCGGCGACTGGTCTAGGAAGGTCACCAACATTCTCTGCCCCTCTTCCTCAGCGGTTATCCGGCATAATTTATTTTCCTTATCTCCTCCAGTAGGTCTTGTTCTCGCACAGCAAACCAACAAGTCCTGCATTATACCAGCACATCGACACCGAACACCGCTCACAATGTTGCCAATCTCTTTGTTGGTTGCTCTTCTGGAGATTGCGATAGGGCCGCCTCGCTTAGAAAGTGGGACCGCTCCGGCCAGCCCCTTGTATAGACGGCTGTGATATGCAAGTAACATGTTTTAAGATAGACGGTCCTAAAATGATTCGAGAGCGCAAGTCGAGACGGATGGCTGGATGGAAAATGTTGGATATGTTGCATTAGTGCACCACAGACGAGCATATTCCCAATATTATAGCGCACGTATGTGCGTTTGTTCGTCTCAAAACTGATGAAGAAAGATCCACTAGTACCACCACTGCACGCCGAGTAAGCAAATACGGAGTACACCTCAGATGATTCATAAGTTATTGTTGGTGACCAACAGAAGAAATGGACCTTAGTCTAACGCGGGGTGATCAAGAACTCCTCTTACCTCCTTAGGAAATAATCATTCTGGACTTGATACTTTGGGGATCGAAGATCATGATAGTCATTCATACCAACCATGACTGACCAACCGGACACATGTTGAACTCCTGGAAATTCTCAAAACTTCACACCGGTTCGCTTAGATACAACACAATACCATGGCAGCGTTGTTGGACCATGATTCTCAGGGTGTTGATGGCGTTTTCCACTTAGTGAGAATCTAGTATATCAGCCACATCTATGTCGTTGAAAGATAGATGCTCAATCTCAAAACGTCGAAACATCTTGAACACCCACTACAGAATCCTTCATTCTCACCGACAACAATGTCCACTTTTGCTGCGTACTTGGAGTTGATGCGCTTTGGCAATCCAGTCGGCCACCATGATGGTTTATTTCCCATATCTTTATGGGTCTCTACTTGCACTTTCAGCCACCAAGGTAGCCAGTGCGAGCAAATGCCAGGCGGTTTTGAGTACCAACATCATTTTGTTCCCAGCCGCTATCATGTTACACTCGGCTGCTTGTTCCTGGAATGATATCGTCGATTCAGAAATCGACGACAAAGTTGCTAGAACACGAAAACGACCCATCTCACGCGAGGCCATATCGCTACGCAATGCATACATCTTTACATTTGCGGAGACTGACACTTCATTGGCTTATCTCCAGACGGCTTCCCCTCAAACACTTATCTGGTCCCTGCCTCTAATTCCAAAGACCATCATCTACCCCCACTCGAAACGTTTTACACACTTCACCACCGCTTTCCTCTCGCTACGTCTTTGTTTTTCTAAATTCCATTCAAAAATTCTCACATCATCCGGCATCTCAATATTATTTGTAGGAAATTAATAGTTCATTAACTGGTTTGCAATTTATAACTGTTTCAGCACGATATCCATGTTCGTTCAGAAACTAATGGCAGAGTTGAAGACAAGCAGTGCAACGAGCATGCTCGTAGTTTTCTTGACCAAATCATCCAATGATTACTTGCAAAAGCTGAAACATCTCTTTAGCAAGCTCTTGGTTATGTGTCCCACTCTGAAAGCGATCCGGATGCCACCGCAATCTTTCTCGAAGAAGATCTTGTCCCTTGAAAAGCCGCTGGATATCATGATGACAAACATTCAAGTCATTTCCGCGAACACAACCTTTCCTAGGACAAGACATGCCCGTTCGAGGCGGTATTGGAAAATCTTCCTTTTTGGTGTTATCAAAAAACTTTTTGCAGGAAAGATGAAAATTCTCATCAGCTTTAGCCAGTTCCTTGGCTTTTGCTTCCGATTTCTCCTTTTCTCTGGCTCGCACTTGAGCGTTATGTTGTGCCTCGGCTTCTTCTTTTTTTCTCTCTTCCTCTATCTTTTGGGCATCTTCATCAACTCCATTCTTGGCTCTTTCCCTCGCTATTTCCTCCGCTTCGATTTGAGCGTCAGCCATAGCATCAAGTTCGGCTGCCATTGCAGCTCTAACTCTGAACATGAATCTGACTTTAGCATCTCGTCCATTGGCATAAGCCGTAGCTTCATGAGCTGCTGATATAAATTCTTCTTCGTATTCAAATCTTTGGTTTTCTCCGACATCTATACGAAATTGCATAAAATCATCTGAGTAAACCAAATTTTGTGATCCGGTCGTCATGGTGTAGTCGATAGGAAAATTTCCGCTATTTGGGTTATTTTGATGTTCCGCCATACTGCTAAATATTTCTGTAATTTTGCTGACCCAGGAGCCGTGTGAGTTGGATAGGATATTAATACTTCTAGATTGGGCTGTTCATAAAATCAATCCTGTTCCTCTGCTACAATCGAGGCAACAATTCCCTTTGTTGTTATGCTAGGATAACGCAACAAAAAGACAAAGAAAACATGAAAGAGTTATCTGCACGTCAGTACTATCACACAGAAGTTTAGCACCAAACCCTTTACGAGCCTATGTCTTGTGTGTTGGTAGACCATTTAATAAAGAACAGATAAAGAATAGAGTCTGTGAAATTTTTTATTCACTCGACTACCCTAACTTTTGCATCTACCTGGTTCTTTATACAGCACAAAAGCTATGCATCTATCTTAATAAGAAATAAAAGCTAAACCTCTCAAACTATAAATAAAATATCAATCCCTGTCTAGTGCAACAGCTGCTGGGGGGAGTCTCTCAGGAAGACAACATAGTTGTATGTCTATTTGCGCAATTATTCATATTTAATTTAAGTTACGAGGAACTGCACATTAGTATTGATTGTATATGACAAACATATCTCAAAATGGGTGATGACTTAAAGTACGATAGTAACGTTGCTGAAGTCTGCTGAGTAGGTGATTTGTTTACTAAGAGGAAAATGAGGCGCGGTGCTCAGAGTTCAACAACACCTTAGTGAATTTCCCACTCCTCGTGATGTGTAGACTCATAGATAATTGTTACAAGGGAGGCATAGAAAAAGTTAGAAACCATTCAACGGGACTTTTAACAGTGGAAGGGAAATTAAGACTCTTGTATTATTTATGGACGAATGTTTGCTTTCTCAAGGCAAAGACGAAAACTTTGTGTTTTATTTGTTATATAAATCGTCAATCGTCGATTCAAAACCGCATGCTTAATTTGCGGACACTGAATTGTATTATGTTTGAATCTGAGCATCCACTACCTTAAAGAAATCTCAGAGACCGTGATATTAAATTCGGAATCTTGTTCTGTTCATTACTACCTATAGACGAGAACACCATAATTATTTACCATTCCATCCGAAAAAAGACCCCTCGCAAATGCAAGCAGAACGCCCACAACCATGCTATAACGCCAAATCAGAATCCAAACCCCATTCCCAAGTCTCATAACCCATTCCAAACTCCCTCCACAACATCCCTTAGCATCTTCAACCCATAGTAGCCAGCCACCCCCTTAAAAACTCCTAATTTCTTTACAACGTCCTCTCTCTTCAAACTCCCGCCCCACTCCCCACTACACGCACAATGCTCCATAAAATCATTAACCCGCACGCTCTTGCATTTGACACATTTCAAGTCCTGCGTCGCCCACTCCATAACCATTCCCTGAACCTCCGCGATAAGTCTTTCTTCGATATCTAGACGATTATACTCCGCGTGGCAGAAACCACATTGCCATGGTCTTGTGGAAGCATCTTGGCCCGGAACATCAGGAATGAGATCTTCGTCACGGCAGAAATCGAGGTCGCGAGCCATGGTGCAGTTGTCGCAAATCACTTGTTGCATTTTCAGACTCTCTGATGGGTTTTCGAAACGTGCTTCGTTGCTGAATTCTCGTACTTCGAAAAGGGCGAGCAGCTCTTTGCGGAGGAGACGAGCTTCGAGAGTAATGTTTTTATCGAGAGACAGGACTTGCATAAGTGATTTGACGAGTTGTAGAATAGGATTTGAGAATTTTAGATGAGAACCTGGCAGAGTTGGGAAGATATAGTCGGAGGCTAGCTCAGGGTGGAGCATTTCTTCCCTTTGTCGGCGGATGAGACCAGCGGTCTGGCGCTTCAGCGGTTTCTCGAACTCTTTTCCAAGGACAATCTTATCCTCCTTGTCGTCACTAAGATTTCTCACCGGCAGCTGAGTTGCCCTTGGGGTTGATTCGACCCCATCGACAATTGTACGGGGTCGTTTAAGTTTGTGCATGATTTCGATAAACTCGACGACCCAGTCGTGGAAGATTGGTTGTAATGATGTCGGTAAAAACTTGTTCAGCTGCCAATGCATAATACAATCCAATGTTTGATTTTCTGCTTCCACGACCTCCTGGCATGCCTTGCCTCCATAGTTAAACTCATCATACCATACCAGATAATCCCAGTACTCCTTAATTTCTAAATCCAAGAAATGGAATAAAGGTTTTGCTTTGATGGATTTTAAAATGTACTGACTGTATGCAAATGCGTTTCCAACTTCGGCCTTCGTTGTTTGCAGAAGTAACCGATTTGCACTGGCAAACACAACATGAGAGCCAACTCTGCGGAAATCGGTCATTAACTGCTGGAATGCTTTTCGAGACATCATCTGCACATAGTAGTGTAGTGATCGATCATACAGAAAAGAGTCTGGATTCTCAACCCATCGAACGAGATGTTGAACCATGATATCGGCCATTGGACTACCTTTGCAAGCTTCGGTCCACCAAGCTTTGACCATTTCACGCATGACTGCAATACCTGCTGCGGCAAAGGCATTCTCTGCGTAAAGCACACTAGTCCCGTCGCTAGGTTCGTCATTGGAAGGGGCTGCTGGATTGAATGACACGGAATCGCTTCCTTCCAACTCGTTAATCAAGGATGAGGTCAATATTGTGTTTATAGCCAAGTTTCGAACGTCAAGCTCGATGCAAACTGAGGGATAGGTTCCAGGATTATTGACAGATGGCATTTGAACAGTGTCCAAGGGGGCAAGTGTATCGTCATTTTCATGACCAGCATGGTCAGGTCGTGGACCGGCTGACCACCATAACACAACATTGTTCTTTTGAAGCCGCCTCGCATAGGCAATGTCGATGAGGAAGCGAGGGTCGTCCCGCTCTAAGTTGCAAAGCGGTATATCGCCATATCTTGCAAGCTCTGTCAGCTCTACGATACAAGAGCCTAGATTGATGTAGCGGTTGAGGATTGTCTTTGCCACGAATTGTTGCCAACCTATTGTCGGTGGCTTACTATCATTGACCTCGTACTTCAGTGGCAGGACAGGAAATTCGCGCACGATTGGGATATCGTGCATGAGCATGCGCCGTTGAGGCGACTGAATGACTAGCATGAGTGGTTGCGACTGGTCATTTCGCATTTTCTTAATGATGTCCCCAACTTCCAACAGTGCTTTTCGTCTTGTGGTGACCTGCTTTGTGTGGAACTGAAGTTTTTCTTGATATTCGAAACAAGTCTGCCATGACTGGCCACTAGCTTCCTCATGTCTTTTGGCCAAACCCTCCATATATGTCTTTGAGAGATTGGGTAGTTCCGAATTAGGATCTTTCGACTTTAGCAGTATGATGATGTGAGCTTGTTCTGTGGCAGTTGAGAACACGGCGAAGATCTGGCGTTCACCAATGGTTACATGATACAGATAAACATACCCCAGGGGTGACTGAAAGAGGTATGGCTGTTTCGAAGTAGCTGGTCTCAAACCTGAGAGGTCAAAAGCGGCCTCAAGTCCCTTTCCTAGCACACCAGGTTGTTTTTCGTCAAAGGTACAAAGACTACCTAGTTGAAGAACAGCTCTGACGCTAAGTGGAACCTGCTTTTCGTAAACCCCTTCGACGCTAGGATGGTTGAATAATAACGAAAGCTTTTGCGCATCGTTGACATAGACTTCCTCCGGCATAGTCAACTTGAAGAGATGCACCGAAGGATGACCGTTCGGCAATGTGTGGTTGACCTTTTCGGCTTCACATCCGTCAACCTCGATATCTGGCAATTCCTTGCCCTTAAGGTTCAGGAATAAATGCCTTGGAACATTGATTTTTAGTGTATGAATTTTTGAATCAATTAGGACGTAGGCGTTCACGATACCAGGGCTCTCGGTGGCTCGTAGCTGAAGAACCTGCCAAGTACCCTTGAAAGTCTGCTCGGCTTGAATTCGAAATGTAGCACCGATATCACTCTGTCCGAGAGCTCGAGTCTCACCAAACAGATGACGACGTCGAATTCGTGCCTGTCTTTGAATCTTCCATTTTTGCTTCTGGTATTCGAGGAAGCCAAGGTAATCTTCAGTCATACTGGGCATCTTTTCCGGCAATGCAGCATATGGATTAATGGATACAGCGACATCTGGTTCAGGGGACTTCCTCTTTTGAGGCTTTTGCGCCGCCTGCGATAGTTGTTTGCCGATTTGCTTTGGCTTCAATAACTGGGTTCCAAAGTCTTCCATATCGGCCATTCTTGGATCCGCGAAATTAACGATTTCTTCCAAGGGAGCTGTTTTGAAAAGATCAGTCATCTTTTTCTGCTTCATCTTGTCGTCCTTAACATTGATTCGTCGCTGTAGCCATTCCGGATGAGCCACTCTTGGAACTGGATTCCGAACCTTTTGCAAAGCGGCGGGAATTGTTATCAGTTTCTGAATGACTGACCCCAGTCGCTCTAGGTAGTAGTCCCAGTCAAGTAATGCTCTTGGATCCATATTTGTAGGATCTTCCTTGAGCCATTTTCGCAAAAAGAATCTCTTGACTGACAGCTCAGCTGAAAAAATGGCGACAGGAATAGCTCTTTCCGTAACAGGAGCATTCTTTGGTCGAGAGCAAATAATATATTTACAGTTCAAGCCTTTGTCTTTTACCATTTGTTCACCCAGGAAATCTGCCAATCGCTTAGCCGTTGTAATAGAGGTCGACTTTTGAGTACCGTATTCTTCGAGAGTTTTGGACATGCTTCGGTTCTCACAAATAAGGTCGATCAATTCTTCGTCAGCAAGAGTTGTTCCCTTGGAGTGGAGAACATCGAGCCATTGATTTGCGACCTTCGCGACCGCGCCATAGGTCTCCGCCAAGGTTGTGCCTTCCAAGAAGAATTTGAAAATCTGCTGTTGAAAGATTTTGATAAGTTTCAGCTCTCCTCTTCGCTTGACTTCAAACCCTTTCAATTCTGCCAGACTGCCATCATCATTGAAAACGGCATAACGCTTCTTCAAATTCTTGTCTTCTTCCTTGGAAGTAGGTAGAATCATCGCTCGGTAAGGTCCATCGACTTCGAAAAAGATTGAGTTGTCGCTGTGAGTCTCATACTTGAAGGTTTTCTTGTCAACTAAAGTCTGATACTGGTCATTCGTGAACTTGTCATGGACAAGATGATTCAACATGACGCAGGGATATGATATTGTGAGCTTCTTGCCGTTCTTGAGCTTGAAGGCATAATTCTCAGGGAATGTTGCTGGCAACATGCACCAAATTCCGTCGGTATCAAGTTCTAGAGGCCGTCCAATTCTTTCAACCAGTTGCCGCGCCATTTGAATGATATGGGCTCCCGTTAAACAAGTAACACCGGCCATTTCCATGGAGTACCAACGAGAGCCTTTTCTCATGACATATCCGTAGAAAGAGTTAAGAATGACCTTGTGGGCCAATTGTAACGAGTCGAAGAGTACAATCATCTTTTTGGCGTTTTCCACATCGGTAGCAGAGGCCCCTGCAGCTTTCAGTTCCTCAGTTTTTCCTTTCCACACTTTCTGCTTCCCTTTGTAGTCGTACCTGCGATCTCGAAAATCCCTCACTGTGTCGATGTAAAAAGGGTTTTCTCGCTGGCAGATGATCGCTTCTCTCTCTACAGTTTTCGATTCGTGGATTTTATGATAAATCTTCTGACTGTAGATTTGAAGTCGTTTCCTGATCAATGTAGCCTGCTCGTCTACGCTAAGATCCTGGAATGTCCTCGCCGGACTTGTCGGCCACTTTCCAGGAAACTTTTCATTCTCGAGAGCATGACGAATCATGTTGTATTCGTCGCGTTTTGCAGGGAGATACTCGGCTCTCCACGCCCATGGCATTCTTCTATCGCAAGTCTTTCCTGGCCGGTTGAAATCGCATGCCGCACAGTCTGCTTCCTCTATCATGGAGTCAGGCTGCAGGCGATTGGTAGTCATTATATTTGGGTACATGGATGCAACATCCAAATGATATATCAAAGGCCGTTCGCTTCGATTTGCAGTCATCTTTAAGCTGATCAACCGGTTCTTGATCTGTTCTTTCACTTCGTCGTAGTTCGTGACATCGTCCAGCGATTTCTTTTCCTCGACCGTAATACTGAACTTCAAAGCCGCATCTAAGTCTTCAAGCAACTCATCAATTGCCGTAGTGTCGACAGCAAAATTGACAGGGATATCTGCGCGAAACACTCCAGCCTCTATACTTTCAACGTGTCCACCAACGTATGTTTCCGACTCGAGGAGATGGCCGTCCCAGAACGATTCTTTGGGAGATACGTGCTTATTGGGAAGCACGATCTCCTTTTTGTAAGCTTCTACCATTAGCAACATCTCACAAAGCGTTCCAGTTCCTTTTCGCAAAACCGCATCTGGGCCTAATGGAATAATGGTGCACAGCGAGAAGATGAAAGGATGTACATATTTCATGTACAGGTAGTAAGTGGCCACCGCATCAGATACAGAGTATTCGGCCAAGGTTTGCGGTCGCTCACTTGCGAATCGAAGCATGAGTTCAGGGTCTAGTTCGTCCGGATCGTATCCAAGTTTAGCTGTAGTGACAGCTTTCAGGCCACGACTTCCTTGCGGTAAATAACTGTCTCGGTTAACCCAATGAAAGCAATCCATATGGGCACTGTAATCACAGCAATATTGGTCGTCAGAACCTTTCCTCCAACCAATCTCCTGGTACATATCGATTCCATTCACACTTGATCGGGCATCCACGAAGGGCCAATCGAAGAAATCACCGTTGTATGTTGCTATCACGGTCGGCCTCGCCTCCTTGATGTGTAGAAAGAACCGTTCAATAACCGCTTTCTCATCTGGTTCGTTGAAGATCATGAATGGCCCATCATATTCCGGTTTTGGTGTGTACTCGAAATCCTCGATATCTTCAGAAACAATCTCTCGGTTTGTGATCAAAAACCCCTGTCCATCAATCATGTATGAAATCATCATAATCTGGTCAATCGCCGCATCGGGGAACTTCAAGGGCAGTTTCGTTGTCTCAATATCATACGCCATTACCACAGGATCCGCTCGCTGTAATCGCTCCTCTAGACATTTAAAAGTCGTTGTACCATGTTTCGCCTCAACAGAATACCATTTTCCCGTCCGTATATCTGCCAGAGGTCAGTACCATTCATACCACTCTGAAAATTCAGCCCTGCTCTTACCCATATCAATCATTACTCGTACATGGTATGGTACATCCCATTCCCTAATATCCACAATATAATCGCTAGCATCCGCAACAGAAACATTAAGTCGCCTATCATCTTCTTCGTCAAAGAGGTCAAACCCAGCATTTGCACTGTGCGAAATTAGAAATATTTCCATTTCCCCTGAAAGAAACTTACCTGGCGACCTCAGCATATGTATCCATAGCATTCATGTTCTTCTTGTTCTTCTCGGCAATAGGCATAATATCCCTTCTCGCCGCGAGAAGATCATTGACATTATTAAACCGCAATTCGAAAAACGTTCGCCGGTAGCCCAGTAAGTGATTTGGCATTTGTAAATCCTCTTTGTCGATTTTCCGCAAATTTTTTACAACACCACCTCCCGGCGCTCGTTTTAGCCATTCTTCCGCCTCTGGCTCATGCCCTCTTTTTACTGCGACCAGAAAGTACGGGTCATACTCGAGAGTTGCTTTGAATGTGCCCCCGTCTTCCTCGATAAAGTAGCAGTCCAGACCTGCCCTACCGTCCGGTATCTTATCATCTTCTACACTTGTCGCGTTGATGTTAACAAGCCATCCAACCTTCTTCTTTCCAGATTCATAGCGCGCAAAACCCTGAGCTTCATCAATCGAATGTGCAAGTTTCACGGCTTCTCGCTTCTCGTCTGTTGACGTTGCTTCGTTTCGATTTGAGGGGGTGAAGGTCTTTGCTTTCCGTGGTCCATGGTAGGCTTGTTTTCCTCCTTTTCGATAACCGTTCTTGGGCTGCCGAAGTCCAGGCATTGTGTAGTTTGAACGCAAGGAGACTTGCGTGAGGAAAATTACCGTCCGCAATGAAGAGAACCTGAATGAAGACTGCAGGTCTAATTAAAGAATTGCAATCTCCACTTCATACAGAACTCAATAATGGAAAAAGTCTGCAAAATCAACAAGTAAAAAACGTCTGCGATATTTTGGTGGGCGTAAATGAAGGTGGTGTTTCTATATGCAAAGTTCGTGTGCTTCGACGCGTCAAGGGAAACGAGGGACCGCGTCGCGCGTAAAGCTGTTCAGTGTGGGTCTAGGGAGAACCACAACTCTCCTCAATGCAGATTGATAGCGACCGCATTCGACGTCCAGCTTAACATAACGCAACCAATTGTATCGCCAATACACGATATAATGGCTGGCGATACTAGAGATAATAATTCTGTTCCACAACCTCGTGGTTCACCTCCTGGCGAGACTGCACCGCCTGCGCACGTCAATACACCAAATAAAGTCTACGAAGTGTTTCAAGGACCACCTCAAAATGCGAATGCTCTCCCAGAGGGATCAGGGCAAAACACTGCGGGGAGCACACCACAAGTAGCCAAATTCTCAGATGCATTGAAGACTTTGCGGGTTGAAGATATTAAACAAGTTTATATGTACCCTTGTGTCAGGGAAAGTCTGCTATATGGAATTGGTGGCGGTTTTGGTATGGGCGGTGTTAGAGCGTTATGGGGAGGTAAGTCGAAATTTCCATCCGGATTCCCCGTCGACATTTTATATCAGAGCCTCGTCTGACTCTACAAAACAGCTCCAATACCTAAAGCTGCCAATTGGGCTGTAGGAACTTTCGTTTTCGTCGCATTCGCCAACCACGAATTTTGCCAGTATCGAAGGTTTCTTGAGAAATCACATATGAAGCGTGCAGTAGAGATCATCGACCGAAAGAAGGCAGCTAAAGAAGCAGAAGCCAAACAGAAGAGAGATGAAAGGAGAAGGCTCAAGGACGAAGCAGACAAAGCAGCGGAAGAGGCAGCAAAAAAGAGCAGCTGGAAGTTCTGGTGACAAGAAAGTCAAGAAGAAGGATTTGTACCAATATTATATACTACAGGCCTGTCACATGGATTAGAACCATAATCTCAACCATGTATCAACCAAGCGCTAGCCTCTCGGAAACCTTGCTCGAAGCCATCCAGATTCAGGTCCATAGGATGAGTTTAGTGTGCGGATTACCACTGATATTTAACGATAGCTCCACGTCCGATGCATAGATTTCCCAGGATATCATGTTACGTTTTAGATACCGCGTTCTGATTACACCAAGCATGTAATTCAAGCTTCTTTGGAGTCCATGGAAAGACTTACACAAGAGTAGTCCCCTCTCTTCCCAAGGGATTTATCATTAACTTCGACACGTGCTAGTGCGACTCCCAGAGGAGTATCCGAAATTCTTTCTTCACTATCAGTCCTCTGTCAAAAGGCTGGATACAGCACAAAGGACACCAACCCATTTCCTAGACAGGTGCCAAAGTGGTGCGGCCAATTAAGTATAAAAGCTTCTTCACTTTCATTTTTCCTTACTATACTTACAACCCTTCAAGATGTAGTACGTCTTAAGGACTATGGCGCAGAACAATGATTGTCCTCGAGGAAAGGTCCATCGGCTTCCCGAAATGGCAATGAACCACCTCCTCATGAGCGACATGCAACAAAACTCATACATGATCTTCTTCACTTCAATCATCCCTCAGCATCCTCACACCCCTAGCATATGCCACTCGGTCCGCTACCCCTAAGAACGCCAGTCCTCAGGAAATGGTAGTCCGTCCTCAGGGTTCCCAAAACGGAAACGAACCTCCTCCTTTATGAGCGATGTGCAACAAAACCCATTCACAAAACCTTAAATCAACGTCCTCGATAGTGAGCGACATGCAACAAACCGCTAAATCCTTCTTATCTCGTTGCGAGATTCACTACGAGAGCTTCAAGTACGTCATCTTGCAGCCGAATAGTCCCAGTGATGTTCACCTTCGGCTACCGAATCGATGAATGTTTCTTTTCAAGCGTTGAATGGCACAGTTCAAGGATGTCTTCGTACAGTACACGGAGTTCTTGTAGGATCTGGAATTGGAATGGTTAGGTCGATTTTGTCGTCGAGAGAAGCCATAATTCGAATGCTCGGTTTGGAGCTGGATAGGCTAAGAGATGTCACTCTACTACAAGTCCCGAAGTGCACTCTTCAAATGATAAAGTGTCACAAATCGAAATGAGCCATCAATCAGTCCGGCAACAACGTCTCGATAGTTAACCAGAACCGTCCAATCTTTGCTGGTATTACATTTTATATACCGATTACTGAACACGCCCCCTGTCGCCTCGGTTACGCCCTTCAACAACATACATTGTAAACATTTCACAAGTAATCAGCCTCTCAACGATCATCAAGAACTTGGATAACTACCTAGTTATGACAGCGACTTCCTAAATTGCTGATATTCATACCTCGGTCGCTTAGTCGGTGTTGATTTACAATGTGGTAAATGAAGTGCCTCGCATATGCGGTGCAACCGCGATTACATCTGTGGTGCATTAACGCCGAGGTGTTTTGGGGTGTTAGTTTTGGAAGGGTGATTTCGGGGAGGAGGATGGTTATATATATCGGAGACATATCCAGAAAGCCATGTAGAAATCATTGACTGACAATCGGTCTAGAACATAATCACGCACTTCAGATTTTCTCACACAACTTTGGCAAAGAACTTCAACTAGACTTACAACATACAGAATGACGAAAACAATAGTCATAATCGCCGTTACTGGCAATCAAGTAAGAAGCCACTTTCTCTTCCAACTGTCTCCAGTTGATGTTCACATTGCTAACCATCATAGGGCTCTTCCGTCGCCGAAGTCTTTCTCCAAATACCAGGCTGGCACGTCAAAGGAGTAACTCGTAATCTCACCTCACTCGCAGCCTTAGCACTTGCAGCCAAAGGCGTTGAACTTGTCGTCGGCGACACCAATCATGTTGAAACCATCAAGGCAGCTGTACAAGGAGCATCCATCGTCTTCGGCAACACTGCATTCTCTGATGCCCTCGCCAATCCAGCCTCGCCAGACCTGGTCCACTTGAAAGAAGGCCAGAGTGTCCGAGAAATGTGCTATGATCTTGAATTTCAGCAAGGAAAGAACATTGCCGACGCCGTTGCCACGGTGAGAGATCTGGAGATGTTCATCTGGAGCAGTTTGAGCGATGCGAAGAAGTGGAGTGGTGGGAAGTATCCTGGTGTCTATCATTTCGACTGTAAAGCCCATGTGATTGATTATATTGAGGAAAAGTACCCTGAGCTGGCAGCGAGGATGAATGTGTTGATGATGGGTCTTTTTGTTACGAACTGGAAATGGGGTGAGGCCTCTGTGCCATGGAAGAAGGTCTGTAATATCATCCTGTTGACGAATATTACTGACAAGAGTTAGCTGCCAGATGGAACAATGCGTCTTCGAGTACCTGGTTCCGGAGATGTTCCTATTCCTTTTGTCGTGCCAAAAGACGCAGGGAACTTCGTAAAGGCTTTAGCGTTCGATCTTCCACTTGGAACAACACTGCTCGCCTTTGGAGATCGACTAACCTTTCTCGAATACACCAAACTGCTGACCAAAGTTACCGGGATACCTACTACTTTTGAAAAATGTAGTGTCGAAGAACATGCAGCCCTTACTCCCGGCAGTGGTCAGGGTATGGAGATGGCCGAAATGTACGGGTATGCTCAAGATTTTGGATACGAAGCTGAGGCCGATCCCAGTATCACGTATTCTAGCGATGTAAGTCTCCTTGTTAGAATACTGTCGCAATGGTTCGTTTTTCTGATAATCCGCATTAGGTGAACCCTAAGATCCCTCGTACAAGTATAGAGGAGTACATTCGTGGGGAAGACTGGTCAAGCCTTGGCTTGTAGTAGCTTAATCTCCGAAAGGAATATGCGATAAGCTAGGCAGCATAAAATTGCATCTTGAATTGATCTGAGGTATTGAGTCTCGCGTTGCTTACAATTATTCATAGTAAGGTAGCCACCACCTAAGCCAATTTCAAGACGTAATTCTCGCTACGAAGGCCTCCGAGACTTCCGCTTCCACCGCTTTCATCTTTGCTAAAGCTTCATCTATTGGCCCATGCACTTCCTCCCCTACAATCGCTTTAACTTCAATTAACCTGCGTTTCCAAAAGCCCCATCTCTCAAGCCCAGACCCAACTCTGCCTTGAAATAAAGAACCAGGACCATATGGACGCCCCTGATTGCCTCCGTTGGGATGGTCCTCGCAACAATTTCTCAAACACTGTACGAGTAACGCTCTTCCCGCTAGATTAATCCACTCGCAAGCAACCCTGACCTTCATGTCGAAGGCCTCCCTTGGAATGACAGTAGTCCCATCCTTCTCCTCATACCATGGCTCTTCGAGTGCACTTCTCATTTCCCATAGTGCGAAATTAATAAATGCATTCACGGAGGAAGACTGCGGAATGTTGTTCTCGAAGCATTTGGCAATGAACGAGTTGAGATTCAACCATTCACCAAGCGAGAGTCGCTCTTCATTATTATCTGGAACATCTACTTCGGAAGTTGCGTCTACGATTGAGTTAGCAAAATGATATACTCGGTTGGTGAAAAGACTTACCATTGTTCCAGATCCCCCTTACAAGCCTTTTAAATTCCCACATGTTCCACATTTTCCCCTGCTGTTCTAGCAAGGGAAGGGCACCGGCCAAGACGTCCTGGGCATAATGGCCACTCGGAATACAAGTAGAAATCAACAGAAATGCGTCATATGTCTCCAGTGCAAAAGACAATTCGGTCTCTCCGTATAATTCTTTTGCATTCGAGAATGAGGCCAAAATCGGAGTTACGAAGTTCCGAGTCTGCTGAGCGATATCAGAGCTCGGTGAAGACTTGAGTACTTTCTCAAAGAGTTCGAGTGTATCATATTGAACGTCTCCTTGTAAGCCTCGAATTTTGTCCTGAAGAATGGAAAAATCGAGAGATGCGACAGACATGATTCCTAGGTGAGAGAGGAGTGGAAGATCAGGTTGGTTTCGAAGATGTTTTTGTGATTTTCTTTTATTTGTTGAATTGTCTCTGCTCTTAGGGGAGAGGCGCTCTTTTTGATGGCTTAATTATTGCAATGTTGGAGAGTACTCAGTTGATATACTAACCGCCACAACCAGGGCGTAGGCAAAAGGCCCGGCCCACAAACCTTGAAACGACCGAGAAGACATCTATGGTGTCCGTCTCATACCAGATGCTACCCTATGTCACTTGCGACTGGCAACTGTCTCGCTTGTAACTCCAATTAATTAGCGCCATTGTAGTACCAACTTAACAGCACTGTAAAAGACTGTACTGTGCCACGACCTGGCTGGCCTCAGCTGAAGCAGACGAGGCCCATCACCAACCCTAAAGCCTGGTCCCGCGGGTACAAGACTGCACTAAATTGGCATGAGAACATGGACATTGCGCCTTACAGACTTTCAAGACGTTAAGATGTGAAAGGTACTTGGAGTGCTAGCTGGGCCTGGTGATACTCATTAGCTGATTCGAAGGACTGCATTAGATCATCGTTCTTACAGGTCTGTTTGAGCATGCATCGCGAGGAATGCTTTTGAAATATACATAGTTGAGAGGCTTTATTGTTTATTAAGGCACTAGCTTCATATAGAGTTTCAAAGTCGTGGTACCAAGAAATATCTCGTTTTTAAGCACGATTTACTTACTTTTACGGCGCGGCGCCGCTATATCTTTACGAATACGCCTTTATATAATAGTAGTAAGGGTGAAATATTCTCCCTTCGTTCGAACTTTCTAATTCTAGAAGGACTCCTGTCGAGAGGAGTTGGGAAGATAGCTAGCTACCTACCTAGGTATTTAAGTGTTCGTGGCGAGTTGTAGGTTAAAAGGGTCGTTCGATTTGAAGCGACATGCATGTTACAGATCACGTGACCCTATCTGCTCCTGCCGATCTTGGACCCCGCCATGCTAACTACCACAAGCGGCATTCTTAACCTCAATCACCCACGGCACAACTGCTCCTCAGTCTGCTTTGCTAATATCGCTTGCGCTTCTATCTAATACCTAGGTATTTGGAAAGCCTTTTACTGTCGCAAGCCGTTGCTTCAATTTGCGCCAACTCGGATGCGGCGTGGGAAACTGGATTCAACGACCTTGAAGGAGTGGACTCCTTGAAGCTCGAGCACGTTCTGATCGCGTCACGAACGAAAAGCCGATGCCGTATCTATCATGACCTTCTCTTCAGCGGTCTCTGTGCCCGAACAATTGGTACTCGCCTCGACTCCGAAACGAAAACGAAATACTCCTGGTCCGCCTACTCCGCCCTCGTCATCCCCAACCAAAACCAAAATGAAGCTGAATACCAATGTCATGAGCTCCCCACAGGACGACGGCCGCGCCGGAAGTCCTCGTACAAAGGTCGCGAATCACTTCCAGAGCTTACAGATAGACGATGCGCGGGTTTCGAAGCTCGACCTGAAGCGGCCGATGCTATCTGCGGATGAAGTGATGACTGGGCAGACAGATGGAACATCCGACGACGACAATAGCAATACAAGGAAGAGAGTCAAAGTATTGGAAATACCAGAGACACCCGACGTTCATGCTAAACGCAAGGCAAATACTACAAAGCAGCACTTAGTGGCCCCGAAGTTCACTTTGGCTATTAATCGAGGTCCCCCTCAGGATGGAACTTCTTTCGGAAGCGGCAGCCCCCAAATTCAAGGAGAGATGGACCCTGTCATATTCAAGTCTGGAAATCCGTTGGGAAAGCTAAAGTCTGGAGCTCTCAAAAGAGCTTATCCTAGCATTAACCGATTATCGAATTCCAAGTCGAGGTCGCGGAAGCGTTCTGGCACTCCGCCACTTCACTCGTCTGCGACTGGCGATTCCGAAAGTGACGACCCCCCGAAAATAGTTGATCCGGAACGTGCTGCTCAAACATGGCATGATGATGAAATCACTGGACACGATCCATCAGACCCAGAAGATGACGGTGAAGGAATCAACGGGATTGGCTTCAAACCAACGGCGGCGGAGGCGTATGCACGAGCGCAAAAGAGGAAGTCACAAATGGCTGACTACAAAAGTCGGGAAGCAAGAGAAGCAAGAGCCCGAAGGAACGAACGGCGGAGGGGTAAGGAAAAGGCGGATAGGGAAGAATCCAAAGAGAGAAGAGTTCACTTTTCGGAGGCCGAAAAGCTTGCTATCCAATTTATAGTGTAAGGTATTTTGGTGTTCAATTTTGGGGCCATAATTGGCACGGTATATGGGAGGGCATGTTTGACATTTTGGCGTCTATACCATAGCGTAGGAGTTTTAGGATGTCCGTAAGGACTGAAAGAGGTTGAGAGATGTATCTAGGTTTATACCATTTCAAATTTCATTATTGCAACTGTGCCACCCTGTTGCCATACGATGTACTGTGTTTGTAATTCACAAGTCCATACATTTCAGACTTCTATCCTTGGCTATAACTATTCCTGCGCTGTCTCCCGCACAAGCACATATCCACTGCAATTTTTCGAGATATTAGCTCAAGTTGCAAGATCTGATGGGAAGGTGACAGTCAGCCGGATTGGTGACATTTCCTTCCTAAGTACAAAACTTCTAGAAGACGAAGTTATGCCACTCCTTCTTCAGCTGACACCATCAGCTTACATGAAAGATACAAAATAGCCCGATGTGTCTAAATAACAAACACAACACAGTGTATTTAATTGAATAGGTTAAGTCACCATAGCTTATTCGCTAGAATATATCGTCGGTGTACCGTGAGCAGACTTCTTTTAATCCCTCGTCGGAATCTTAGTCGATACTCTATACATCACTTGTCAATATTTAAAGGCCCTTTTGCATGATAGATTTTTACCTTAATTTGAAACTCCCATTCTTCTGCATCTGACTCTCTTCTTGTGGCGATCGATGCTCATCAATCTGTATTTTGATTAATCGCCATCTCATATGCAAGAACTAATGAAAACTTACAGCGGTTTCCTTCCCCAATCTCACGTCCACAAACTTAAAATCCGTAATCCCGTTTTCCGAAAGCGTAAGTAAGACTTGAAGCGTGGACATCACTTTTTTGTTTCCTGCTATGGGAAGCGACATCTTGACTGTCTCAAGAGACTCGCAGTTGACCATGTCGTACTTGTACATCCTTCAAATTTTGGAATAAGGGGAAGGTAAGAATTATTTCGGTGTCTCGTCATGGAATAAAACGCTCTGACAGCCTTGCTTCGGAGACGCCGTATTGTCATTACTTTTGTATTGACGTCGCATATTTCGGTATTGGATGAGATGATACTGTGAGTGAGATTGGTTTCCTAAAGAAGGCAGTAGTATTAGGTCTTGTACAGATTGACAAATCAAATCATGTGTTTCAAACCCGAACGTGCTTAATACAGACTCAACAACCCTGGTCGAAACCACAAAACATATCCGTCTTTCACAACCACATTTTCGCTTTCAATACGGCAAACCCGACATTTGAGTCCCAGAAACGGCGAAAGACTCATACTCCTCTCCTGCATTAGGCAACGCCATCAAGCCCCTCAATATCTCACGCCCAAGAATCCCAAACTAGACTCAACCACCCTGGCCCTAGTCCAGTTCATAACTCAAATTCTCACCTGTCCACAAAATCACACAAGCTTTTATTTGCACTCTTAGCCCTCCAAGTGAAGAAACGGTTGAATAACTCTCCGATCTTTGTTCGTGGCCGAACTCTCACACGGTAAGCGAAAGCTATGCGTGATGTCGTACAACATGATGACGGACGACATGGTTATTGGGTCACTTTGATGCTTTCATCGGATTCGCTTCGTATTTTCTGCTTGGCTTGTGGGTTTGGAATGTGGTAGGCTGGTCAGTGGTATCTGTTTTTTTGTTTGGAAGGTAGAAAATACGTTGACCGATAAATTTTTCCGCCCTCATAGCCGACTCCTTATATCAAAGTAATATGTAGTACAAGGAGGGAGTGTTGAGAAGCGAAGCTTATATGCGAACTTAGAAATAGAGCGGTCTTCGAGATTTCTTGTACATATAGCACAGAATGGCTCGCTCGCAAATGTACCAAAAGTGTTGAGGCAAAGGCAAGCCAAATGGTTATGAAACTTACGCTCAAACAACGACACTTTCTCATATCATGGACACGATGAAAACTCAGTTCTCTATTCAGATTATCTGTTAATTCCTGACCCTACACGGTGATGTGGAAACAGCGTATACAATCCGTGACTTGAACAGTTGAACTCCGACTGTATTGTTCCGGCCTGATAACCTACTCCATTCCACATTAAAATTGTCAAGTTATTACATGACCGTCTCCACTGTCTTCCCACCATGATTATTCTTCCAACTCCCGTCAAATGGTGGGTAGCCAACGCCGGACCCTGCGTATCCTCAAGTTTGTAATGATTTGATGACAACGCAAATGAATAGCCTGGTAAAATCAACACATCACCAACCAATTTTGGCTCAGAGAGGTTTGCAATACTCTCATCACTGAAGTCTATTCCGGGAGTCGCTCTCAAGCTCTTAAGAATACTCCGCGTCATCCTCCTCGGACCCGTCAAGTCTACCACGTCGCCAACCATAGTCCATGTCAGGTCTGCGATCGTGACATTATGTTCTTGCGTCTTCTCCTGCAAGCCCTCCAGAATATCTTCCAGCACCATAGCTAAGTGTGGCGACCCTGGTCTCGCCATGATCGTCCACGTTGCAAACTCCCGCACAAAGCTGTCGCCCCAGCCAACGTCGAATTCCCAGCCCACGACAACTCTCGCATCCTTCTTATATTGCGCAGGTATCCAGTCTTGGATCGTCATCTCGTTACACGAGACATCAAGATCGCTGTAGGTTCCGCCCTCGTTGAAGAGAAGTAGGTAGCGGAGGAAATCCGCTTTGAGAATAGGGAACGGGAGTGCGAGGAAAGCTTCGACGATGTCTAGGCGACGAGCAAATTTCTCCACGACGTAAGCATCGCCCGAGATATCGGTTAAGCATTCATATTCATAACTTGGGTTTTTGTTGAGGCAGGTATCGACCCGTTCTCGTACTTGCTGGGTGAGGCCGCGAGAGTCAAGCTTGTACCATATCTTCTCTGGGATTGCCGTCACCGATGGTATGAATTCCGGCGGAGTTGTGGTCGTTTGGAAAAGCGGATTGGAGAAGAGTAGTATCTCGGGATTGGTGATATACCGGGTGTGTGAAGAGATGAAGAAAACGAGGACTAGAACGACGACGATGACGGCACTAACTGATTTCAACGCTGAGCGCCGGTTTGAGAGAAACATGATTGCAACATCTCGTTTGTAACAACTGGATACAACAGTATGTACGGGTGGGAAGAAGACTAGATATCTCCTGTAGGGTAGTTTGGTCCCTTTTCACAGGCCATCAGACAGTTTCGAGTGTCGCAACAAAAAAGAGCTATATTAACTCACAGGTGAGATTTTTGGGAAGAGGCGTAAAAAAACCATGAGTTGGTTACTGTGTCAAAAGTAGGTTTGATTGTTGGTGGAGTTGGAATACTACATTTAGCGCGCGGCAGCGGCCTGACCTGCTCAACACATACAGCGCTTCTGTAGATACATGAAACCGTGTAGGGTTTCCCCAGAAGCGCCAATTAGTTAAATTCATGAAAGCGCTCGCCGGAAAGCCTACACTTGTAAATTGACTAAAGTCTCCCGAATCCACAAAGTCAAGTAGTAGCAATCCCCATTCCCACAACCATAACCAACACTGCTGCATAAGCAGCCGTAGCCCCAATAATATCTTTCGAGTCGAAAGTTTCGACTCAGCAGTTTCCGCAATCCAGGCAAGAGTCACCGCCACAGCAAGGACGAATATCAATGTCGTAAGAAGAATTGTAATATTATTAGAAAGATATAGAGTTATGATTAACATAGGTAGATTGACAAGAGTGCCACCAAAAGAGCCATCGTCGACAGAGAGTAGGAAGCTCTTAATCTTTCCCGCTTCCGAGAGTAGCCGGCCCCAGTGACAGTAGCGGGGTCAATTGTTGAAGCTTTCTATCTGGGAAGAAAATGCTGTGTTTTCTTATCTATATCGAAGAGCCATGCAACAGATGAAGGTAATACGGGTGAAGGCCCTGAGCGGGATTTTTGAGAAGTACCAGATTCTCTTTCTGTTGTAGTCTTGTTAAAAATTGTTCTAGCATACTTGGGCGCTCACCTGCAAGTTGATTCTCACCTTTGATGTGACCTCCTTCCTTAAGTGCCGTAGTAATAACGACAGAACATTTTGTTGTAATGTTAAGTATAGCGAAGACTTTCCGCCAATGAATAAGAAGGTTTTGAAAAGCGAGCTAGGCTCTGTAATCTTTACAACAGATCTCGTAGTTCACGACTTTTCTGCCTTTGGACTTCTGGGATCTCCCCATTTCTCAACGTAAGCTCCTAGTATTGGGATGTTGAGTCCTTGAATCTGGCTTAGGTCGTCTTCAGCCCAATAACCTGAACAGCCCATTTGATGAAGATCGGATCTACACTCCTGAGACCGTCGGAATTCCTCTCCTCCGTAAGAGGGACGAGAATAGTGGGAGGTCTTGGTTTGTAGTAAGTCAATTCGACGCTTTAATTCTTCATCAGGTAGTGCAATTTCATCATCCCACATCACATAACCACATTCCCTCAAAGGATTGCATACGCGGTCGTACACACTCGATCTCATGACACTCCTATTCTTGTATGATAGAAACCACAACCGAAAAGGTTTAGAATCTTGTCCACCACAGCCTTTATCAAAAGGTTTCATAAATGCTTTCATAATGTCTTCAGTATGTTTTTTGAGTGGAGCATTATAGTCGTCCACACTTAAGCTAGAGGATTGAGTATTCGGCCAAACGGTTCTTCCCAACGCGTATTGAGCTGATTTTTGTCCAGTCCATGGGCCACTATGCGGGCTGAGAAGTGGGTACCAGTCGTTGTAACTTTTACCAATTGATATGTCTCGCAGAAACGGAAGACCCAATGGCAGCTAACAGATCGGTACGTCAGAAATGTTTCAGATTGCCAGCAACTTTTACTTACATATTGCATAGTGACAAGATGGCCAGACCCAGAATGTTTGCATAGGTGTCCCCACATTATATCATGTTGGCCTAATTCATCTGCTGCTATAGTGACACGGTGAGGATGTGATACGGATAAAAATCAGAACCTAGGCCATAGGACACGTACCTTCTTCTACTTTCCTTTCGAAAAAGGTATAAATCGTGTGTATTTGCTTACTTACCCATGGCGAGCAGGTTTCGAACATTTTTAGAGCTCATTTTTCACGCTCCCCCCAATCCAATGATTTGTATGAGGGGTCAGGAGTCCATGGATGACCAGGGACGTATAAGTCGCTTGCTAATTGAAATCGATATAAAGCACGCTCAATACGAGTAGCTTCGTTAGGCGACAGCTCAGTTGTACGACTCACGCCAAAGTTATGTTCAAATAAGGGAATAGTCTCCTTAGCAAACTGCTGGCGTAGATCTTGAACAGCGGCATGTGTTTTAGAAATCATCACAAAATCTGACGTTGGCAGAACGGGCAAGGTGAAGTTCCGCTGACTTGATATCAAATCAAGGTTAAGCTTTTCGAGAAGATTCTTAACCGCATCATTATCAAGAAGGTCGACAGTTTTTGCTTCGAATAGTGCCCACGCCAAGGGAAATAAATTGACAGGTATCTGGTTTAGTATGATGCCGGAAAGAATGAAGTTTCGATGCGGCTTGAAAGCATGATAGAAGGCTCGGTGGCTCATCATCGCAGCATGCAAATCCTGAAAATTATCAAAAGAAGCAAGTATTTCAGCAAAAATATGTCTAGTCAGCTTGAAAAAGCTAACTGCAACAGGTGTTACCGTCGGAGCTTGCATCGTGAAAAGTGATGGGAGTACTCGAAGGCTCAGCGATAATAGAGATAGAAGATAATATTGACTAGCGTTAACTTTCTCGCGCAGTAAATTTGTTGAGGTCAAAGCCGAATTTATAGTGGAATAGAAGGTGAACGCGAAGGCCCTGACTCACTTCAAATGACCGACTTACCGCACAAACTACCTATCTACTTTCCTAAATCACTAGTCATCCACGTTCTTGAAACCATTCACTACTTTAAGCACCAGCGCCACCATCATTGTGGATCTTTGGGACGGCAGAGTTTATCGTTGATCGTTGTTGACTCAAGAACGACCAAAAAATCTTACCCGCTCTACTCTAAGCCAACGCTCATCAATCACTTTGGTTCACTCGAAGCTTTTGAAATATCTTTATAAAGCAGCAAGGCTAGAATTGCTAACGGTACCTAGTTGTAGTTATTTCGCAGAAGTATATTTTCCGGCTCTGATGAATCTGGGCCTCTGACTCTCTTTCTTCTCCATGTGTTTTGGGTGACTCGGAGGACAAACCCTTCTGAGTATTCTAATACCTTGAATAATGTTTACTCAAGTAAGAACCCTAGTTGTTGATTGACTCCAAAGCGTCATAGAATAACTCAGTCACCGAAAAATAAAAAATAAAAATCACAAAACGCTATTCATGACATCTTGTCTGGCTGATCGAAAATAATATTTGCTTTGACCGCCACATGTTTTGTCTACCAGCAGAGCTACTGTTCATTCCCACTATTATGGACGACAGTCGGAAGTAGTTAATAAGTCAGATCGACTACAAGTTCAATGGAATATCTGTCCAAATAGACGAGTTCGTGTTCTATCCACTACTCAAAAATCATTCAGCGTTGTAAAACCAACAGCGTGAATGCACAGACTTCTGAAGTTGGCTTGTTAGGGGAGGTAGCGTCTCGCTTAAGCCAGTAAGTCAGAGCCAAACGCAAATACGAGTCACTGGTGATTCAGGTGCCTTGTTTATGATAAATAATGATATAATCTCGGTATAGGGTCCTGAAATTTCTAATTATCAGAAAGTGCAGTGAGCATATGTTTCCCAGAGCTCTACCGGCTACTTCTGAGTTCAAACTTCGTCGTGGGAGGGAATGGCTAAGCGAGAAATGCCCCCCTTGCTACGCTCAACTCTCAAAAGTGAGAGTTTCTAGCCTCAACAATAAAGTCAACTCTCTTTCTGCTTTACGAACCAAATCACAATTTCCCTCTACTGGCACGGTTCACGGGAGTGTACTTGTTGTTCGAATTGAAAATAAAATTGAGGGGATCATATGATCTCCGGGTAGGCTGCCAACATACCATTATCTATTTCAATCATTTCATATACAGTAATAGATTAGAGATTGTGTTATCGTTTCATTATAACTTAGAAAACATGATACACGTGATACCTATATTCGGTAGGTTGGGACCTTCACCGAGTCCGCGACAAACAACTGATCGCTTGCGCCTCCTTCCTGACTCACGAAATCGGCGCCACGACTATTTTACGCGCGCGGCCAGATCATGTCCACAACAAACACGCCCACGTTCCCGGGCTGTAAGGATTATGTGACCAACCAGAATGGGAGTTTTGTACAGTTTGTTGGGCTCGTATTTGCAGAACTTCATCAGATCCACAGTTCATCAACACAAATCAGCGGCTCAAATTCAACAAAACAATGTCTGATACTCCAACACAACAGTCTCGGAATAGTCTCCGCTCAAAATTGTTGTGAGCAATAGTCTGGGCAGACAGCTAGGCTGAATTTACTGATCATGAACCACTCACGATCACAACACAAGCATGGCGGCCTGGCTGCGGCCTCAAAATTTCTCCGTATGGCAAGAACTGGCGCTGCAGAGAATTCGAATGCAGGTCTACTTGTGCCTCATCGCTTCAGCAGCCGCGAACACGCAATGCATACTGCAGCCCATGGGCCTTGGTGGTATCCGTTTTCCAGTGTGACGGTAAGAGCCTCACTTTCTAGAACATCAGCAGAGATTTACTGATTTGTAGCAGAACAAGAATTCAAAAGCATTTTAATCGACTAACAACAATATCAAGCCTAAGGCATTTTTAATAGTCCTGGCGATGAGTGTGAGAACACTCTGAGCCCATTAGGCACCATTTTAAAAACCGCTCTTCCCAACTCACCGCGTCGAGAAATAGATTTTGACTTCCTCACGTGTACAACAAAGTGTGACTTCCAGGTCTTACCGATGGTCAAATCTCTATTAGAATGGCAGCTGCTCATTCAAAAAACACTCACAACAGTTGGTTGTGTCTTTTAATAGTCATAGAGGGATCTAGGGGTGTCCGAAAGTCTATAAATCAAGGCTTCTCGCACCCCTTTCGATGTTCAGTTCGACAGCAGCATCTTCCCTTCACTATTTACCATTCGCTTCAAAGCTACTTCAAGCTTGCAAAACTCTTTACCACTGTTTTGGTATCAACTTCTCTCACTACACACCAATAAATTCTCACTCACAACTCTCTCAACTTCAATCACACCACCCATTCAACCCCCTCACCACCACAATGTCCCGTCTCTCCGTCTCCTACCACAGCTCCGACCCCCGCAACGACGAACACTTCGAAATCGCCTACCGTCCCAAGCGTTCACGCAGCCCAGCCTACATCCCCGTGCGATCCTCCAGCTACTCGTACTCGCACAAGAGCGAGACAAGACCCTCCTTCTGGGGCGGCACATCCCGGTACGAGCGCGACAGCTCCAGATCTTCGCATACCACACGCTATATGCCTGTCGAGGAAGCTCCTCGCCGTAAGGCGAGATTCTTGGATATTGATAGTGATGATGAGGATAGTGATGCAAGTTATGACCATTATCGGAGAAGGCGCACGGTGGAATGGGTGGAACCTCCTTCCAGAAGAGAGAGGTGTTGGAGACGGCTTTAAGCCTGTGGGGTGTTGGCGTGGAGAGTGGAGGATGTAGTCTGTGTTGTGGAGTGTTTTGGAATGATATGGAGGAGTTTGGCCTGGGCATTTGATATGAACTGGACTTTGCGTTACGAGCGTCATGTTTTCCATACTCGGAGATTTATATCTACTGGATGGGGATTGGCTACTTGGTATCACGATGACATGACTGTTGGAATGTTAGAGTTGTGGTGTTTTTCTTTCTAGAACGGAGTGTACTGGCGCATTTGATTTTAGTTCGACAAGGGTTTCGTTTTTTTTTTGAATTTTGGGATTAGAAGCATTTATCATCAGTGTTTTAGCGTAGCGATAGGTTCTTGATTTGAATACTCTTACTTGGGAATCTCTTCCTCCTGTCCAGGTATCTTGAACTGTATGTGACACTTCTAAAATACATCGCCCCCCCTACAAACTCGCTTAATATATTGCAGAGGAAGAATCCAGGACTAAATATTTCTGTCTGACATTAAAAATGAACATGTGACATAGAAACCGCTGCATTCCTTAAATTTATCTCATGTTCTTTAGCGAAGATGCTTTCAACGAAGACTACAAACTTGCAAATGCAGAATGTGTTGCTCTTGTGCAACTGCAATGCACTTCTCAACATGAATAACTAAATTCCCGAATGAAGATGTAACCGTTCCGGTAGAGCAAGTCAATCAATGTAGTGTAAAGTACCTACCTGTTATTAATACTCCTGTTAGTAAAAGGTATTTTGAGATCCTTCGCCAGTCATTCCTACAACTCAAAAACAAACTCCGTATTAACAAAAAGAAGAAGACTCCGAGTGGGTCTTTACCCCTCCTCCCCACCCCCACCACACAACCTTCCCAAGTCCTTCACCCATCCCACCTTCAAAAAATCTTAAAAAAAAAGTTGCTTCGAAGAAGCCATTAATCCCTCAGGGGAGAGTCGAACCCCCGACTATTCGATATGTTAGCATATCGCCTGAGTTGAATTTCGGATTTTGACATACCATTCCGGTGAGACTGAAACAATTACAGCCGGACGCCATAAACCAACTAGACCTAATGAAGATATTAGATTTTGATAGGTTTTTGTAAGGTTCGGGAAGAACTTACGACCGAGGGATGGAATGCAGATAAATCTGATTGTTATGCACTTTTCGCTTGTTTAGGTATATAAAGAGTAAACACAAAGGAAGACAAGTGATTGGTCGACTTCGGAGGACGACGAGGGTGCCCCGGGGTTTGCCCGAGGGTACCTACTATGTTGAACTTTGGATGGAATACTAATCATCTTGGGCTACAATGAGAAAAGTCCTGCTGAATCTGATTTCCCTTTCAAATAATTGTAATCGTTTGATGCTTTCCAAAATTAGAAGGATTGTGGAAATTTGTCTATGACTCCCTTTGCTCCATGATACCACGTCCCAAACGGTAAATGCGTAATTATTCGAAGTCAAAATCATGTAAATGAAAGATTTGAACCTCAGCGACATGGCAAGTGTTTTGAGATAATTAGTTGCCTTTGTTTTGAGGTTATACCGCCAAGTCAGCCAGGTCAGTACTTGACTGCATTGAGCATTTGTAATATAGTTCCGCCTGATCCAGCTTCATCAACCACATACAACATGTCATTCTTATAGCAAGTCTACGGTACGGTAATTGTGGGTTCAATAAATCGACTAGGCCATCCTTCTACCAAAGGTAGTCAACCAGGCACCTAGCCAAAACATCCAGTCCAGGTTCCAACACCCCCAAAGCCGGTCTCCTCTGACTCAAAATGTCCCAACTCACCGGTCTCTTCCGTCAAATTCTAAAGAAATCAAATCACCCTAACATCCTCGTTCACAACATCCAACTTGAGCGCGCCAAACAGAAGTATCTCGTGCAAGGACGGTTAGGAGACGGCGGTGACATAGCGCTAGAGATTGGACCACCCGAGAAGGAGAGCAAGAAGTTGGACGATGGTCAGAATGTTGTTGCTGAGGCTTCAAGTGGGAAGGAACCAGAGGGGACAATGATAGAAGATAATGAGAAGAAGTTGGAGGAAAAGGAGCAGACTAAAGTGGTTGGAGAAGACGCGGGCGCGGGGAGTGGGACTGATGGCACGGATGGGCCCACTGTGTAGGCGTGAAGATACCCATTTGTACTATCAACGACTCTAATGATAATGAAAAATCTCCACTCCAAAGAACATTTCAATTGATGGGACTAACTAGGTTTTCAATTGAGAAAAAATTTAAAGTTCATTATTCTCGATTAATTGCAGCAAATCCTCTTCCCATCAAAAGATGCCGAGGACATTCCGAAAAGCATCGCATCTCTAGCTTTCCCCATAGCTTTACCCCACACTCCACTAAGAAGCCTTTCTCCACAACGTCACATAAAGTCTACTGTATCCCATTTAATCGACACCATGGATCCTTTAACTTCACAACATTCATGATACTTATCGTCTACATCAATTAATCTCGTTATCAAATTCTAATCCAGAACTCTCAATTCCATCCAACAATGATCCGTCGCTCCATCTCCCAAATCTTCCAAACAAACAGCCCCAATGAACAAACCACCAACCAAGAACCCGAACACATCCAAACCATGATTTCGAGTCTAGGCGGTAGACGGCCTACGGTATATCTCCCTGTCTCTTTCTCTCCCTCCAAAAGACCCTAAATTCCCCCAAGAAGCATCGCCACTAACACAGCTCACAGCTCCCTACACCCTCCCAAACCCCACTAAACCAACAACCCTCGCTCCCGCACACGACCAGCACGCCTAATCCTAACGCCTGGATCGCTTCCTTCACTCGCCAGCAGCCGGCCTCACAGATCGAAGCTATGCCACCAAATGCGAATACAAATCCAAACTCTCAGCCTTTTAGAGTCCCAAGAGTGATACTCGATCCAGCGAGACGCCATCCGGTATTTTTTACAGAGAGATTGAAGAGGGCGCCGCATGGGGTTGGTGGAGGGGTAGGAGGGGTGGCGGAAGGTTATGTGTGGGAGGAGGGGAGGAGGGATGTGAGTGTTGGGAATGGAGCTGGGAGTAGGCTTTGATGGGTGGTGTAAGAGGATTGTATAGAGTTTGGTTTAACAGGTACATATGGGAGTTTAGGAATGGAATGGGTTATGGGATTGGTGGCATAGGTTGCGGTTGATTTCACAGATTTGGAAGTGATGGAAATACTTCTATTGGCCTTCTGTATCACCAGAAGGTCATAGCGATTTGTATAAATAGCGTGTGCATGCATTGGGGATAATAATATTTTAATTGGTAACCCAGACGGCAATATACCGCGTGTACGATATCGCAAAGCTACCAACTCAATCCGTCAAAACTCCGCTTCTGGTATCTAACACTTCGCTGCCTTCAAATATCATACAAAGCACCCCAACTCAGGCGCTCATGGCACAAAAATTCCGCTTTTTTGCAATGCCGCTTACTTGCCACTTCCAACACACTTCGACCAACCTGGCAGTCCACAGCCCATCCCAATGAACAAGTACAGCAGGAAAATAATGACCACAGTGAGCATCGCCATCAACTTGGTGTTTTTCCACCACATCTGTCTCCTTAACGTCCTTGACCTCACTCTAAAATCATGTGCACTGCCACCCAAACGATCCGTTTTGTCAACCAACAGATCAATCCTCTCGCCTCTCTCTAACAGACTCTCAATGTTGTGGCTCATAATGCCTCGCACGTTATCAATCTCCTCCTGAACATTCGCAATCGCATCGTCCTTTCCAGCTTTCGTAGTACCGTATTCCACCATCAATTTCTTGAGTTCGCTGTTAAAGCTGCCTGCGCCATAATTAGGCAGACTGGCAAAATCGGTGCTGTCTGGCGGAAACTTGGCTTGAAAACGCTTTTTAATTTCTACGAGATAGCCAAAGGGAATTCGACGGCCGAGAGATGAGTCGGCGATGACGAGGTACGTAAGTCCTCCTGCTGAAGCGGACGAGGATGGATATTCCGAGGGCGCATCGGCGATATAATGGATGAAATTGTTGTTGTGAGTATAGGTGAGCTTCTGCGCCGATGTATGGGTGATCTTGGGAAGGACGAGAGATGCGAGTGAGGAGGTCTGAGATGCTGCTGAGGTGGTGTGTTCGCTGAGGATTGTGGTGTTGTGCGCAATACAAGAGCTGTTCCGAGTTAGCAGAATTTGATTTGTATGGAGGGACTACTTGCTAGAGCAGAGGCGTTGGAGGTGTTGAAGATGAAGCCATGATTGAGTTATAGTTCAGATTCTGGACGTTTAATGTCTGTATATGCTTTCGAGGTCTGCCAGTTTGATGTTGCTTTCACTTCCTAGATGACGTGGGAGGAGCGGAAAAATGATATTCCTGATGACCCCCTGTTACAACTTTTTGTCGCGTCTCCTAAATTTCATAGCGACAAGCCATCGATTGCATGTTCATCCCGAATCTGTAAAGGAGGATTGCTCCTCAACCTGTCCGTCGAATCCCAGCCTCAGAATGAGCTCTACCGTTCAAAAGTCTGGAAAATGTGCAATTTGTGCATTTAGAGCGTCAGAAAGGTTTACTGTTTCTCGATGGCAAAATGGTGCCAAACGCCACAGAACCGACAGTGCTCCCAGTCCTTCTCCGAATCATAATTACTCCTTCGAGGTCAGAAGAAGCCCCCTCCGCGCCAGTAATCGACGGGTCGGTCGTTATGGGACACGCCGCGTAGATAATGGTGGCCGTGAAGAAGCAGCCGGGCGTGGGGAAGCACCCGCATCAGGGTCATACGGTATCTTTGCTGGTATTGTTCACGAACAGGTCAAAAGGAATCGGACAAGACAACTTTCCAATCTCGAAGCAAGAGCAACACCACAAGGACGCACCAAAGCCGAGCTTCGTCAATCCCGTCAAAACCTCGTGTTACAACTCGACCAGTTCGGCGACTTGGTGCACGAAGCAGCCAGAAAAGCCCAAGCCGCAGGGCAAGTCACACAGGCCGATAACCCTCTTTTCTTTGCCTTTAGACAGGCATTTGTAAAAGGGCACCTTTCCGGGCTAGCGGAGGAGGTTAGATACAGATTCATAGTGTCAGCATTGGACAAAGAAGAAGTCAGGATTCAAACTGAAACACTTCCCTTTCAGAAGGCTATAGCGGATCTAACGCATCCTACAGAGTGGTTTCCAGCTACAAGAGCCATACAACGAGTGGTTCATCTGCATATTGGGCCTACCAACTCTGGAAAGACATATCATGCTCTGAAAAGACTTGAACAAGCAAAAAGTGGTATTTTTGCTGGACCCCTCCGGTTGTTGGCTCATGAAGTTTACACGAGGTTCAACGCCAAGGGGATCAAGTGTGCTTTGGTGACTGGGGAGGAACATCGAGTTCCAGACGGTATGGAGAACTTTATGAACAGTTGTACGGTCGAGATGGTTCCCCTGAATACTATGGTCGATGTTTGTGTGATCGACGAGATTCAAATGCTGGGCGACACAGAACGGGGTTGGGCTTGGACGAATGCCTTTCTAGGAGTCCAGGCGAAGGAGCTTCACCTGTGTGGCGAGGTCCGCACTGAACAACTTGTCAGATCACTATGTAAAGCCATGGGAGAGAAGCTAATCATTCATCGGTATGAGCGCCTTGGTTCCTTGGAAACGCAGAAAAATCACGTGGACCAAAAGAACTTCAAAAATCTTCGAAAAGGCGATGCCGTCATCCTGTTCTCACGTGTGGCCATCCACGGTGTGAAAAAAGATATTGAGAAAGCGACGGGGAAAAGATGTGCTGTGGTCTATGGCTCTTTACCACCAGAAACACGTGCATCACAAGCGGCTCTGTTCAACGATCCAGATAATGACTACGATTTTCTTGTCGCGAGTAACGCAGTTGGAATGGGGCTTAATCTGAGCATAAAACGTGTCATATTCAGCACGACTTGGAAACGCAACAACGATGGACTTGGCCAGCTTGAAACATCAGAGATCAAACAGATTGGTGGTAGAGCAGGCAGGTATAAGACTGCACACTCCGCAATCAAACAAGCGAATGTCGACAATTCAAACGCCAGTGTGGCTGTTACGGCACCTGCTGTGACTTCCAAGGCAGCCACAGGCTTCGTAACCGCATTCAGCAAGGAAGATCTAGATGTCATAACCAAAGCAATGAGAACGGACGTTGAGCCAATGAAGACTGCTGGTATAATGCCTCCAGCAGATATCGTTATGCGGTTCGCAGCCTTCTTTCCCCCGGAAACCGCATTTAGTTACGTCCTTCTAAGGTTAAAGGAACTGGTCAAACTGAACCCACACTTTCATTACTGCTTCAACAAAGATGTCGCTGAAATCCTCGACTTGATCCAACCATACGACATGACACTCCCCGACCGCGTTGCCTTTGCAGCTGCTCCGGCGTCACTCAAAAACAATCCGCGAACTGCAGCTACCATCGTGGATTACGCTAAAGCCCTCTCCAAAAGAGACGGCCGCGATCTGTTAGACTTCTCATCCCTTGATCTCGACATCTTGGATCATGATATCCACGATCATATAGAGGGAGTAAGGGGCTTCTTAAGAGACGCTGAAACTTTACATCAGTCTCTTACTGTTTATCTATGGCTCAGCTACCGCTTTGCTGGTGTGTATAGACAACAGGCTCTTTGCTTCCATATCAAGAGTCTGGTTGAAGAGAAGATTGATCAATGTCTCGAGGAGATTAATTTCATCCCTCCAAAGGCGGTTAGGGCTAGCAGGTATATCCAGCGTATGAGTGATCTGGACCAGATGGTGAAGGATTTACAACTGGGTTCTTCTGAAGAAGGCAAGGAGGCTTCTGGGGAGGGTGCAAGTGACGTCCTCGAAGTTCAGGAGGAAGTCGAGTTTGAGGAGGAGGATGGACATGGCGAGTCTGAGATCGCCGTCGATGTTTATCCCGCTGATGATTCGCCTGCTGATGGCAATATCCCTCAAACACCTGAGTCGGGTAAGAACATTATTCCGGATTTTGTACCGGATGAAATTCCAGAAGGAGATCGCGTACGGGATTCTGCTATACTGTGAAAGATTCCGGTATTATCAAGATCAGACTTCTGAGGGAGGAAGGGAAGCCTTTACGACGACGTGTGCACCGTATATCTTACATATCTAGCATTTGAGCTCGGCGTTTCGGGAGACGCTGAGTTGGCGAGCAGGCTCACTGGACAGCAGCCTACTTGTAAATCTACATTGTACATGTAATATTACATAGCCGCTCCGATAAAGGAGTTTGAAGGGGACGTGTATCATACAAGCGTTTTGTAGTATTATTAGCCAAATATAAATCCTCTGAATAGGAATGTTGACACACCACTCATATACTCGTCTCATCTTACTCCTTAGAACTTTACAATCCATCTCATATCATGGACCGTCGTAGGGTCATGAAAATACCCAAATTATATCTTGAGAGCGTCAATAGCCACCAGCATGCTCCTCCAGAATTTAGCATTTGTAGCTACTCATTGCAGAATCCTACATTACAAGAGTTTTATGTCCGCCGGAGGCTGGAGGCTTTAGCAGTCAAATAGGATGTAAATAACTTGTTGATCGGGGAATAGATATTGATATCGATATTGATATCGATACATCACTCATTTCGAGGTTTAGGTTTTCGTTTCATTTTTGGATTGTTGTGATGAGATGAAACAATTTTTTCTTCTCGTCCCGTGAGTAGATTACTTGTACACTCTGTCACCTTTTGTATCCGTACCTACATATAGGAAACTAGCTGAGATAATGTGTATTTTGAGATTTCAGCCGTACTCTACAGTCTCTACTCTGTCCAATGGGAGGAGGTAGACCGGTTTGAAAAGGCTGGAAGATGAAAGAAAGAGTTAACATAAAAGTTACATACCTAAGCCACCTTATATCTTACCCATATACCACCTAACCCTTTAAACTTTTTTGCTTGCCCTTTTCTTAACAAATTAAAACTTGTATCTAAATAACTTCCAGACCCGCTTAGCTATTATCTAGTTATACATCCTTACTTATTATTTTAACTAAACACCTCCTCTCTACTCTCCCTAACCACCACCTAACTTCCTACGCCGACGATCCCCGCTTTATTGCTTTCTATATCATTCCACTAAACAACTAAAAAAGCTCCTCTAAGCACATTAATCTCCCTCCCCTCCTCTTTTGCACAATACCCTACTCTCCCTACCCACCTTACAAGTTCGATAGAACTAGGTAGGTTTGAATTTGGAATATCTTGTTCTAAAGTTGTTTCAATTTTCGTTTTGTATATAGAATTTATTAGTACATACGTGGATTCTCTGTATAAGGTAAAGGCTTGCGTAAAGCTGAGTAGTATATTAGTTAGAGGATATGGGTGTAAGGTATAGATTTACGTTTTTATATATTAAGTTAGATTTATCTAGTCAAGCTCCTCACAATTCGGTACTTATACATGTTACTACCACGTTCCACTCAAGTCGACTCACTCAAGCTCCTCTTAATACCTCTTGCTTATCTTGAGATGCATTTGTTATATTACTAATGTATATCAGTCCGCACGTGCTAGATTCGGAATCTGTACTGCCTACGTTGAGTACCTACATAATGTATTTCTTGGTACATAAATACCTTCGCTTCCACCCACGTGCACCTTCTCCCCACCTTCCATCCCCCCTCCATCCATCTCCCCCTCCCGTCATCTTTCCACCACCTCCCTGATCCTTCCACAGCTTATTCCGCGCATAACGCTTTCGATGGTGATAGGCCAGTGTGCCAGAACCGATCGGACGTACAGGGGTGCTGTAGATGTCGTGAGATGTGTAGCTTTTTGAGGCATCTGCGGTTGCATGTGCATATGCTGTCGTGGTACCGTGCTGTCGTCGTTGTGGGGCCGGTTCTCGGAAGATGATTTTAGGGGCTCAAGTTGTATAACAACAAAGATATGTAGATATATAAAAGAAATATAAAATCTTAACGATACAGCAAAAGAGGAGATATGAATCTAGGTAGGCTGTTGTTACTCCTCCTCTCACTGTTTAATCCCTCACCTCTTCTTCCTCGATACGAAAGAAATTCATTCCACCATTGTCTCACGATCTGAATTTTAACCAATCATTTTCCAACCTCCGTATTAGTAACAGACTCTCTAATCCCCACGGTCGCCACTTATATACACTTCACAAAACAAGTAAGGAACATCTTGACTTTTTCAAATTGCTAGTGTGCATTCTGTACCCACTGAGTCCCATTCGGTACCGACTGCGACATGCAACAAAACCTCATTAGCTCTATATTATGCGAGCCTCGCCCTTCTGATTCTTCCTCTAACTGAGTGGGCTCAACTGTCTGGTCAGTTTTCCCGAATAAGACGTATTTGTAAGGATCTCGATTAGGCTTTGATGAGTTACTTAGAAGCTATATCGAGGCTTGCCTGAGCAGAAAGCCTCCTGAGCATTTCTGAAAGTGTTCACAGACTTCTTCGTCTCCTTACACGTTTTCACTTATCACAACAAAAGAAATCCACTTACCCCATATCACTCACCTCCTTACTTGGCTTTCAGACTATAGAAAACTCAAATCCACCCTCCTCACTATACCTCCTCCGCGCCGGCCACTCCTCAGTCATCGGCGCAGCACCATCAACTTTGCAACGCGTGAAATCCTCAAAGTGTTCGAAATCGCACATAAAATGGCCAATCCGTCGATAATGAGCCTTCGAGTCTTCAACATATTCAAGCACAAGACCGCGCACCGTCGAGCCATCCCCAACGCCAGGATTCCGAAGCCGTCCGCTGTGAGAGAGGATGGGTAGACAGCACAGTCTAGTCAATTCTGGATTGTGAATCGCCAGAATTTTGGTACGCCGCAGTTGAGCATGTTGCATACTGCCAAAACGCATTATGCGTTTTTCTTCTTCGTTGGCTGGGACTTGTTAATTATGTACGGCAGCTAATATTTGAAAACTGACCTGGTTGCATGGCTTTATGCTTCATCTCGCTATTCCCATCTGCCTGATACACGTCCCTGTCATCAAATTGCCAGTTGATGGTGATGTTTGGGTTGTCGGGTAATGCTTCCCTGCTGAGTAGGTAGCCGAATGCTGCACTCTGATAGATGGGGGACAAATGTCCTATAAGATCGATCTTTCCGCCATCTACCGGTCCCGTGTTATCTTCTCCGCAAAGGTTGACTTCAATGTTGTTGATCTTGACATGTATGATCTCAGAAAGATCAGTTAGTCTTTCCCAAGTACGACTTACTGCAGAAGCGAAATTGTCGTTGTAGCCTTTGTAGTAATATGGAAGGCAAACACGGCAGTCGAGCGATGCCCAAGACCACGATGGATAACTACTCTGACGCATTCGATGCTTCTGGCCACGACCAACCCGGCAAGAAAGAGGATGATACCAGAGGAGCTGACTCGGCAGATATCTCTCCCATAGCCCTGCGATATAGTTTCCCAGAATCGGCTGCATCTGTTGCGCGACAGCTGAACAAGCGGGCAATCGGTCTTCCGTGAACGATATTTCAGCACCAGAGAACAAATTAATCAGCTCGCTCCATCGCTCCAGAAATCGCCGTCGGCTGTCTGTGTGGAGATGCAATGTCGAAATGTCTCTGAGAAATGAAGGGGCATGATACAGTTCTCTCAATACATCTTTCACTACACTCCCGCCGGCCGTTAAAACAGTGTGGCTTTCGGATCTCATACCTACGCAGCATTCCCAGATGAATTCGTCACTGGTACAGTGCAGGATCCGAGGCGCTAGTGTTCTTTCTTGAAGGACCCACGAACGTTGGTTTAGCGGGGCTCTGTCGATAGCAAATTCTGACAATGTATGTATCCTGATACACTGACCGGACCCATCCATGGCAAAGCCTGTCTCCTTTACATCGACGTCTGCCTGAACAACAAGATTGCCGTACACTAATGGTTGAGGAAATTCCACCGTGCGTTCTTCAAGAAGAGAACTATTATTGTCTTGTCCAGCTGTGGCAGCGATACAGACATAACAGTTCATGTATATAGATCCCATCTTGACAGACTCTCGATTCCAATCATCTTTCGAGTCCTGTTTTATGCAAATTGAATCTATCCACAAATATGGAATTCCAATACGTTTGGAGAGAGAGACAGCATCCCGATATGATTTTGGAAGGTCATCAATCCGTAAGCCCTCAATGAAGGCTTTGACTGTTTGGTCATTTAACTGTGGCTCGTGTATGGTGCCCCAGCAATGAGACAAAGCAGCGTATTTCGGAACAGCAATGTTATCTTCCCATTCAAGATTTTCCACGTTCACAAGCCGTACTATATCATTTTCTTGAAGATCAAGCAAACGCGTTGGAAGGCATTCCTTCCGAACGTTGAGGGTACCTCGCTTGCACTCCAAGTGGTTTTCGTTACAGTCTTGAAGCCAAGTAGTGAATAGATTCCAAGTCGAGGCTGAAGGTGTCACTTGTTTGAGACTCATCGTTGCACTCAAAAGGTCTTTAGCTCCGCTAGAATCCGGTATCACGTCGACAATAAGAGTAGCTAGCTCGTCCCCGCGAAGCTGTCCGTATGGACGTGGTCTAGCAGCCGAAGGCCGTTCCCCTGCGGTGTTGTAAATATGCGCATCGTGCGGGCCAAAAGGAACTTCAGATAACGGAGGAGGTAGAGGGGCAGGACATCGAACGGTGATAAAATAGTGGCCATGACACCGGTTACCAACGGCACTGAACAGATACTGTTCCTCCGCAGTGGCTGGACGCTTGAACCAGTACTCGAGCAGAGTCTGGTTTGTACGTCTTTGGCGTGATCGCAATGATTGCAAGAGCCACGCGCACATAACACAACCTTCTTCTGATGATAGCCGGAGCTCAACACGGTCTGACTTATGGGGCATAGAGTTGTCCTCAGCCATATTCTGGAATGGTGCTAAGTCTTCATACTTCTGGTCTGTGCCGGGTACCCAATCCGGGACGTGTGAATTCCCTACTTGTCCCCGACCAATTCGCCGTTTCGGGGCCTTCTGCTCTCCATTGTCTATGTCTTTGATTCTTTGCAACAATGCTTTGCAATCTAGACATAGTTTTGAAATAGCAGCTTCTTGATTTTTATAGCCGGAGATATTAGGAAAGCTGCTTTGACTATCCTTAGCGTCAGTCATATTATACAGCGTATCAGATGCAAAAAATGGTTGATATCGAATTTGGGAAGTATTGATGTCAGCCTGTCAAGGGAGTTGATGTTTTGTTGCATCGCTGACCACTGCCTGCAGTCATCCTCTGCGAGGTCAGTGCTGAGCCAGGCTGCCTTTCAAATATGGATGTGGATTATGTAGACATAACTTCTAATCATCTGGTTCGAGAGAACGTTATTTGTATGCGACGGTGCATTGTCGTAATATACGGTTACGTTGGTTACTCGTACTCATAATTGTCAAGGAAGGTTGTAGAGATTGGAAGGCAGCTGGCCAGCTAACCTTGACAATGTGCCACGTGACTGGATTAGCTTCTAGCTCTGACCAATAAGGGCAATGGTTCTAACAATAACTTAATCCGAATTCTCTTTTTAGTCTACAAGGTGAGTAGACTGGAAGTTCTAATTGTGTCTGATTATGTAGGACGGGAAAGAGTATTGATAGATGGGTGTCAGTTTTTGATCGAGTTCATGAAACTCACTGAAGAGATCCAAGGTAGATAGAGAGACGATACTATTCTACTAGCGGTCATGGCTATTCTGAATTATTGGTTCCTTTTTCCAAATCCATGAAATCGAAAAATACCAGAGCTTGTTGCATATGGCGAAATAAGCGCCCAATTCCACGTGCTCTTGTTGAATAATTCCTTTTTCCCATCTCGACCGTCTGCCTACTCAACCGCCCCCGTTATCACAACGACCATGCAGATTCCGCCTCGCCACAACCAACCAACAGTTTTATTACCCAACTAGATCATTTCGTATAAGAGCTTTGAGACATCAAGACGGAGATCTACATCCAGGAGCACGGTATTGGAGAAGATGAATGTCATGTGTTGGGGGTGCGCCAGCGCATCCTGATAGACATGTGAGGTGGTTATGACCGCGTTGTTGGGATGAGGCTGTACGTATTGCTTTTGGAAATGATAGACCAAGGTCACAGTACGGACATGGACATGTGAAAAGCCCCTGAGATATACATCCAGATGTTGGACAGATCCCGTCTGATATCATCCCTCGCGCCGTTCCGACTCCCGTTCCTTTCACCCCGAGATCTGACATCGGGGGCCCGATAGGTAGACCGTTCTCTGGATGCCGGGTTGATAGCAAGCCAAGTATAAAGTTTGGTAGCTACAGAACTAGCTGCTGAGTGCAGGTGAGAGATAGGAGATGCGTGGCTGCATGTCAATTACCTATAAGACTGATTTTCTTCAAAATATACTTTGGACATCTGCATGAGATAACTCTGATGCTGTCATTCCCAGGTAACCATCAGACGCGAGCTTGATAATGGGAGCACGACAGGCCAGCTGCAGAATCACACGTTCTTGCCTGCGTTACGCCTCATCGGTTCCGCCCGATTGAAAGGTTGCATTGGGAGACGTGACTCACAGATCTGCTTTTCTGATATATCACCATGAGCAACATGATGCGGCGAATCTCCTTGGGGGCCCGCGGAGGTTTTGACGGGATCTTGGAAATAGATGAAAGATATACAAAGGAGATACCAAGGAGATGGAGTATATATTCCAAGGTCGGCTCTATTTCGGACTGCTGGCCAACCCATCTTCTGTAGGTGTTCGGTTCCCCAGACCAGGTATTCCTGAAATATATCCAGACCGCGGGCCGAGATCCAAGGTGTAGCCTCGCCCGGTTGGAACATGTCTTCCTTCCTTATCGCCGGAGTACCTCCCGGGTACATTCAGCTGGTGTTATTATATCTTGTTCGTATTATAGAATCGATTCGAGATCCTTTGTTTGTAGTGGCTCAGCTGGTATTGAGGTCGTTACACGTATTACCCATTACAAATTCCGAGATCATCGTTTAGCCCTCGGTTCGTCAAAAGCGTGTCTGATAATCGGGTGTGGCGGAGGACAAGAGGACAAGATGAGATGAGATGAGCTGGAAGGAAATAAGTTGGTAGGCGTCGTCATGGCTAATATATTTGGCCATGATGTTGGCGTTGTTTGTGGGAAAGTACGAAAGTCGAAAGTACTGGTAGGAAAGACCGCCCGAGTCCCGACCTATACGACTCACGTATATACACTTTGACTAACGTCCTTACTGTCAAACGCGCATTAGCATCTTTCTTAAATCCTCTTTAATTCTCACATGATAGCATTTGATAGGACAAGTAATCCATTTCCTGTGATAGGAGCGTCCAAGTGCGCCGCGGAAGCTTTAGATTGACTTTCCTGACTGCAACAGGGGAGCATCCTGGATCCCTAGACCGCTCTTCTCTCTTCTCACCCCAGCACCAGCCGAGCCAGCACCAGCCGAGCCAGCACCAGCCCAACGCCCACCGCCGCATTACCGACCAAAAGTACCTCGTATCCTCCGCCGCGCTCCCTCGACTGACTTGAGAATAACCTCACAACCTCCACCGCCTCGAGTGAAACATACGCCTACTTCTTCCCAGACATCAACCTCGATACGTCTGCGGGGTACAATTCTCCCTCTGTTTACACGTCTGCGACATCCAGAAACCGCGTTGCGAAAAGTCGAACGACGATCCCTCACAACAGCCCACAAACGATATTTACTTACTCGACAAACTGGCTTCCTCCTCGAGAACATGGGCAGCATCCTGTCGCAGCAATACCAATATGCGTCTCTGTAGTCGTTGTCGAAGCGCCCGCGACTGAGGAAAATACTCACTAGCAAAACAAACAATATGTCTCTGCTCGGAAAACTACTTTCTGGCATGCCCACGGGCTCCACCACATCGCGGCCGAAGAACTCGCTGGATTCCAATTTGGAAGACCAATTTACACACAACCTCCTCTTCCCCGACCCCGAAGCACTTTGTCACAATGATCAAGTCTTTCCCCTCTCCTCTGGCACCATCCTTACGCCAGCGACGATTACCAACTTCGACATCAATGCGGACATTGACCTCGAGATGCGCGATGTGCGAGTAATCATCATGCAGGAAACAACCCCCACTTCAGGCTCAGCATATCTTCTCTACGACAGTCAACCACCTTCGTCTCCTTCCTCTGCTTCCGCTACACTCGAACGACAACTCTCAGCTAATGGCACCGTCCACCCGGCACGTTCGGAGGGTCGTCGCTCCATTAGTTCACCAAGGAAAGCGAGCGTGGGACAGAATTCAAGACCCGTGGTGATACAGCAGGATGCAACTCCCCCACCACGAACCTATGGCGCTTTCGAACGTCGTCCGACGCACCAGAAGACTTTCAGTTACACCGAGACGGATGGCCAACGATCCGCGAGGGAGTACAGAGAGGAGGTGTCTACATTTTCAAATTGTATTTTCGGCAATTCTGAGGTTTTGGCCTACAAGGGAACGGGGACCAAGGTCCATATTCTGCCATCAGATACACGTCCCGTCTTCAACTCGAGCTCGTATAGTGGGGATATGAATGGGTCTTTGGGAAGATCAAGTATGCGTAGCAGTAAACTGGCACAATCTTTCACTTCGGACAACTTCCCAACAGCTCCGACATCGGCTGGGTTCATGAGTCCGAGCACTTCGAGGGGAAATGATCGAAAGAAGGTTTTGATCACGCGTATGTTTCCTGTACCACTGCCAATTGAAGATGTGGAAGACCTCTCACAGCATACGACACCCACTGCTCACTCTGTCCAGTCAGGTGATGGTTCGGGCTATCCATTTCCAAAAGTTGGGGCCAAAGAACCTGGGTCGGAGAAGAAGTCGCTTCAGCCAAAACAGAAGCGAACCCCTATGTATGCGGTCGGACTAATAGTCCAACTACCAACAAATCCTGGTGCTCCGTTGATGCCTACGTCGAGGTCAAGTTTTAAAGGGTCCGGGTCATACAATGAGCCAGATTCATTTCCCTCGTCCTTCAACTCGACCCGTCGGGCGGGCTGGACTATGCTCGGCCATGGCTTCGGTGTTGAGTCAATGGATTCATCCTACTCTAGCGATTTTGATGATCGCATTGAGCTCATCACGCAACATTGGGATATTATCATGAGAACCTTGTCTCATCTTCAAGCTGTGGCTACAGCTTCCTTGTTGCCTATGCTTAGGCAAGCAGATATCAGCTCACCAGATCCTCGGAGTCATACATTTCACAACAGAACATCGTCAGCAAGTGTCTCAATCGCTGGGAAGCGCATTGAAGACGTCAAGCCATTCAAGATACCCAAGACAAATGCCAAGCTTGTTCAACTTACCATGAATTGTCTGATGCAAGTCCCGAAAATTCACAAGGAAGTTGACGCCTCACGTCAGCGAATTGTGAGCGGTATCAAAACAAGTCAGGTCGTCACCGGCCAGGGTCGATGGGGAATCTGGCGGCAAGAGGCAAGATTGGTTGGGAAGTGGGCTGGGTCGAAAGATCAAGGGTTTTTCTTTTTCAACCTTCTCACTGGGTTTCTTGGAAATCACACAGAATGGTTGCAAGCTCTGGGTCCAAGCTGGTATCGTCGTCGCCATTACCAACATCAAAGATCACACAAGGACGATGACATATCAGTCCCAGCGCGCACAATCATCGTCTCGGATAATAAGTTAATGGCACGTAGACTTGTTTTCTTGTTATCGACCTTCTTGCCAGCAAATCAACAACTCGGCCCCTCCCGCCATCGCCCTAGCACATCTGCGTCATTTGGTGGCTATTCTCAATCACCGCCAGCGTATCCAGTACCTATTCTAAGAGAAGAGTCATTGCGTCGCAGGATCAACAAGCGATCAAGTATTGCACGAGGTAGCCATTCCCGAACCATGAGTTTCCCGGCACAACCCGTGCATGCATCACAAGCGCCACTGGAAACCCAGCGCCATGATCGTCGACCTTCAGATGCAGCATCTATCAAAACAGCAAATCTCCCGATCCCTGGGAGTGATATCGGTACTCGAAAGAGTAGTGCAGCAACCACTTCGACGGCAACCCCTGTCACTACCATGCCGCATTTTTCCACGCGACGTCCAATCCGTGGAACTGGTCCAGATCCGCGTCCAGGCAGCAGCGGGAGTTTGGCCACGGATGACTTGCTTCGTTCTCTTAAGCGAGGTGAAAGTAGTGGTCAGTTCAGTAACACGAGCATGGAGTCTCAGGGACAAAATTCTCGATGGGGAAGTATGATTAGTGGATTCTGGAGTAACAAAAGACGAGGATCTACTGCGGCAACAGAAATCGATCCTACGAGTAGAGATGGCACAGAACAGAGCTCAGGTCAAGGAGATGAGGAAAACAAGCCAGTGGGTAAATTGGCAGAGATGGTCCAGGAGGCGAGTCTCTATCCTACTAGGACAAAAACTCTGCGCGATATGAGAGGATCGGGGGATAGTGCAATTACTGCCAAGCCTACTGATGGAGTTATCGACGAGATTCCAGAGCAGGTTATCCATATCCCTGAGCGGAAACTTGATCCATCTGGAGCTTACGAGTCGCCGGTCAAGACGTCAATTAATGAGGATGATGGTGTTATTGACATTGAAGTCCCGCTACCAGAGTATCTTTCATTTGAGACGGCAGTCAGCTCGCCGTCGAGTAGCGGGTATCTGTCAACCCCAGGTTTCGGTAACGGGATGGAAGGGTTTGAACACTATTCGCGTTCGGGTGGTGAACAGGACACGGCGATGAACGTTGGTGGTTGGTTGCCACGATTTCACCCTGACTTTTCCTTGCAAGCGATTCCCGCTCAAGAGGATCTGCTCGAAGAGGTCAAAGCATCAATGCGGGATGAGCCGACACCACTTTTCAGTTCAACTCCACTTCCCGACAATGGCCGCCCAGACCGTTGGGTTGATGTCAGTAGTGCTATCATTGCGGACACTACCAATTTCACCATCAAACGCATCCGATACCGAAGGCTAGTGAAACCTAAAGATCCAGGCCCTAGTGCAGTACAAGCTCCAATTGACTCGCGTTATGGTAATGTTTACTCTGCAGCACAAATGACACCCTCATTGAACATCCCTGACTCCCCTACCGAAGAACGCTTCATTGAAGAAGCCATCATCTCCATGGACGAAACGCTCATCCAAGCCGTCGAGAAAATCATCGCCCAATCCAGTCCCACATCCAACGCGTCTTCTGTCTGCTCCTCCCGATCCACATCTCGCAAAGGGGGGAACCGCCAACGATCAAATTCCGATGCCAAAGCTCATGTTGGTGTTCCGGAACACAAACTCGAGGTACCCAGGAATGAGTGTAAGAAAATGGTTCTTGGGGCCTTGGAGGAGATCGTGAAGGAAGTTGCCGAGAGTAGGAAGGAGGGTGAAGATGTGGAATTGGAACGCACGGAGAGCTTTTTGAGGGAAGGGGTGAGGAGTTGGCTTGTTAATGTTGAGACTTTTGATTGAGGAATCTTCGCCTATCTTGACGGTGAGCGGGCTTGAGATGATAGTGGACCACGGACAACATCGGATCTACGGACGAGACAACAACATCATAATACACGAGGACAAAACAACATGGAACACGCACAAGGACAAAACAAACACAACACAACCGGACAATTTTCTTTTTGTCTGTACCACCAGGGCATTGACACTTTTGCATCCAGAACGGGAACTTCTAACGACGAATGAGAGATGAAAGGAATGACGAACACTTGCAGCAAGATTTTTTATTTTATTTTATACCCATTGTATTATATAGGACACTTAGATTGAGGTGCGGGATACTAGGCAGCAGGGGGTTGCGATCTAGGGGATGGGGTTTTTGGGAGCGGTTTTTGGTATAGAAGAGTGGGTTCGGGGTCTGTTTTAAGAGGTTGCGGTGCGTTTGCTTCAAGTGGCGCTTAATTCTTAGATGAGAGGGATGGAGTGACGTGGTGAGGGAATGGGTAATGGTCTGCTTGAGAGCTTTGATGGGTTTTGGAATTGGAATTGGGATTTAGCGGGGGTCGTTTTGGGCGTCTGGGTTGGTGCTTTTGCTGCGTTGTGCTGTGCTAGGTTTTAATGTTTGAGAGAGGTGGGAGGGTGTGTGTGGGAAGGAGGGAGAGGGAGAAGGGGGTAGGGGGAGGTTTAGTGAGAGGAAAGTGAGGTTTAAAGGAATGACTATTTGCAAAGGAGCATGGAGAGTGAGGATATACCAAATACGATAATTTGCTCCTTCAAGATTTCAAGACATGACATTCCATCCTTTCTATCCCCTTCTTCCTCTCCTCACCAGCTCAACTCAAAACAATACACACATTATAAACAATTTTCAAATCCACATCTAACCCCAAAAAAAACGGATTTTCCGTTTGGTCTCGCCCCTAGTAAAACGTTACGTTCGTACCTCGTACCCTCCTCTATCGTCTTACTAGAGTATTTTTGATGAGGTGAGAGCCCGTTTCTTTTCGCGCAGGTAAAGGGATTTTCTGGATTGGGAAGGGGGTCCTGGGGGTGGTGATCTGGGATTCGAGGGTTTGCTTGGGGGAGCGAGGGGGGAATTGGCGGAATTGGGGGGGCAAGTGTATATCCCGGGATCGAACTTGAGAAGTAGATTACGTAAGAGTTGCTTATAGATTCTTTAAGTCGGATACCATGCAAGCAGGCTATATGTATATCCGGGTTTGCTAACGTGGGATTTTTGAAAGACGTCTTTGCCCTTTATTTGAAGGAGTCGCGAATGCAGAGGTTTGCGGGGTGGAGGAATTATGTAGGGCATAGACGGAGGGGGGGATGTGGTTGTAAAGATATCTCGATGCGGAATACAAGGGGGGTGTGGACTTGGGAACTTGGGGGGTGAAGGTTGTGGTGGGAACCATACTTCAGCGGCGTATTTTTCTTTTACCGAAATGCTGTCTGCGAGCGTCTCATGGTGGATAACTGGGTATCGCAAAAATCAAGCCGCTAGTTCACAAAGCCTTTAGTGTGGGATGGATAAAGTGAGGAGCACATTTATGTAGAGGATGATGTAGAGAGTGTTGTTCGAACTCGGGGTTCATGTTTCGGGTTTAAAGTGTTTGGGGGGTTGTGGGCAAGGGAAAGGGTTGGAGATTTTGACTCATGAGGGGTTACAGACTAGGGTATTGGGTGTGAGATGAGAGTGGTTGGTAGATTGGATGTCTGGGGTAGTAGTAAGGAGGGGAAGGGAGTTAAGGTGTTGCGAGTTGGGAACTGAGAATTGAATTTGTGATTTGTATTTCAAGGAAATTGAATATACACATCTTATTATTAGTATGCCATATTATATGATTTATACATCATCTTTCATCTTTCATCCATCCCACGTTTTCTTTATTTATATATATAAGACAAAGCCTCATCTCCATTTGACGCCCAACCACCTAGCGTCTGACGCAAGACAATTCTTTTTAAAAGGAACACTATGATTTTACTTTCGACACACAATTCACAAGGCAACTGTGTTTCAACACCAAAGGGTCAATTATTTGAAACCATTGGATTTATTTTAATGAAGCTTCTATAAAGAGCTTTCAAATGTCAGAGTGAGGGTGATAAAGTTTTACAAGCTACAGAGGAAATATCCCATCGAACGTGTACTATGTTGTAGACATTCGTCGGGTAGTTTATCTACTCCAGCAAAAGAAAAACATACCGCGAAACAAGTTTTTCATCCCCTACCAGCTACCCCTTCATTTTCACTAAAGCGCTGACCGTATGTTCACAACAACCAGTACTGTGTTCTACAACTAAGTGGTTAGGCAGCAAATTGAAAATCTGAGGAATTGCGTACGCTATGTTGCGTGGTGGACCCCACTTTTAACACGGATGTGAATAGGCTACAACCAGTCGCTATATCCTACCCTCGAAACGGTGACGGGGGTAGCGTTTGTATCGTGTATATATAAGATGTCTTGGCTTTTATCTGGAAAATGGAAATGGAAATGTTCAGTGTGTGAGATTGAAAGCTTGTCTTATCTATCGATTAGAAAAAGTACAAGAGAAAGTATTAAAAGGAGAAAGATGTCGGACAGATTTCAAATCTCGGAAGTTGAGGAGAGTGATTTGGAGGAGATTGCTTTGATGTGAGTTTCCTTCCATTTTATCAACTTTTAATCTCATTGTCGGAAGCTGAAAGATGTGATTCGCGAGGGAGAGAATATCCCTAAATCCATGTTTCAAGTCGGAGAATTGAAGCTTGATCCAAGTCAAGCTTCCACAGCTAGACTCCCTTATCCAGATTCTATTCTCCGGGCTCCCTTTAGAAAAGTGCATCTGCACTTCAACTTCAAAAATCCAGAAGTCATATCTCCCCCTTCCACCTCACTAACACCCACACCCCAGGATCCAAACATCCTCCACCTCCTCCCTCTCCCCCCGCATCGTCCTAGAATTCCGCAACGTCCCCCGCTCCACGTTCCTCGCTTACAACCTCGCTGGCCTCCGTTCCGAATTCAACGGCTGTGCCTCCTCCAACGGGTTAGCCGAGATGTATAAAATCGTCGATTCTCAAATCGACAAGATTGTGGGGTTTGCGGTTTGGGGATGGGATGAGAGTGTATGTATTTCCTTAGACAGAAGGGTGGGGGAATTTGAGGGAAAGAGGAGGGATGTTTAGGTGAAAGAGAGGACGAGCTAATGGGATATAGACGGTGGATAGGCTGTTTAGTGAGAAAGCGAAGGTGCCGTTGCCAGAGGGTACGAATACGGTTTTGAGGCATAGATTTATAAACGAACTTTCTGAAATGGAGAAGAGTATTAGACCGAAAGGTCGATATTTTGGTATTTGTTCCCCTTCCACCCTTAACCACTCATTGTCCTCCCAATTAACATCCACAGAACTCCTCGAGCTCATAACCGCCCCAACCCACCGCCGTCTCGGTCTTGGACGCCAACTAATCAACATCGGTCTGTCCCGTGCAGACGCCGAAAGCGTACCTTGTTACTTAAGCGGTAGTCCTATGGGCGTGCCCGTGTATGCTAAGTGTGGGTTTAGGGAGGTGGGTAGGATTAGTATTGGGTTAGATGAGTATTTAGAGGAAGAGGGGGATGAAGAGTTTAAGGGGGTTGTGCATGTACATGTTGGTATGGTGAGGGAACCTGCGAAGATGGGAGATGTGTAGAGGGTATTTGAGAATATGGCTCGATGTAATAATACATTCGATTGCTCCCCTACTCCTACGTGCATTATGATACACCCATTATCACCACTAAATTCACTTCCCTTCCCCCTCCGCACTCTTATCTTCCCCTCTATCTACCTTCCCAGCCATCTTCAACCCCTCGCCATACCCAACCTGCGTACTATTCCTCCTCCCCAACAACGGCGGCATCGAACTCCCCACGCCACTAATATCCCTCAACCTGACCGGGCCAGGACTTGTATCCCTCTCCGCCCCCCTAGTCAAACTAGGTGGGAGTCCCAGAAGCGGAATATTAACATCAGACCCCACGCCCGCCAGTCCCCTCAGCGTCGGTGGCGTCGCTTGCGGAACTTGCGCGCGCTCCAGAACCTCCTTATAAAACACTTCCAGCTGCCCCTTCGAATGACAAAATTCCTCAAGTTCATTCTTGATAGATTCAGGCGACAGAACAGCAGAGGTCTTAGCGCTAACAGGACCCAGGACGTCAGAAGTGGCACGTAGCAAGGGAGAAGGATGGCTCGTAGGAACCGGACGGAGCAAAGGAGAGTTAAGTGGAGAGGAGGAGAGGGCTCCTATAGACCCATACATGTGGGAGGTGGGAGGGAGACGAGTCGAGCGGGATTCAAGAGATGTAGTATTATCGTTCTTGACATACCTGTCGGATTCGCGCGCTGCGGCTGTGCGGTTATTGTAGAGTCTGTTTGCAAGGAGGAGGAAACTTCCTTCGTCGGTTATTTGAACGAGGAGGATGCCGGACCGGTGGATGTATTGGGTGTATTTGTAGTCCGGACGGCCCCAGGAGTAGGTTACGTCTACGTTGAGAGGGAAGTTGCGAGCTGCTTCGACATCGAGGACGAAGTTGAATTTCTTCATGATTGCTTTTTGGTAGTAGTGACGACTTGCTGGTAATTGAGGCGCAAATGAGCTGGCGTCAAAGTAAGTCCGAGGTTGTTGATCGGGAGGTTGAAGTGCCAGTTCGATTATGTATGGGCTACGAAAAGGGTGTATCTCGGTGATGCTGCAAGCTTCGCCTATGGGAGCTTCGACAAGTCTTAATCCATATCCTTCTGCTGTGCGGGCCCAAGATTCTATTGCGTCCTCAATTAGTTTTGCTGTCACTCCCATCCAATCAATTCGAATGTGGTAGCAGTTGTCGGGATTGTGTAGACGATCATAATGTAGATTGATCCTCTCAGGTCGATAAGATCTCCGTCGATGGTCAACATCATACTTCATCACCTTACTCAGATATACTTTCGGTCTTTTTGCGCCCAGACCGTTAAGAGTTGTCGGCGTTGTTGTACCAGAATCTGAAGACCGTTCATCATAATTTGAGCTTGACCTCGACCTCTCCGGCCTTGGTGAGTCTCTTGGAAGATTTTCTGCGAGTGGAGTAGATGGAACGGATTGGTCACGACGCCGTGACCCAAACCACCCACTCCTGCTATCTGGTCGCTGTTTCGCATATTCTCCGGTGACCTGGTAAAAATATTGCCCATCGCGAAAAGGATGGCGTTTTTCGACATGGACGAATATTCCCATCTCCTTATCCTTGACGTTGTCTTTTGGAACTTCACGCTCTTTGATCCGCTGAAGATCGTCTTTAGCCATCAATAAGTTCCCAAGCTCGACTGCCTCTTCTCTTGTCTCGACATCTTCAAAATTCTCTATCAACCAGGTTGTCATATCGGAACCAATAAAACAATTGTAATGAAGTCGGAAATGCCATCTTCGATTTTGCATTCGCACCCCACCACGCTCAACAGGTGATTGTATAGCTTCGGCTAAAGACGCAATATCGAGTTTTGACTGCCTGAATCTCTCACTCTCGATGAGTTGGCTTCTTTGAAATCCCGTATTGCCAGTCTCAACCAAAGGCAGGGTCTCAAGCTCCGCACTGACGACAATTGATGGATCTTCAGTCTTGTACACAATATCGAGAGGGTTCTGATCTTTGGTTTTCCGAGCGGCGAGGCTCTGAAATCGTTTCTCGGATGCAGATAAGATTCTATGTCGTTGCCACGTTTGAGTCAATTTTTTGATTCCCTCTAATCGGATCTCTTCCTCATTATCCCCGTCATGCCTTCTTTGGGATTGAGTTGGTCTCTCGACAGGTATGAGGACGTATCTTGCACGCCAGAATCGAAGATTCTCCGACATCTCTTCATCAAAGCCCGCAATGAATGAATCAACATAATTCCAATTATACTCCTCTTTGGGCTTTCCAAGCATGACCTGTCGCGACTTGTAATCCAAAGCTAACGTTGTTTTGACGGCAGGCTTATATATCAACGGAGTGGCGGCATTAGGAGCCGTCGGAGCTATTGGTTTCCGAACAAACATGTTGACCTCGATTTCAGTCTCATTAACACAAGAAAGTTGGTGGATGATATTTCCCATAGACATAAACACGCTGGCCCCATCCTCAGCTATGTCTTTTGGATCAAAGACATTAGCTATCTTTAAAAACTTTTGCCCGAAAGCCTGGGCAACTGCTGATCCAAGCACAATCTGGAACCCCTGGGACAGTCTCAGGCCGATTAACTCTCGAAGAAAATCATCACGAGACGTTGGGACCTCGCTTAGCTCATCCTCCGTGTTTGGGGATATATTATAAGGCTTCTGTTGGTACTCCGTCTCAAGTTGGTGCTTTGTAGGGAAATATTCTGTTGTTAACGGTACAGCCGCGGGGCAGCAAAGAGACTTCCATTTCATTGTGTTGGTATGAACTGGTTTTGGGAAAACATGCTGCCAACGCCTGTACTGACTTGGTCCAGCAACGTCGTTCGCCGTCGGGTTCGAAGGATTGAGAACGCTAAGCCAAGGAGATAGGGCCGTACCTGGTGACAAAGTTGCAGGTAGTTCTGGAACCGATTTTGCCAACAGCTTCGAGTTGAAAAGCTTCTGAGTATCATGGTACCTCATTTTAAAGGAACCGACAGTTTCCCCTTCATCCAACTTATCGTCATAAAATGATCCACGCATCGACCGCGATTTGAATTGATTGGTCGAGTCTAGTGACTGTAGAGCACTTTTCACGGTCATAGGCTTTCCTCCTAAAGCTCTTGGAGTATCTTTGAGCTCGTCTCCGCGTTCCGATGGTGGGGTGTCTGATTTTGATTTCGAGATTTCGCTACTTGACGATGTTGGTCGCTCATGAGTTGCAGTGCTTAGGAGCTGATTCGCTATTGTTGTACTCTTTGGCTTCTTTCCTTCGTTGACCTTTCCAATCGCCGTCGCTGGCCTTGCTGCACTTGCGTGCTCGGTCTGAATCTGCGCAGTTGCCGCCTTTGGTGCAGCAATCCCAAAGCCGAATTTGCCCAAGCTTATTTGTCGACCAAATTTAGCAGGCCTTGCTGGAGATGGCTTGGCCATAGTCATGCTGCTTACACTATCATGACGACGCTTTACTATCTCTTCTGTATCTTGAGTGTTTTGTTTACTTTTGGTGGAACTGTACGAGCTTCCAAGGATACTAGGCCCGGTAGGCGTGCTATTGTTGTCATGGAATGATGTACCAAATATTTTGGGATCTTCCGCCAGGGCCTTCCTCGTTATGTCCTCACTTCCTGCTTTTGAAAGTCTTCTGTTTTCCCCACTGGTAGGGAGCTCGGAGACGCCTTCGGCGATCTCTGATACTGCAGCGTCGAATTTATCGGCAGCCTTGTACAAAGATCTTTCTCCCTGAGGAGAATGTCGGTCATATTGAGCTTTTGAAGGGCCTGCAACGAATTCTGATAGACTCGACAGGACCTTAGTCCGAGTCACAAAGCCCGTATTTGCGTCTGCATTTTGTGCAGCTCCAGGCACTTCTTGTGGACCTATGGTCATCTGGGGGAAGAGAGCATCTTGCTGTAGAGGTGTAACAGCAATCTCAGTCAAGACATTTTCCATCACACTAGCCATTTCCATTTCATACATTTTGCATCGAATTTCAAATTCGTGAGATCTCTCAGTACGCTCACATTTGAATGGTTTGCTAAGAACGTTTCCTGAGCTTTCCACAAGATGGATATCCTGGGATGCTCCGGTCCAAAACGATACATCAATCCAATGAGGTATTGCATAAGACCACTCGCTTGGAGCACCATTGCTGGAGAATGACCCTCCACGGAGGCCACGATCGTGTAGATAGGCCTTGTGAGGTGACAAAGACCCATTCTGAGATGAGAAACTACTTCCAAACATGGCTGGATTCTGTCGTGGGGTGTTGTCATCGCTCGGGAAAGATTTCATGTGAATAGCTTCTTGAAATAGGGCATATTGGGGATTGCGGTAGCGAAACAAAGGGACAGAATGTAAGGGCATCTTAGGCAAGCATACTAGATCGATTCCGATGCCGTTTCCAATCAGATTTTCGGTAGTCATGCTGAGCATCTTATAGTCAACTTCAAACAGGCCCGGAGAGGGTGTTATGACAACAACGGATATTCCTGTTCGCATGAGATCTCGGTCGATGTAGTCGTGCGCAAATTGGGAGCATGCTAAGTTTATTGCTTCGAGGACATTGCCGTGTATCGCTAACGATGGTTCCGCCTCAATTCGAGTGCCTAGTACTCCTCTAGACGAGTCTCCTGTCGTTGAAGATAAAGCGTTGACAAGTTTGATACGGTGTAATGATATATCTCGACGAAAAAACTTGAATTCCCGCTTCAATTGATATAGAATTGTAGTCCAAGACCCACTAGCCATTTCGCTCACAACGACTCTATAAAAGTCTTTGTAAGGTTTTTTGTTGCCTTCGGCTTGCATTCCAGTATGATAGGATACATCATGCGTTGCGGCAGCCAGTTCGGAAGCAATTCCCGTATCATATTCAACCCTAGTGAACAAAACGATGCTTACCAGGTGCTTTGCTTTCAGAGCAACCCATTTTTTGAAAAGCGCCGGAAGAAAGCCGTTGACAACCTTGTTGAACATGATCTCGCCCGACCCTTCAGAATCAAAGTCCCACATCTCTCTCGACATTTGAATAAACAAGACATAGCGAGCGGACTCGCTCCTGAAGACAGGTTTCGTATTGGCAGAATAAAGAGCGGATTGCACTTTACGTCCAGCAATGTATATAGAGGTCACTTGAGCCTTTATGCTCCCAAGAAAGATGATCTTTTGACCCTTGAATACTGTCTTATCGGCAAGTTCACCGACAGCTAATCTCCACATGTCGGACCGAGAAAGATACTCATCTTTAAAGGACAGTTCTACATGAGATGCAGAAGTAGCCGCAGGATCAGCCTAAGAAATACGATTAACTAGTATTAAGCTTTTAAGGATGGGTGACGAACGGTAATCACAAGAACCTGCGCTCTTGACTTGAGGTGGAATGTATCCGCCATATGTTTTGCTACGGAGACATCCATGGTTGGCTGTCTTGCTTTCATTTCCTTTGACATGTCTTTGGCTATGAAAAGGCATTGCCTTCCAAGGTCAAGGTCATGCTTAGCTGAAGATGGGAGCGCTCCATTTGGACTGTTTGGTTTCGAATGGCTTCGGGCACCAGGCGGAGGAGTAGATAGAGCTTCGGCCTCTGTCTTATGAGCTGTTATGTTTTCCGGGAAGTCTCGAAGCGGAGGATCCGTCTTCAATTCAACAATAGCCATGAGATCTCCCACCCTGACATCAGGGAAATGATCCAGGTTGAGAATAACATCGTCCCGAGAAAACAGGTCATCATGAATCCAAAGCGTGCACTTCCTCTCGCTGGAGCTTTTCGGTAGGATTGGATCCTGTTGATCGGTCCCAGAGGGGAAAAGCACGGGTTCAGCAATTGGTGTCATTTCGGAGCTGCCATTGCTAACATGTCGAAGCTGTGAAGATTTTTGTGTCCCGCGTCGGGGTGTCGAAGGCAAAGCCGACGCCATTGGGAGCTTTGAGGCTCTGGGCCAACAAGAATTGTAAACTACTTATAAGTCATGATTGAGAAATCAGCTATATGTTGACAAGTCTGCAGATGTATTGAGTGATATTGATGATCTCCAAGCTAGTGAGCGTTCTGCCCAATTTCACCGCTTTTATACCCCCAAAACTGGCAAGGTCGGAAGTCGGAGCTTGACGGTGAACCCTTGCCGATGATGGCTCGTGCTTTAGAAAAAGTTCCCTTCGTTGCAACTTTATCAACAGACCCCTCTTGTCTTGCAATTAGCAGTCGCAAGGAACAACACAGGCAATTTGAAAATGGGAAAACGAGCTGCCGATGACATTGAGGATGGAAATGCTGCATATCTCAAAAGACAAAAGATTGGAAATGTTGTTGAGAAACAAAACCCAGCAACTGAAATCCACTCTGGGAAACAGCTTCGACAACTTTTAGCATTTGATCAGGATCCGGCTAGATCAAAAAATGGCAAGTTTAAATTCTTCGCTTTTTATCCATAATTACTAACGTGTTCCAGCCATATACTCTTTTAAGTTATTCCTGGACGGGTTCGCAGACGAAAACGATAATGGCCGTCGAATTTCCATTCTGAAAGACTATCTTGACCTCTATCAGCCGGACGAGGAGGAGAAAAGCGCAGCACACCTGCCCGACATTATGCAAATATGGAGCTTTGCGTCTCAGTCGAATAACGAGGGCCTTCTATCTTCCGTTTCTGCCATACTTGCGTTACTTTTGAAAACGATATCCAGCATTCTCGAGCTCACCGATCATGGATTGCGGATATGTCGAATCATCCTGCAGAAGAACCAGTTGGACTTGGTTGTTCGGGGATTGACAGGAAACAAAAGCAAAACTTATGTCATCTCACCTGTCCTGCGATTGTTAAGAGAGATGTCCATCTTTGACGGGGGGGTGATGGCTAAGCAGGTGTTCCGCTTGCGGGATTATACCATGAAAGGTTTGGCACGCAACCTTCATCTCAAGTTCAGCGGCGAAGGAGCAGAAGATCCCCGCCAGCCGTCAGTACGGACAAACGCTTTGCGATTTGTTTTACCGCTTATCAAATTTCTGCCGGCTGAGGCGAAGCGAGAGCTCCTCTTTCAAAGGGATATTGTGATGGCGCTGACCAAGGACATCAAAGATGATCCACCATTTATGGTGCGAGAGTTGTTGCATAACCTAACTGTCCACGTATTGCAAGATGAAACACTTCAACGGGATGCGAAAAACAAAATCGTAAGTGCTATGTCTCTGGGACGCATCTCCATGCTGTATAGCTACGATCAGCCAGACCCCGAGCCAGCAACCTCGCAAAAGCCCATTGACTTGGTTGCTCATGAATTTCTGGTTCTCGCCTGCACTTCCCACGACCTAGGTGTTCTCAACCGCCAAACGGCCTTTTACCCTCGAGGTGTTGATCCTGATGACTTACAAGATATTGACGTTGATGAAGCACTCCTTGATCTAGGGCTGGACGGCATTGAATGGATGGGGAAGTTCACTGAGGACGTACCTATACGAAACACTATCTTATCCGAATTCATCCAAACTCTGCGACCTTGGTCTAGTACTAAACACAGAGAGCTATTGTTAGCAGTATTTGCCTCGGCTCCCGAACTGGTTGCGGACTACTTCTATAACAAGAAAACATTCTCGTTCGACCCCAAGCTGACTGCCACATGGATTGGCTACTCCTCCCTTCTATACTCAGCTATACAGCTACCCGTTCCACCATACTTTGGTCACTTGAAACAATATGCGAAGCTACCACCACCACCTGCTATCGTACTCGAGAATATTCTTCCACAGCCGTTAAGCCAAAAGGCTTTGAGAAGCTGTTTACTACATAGCCAGGGTTTAGTCAGATTCTTAGCTATTCGAATCCTCTGCATTGCATTCGATAAGTTCCAAAAGATACTCGCAATGTA